GCTAAGCACTCTTTCGTCGGTCGCACTGCTACCCTCGTCGCTGGCGCCAAGGACCAAGGTCACTTCAAGGCCATCATGGACTCCATTGGTACGGCTCTTCTCGTCCTCGTCATGTTCTTCATCCTCATGGCCTGGATCGGTGGTTTCTTCCGCAACCTGAACATTGCCACCCCCGAAGACTCCCAGAACACCCTCCTCCGCTACGCTCTGATCCTCCTGATCGTCGGTGTCCCCGTCGGTCTTCCCGTTGTTACCACCACCACTCTTGCCGTCGGTGCCGCCTACCTCGCCGAGCAGCAGGCCATCGTCCAGAAGCTCACTGCCATCGAGTCCCTTGCTGGTGTTGATATCCTCTGCTCTGACAAGACTGGTACTCTTACTGCCAACCAGCTTTCCATCCGTGAGCCTTTCGTCGCCGAGGGTCAAGACGTCAACTGGATGATGGCTGTCGCCGCTCTCGCTTCTTCCCACAACATCAAGTCCCTCGACCCCATCGACAAGGTCACCATCCTTACCCTCAAGCGTTACCCCAAGGCTCGTGAGATCCTCAAGGACGAGTGGAAGACCGAGAAATTCACCCCCTTCGACCCCGTCTCCAAGCGTATCACTGCTATCTGCACTCTCCGTGGTGACACCTACACTTGCGCCAAGGGTGCCCCCAAGGCTGTCCTCAACCTGACCGAATGCGACAAGGCTACCGCCGACCTCTTCAGAGACAAGGCTACTGAGTTCGCTCGCCGTGGTTTCCGCTCTCTCGGTGTCGCCTACAAGAAGAACGACGAGCCCTGGATCCTTCTCGGTATGCTTTCCATGTTCGACCCTCCCCGTGAGGACACTGCCCAGACCATCATCGAGGCCCAGCAGCTTGGTGTTCCCGTCAAGATGCTTACTGGTGACGCTATCGCTATCGCCAAGGAGACTTGCAAGATGCTTGCTCTCGGTACCAAGGTTTACAACTCTACCAAGCTTATCCACGGTGGTCTCTCCGGTACTGCCCAGCACGATCTCGTCGAGAAGGCTGATGGTTTCGCTGAGGTCTTCCCCGAGCACAAGTACCAGGTCGTCGAGATGCTCCAACAGCGTGGTCATTTGACTGCCATGACTGGTGACGGTGTCAACGACGCTCCCTCGCTCAAGAAGTCTGACTGTGGTATCGCCGTCGAGGGTTCCACTGAGGCTGCCCAGGCTGCCGCCGATATTGTCTTCCTTGCTCCCGGTCTTTCTACCATCGTCTACGCCATCAAGACTGCTCGCCAGATCTTCCAGCGTATGAAGTCTTACATCCAGTACCGTATCGCCCTGTGCTTGCACTTGGAGCTTTACCTTACTTTCTCCATGATCATCATCAACGAGACCATCCGTACCGATCTCATCGTCTTCATCGCTCTGTTCGCCGATTTGGCCACTGTCGCCATTGCCTACGACAACGCCCACTCTGAGCAACGTCCCGTCGAGTGGCAGCTTCCCAAGATTTGGATCATCTCCGTCATTCTCGGTGTCCTTCTCGCTACCGGCACCTGGATCATCCGTGGCACTCTCTTCCTTGAGCGTGGTGGTATCGTCCAGAGATTCGGTTCAGTTCAGGAGATTCTTTTCCTCGAGGTTGCCCTTACTGAGAATTGGCTCATCTTTGTCACCCGTGGTGGCAAGACCTTCCCCAACTGGCAGCTCATCCTCGCCATTCTCGGTGTTGACGCCCTCGCTACCATCTTCTGTGTCTTCGGTTGGATGTCTGGTGACCCTACCAACACCTCTCCTCCTTCCGCCTTCTTCAAGAACGAGCGTCTCGATGGCTGGACCGACATTGTCACCGTCGTTGTCGTCTGGGCTTACTCCATTGGTGTCACCATCATTATCGCCATTGTATACTTCCTTCTCAACCAGATCACCTGGCTCAACAACCTCGGTCGCAAGAACCGCAACATGCACGACACCAAGATGGAGAACATCATTGCTGCTCTCTCCAAGGTTGCTCTCGTCCACGAGAAGGACGAGATTACCGGTGCCGACAGCTGGGCTCTTGCTGCCAAGACCGAGGCAGATGAAGAGGAGTAGATCATGCCTTGATGCTCACTTCTTGCGTCGGAGTTCTTATTAATTTTACTTTTTTTCCTTTTTCTTCTAAATACAATGTGTCTATAGCACGCCCTCCGTTTGTAGAATAATCCGGAGTAATACCCCAAACAAAAATATTCACAAAACAAATTCTGTTCCAACTGTGCCTTGTGATTGTTTTGAATGGTTTTCTGCTAATTTCCTCAAACAAACAAGAAACATCCATGGCCAATTTTGACAAAGTCATGGTCAGCAACGGTCAAGCGCCCACTTGGTCCAATTGCGATCAGCAAAAAAGTAACCATTGACCTTCATCCTTCGCCGATGGGACATCGTATCGATCACCTCTGGGAAAAAAAACAAATGAAACACCCAAGACGAAAAATTTTCGCGTCCCTTTATCGGCGACGGCGAGTCGGCGTTTCGCATTCTGCGCTTGGCTCTGTGAGCCGACACGGCCATTTCTGTTCCGCGAGCGACAAGATGTTACGCAAAGGAAACAATAATTGGAGACACCGTCCCGCAAAGTTGACAAGAGGGTGTGTGGATATGGGCCCCATGGAGAGAAGCAGCTAGAACGACATGGCCTACGGGCCCCGTGGAGTCGTCCGTGGGCTGCTCGCGGCCTTACTTCGTAGTCTTTTCTCCTTCAGCCAGAGCAGAAGATCATGTCGACTATCACTTCAACACGAACCACCAAGAGGCCAGCCGAAACATGACACGATGCTAGGGCCTTTTTTCTCTCTCAAACGAACAGAGCGTTTAAGCAGAACCAAGAACTTTGGCTAGGGTCTGGTTGGACGTTCGCGATGCACACGAGCTGTATTCTTTGCATGTTCCAGAAATCCCGTCGAAACCACTCTTCTCATCAAGGTCTCAATGCCGACGGTGAAACTCTGCTGTTTAACCAGATTAAGCTGCATCAAAATTCAAAGGGTTGACTGAAGGTTTAACCACCCACAGCCGCGAAAAGCTGCAAGATCTCAAACGCAGACAAATGCTCGGGACCGACATATTTTCGTCTGTTCATTCTCAGTTGCTTGTCAGTCTTGTTCCTTCAGGTCGTCTTGTCACGGGCTTGGCCTTTATTCTGGTTCGAGACGAGGTATTTTCTGTCAAAGTCTTGGTATCCTGGCTTGACTGTTCCATGCCGAGACCTTTACGGACGCAGTGGCACTTTTGGGAGACTACTGCAAATAATGGTCATACCGAAGCACGGGCCGACACCCCCAAGCAAAAAGTGTATGAGAGCCCCGACCTTACACCACCCACAAAAAAAAGTGTCGAGCTTAGCTCAAGCCTCCCTCGAAGGGCTGACTTGTTCTTCACACCCGGACATAACTTTTTTTATGGTTTGTCTTTACACCTCGGAAAGCTCTTGGCTTGGGCGCTCTGTCGTGTGCGTGCTTGCATATGAGGCTAGATGCCAATATATCGCCTAGCAAAGACTCGAGAAGTTGAAACCCGCAACCCCAACCCCCAACCACTTCTTCTCCGCAAATGCCCGTGTTACACTTTTTGGTCATGCATTGGCAGCATTGCGATGCGAAACGGGCGACGAGACATCATGCATCACCTCCAACCTCATCTTCTGCCCTTGTACCGGAGAAGTGTTGGGGATGCGGAGAGGTTGGTATGGGCGAGGGAACAAGGCTCTTGGCTGTTACTGACAAGACTTTTGGGAGTGCAGCTCCCAACCTCACTTCGTCGTTAGTATGCATGACTTTGACCTTTGCCTTGACGTCCTTGCTTGACTTTCTTGTCACGGTGGCTATCGCAATTCTCGTATATGCATCATCGTGTTTCATTCAAGATGGAGCGTCTTTCACACCACGGAAGATTGACTTGGCAGATGGCTGGTGCTCTTCATAGATGAGTAAAGACGAACTTCATGCAAAAGACCGGTTTCGAAGACCCCTTCTTGTTTTGTACCCGTGTGCTCTAGTGTTTATTTTGAGGGTCGATATTAACACATCACGTACTAGGAAGACATTTGCACGCAACACACTGTAGACACACAACGATATCTATCACCACACAGTTTCTCAAACACATCTTGAGTACGACGATGTGCATTGGCAAGTAGTTCACGCAAACAGCTCGCCAACTAGGAGGAAGGAGAAGGGATCATTCACCACTCATATGGTCAACTTCTCTCGATAGCTTAAGGGCAAAGAGTGGTCAATACTACACACCTGACACCCAACATCTCTATCTCTATCTCTCGCTTCTCGCTCACTTGGAGAGCGAATGCCTCCAAACACATATCGAAGAGTAAGTCTTGCCAGACAATTGGACACTTTCATCTTCATCGCGAGTCCGAGCTGATCGCCTCTGTTGAAACCGAGCAGACGCTATTTCATGACTTTCTGCAGCTTCTTAAGTTGTCCGCTCAGATAGTGTACACCAAATCGATCACGAGATTTGACGCACCGCTCTGGGACAGCTATGTATGCTATCACTAGGAGGCACGATGTGCTCACGGAATTGCAAATCGGCCATTGACCTCATGATGCTACGAGCCCTCGTTTTGTTGAGTTGATGAGTGCTACCCCTTCCATCCACACGTAAGTCGTCAAAATACTGGGACACAAATTATGATTTCCTACGCCAAACAGTACCAACGCTGCAGGCTGCGATCGAAACACATAAACAATGTTGAATATGAGGAGTTGCTCAGTCAAGTGCGATGATCTTGAAGTGTAGATCCACCTGCAACTGTTGTGATTGGTTGCCAGGCGTAGATACTCCACATCTCTCCATGATGTTGACTTTATTAACAATTGATCATGCCATATATATCAACACTTTTCATGCCTCCTAAGTTAGCCATGTAAGCCGTGTTGGGATTGTGAACCTCATCGTTGGGATGTAAAAGGACTCAAGGATCGCGATTTCCTGCCCTTATCTTTTTTCAACTTTACATGCACAAGGAAGGAACAACCATGGTCGGCTGTTTAACTATGAGCCTTTGTTTGCTGTTCTTTGGGTTTTTACCTCACTATGGTGCCATTGCACAGGTCTCCAACAAGCCTGATATCGCTTCTTCAGCATTTCCATCTGGTGGATTCCAAGCCACCACCCTTCTGACCTCTGTCATCAACGATGCCGACATAGTCCTCCATGAGATCAATAGTTACAACGGCCAAACCGCACAATTTTCCAACACTAACGACCTTGTCGACTTGGAAGATGCCGAAGTTCTCACCGACACCGAAGAAGACGATGATGACGAGCTCGACGATATCAACGAACCCAACTCTGGAGCTTCCGCTCTGGGTAGCACCACCAGCTTTCAAGCAGGCAAAGGAGTCAGAGCCAGACTTCTCCGCTTCAAACAAACCGATTGCGAAAAGAAAAGAGGCAACGGCAGAGGCAAAAAGATGAAGGAAGGCAAGTGCCACACACTGCACAAAAGGCACTTCCAATCCTACCAGTTCTCCGTCGGCGAGAAGAAAAGCAAGAAGAAGAACAAGGATGGCGAAGATGATGATTATGACGATTCCACCTCCAAGGCATGCAGGATCATTGTCTATCATGATGGAAAGTGTAAGGAGGAAGCTTCCACCGCCAACGAAGGATCTTGTGAAGACATGGAGGATGCTGAAGATGATGAAGATGATGAGAAGAGATTGCACAGTAGGGATTTGATGATAAAGCCCAAGGGAGCAAAGTACAAGAGCGCAAAATTCCTCTGCGATGGTGTTGATGTGTCGAACAACTCCTCCTCAATGCACAGCGTCAGCAATTACTACACTGCTTCTTCAAGTCGCTACTCTAACTCCAAGCACGCCTCTCGTACCTCCGACTACTCTGCTACCCTACTCTCATCAGAATCCGTTGGAGGAGCTAACGCTACCGCTTTGTCGTCAAAGTCTGCATCACCATCATCGGGAAATTCAACCCTCTTATCAACACCGCCTCCCCGCTATTCAAAGACTGCATCAGAAGAGCCAACTACCACAGATCCACCAGATGAGGACGACGACAAGGAAGACCCTGAAGAAGAGCCCGAGGACGAGGAAGATTTCGACGAGAAAGATGAAGAAGATGAAATCGATGAAGAAGATCACAGATCCGACCTATCCAGAAGTCAGAAGACCAAGACCAGGAAGCATAAGAGCAAGTCTCACAAAAAGACAAAGGGCAACAAGAAGCATGCAAAGCAGACGAAGAATATCGTCACTCCGACACAATCAGCAGAGGTTGTCAGCAGTGCTTGAAAGTCGACATGATCTGCAAACAATGATTCCGGGACAGACTCACCATCATCTCGAACACCATTCCTGGTCAATACCTCGATATAGAGACTATCCCAAGCCAGACTTCAGTTCTCTACCTTTCTTTATACAAACAATCCATTCTTTTTCGCTCGATCGTCAAGATCTTCAACACTGTTCATTTCTCGTGCTTCAAAGCTACCCTTCATCAACACAAACGGAACGATTTAGACATATACGCATTCATATATATCACATAGATACAGACGAATTCAATGTCACTCCACTGCTACAACTCTGGAACGAAGAAAGACATGGCACAACACTAAAGAAGAATCGACATTCGTACTTTCGTGACTAAATAATCTATGTCTTTTCGTCTGTGCCTCGTACCAACATTAAAGAAACCTGACACTACTAGCATTAGACGGCGAAGACGCTAACACGCCCTTTGCTACACCCTGGACAGATAGAGCATCCTCGCCGACCACATCTTCCCATCCGTCATCGCCAGTTGAGTGCCTAACGACAGTGATGTCGGGATCCTCGACTCTAGCCTTCGAACTACTAATCCTATTTCCAGCTTCCACTTGCACCAAGCTCTTCCTTCCTCGCATGTGCTTAGCACCGCTGAAACTGTCGTTACTAACAAGTTTACTCAGGCGATCTTCAGTCTTGTTCTCTTTGTCGTCATCAGAAGAGGCAGCAGTGTTCTTTAATCTCTGCTTCCTGCCTTTGATTCTCGATGCACTGACACCACTCAGCGTGACCCGCAGCGGTGACGGGCTCCTCGAAGCCAAGTTTCCAGAACTGTTGCGATTGAGTTTCTCGGCCCATTTACGCCGCGCAGCTTCACGGTTGTTGCTATTGCTTGCGATGCGCAGAATGCTGCTAGGGGGAGGCGTGGGCGACGCTTCCCCTGGCCGGACCCAAGTGCGTTGGTGTCGTGGCAATTCCATCTCTAGAGCGTACTCGGCGTATTGGGCTGCGGCTTTTGCGTCGGAATTGTCGCGGGAGAGGGAGCTGCTGGTGTCTGTTGTTGTTGTCCAATTGTCTGCTGTGTTTGCGGGAGGTAGAGTAGGACTGTTGTTATTCGCAGCACGCAGCTGACTGTTTCTCTCAGGAGAGCGGGAAGGTGATGGAGTTATTGCTCGTGGTAGACCAGGAGGGAAGATATGTGGGCCAGAGACTAAGCGGCGAGGGTTTCGTGCCGGTGGTTCAAGCAGAGATGAAGAGGTTGTTTGGCGACGTATGCTAGGGCTGCCTTTTATGGAGCCGAGATTGCTGTATAAGCCCATGTTTGAGGAGCGTCGGGAGGACGCGAAGAGAACTGGACTCATGACGCTGCTGCTTGCTCGATTGCGGATGAAGGATTGTCGTTTTTCGGCCAGAGGTCTGCGATCTACGACACTCTCGGTTTGGCTGACTATGCGGATGCTGCGACGCTTTTGTGATTCTGTCAGGGAGCGGCGCTTTTCCCCATCAGGGACTAATACAGGGCCTATCGTAGCTGAGTTCCTGTTCGAGTTTGAAGCAGGGTAGTCTGGCTTGGTGGACAGTATACTGGTTCCGTATGTGTTGAGGGAGCCTCGGCTGCTCCGATCTCTTGTCATAGAGAAGGTGCTACTCAACCTGCTCTTTCTGTTCGGTCGATGAATCACAGTTCCCCTCGTCGTAATCCCCAAACCTGGATGCCAGCTTTGAATAAGTCTCGAAGCACGTTTGCTAGGAGACAATCTCCCAAACTCGGACAATCTTTGCCGAGAATCTCGACTGTTCTGCCTCGCCAATTCTGTGGCTGCTGAATAACTGTGATGCGGTGTATGTGTGGTACCCGAATCCCGACCCCATACTGGAATATTTGTATCTGCTTGTATCGCTGCTTCGCCATCGCCCAGCGAACTGACTACAGATAGTTTACTTTGACGAGCATCCCTCCCGCCTAGAAAATATCGCGGTTTCGTTGGTGGCTGCATTGCTGTTGGTAGGTCGACTTCCAACTGAGGTGGCTCGTCTGGTGAATGCTTGACTGGCGAGCCAATGTATTTTTCCTCGTCGTATTCGCCTTCTGCCACTATAGGCTCCTGATCGCCATATGGTAAGACCGGTCTGATATCGCTCTTTTCTATCTTCCTGCGAGGTTCTTTCTTTCTGCGGCGGCAGCACAACATTGCAACGGCAAAGAACAAGGCCAAGATCGCCAGGCAGCCAATTGTGATGCCTACTATCATGCCCGCTGTCATACTCTTATCTTTGGGTTTCGTGGGCGAGGCTGTGGTCGAGGAAGAGGAGGTCGAAGTCGAGCTCGGTGTAGTATTCGAAATGGTATGTGATGTCGCCACAGCTGCAGCTGCTTTCAGGTTGATGTAGAATATCTGAGTCTCGGATTGCGAACCCGACGATGCAGTCACTGTGATGATGTTTGCTGAAGCTTTGGATGTGGTTGGTGGTATGCCCTGAAGCTTGCGTTTGCTCGCATCATACTGCAACCAGGAGGCAGAGCCAACATCGACACTGAGACTTGTAGCACTCTGAGTCAATACGAGCTGACCGAACGTGTAAGCGAACGGTTTTCCAGCTGTCGCAGTCTGATTTCCAACCTCATCGTTGAACAGCGACGCGTTCGTGGTATGAAGGAAGATATTCTTGACTGCTGTATCTCCGTATGTATCTGTCACTGTGATGGATACGCTTTTAGACTCGAAATTGTGTAAAGGCGTTCCTTCCAACTTGAGAGTGCTGTTTTGGAAGCTGAGCCAATCTGGCGTCTCTGCAACCACTTTCTGCATCTGGCTGATCGTAACTTGTCCGCTGTTGATACGTAGCTGATTGATGAAAGGGCCCAGAATAATCGGTTCCCCTGGCGTAACCGTAAAATTCTCCGTTTGTGGGTGGAATGCCAGCTGATTGCTGCTGATGAGCAAGTTGAAGGTTGTCGTTGCTCCTGCAAAGCCAGCCACGTCCGACGCAATGAAGTCGACTTCATAAGTCTGTGATCCCATCACCAACACAGGCGTCATACCCCAGAATGTCAGAGAGCTGCTATCAAACTTGAGCCAGGACGGAAGCGGTGTCCGATCAGCCATTGTCGCATAGTAAGACTGGATAGTGTCCGAATCCCCAAACAGATTATTCGAGAACGTGATTGCAAAGGCGCTTGATGGTTGCAATAGCAAGGTTGTTGGACCTGACAAGGGTCCTGTCCTTGCCAAATCTGCTGAGATGTTGCCCACCAGAGCCGGAGCACTATTGCTTGCCACCACCAAAGTACAATCCATTGCAACCGACCCATCATCGGCTGTTGCCACAATCTTGAAGACGTTCGGACCAGTATTTCCTTGACCAGGCTTGCCATACAACGTCCGTGTTGCGCTGTCCAGGTTTAACCAAGCAGGTGCACTCGCCAAGCTGTAGACTAATGCGCTGCCATCATCGGAGACAAACGTAGTAGAGGCGAGTTGGAAGGCGTAGGCTTGGTCCTCTCGTGCGAGTGTCGGTACCTGCGAGTTGAAGGGAAATGCGACTTGAGGCAATGCCGAGACCAGCGAGTTGAAGAGTACCAAGAAGGGTGAGCTGCGCATCTTCCTACCGAATCTTGCGTATCGCTCACAGCGGCGACAGTCTGCACGTAGTCCTGAGCAGCGGTTGGTGTTGGTTGCAGGTTAGAATCTGTGGTTCAGAAAAAGCGCGCACGAACGAGGGACACCACTCACCCCTTCATTGGATATTCGTACAGCCACCGTACACGCTTCTAACGCGAGAAGACGTGTATAGCGATCTCTTGACGTGGCCTTGCCTATTAGAGGAATGACTGTTTGAAGAATGGACGAGGGTGGGCTGGAATCTGCGTGCTGGGAAGCAAGGGATGGTGACAAGTGACACCACACCTACAAACATTATCGATGGAGGCCTCTACTTCTCAAACCAGTCCAGAGATTAAATCAAGAGACTGAAGCCCGTTCAGCTCATACGATAACGCGAAGTTTCTTGTCATTGCGCAACAATCGGCGTTATCGAGTTGACTTTGTGGCCAACGTACGACTAACCTCAAGGCCATTGTTCTTGTATCGATACCTTCCCGAGACACATGCCTTTCCGGTCGAGGAATGTTCCCCTATATGTATACCAAGACTCAGAAATACAGGCTGAGTAGCACCAGACTGTTGCGAACGTGTTAGTCTGCGGAGTCGCATTTCGGCGATAATGCTGGAGTTCGTAAGTTGAGAGCCATCAAACCATCATCGACAAGTTCTCAACTAAAGATCCACGACCAGACTATACGAACGTAAGTCAAGGCATTACCAAAAATAAATGTAATCACCGTGAGCAGGATTCGAACCTGCGACCTCCCGACCCTCGAGAGAGAGAGACTTAGGAACTTAGGTATGCGCGAGCGTAGGAACTTAGGATACCAGGTCGGGTGTGCTGACCACTGCACCACCACGGCTTTTTTCTGGGCGGAGAGGACACAACATTCTTTCAATATATAGCTTGAGGGAGTTAGAGGTGACAGCGAAGCTTGGAGCGGGAGAAAGCTTATGTGATGGTGCTTCGATAATGTTGCGGCAACAGATGACACGTGATAGGCCCTTTGAGTCTGAGCAGCTCGTGTCGGTCGTGTAACGCCCATCACTGCGGTTGTCTGTGGCATACTTCGATGCGGTATGCTGTTGTATGTCGCATGGTGGCATTCAGACGTGAGCTGCAAGGTCTTGAAGCAATGTTTAGAAGAGAGCCACTTCCCAACACCGTAGGAGAAAGAAGTGATGACTGAGATTTTGGTGGACTTTGCTGAAGGACCATGTCTTCCGTCACCAAACATGGGTGCTTTCGAAGTCTATGCATTGGAGACGGTATCTCGTAGCTGACAGCGGATGCCTTGAGGAGAGCTATTTCGACATGGACCCGATTGGCGAGCGTACAGATAGCGGCGTGTCTCGAGGCCATGCGAGCAGATACAACGGTTCTGGAGGACTCAGCAGTAAGAGAGTGCTTGTCATGACGATGTGTGATCAAAAGACCTGCGATATCACATCTCAATTGTCATCTTGTAGGACGCGTCGAGAAGGACAGTCCTCGGCAGTCGCATGAAGCTCTGCCATAATTATCCAAAAGATCTAGAAGCCCTCCGCCCCATGACCCACAGCAACTCAAGCCTAAACTTTCCACCTCTCACCTCTCCCATCCCAAAAACCTCATCGAGGGCAAACAAATATCCCTCCTCCAACACACCCAAATCACCTCTCAAACACAACAGCAATGACACTATCAGACGACGAAAGCAATGGCGTCTTCGACATCGATGAAGAGCTAGTGCCAGTGCGAGAGCTCAAGCAAGCTGGCGTCATGGAAGTGACCTTTGATGGTTTGCTAAGCACACCCCTGAGATTGGAGGAAGATCTTAAGAAAGGGTGTGGTGGCATGTTGTGGCCTGCTGGTATGGTGATGGCGAAGTATTTGATCAGACAGGACAAAGAACTGTTCAAGGATAAAACGATGTTGGTTTCCCTGCCTTGTATGCCAAGAACGATGGTACCTATGAAAGTAATTCATGCTAATTGACGTACAGAGTCGAATTGGGTGCTGGAGGTGGTTTAGTCGGGTGGGTAGTATTGAACTCCAGTCAACTGACGAGAATGACTGACAAGAACTAGTCTCGCCGTGGCGCTAGGGTTTCACCTGGACCACCCTCTCCATCTCACAGATCAAATACCCATGCTCGCCTTAATGGAACGCAACATAGCCCTCAACAACCTCCAACCTCAAGTCAAAGCCTCAATATACGATTGGGGCGAGCCAGCACCAGAAGCTATACCTCAGCATCCAGACATCATTCTAGCAGCCGAATGCGTCTACTTCGAACCTGCATTCCCACTCTTACAGCAAACGATGAAGGATCTGATAGGTCCGAACACGATTTGCTATTTCTGCTTCAAGAAACGCAGAAGAGCGGATATGAACTTTGTCAAGGTTATGAAGAAGATGTTTTTGGTGGAGCCGGTGGAGGATGATCCGGATAAACCGAGTTGGTCGAGGGAGAACCTGCATTTGTGAGTTTTATATATGGATTATTTTTTGAGATGTTGCTAACACCCGAGAAGCTTCAAAGTCACTCTGAAGCAGAAAAAGGTGTGAGCATAGGAAAGACTCAAGGACCGCAAGAAAGCGATCCTTGCAACCAACAACCCACACCGAGACCAGTGCCTCGACTGAAGGGCGACATCTGGACACAACTCTCAGTACCCGGGCAGCATACGCAAAGATTACTGAAGGACACTGCCAACCACCAAGGAGGTATTGATACCAGTGCACTGGTGGATCGAAGAAGACTCCAGCCAGGAGGATGCTTGATCGGCCCAGTGACAACAAAGGAAGAGAGACCATAGCAGAAGCGACTATAGTATACACGAGGGATTACAGGAAAGTACAAAACCCAGCCAAGAAACTCCTCCAGTACAGTATTCACATCAACACATCTCGCGTCAAATCTCATACCTCATAATACATCCATCAAAGAACCATCATCATAAAAGCATCGTAACATCCTCAGACCTCACACTCACCCCTCAACCTCACTCCTCTCACCCTCTGCATCCCGCTCTCTCTCTCCTTCCACAGCCCGTTCTCTCCTCTCCCTCCTCCTCTTGATCGTCGCAATCCTGCTTACTCTCTTCTTCCCACACCCCCTACACCTACACCTGTAGCTTCCCTCACAAGCCCTTTCCCTTTCTCTGTGCCTCTCCCTAACCATCCTCCTCACCAAGTCCACCCCAGGCACGCTCAAGAACCTTTTATCCTGTACATCTTCCTCCACTGCACCACCAAAAAGAGTAGTAGAGGGCGTGAGTGTAACATTAGGCGCAGTTGGTCCTGTAGTCACCAGAACGATTTCCGACGACGAAGATGTGAGGGATCTCGATGGTATCGATGGTCGTTGTGGTTGAAAAGCTGGTTTTGGAGATCCACTGCCACTGATACACGATTGTAGGAATTGCAGCAGGTTTGTGCGGTAGATGCCTGGATTGTTGATGATGAAGTAATTGTCGTGGTGAGAAATGTGCGGGTGTATTATATCGATTGGCATAATTCTTTTGCGTTCTCGGTGTGAATTGTTTGTGAATGGTTTGACTTGTGTGGTTTGCGAAAAAAAAAAACAGAGGGTGAGTGTTTCGCGTAGAGTGGAATTTGGGACTCGAAAGAGGTGGTTGGCCTTATGTGCGGATCCTGAGGTGTGAGGAATGCGCAGCGCAGCGGTCGTAGTATGGAGCAACCGAAGCTTGCTTGAACAATGTACGATGAAGAGTGGTGTTATACTTCCGGGTGACCGTTGTATTTGGGATTCTGTAATCATAGAGATGTGATATATGTTCCGTCAGAGTGATATTCAAGAATGTAGTAATGGTAGAAGAAATAGATGGTTGAAAAACGAAATTGAAAATGCTTGTAGGAGCGGTGAGTGCTGAAATTTGACAGACATCAAAACAACACCAAAGTATCGTCATCATCGCTCTATTCCTGACCAAGAAAACAGTCTGTCTGTGTACAAGATGCTAGAAATAGGGTATAGAAAGAATATGACTAGAAATATAATAAGGGAACATGACGTATCCAAGTCATGACTGCTCCGACCAAACGATACAAAACCCCCCGACGCCATCGCTCGATAAAACAGCAACCTGATCATTATGCTTGCGAGGTGGTGCGGTGACCATCCTCATCAAGTTTGAAGAGGAAAAGAAAATGCAAGAAGCAGTCTCACATGAGACCCCCCAAAACCAGTCGACTGAGGCCACCAATCTCGGTGCGAACTTCGCGACGAGTCGTGTCACCGAGTTCCTGAGTAGCATTCTGCACAAGCACTTTGCGCAGAATCTTGTCTGCTTTGCCGAAGGCTTCACCGACACCAGGTCCTATTGCCTCTGCGTTTGGCAAGAGTTGGACTACTCCAGAATATGTGTCGATAAGAATATCGGCCAGAGTCGCAAAAGCGGTGTGAAAATCCGGATCAAAAGGCAGAGAGGGAGTCTGCAGATACGTGAATTCTGGCAAATTCCCAGACGAGACGGGGGGCATGGGCAGAAAGTCCAATTGGGCACTCTCGACCGACTCGGACAGGCTCTCGATAGCGACACTGCTAGATCTGCGACCCTTGACTCCGCGCATACCACTCTTGAACATGGCGCCCATGCGACCACGGGCACCGACCGAGGCGTCAGGATTGTTGAGTTGTTGGTAGGTGTCGTACTCTGATAGCAGAGCAGCAAGAGAGCGTAGGTAGTCCAAGGGATTATCGGAGTTCATATCGAGGAGGGGAGGTATTGAGGTGCCGAGAAGCAGGTAATTGGAGGCTCGGCGACCCAGCTTAGAGTAGTGCATGGATGGTAATTGATTTAGGTTGGAGGGAGTGTAGAGGAGAGTGTTGAAGTAGTAGATGTGGCCTTCATGTCTGCAGTATGTCAGTTGCGAGAGTCAATTTCAGCAGGTAACCATGGACATACACTTTGCGAAGGTATTCCAGAGTGGCTATACGCTTGCGACAAGTAGCATGGATGTGGGATAAAAGAGCGGCAGGCACGTGGGCCAGGTTTGTCTGTGGGACTGGGGTGTTGGAAGGAATCAAGTTCAAAGAACTGTTGTTGGTGGCATAGGAGCTCAACGAGGGACGATCCGTCTCTGCACGTTTGAGACCATGGGTGAAAGGAGTGGCGAGCATGGAGAAGGGAGTCTTGGGAACGGGCTCAGCAAGGCTGTACTGGCGGTCGCGTGAGAAGCTATCCGACGACTTTTGAGGGCTCAGGGTGGTGTTGAAGGGCGGTTTGGGCGTGTGAGTCGCATTTGCACTAATGGAGCGGCTTTGACGGTGCAGGCGGATGGGAGAGCGAGATGGGATTGCTATCGACGAGCCTCTAGCCTTGTGGTGGTGGCGTATGGACGACAGCGACTCGTGGGAGCGAAGCGATACGCTGCGACGAATGTCTCCTTCAGCGACTGACGAGGGTATGGATGTGACGGACGAGTCTCTGCGGGCGGTGGGCGACAAGTCGTCTGTTGCCAGCGGCGAGATGGGAGCGACGGACGAGGATTCCTTGCGCGAGGGCAGCTTCTTGGTGGAGAAGATGGAGGGCTTCCTGCCGAAGATGGATGCGCTGGGCGCTGGCGACGGGTCGGGCGCCATCTTGACTCTGGACGCTTATACTTTGTGAGAGCCAGCCCTGCCGACGTCTAACGGACAATTACTCAGGGGTAGACCCTGTATGCAGCTTCGCATCAAGCGGATCGAGATTCGAGAGAAGCCTCGTCGACGCTTCGGCCGGCCTTGTTGCGCTGCAACTACGTTTGCTTTGTAAAGGAGCCAGCCCTCTACGACATAAACGCGTGTCAAATCTCCCACGCGAGCAAGGAGGCAAGACAGAACAAATGGGCGTGGTTGGAAGTGCTCGGTTTGGTGAAACAAGACTCCCCTGGATGGTGAACGGAACTCTTGCCGTCCGTCCAAGCGCAAGCCCCTCCCCACTGCCAATCTGCACCTGCCCCACCACGACTCGACATTGATGTTGACGTTGACGTTGACGTCTCTCCAAGCTCTCCTCTCTTGTCCAACACAAAGACTGTAACAAACCCGTAACCATGTCTTCCACCGAGGTACAACATGACGCTCCATGCCCAACGCCCCGTCGTAACCCTCAGAGACGCTGACCGTCTCGCAGAGCATTCCAGCTCCCGGTAAGTGGCCTGTCGACCCTCAACAAGACGTCCCAATCAGCGACGACCGTGTCTGGGTCGATGGATGCTTCGACTTTGCCCACCACGGCCATGCCGGTGCCATGCTCCAGGCTCGCCGTCTAGGGACCGAACTTCTTGTCGGCGTGCATTCGGATGAGGCCATCCTCGAAAACAAGGGGCCTACTGTCATGACTCTGGACGAACGGTAATACTCGACTTTTCCTGCACTTTACCTTGCTGTGCCCTGGCTGTGTCCAAGTGAAGCTGAACCTTTCCGTTTAGCTGCGCTGCTGTTGATGCATGCCGCTGGGCTACCAAGTCCATTCCTCACGCCCCTTATGTTACTTCTCTACCATGGATCTCTCACTACGGTGCCAAGTACGTCGTTCACGGCGACGACATCACTTCGGACGCAAACGGCTACGACTGCTATAGATTTGTCAAGGAGGCTGGCCGTTTCAAGGTCGTCAAACGCACTCCTGGTATCAGCACAACCGACCTTGTTGGACGCATGTTGCTATGCACAAAATCACACTTCATCAAGGATCTCGACGCTCTACTAGAAGGTCAGGAGGGTCCGGGCGGTCAAGAGGAGAGAAAAGGCACAGGAGAAGACATGAAGGAGAGAATCAGAGAATACGCGACCGACGAGTCTGGCAACAACCCTCTAGTCGAGGTCTGGAGTTGGCGTTCTGCTCACTCCAACCAACAGGCCTTCCACCAGAATGGCTCTTTTCTGAAGAAGGTCAACGGAACTTCTCCACAACCTGACCAGAAGGTCGTCTACGTCGACGGCGGCTTTGACCTCTTCTCCACTGGTCACATCGAGTTCCTCAAGCAAGTCGTAGAGACTGAAGAGAAGGAGGCCAAGCAAAAAGGATGGAACAAGGAGTACAGCCCTGTCTACGTCGTTGCAGGCGTGCACAGCGACGAAGCCATCAACGACTACAAGGGCATCAACTATCCCATCATGAACATCTTTGAGCGTGGTCTCTGCGTTCTGCAATGCAAGGTAAGTCTCAGTCTGGCCAGACCATCCATGATGTGCAGCTGACAAGAACACCAGTACATCTCCTCCCTCATCTTCATGGCACCCACAGTGCCCAGCAAAGGCTTCCTCGAATCACTACCCTACTCCGTGCAAGCAGTCTACCACGGACCCACTGTGTCAGCACCTCCAGGCCAAGACTTTTACACGGATGCAAAGGAAATGGGTATCTTCAAGGAAATCACATCACACCCATACTCGCATGTCAATGCAGACTCGATCGTAGCTCGCATTCTTAAGAGCAGAGAGCTATACGAAGAGCGTCAGCGTGTCAAGGGAGTCAAAGGCATTGGCGAAGAGGCAGTGCGCAGAAGAGAAGAAATGGAGAGGGAAAAGGCCGAGAAGGACAAAGCTGCGCTTGCATGAACGAATGATCTCGAAAAGTTAAAAGACGAATAATTCATGTCTCCTTGTTTCCTCTGGCAGTTCTCGAATCATTTCTTCACTCGTGCTGGGATTTGTCATTACTCTCACAGCGACTCGTGTTAGCTATACGGTCTATCTTAGCCATACGGTCTGTTAGAAGGCACAATTGCTTCGAGAGCAGAGACAGGTTTGCAGAGGGCCATTTCGAATAAGATTTCTCAATGAAGCCTGCTCGTTCTTCAAGGGTGTCATGTATGCCATACTTCGTTGGATGAAAAAAGAGCAAAGAAGTAATATAAGATTCTTTTGTGAGGAGAAACGAAGCAGCCAAACAGCCTCTAAGTGAGCTTCTGCTTGATGAAGAAGTTTCTCAAGTGCGAAAGCTGCCATGCACAAGTAACACCCAAGATAGCAAGCTGCACCAGAGTCCAACGCACAACACGAGCATTGGTGTGCTCGGACATGTTTCTAAACTCAGCCTCCCTCTCTCTCTGGAAAACCTGCTCCTTTCTAATATCGGTAAGTCTAGCATTCAAATCCTTGACTTTGGACACGATGTCGTTGAGCTTATGCTTGTCGTCACTCTCGATGCGCGAGGTCTCGCCAATGGCCATGTCAACTTCGAGTTTGATGTTGCCGGCTGAGGAGCCGCCGGTGAGCCAGCCTTGAGCGGAAGGGACGTTGGTGGGGGTGAAGCAGATGCGGTGGTCGCCAGAGTCGGCGGCGGAGAAGGTGAAGCGGCCTTTGTCGTTGCCGCGCTGGGAGACGATGCGGTGATCGTTGTCAAAGATTTCGTCGACGCTGATGTAGAGGCCCATGTCAGGGTTGGCTTCGTATCTGCGGGATGCCTCGTTCCATTGTGTGGCGGTGTAGTGGCCTGAGAGCAGTGTTAGAACAGAATACTAGGAGTCAGAGATGAAATGCTAGTAGCGGCTACTCACCAACTACCAGGGTGTCCTTGGGGAGCTCTTCGAAGAAGCACTTTTGGGAGGGGCCGTCAATGTAGAAGTAGAGGGCGTGGGTCGGCAGCAGCAGGGCTGCAAATGCAAGCACTGAGAACAGCATCGAGTGCATGATGAAGGTCGTTATTCGTAAATGACAAGAGACGTGACAGGACAGCAAGGACAAACAGCACAAGATGCTTCCCCCCCCTAAACATTGAACAGCTGTTTGGCACCTTCCAGCCGGACCGCGCCAAGAACAACCGACGCTCGTCGGTCGCAACTGCTGAACCATCATCTTCCCGCGACTGCCACTTTTTGCTCTTTCAGCGACTCTACAATTCCAGATTAATTCACAATGTCGGCACAGGATATGCGCGACATGCTGGGTCTGACGGGCGATGCTGCCCGTCCGCCGCCTTTGAAGAAGCAGAAGACCGTCGAGCGGCGTCCGCGTGCGTCGCATATTTCAAACTACTCCATGCGCCGCCTGCTAACATAATGCAGTCGAAAAGGGAATTGCTCGTGAGGTTTCGGCTCTTATGGGCGAACGCGCTCCTCCGATTGCTATGATTTCAATCCAGCCAAAATACAAACAACGACCGAGACGATCACATCGAGCTGCGCCTTGGGAATGGGCTCCCTTCAACAACCAAGCAAGAGAGGACCGTCTTACCTTACATCACTGGCAGCCTAAGCATACTCCTAAGCCTCGGCCAGAATCAGAACAACAACCACAGACCGAGTCGGAAGCCGATGTTGAGAAACAACCAGAGCCCGAACCGCAGCAGAAAGACTACCAATACGCCAAGTACAATGTTCAGGTCGAGACTCCCTCCTATAATCAGGAGCTATACGACGCTCAGCTACAGGACCCGGATTGGACCAAGGAAGAGACGGATTACCTGGTCGAAGCCGTAAGAGACTATGGTCAAAAGTGGCCCGTCGTCATTGATCGCTATGAATACCAGCCTGAGCCAACTGAAGACGGTGCAGAAGCGCCGCAACCGAAGTCTCGTTCTATGGAAGATCTCAAAGCACGTTATTACACCGTCAGCGCAAAGGTTCTGGCCAACCACACGCCCATTTCGTCAATGACTGGCCCGCAATACAACCTATACTCCACCTTAACTTCATTCAACCCCGTCCAGGAGACATCACGAAAGAAGCTCGCCGAAGGCCATCTCTACCGTACTCAACTCGAGGTTGACGAAGAGAACGTCCTGCTCGCCGAACTACAACGCATCATGATCAACCAGCAACAACTTGAAAACGAGCGCAACGAGATCCGCGATAGACTTGAATACCCTTCGACAAGCAACACCGCAGCCGCCCAATACAGCACGTCCCAACAACTCGGCCAGCTCTTCCAACAACTACTCCAAGCCGATCGCATGAAGAAGGATCGCCGCCTCAAAGCTCAAGGCGAGACCCCCGGTAGCGGCCCTCCCACGTCCGCACAACTCCAATCCGCTGCAGGTGCATCCTCCGCCCACCGCGATAGTATCAGCAGTGCCACCGGAGCCCGCAAAGCCGGCGGCCGCGACTCCATAGCTGGAGGCAGCGCAGGCATGGATCCCACTGCACGCGCCCTGACCCCTCACGCCGCTCATCGCTACTTCGTCACCCAACACGACCGCCTCAGCAGCGGTGTCTCCTTTGCCTCTGACCGCCTGCACCGCGCCCGCAGCGCCAAATCCATGATCCAGACTGAGAAGATCTCAGCCATACTCAACCATCTGCGCATTCCTGACATCATTCCTCTGCCTACCCAACGCGTAATCGAAGACTTTGAAAAACTGATGCAAAAGGTGCATTTGCTGTTGGACATGCGCAAACTTGCTGACAAAGAGGAGCAAGAGATCAGGGTCAAGGAGGCTGAGAGGAAGGTCAAGGAGGGAAAAGAAGGAGTTAAGGAGGAAGGAGAGGAGAGCAAGGTCGGTCGGAAGAGGAGTGCGAGTGTGTTGAGTAATGATGCTCAGGGTGCTACCAAAAGGCCCAAGAATTAGAGAGGTGGCTTGAGTAGTACGTTGCCTCTTGAGGTTCCTTCGAGATATTGATCACGAAGAATCAATACAAAACTTGTCTGTGGACGACAATACTTGTTCGGAACATGTCATGTAATGTTCCGCAATCATCTGGAACGAGTCAACCACTTGGAAGAAACATTCTGAAATCAAAGGACGTGGGTGGTTTCTGCTACAACCATGACGTGGAATCGAATGTGACAGGTAACATTTTGTGGTCATCTTTATTAGTAGAGCGAGCGAGTGATTATGCTTCAATAACACTCCTTGTACACCTTTTACACCCTTCTTTTGTGTCATGAGAATGGTACACACATGAATCCCCCATAGCAAACATGTTATCAGAGTCTGATCGGCTATAACTGCCTCGAAGAATTCATGGAGCGAATCCATACGGAAAGAAAGGAGCCTGAGCAAGAATGCAATCGTAGGGAAACCCCCTGATGTATTTATTCATGAGGAACCATACTTTAGGACATTTACACAAACACTCGAGTCCCCCTCTTTTGACCATCTCGACTGGGAAACCTGATGGGTTGGGGTAGAGTGTTTGATAGCTGCAGTATTCGGTGGATCCCACGAGCGAGACGTGGTCCTTCACAAACATGTGTCTTTCTGCATTGGTGCAAGTGAGAGTGATACGTGATACCCAGAATCTCGATGGAGTGCTGTAGTCTCCCAGAGGTACAGTGTAACAAGAGGGCTGTGGAGAGATATTCAAGGACACAATACTGTGACAAGAGAGCTGTGATAGCAGATGATGAGAAGAGAGTAGTATTGCTTGGCTCTCTCTTGATGTCGCTAAATGTATTTTGGATGCGAAGAACCCTTTGTGGTTACTTCGATGAAGGTATATGCTAGGATGCTAGACATAGACTGTCTGTCCGAGAGACCAGTGTCTCTGTATGGGGCAGTGTACAGGATGTATGATAGACAACTCAAGAAGATGTTGTCTGTAGTGGTTGAAGTGGACAGAGGATTGTGTGCCGGGGGTTCCTGGTCACACGTCATCAGCCCCCTCGAGGTCCACACGGACGGAAGCAGTTCCGTGTTGGTGCGAATCGAAGTCTGAGGGTCGGATTTTCGCTCTTTTTCCGCTTAACAGGTAGAGGCTGGTGCTATGATACGCGAGCCGGTGTGATGTCGTAGCTCTGGTTCTCGATTCTTGCACCCTGCAGCGAGGGCAGGCTCTTCTGGGACTGGTGAAAGCGGCATCTGTTCGTTCCGTAGCCGAAGTCCCTGTTGCGAAGCGAATGCATGCCCTACAACGCTCAAGCTGATGATTTCGCTGTTTCGTGATTCGGTATGATGGATGCGACGAGACTTCAAGGAGCAGCATCTGTCTCCGAGACCCAGGCGTTGATCCTTGCCCGGTTGTCGCTCGAAGTGCTCTCACTCTGTCCATCTACAATTTCGGTGATGCGAGAGTATCTGCCGTGCCTGTCTAGTCCTCTGACGGCATCCTCAGTCAGTGGAAACACGCGGGTAGATGGTCTGCTGGGTCTGGGAGTTGGTGATTTCTTCTCGGCCTCGGTGGCTACATCGAGGAGCCATTGCAGACCACTGGAGAAGAGCATAGCGCGTTCGTCTTGCACGGCAGCAATTTTTGCGTTGCTTTGTAGTAGTTGTCTGGCGAGAGCTTTGGTGTCGTTTGACAGGCCTCGTGTGTTGGTGCCGGCGATGGGGTTTTGAGGCTTGATGAGGTTCTGGTGCGAGGGAAAGACATGGCTGTAGCTGCTTGATCTTGCAAGATGAGGGTGTGTCGAACTTGTCGAGGAAGTGTTGCGCGAGGCTGACGTTGACGACGAGGTGACAGACTCCATTGGTGAGATGCTTGGTGTAGTCATGTTTGATAGTATCTTCTCAACAACTGGACTCCGAGGGATGGATACGTCAAGAGTTGAAGGGAAGAGACAGAGGAACAAGCTGGTGATCAAGAAACAGCGAGAGGCTCAAACTGCATACAGTAGGTACTTCACCCAACCACCATGCCTGCATAAGGGCCAAACCGCAAGCGTGACATTGTCAAAACATCGTCGATGAGCTGAGGTATGCTTCGTCACAGGTGCCCTGTCGTTCTGCCTGTCCAAGGTTTCGCATGGTTACCGAACAAGCCACAATTGCTATGACAGGACCTGAAGCTAGGCAGAGAAGAGGTGTAGGCTAGGTAAAAAGTGGCTTGATGCCTCGATTGGTAAATGCTCTTGATCGAAGATCTCAGGCCGCGATGGGCAAAGATCGTCGATGTCTGCACGCGCGGGCATCTGCAACCACCAGACGCCGTCTACACCTTCCTCAAGGCCTCCGCCATCACTTTCCCTCTGGCAACGCGACAATACCTGCAATTTCTTGTGCCAGGGAACCAATGTCTTTCGCCTTCACCGTCAACCAAGACGATGCAAAACAGAAAAGCGCATGTTACAAAGATCAAATAACAACTCCCAAATGTCCAAGATTCCTCAGTGCGCGCATCGGTATTGTGTACAGTCTGCGGGGACATGTCCGCCGCAAAAGCCGATGATCGATACACCATCTTCGATTCTCACTCCCGAAGCTCTGTTTTGCTGACCTCGCCTATTCTGCGTACGACTCGATAGATCGCATGAACCCGCTAAGACCAACATCATCACTTATACTCACTCCGTCAACATTGATGACGTTTGAAGAAAAGCCATGGAAAAACAGCCATATTTTCAGAATGTTTCCTTTTTGGGGGTCTGTTGCAAAGGACCAATCTGATGAGCCAACGACGTTGATGCGTGACGTGGTGCAAGCAACATGGATTTTCGTTTTCGCAATGGTGATGGTTTTGACAACTCGAGCTGTGTCCCTCTGACCTTCATGACCGGAATATAAGGATATACTCTGGAACTTCATATCGCTACTGCAAAGGGTTTTCTGAAGAGTCCGGAGAAACAACACAAGAACAATCAAAGTGGTATGCGGTCATAGGCACGAGCCTCAGAAGAGCCTCAGAAAACCAACCACCTTTTCCTTTTTGCTTTGGAGGCGTAAAATGGTCTCGGAATACGTTCAGGACCTCACTGCACAATCAAAGTCAATCGCAACTGACACAAAAGCTTCATCTCATGTTGACGCTTACAAGAAGTCACGGACCGAATACAGTACTCGCACGTTGTAGCAATCAAGCAGCTTCAAGCAAAGAGCAGAGTAGAAATCATCAGGACAAGTAAGAGCAGAACAGACTAGAAACCACCAAGTCAGTCAAGTAAGAATGAATCGTTAAAGTTGCAAAAGACGAGCTGGTAATTATTGAAAAGACCAGCTTTCCATGTTTTCATTCTTGATCCTTCATCTTCCATCATCTTTTCTCATCTATAAAGTAAAAAGGGGTATCTCATGCTTTTGTTTGCCCTTCCCAGTAACCATGAACCAAAACTCCTTGCGTAAAATAAAAACCCCATGTGTGGTGAGGAAACATTGACCACCCAAACTCCTTTTGCTCGTCCATAAAACTCCTTTTCCTTCTCTGATCAAACCACCTTGAGAATGCGACTGTTTTGTTGTTGTAGATACAGAAACTCCTCCCATGCAGACACCTTGTTTCCTCCAAATGCAAAAGACATGAAAGTCGTGATGAGAAGTCCATCATCTGAAACCACGACCACAACGAGAACGAGAAGGTGGACCATTGATCTCTTCATGCAGCTGTCTAGCCATCTCCTCATCGGTAAGAATTTGGATAGCATTGGCAGTGGTAGCAGCGGGTCTACCCTCATCTTCGTCTTCGTATGGGTTGATGCGACGTTCGGACTGTTCGGCGATGGGAGATAGAGCGGAGCGTCTGTTGAAGTTGTGGCGACGAGGTTCACCAAGTCTTCTGTATTCGCCGGAAGAAGGTTGTGAGTTGTGATGCTCAGGCTGTGTGGCGCTGGTGTTGTGGTTGACGGTTGAAGAGGACGTGGTGGTCGACGAAGGTCTTGAACGATGAATGCCGCTTCCAAAAAGTCTGCCTGAAAGAGAAGGTCTGTTGTTTGGAATAGGCCCGGTAGTCGAAGAGGTTCTGCCACTCAGAGAAGGTCTGGTGAGTGGAGCAGTTGTGGTGTATATACGAGGTCTGGCCATTCCTGCGGGCATGCGGGCTCCAAAAGGATTGGTGATCGAGAAAAAGCTGTTGGCAGGTGAAGACTTTGTGGCCGCTGAAGATGCCTTGGTAGTGGATGCGGGCTTGGGCGGCGAAGGTGGTCCGGCAGGTTGAGATGAGTTGGGCGGCGAAGGTGGTCCGGCAGGTGGAGGAGAATTGGCAGGCGAAGGAGATCTGAAAAAGCTGTTCATGCCACCAGGAAAGTGTTTGCGGCGTTCGCGACCCTTCTTGGCTCTGTCGCCAGTACTGATGATTGGATCTTCGTCCTCCTCTTCTTCATCTTGTTGAGCTTGACGCTGGCGTTCGACTTCTTCGCGTTGTCTGGCGAGTTTTGCTTGACGATCGCGGAGAGCCTTCTCCCAATATGCCTTGCTGTTGGGTGCAGGCTCAGGTGAGTTGACTTTTGCACGCTTGGGCTGAGGTGCTGCTGTGGGTGGTGCTTCGTCTTCTTCATCGTCTTCGATGGTGCGAGCTCTCTTCTTCTGGAGTGGTCTGGCTGGCGTGATGGTGGACGAAGCAGATTTGTGACGAGATGATCTGGTTCCAGAGATGATGTTTTCTGTCGAGAGAGCGTAGTATGAAACATCCTGAGTCGAAGGCACTGCCGACGAAGACGCAACCGAGGTGCTACGAACACGTTTGGATGGCTTCGAAAGGCGAGGTACAGAGAGAAAGTCGTTGTCGTAGTCGTCGTCGTGGTCGTCGTCGTCGATGGTGATGGCCTTGCGTTTGCCCTTGCGGACTGATGAAAGGCTGCTCGTCTCAGTGGACTGAGCAGGGCTTGACGAAGGCTTGGTGCCTGATGATGGAGTGGCGCCCAAAGAGGTGGCAGCGCGGGTACCACTTTTGGTGCCCTGACCGAGAGCAGAGGTGGTGAGCCCAGAAGCCCGCTTCTTCTCACCGCGATCCTCAAACTTTGAGGCCTCCCGCAGTCTGCGGTTCCACTGAAGCTTCACACCAGAAGCGGTGCGTTCGAAGCCAGCTTCACGCTTCATGCGGGTGGCGACGACCTCGAAGCGCTTCTCTGTGCTGGCGATGGCAGCATACTGAGCCAGGGTGCACACTTCCTTCATGAGCCTGATGCAGGCAGCGTCCTCTTCGGCGGACCAGGCGGTTGACTTGCGGTTGGCGATGACGGGAGCGGGAGCGACCAAGTTCCTGGCTGGTTGCTGGCCTCCTGCCACGCCGCGAACGGGGCGAGCAGGAGCGGCTGCAGGAGCGTACTCGTCGTCGTCCTCGGCATCCTCTTCATCCTCCTCCTGCTCTTCAGGGGCATCCGCGATGGGGATACCCTCCGAAGGGGCCCGCTCTCCTTCACCTTGACCAGTAGCTGCGGAGCCCCAGGCACCCACAGGCTTCTTCATCGCCATCTGACTGGGACGAAGTTCGTCTTCAGATTCGGTCTCCTCCTCCGAGACCTCCTCCTCCGACTCTCTGGCTTCGGGCTGGTCATTCAAGCCCACCAACTCTCGCGTTACTGATACGGGAGACCACCAGCCCAACCTGTGAGAGCGTGGGTGGAAGCCATCCTCGTACCAGGTTGATGGCTGAACGACAGAACAGGGGGCCTCCAAACTGTCAAGGAAGCTAGCGATATCGAGGTCGTGAGCGACCACGGCTTCATTGCCAGTAGGGGCGGGGGGAGGGGAAGGGGAACGGAAGCCTCTTGCGAGGACGGTTCTGGTGCCCTCGAAGACCTCGAAGGCGTCATGCCAACCGTGCAAGTTGGCGGTGGGGTCCATTGTTGTTGTGACGGTGGTGGTGGTGGGTGGAACGAGGTATAAAGGAATACGATGAGACCAGCTCAAGGTATGATGAAGAGATACAAAGAGAAGAACAACAATGAACACACAGAAGGAAGAGGAGGAGAAGGAAAGGACGGAAGAGAGACTCGGGCAGAGTATAGGACCTACCTCGACAATAGCTACGCAGGTCTATAGGGATACAATTCACAATGGCGTTGAATGCACCATTGTCGGAAGCCATTGTGCACAAAAACACTAGTGAAGTCGTCAATGGAGAGCGGCGGTAATAGGATGATAGGACAATGGCCTGATGAACAAGAGCAGGAGAAGGGCATTGTTAGCAGTCAATGAACAATAGACGCGTGAATAGGAGCGCGGTGGATGGTAGGAGGTGTGTGTGGTTGAGTGAGAGCGACGAAAACGTGGGCTCGGAGGAAAAGCAATTGGGCTAGCACTTTGGGCAATGGCAAGCTCATAAGCGTAATGTAGAGAGGAGGCGATGCAGAGAGATGAAGGTGTTGACGAGTACATGTTGAATGGTGACAGGTGAGAGTTTGACAGTATGATGGTATAGATGGAGGACGGCAAAGAAGTAGAGATGGAACGTGCCTGACGTGAGGTCACGATAGGTATTTCAGCGTGTCAGAAGTGTTCAGATGTGGATATAGAAACGCACAGTGCTTCTGAGAAACAGGACAAGATCCACTGAGACAGGTTGTCTCGAGGGGCTTTCTCTGGATTCGTGCTGAAATTGCAAAGTGCTGTGCATTTTTATAGCATGATTATTGCTATGCTTCGTCTTGGGGACGAGACTATGCGTGACAGACTGAAATGCACATACATGATTCACAAGATAGATATGATGTATGGTTGGTTGTAACCTCTACTGATTCCCAACATTTCTAGAGAATCGGAACGATCCTTCCATGCGGGCGCCCAGCAACGGGTAAGAGTCCATCTGCGCACAGCGCGAAAACGACCTTGCTACGGAAAGGCAAAGGACGTCGATAAGTAATGTTGTAAGCTGGCGATGTTTGTAGAAAACAGAAGGAGAGAGCAGCAGGAAAACAGTTTTGTTGTGGCAGGTGCTGGCGGTCTGTGCGGGATGACGGAAGGAGCCGGTGATCTGGATGTCGACCCGGGGGGTCAACTGGCAACATGGACGCAGTCGGCGACGTCTCCAGTTGTTGACATTTGGTTATCCGCGACAAAGGACACCTACTCGATCTCCGCCTACCAACTCGCTATATCACACCAAGTTGTGAATCCAACACAAAAGCCGCCGAATTCGATTTCACTCAAATCATCATCTTCACCGACCAGGGGTAGCTTCATTCACACAACATGGCCGCATTCGCGCCTCACGGAGCCCCCGCCATGGACTACGAAGCCCTGAAAGAGCAATGGAGCGACATCGAGGACAAGGATGGCATCAGATTGAGTTGGAACACCTTCCCCTCGTCGCGCATGGTACGCTGCCCGCCAACCTCCACACCGAGCTCTTTCTAACAGCTTCACTATACAGGAAGCCTCGAGATTGGTCGTCCCCATCGGAGCTCTCTACACACCACTCAAGGAGAAGACCGACACGCCGCTGCTTCAGTATGAGCCCGTTTCTTGCAAACAGCCCTGTCGCGCTGTCTTGAATCCCTTCTGGTACGTCTCACTGCGCATGAGTGACAAGATGCCATGCATACTTACCATCCAACAGCCAAGTCGACATGCGCGCCAGGATATGGATCTGCCCCTTCTGTCTGCAACGCAATGGTCTGCCACCTCACTACAAGGACATCTCCGAGAACGCCATTCCTCCAGAGCTGCACCCCTCGAGCACCACAATCGAGTACAGACTCGCCAGACCCGCCCCCGTTCCCCCGATCTTCGTCTTTGTCGTCGACACATGTCAAGAGGAGGATAGTTTGAAGGCCCTCAAAGACTCGATCATCATGTCGCTCAGCCTGCTACCTCCCAACGCCCTGGTTGGTCTGATCACCTATGGAACCATGGCTCAGGTCCACGAGCTTGGCTACACTGAGTGCGCAAAGTCTTATGTCTTCCGCGGATCCAAGGAATACACTGGCAAGCAGGTCCAGGAGATGCTCGGTCTGATGACTGGTGGTGGCGCAAGACCTGGCATGCCCGCCATGCAGCCCCAGCCCGGCCGTCCCGCTCCCACTGCTCCCATGGGCGCTGCCGCAAGATTCTTGTTGCCCGTTCAGCAGTGCGAGTTCCAGCTCACAAACGCCCTCGAGTCTCTGCAAAGGGACCCTTGGCCTGTCGCTAACGACAAGCGTCCCTTGAGATGTACCGGTGTCGCCTTGAGTGTCGCAACTGGTCTTCTCGAGACTTCGTTCCAGAACGCCGGCGGTCGCATCATGCTCTTCACTGGAGGTGCCGCTACCGAGGGTCCCGGTATGGTTGTCGGTCCCGAACTCAAGGAGCCCATCCGTTCCCACCACGACATTGACAAGGACAACATCAAGTACTACAAGAAGGCCCTCAAGTTCTACGAAACTTTGGCCAAGAGAACTGCTCACAACGGCCACATCATCGACATCTTTGCCGGATGTCTGGACCAGGTTGGTCTCCTGGAGATGAGAAGTCTGGCAAACTCGACTGGTGGCCACATGATCTTGACCGACAGCTTCACATCTTCCATGTACAAGCAGTCGTTCGCTCGTATCTTCGACAAGGACGCCAACGACAACCTTCTGATGGGCTTCAACGCTTCCCTCGAGGTCTTGACCACAAAGGAGCTCAAGGTCACTGGTTTGATAGGACATGCCGTGTCCATGAACAAGAAGTCGGCCAACGTTGGTGAGACCGAATGTGGCATCGGTAACACTTGCTCGTGGAAGATGTGCGGCATCAATCCCAGCTCGAGTTACGGTATCTACTTCGAGATCGCTGGCCAAGGCGGTCCTTCAAACGTGCAACAAGGACCTCAGAAGGGTCTTATGCAATTCCTCACATACTACCAGCACTCTTCTGGCCAGTTCCACCTGCGTGTCACCACTGTTGGTCGCAACATGAGCGGTCCCTCAGGCGACCCGGCCATCGCTCAATCATTCGATCAGGAAGCCGCTGCAGTCCTCATGTCTCGCATTGCAGTCTTCAAGGCCGAGGTCGACGATGGTCCGGATGTGCTCCGCTGGGTTGATCGCATGCTTATCAGGTTGTGCTCTCGCTTCGCAGAGTACCGCAAGGACGACCCGTCATCTTTCCGCCTCGAGAAGAACTTCACCCTCTACCCGCAGTTCATGTTCCACTTGCGTCGTTCGCAGTTCTTGCAAGTCTTCAACAACTCGCCAGATGAGACCGCTTTCTACAGACACGTTCTCAACCACGAGGATGTGTCAAACAGTTTGGTCATGATTCAGCCCACTCTTGACAGCTACAGCTTCGAGCATGAGGGCAGTCAACCCGTCTTGCTCGATTCTACCAGTATTCAGGACCAGACTATTCTTCTTCTTGATACCTTCTTCCACATCCTCATCTTCCACGGTGAGACTATGGCACAATGGCGCAAGGCCGGGTACCAAGACCAAGAAGGCTACGAGAACTTCAGAGAGATGCTCGAGGCGCCCAAGGAGGACGCCAAGGTGAGTTTGATCCATTATCACCGCAAAACATATTTCCATGTACTGACAAATACTTCAGGAACTCATCCAAGACCGTTTCCCTCTGCCTCGTTTCATCGTCTGCGACGCAGGTGGTTCGCAAGCACGTTTCCTTCTCTCCAAGCTCAACCCCTCGACAACACATACCACTGGCGCATACGGTGGCGTCAGCCAGACCGCTCAAACCATCTTCACCGACGATGTGTCACTACAGACCTTTATGGACCATTTGATGAAGTTGGCCGTCAGCGGCAACAGCTAGGTGTAGCAAGTAATCGACATGATGTGATGAGATGAGTGAAGTGTGCGACTGGTAGTAGAGAGGAAGAGAGGAAGACCAGAAAGAATTATTCCAACCATTGTGTTCCAAAAAGACAACTTTTTCCATCAACTCGATACCCAAACGATTTTTTTCCTTGACCAGCCCATTTGAGCTATCAACACTAAGGAAATTCTTGAGTGCACAACAAATCTGATATCCACAGTACAGCCTCTGCCCATGATCAGTACATTCAATCTCTTCTTCTCTTCCCGCCTGATGCGATTGTGATATACGCGCAAAGCGGTAAGAAATGGTACAAAACTCAGAATCTCACAGATATGCTCACAGCGCCACATCTTCGAAGCTGCGGGTAAAGGCTACGAAGACTCAACTGCTAACCTCGTCTGTCACTTGGATCCTGCGTCGATGACAGCTGAATCCGAAGCCTCTCGAAGAAATACCCGTCGCATACTTCCTCGACGATACGATTAAATACGGATGATCGGCTATATTGAATGGACTTACAGCATACCGATGTAGCTTTCTTCTTTTCCTCCCGCTAAAGAGATGGAGCCTCGGGTCCTTTGACCTCTATCTGCACACCTCGTATACCTTCTAGATGGATCGGACTCGTATGGATGCATATAAACTACATGGTTATGCTGGTTGGTCTTGTGCAACGACCCGTCTCGTGACGAATGTTACTTGCATATTGCCCTCGTCTGGGCTTCTCGACAACGAATGGTGTTCTGGTATGTCTCAGTAGCTTTGAGAATGGACTTGCTTGCTCGGATTGCTGGCTGATCGAGGAGTCAGGTTGGGCAATCAGCACTTTTTCTGCTTCAAGTCCATGATCTTCCAGAAACAAGGACTCTGAAGACTCTGAGTCTTTCCTTCTCTTGTTCTCTGTGCTTGCTTTGATGTGTTTCTGCCACTTTCTACTTTTTGTCTTTATAAGCTATTGTCAGGGTGCTACCCTCGCCATTTAATCCAATGCGATCGAATGCATCTTCTGCCATGAATCTTAGAGTTCATATTATATTGCAACTAGATTGTGCTTCATCAAGCCGCTTTAGCTCATCTGGGAGAGCGCCAGACTGAAGTCAACTTCTGTCCTTCTTACACCGTAAGAGTATTCTGGAGGCACTGTGTTCGATCCACAGAAGCGGCATTTGCTTTTTGTATCATGTCTTTTTGTCTCCACCGTGATCTGTTTTGCTCACTCCAACCAGGCAAGGGGCAGTAGGCAAGTGCAGGCTTCTGTATAGGTTAGGTGTTGTTTGCTGGTCAACAAGCCGGTGCAAAACTCCTCTGTTTTTGCCGACTTTTTTGTTTCTTTGTTTCCAAAGCTTTTGCCAACGTTGTGGTGGAAAACAGGAGCGTGCGTGCATTGGCTTTTGACTGCTCTGCTCTGCTCATCGAGATTTTGCTTCTGAGAATCTGCAATACTTCTGTCCCGTGACTGGTTCCCAGAGGCCAGAGAAAGAAGACTGTGAGAGTGATATCAACCATCTCTATCATGACAAGGGAGAGGCTGAGTATTGAATTAGGTGTTGGAGCATAAAGACACGGGTACATAGTGCGGTATCTTGTTTTGAGTAACTTCAGGCATGCAGGCCAGAACCGTCGTTTTACTAGACATGAGTGAGATGTAGTGCAGCAGTCTTCCGCAGCCTCTGAGGATAGAAGCAAGAGTAGACTGCTTGCACGTCATCGAATCCTAGTGTCTGTCAGACTTCCTCAAAAGCCGCCTCTGGTGTTCACCACGCCAGTTCTCACTACTCACCCCATACCAGACGCGATGCGTATGGAACAAAAAAAATCATCATGTAGATAGACCAGTATCGAAAGGAAGCTACAAAAACAAAAGTTGGAGTAGCTGGGAATCGAACCCAGAACCTTCTCCACTCAGTAATGCTCCAAGAGCAATGCTAAGAAGATGTCATACCACTAGACCACAACCCCAATTGCTGAAGTATTTTTGACTATCGTCATCTATATCCAGCATTGTCGATCTCCAATAGCGTCTCCAAGTATCTCACGCCTGCCGATAATGCGTGGAAGAGGAAGCAATCCCATCTCCAGGATGATCTTCTCGAATAGTTTCGAGCTCCTTGACTTAGCATTGCCAATGTAGCAAGCGAAAGCTGGGGCTGACATCAATGAATGCGAGACAGGGTGCTTGAGTGACAGATATAAAAGCATGCTTGATGCTAGATAGTAGTACTGTTATTAGTGATTAAAAAGTGGTTACATACCCCAACAGCCGAACTCCTCCTGCCAATCTCAGTCTCCCAAGTCGTCCTATGAGCCATAGAAGGCACGCCACCAACTCAGATCAAGCCAGGAATGACAGCCTTGCGGTTGCCAACCTTGTCCTTGCCAAATTTCTGAATATACCACCTTCTTCCCTGCAGCGCACGAGGCAACATGGTACTAATCTCATTGATCAAGAATGACCTCGCAGGCGTACAATTCCAGCCTCCGATCATCCAGAAACCCAACCACTCAATCCACTCACAAAGGTAATGAGGAAACAGCACATAGTGAAACAGCCCATTCTTAGGCATCATGTAAAGTTTCTGCACACCATCGATGGGCTTATTGTCTTTCTTGGCTTGCTCCTTTTGGCGACGAAGCGCGGAACGACGGATCTCGCGTAGGTCGTCGTCGTGGAAGATGTTGCCTAGCAGGGCCCAACCCCAGATGACGAGGCCGGCTTGAATCCAGTAGAGGCGGCCGGCCCAGTCATAGACGGTGGTGGGGCCATAGCCGGCGAGCCAGCCGGACAGGCAGAGGGCGTTGGTGAGGTTCCAGGCGAGGGCGGAGACGAAGACCAGAGGGTGGATGGGCGACATGCTGGGGTTGAGGAAGAGCGGGGAGAGGATGGAGCGGTAGAAGTAGTGGATAGACTGCGATGGTCGTGTTAGTCGAGGCTACAAAGATGGCATGGAAGGAAGTCAGACGTAGAGGCCAGCCATGGTCCAGTTGACCCAGGGCAAGGGACCCAGACCGAGCTCAGTGGGCAGCGTCTTCATGTTGTAGAGCAGGGTAATGAAGCCTGGGGCCTCCATGAGAGCCCAGGCCCATTTACCAGGCAGATTGAAGCGCGACTCAACCGACGTCTTGCCTTGGGGGTAGTAGTCGACGAGCCATTGCACTCCAGTCGCGACGGGGAAGAACTTCCAGATGTTGTTGATGATGACCCAATTCTCGCGCGAAGGCGGCAACAGTCCCGGAACGAGCACCATTGCTGTTGTGCTATGTTTGTTATGATGGGGATGATGACTGCCCGTATTGCTTGCACGTTCTTGTCGCGTCAGAGTCTCAGAAGCTCACCTGCACGCACGAGAGCTCCAAACCGTAAATCCCACACACAATGTCGTCATGATTTGTGCTCCGGCGCACCCGCGAACACCATCACATTCAAGGAACCCGTTGCCATCAATCAATCTTTGCTTGCAACTCCATGTCGGCCAACTTCGGTCAGACTTCTGCCACCATGCACTTTGTTGAGTCTTGAGGAATAACCAAGACCCACGGCAGTAAAAGTTGGCGTTTCCGGTATTCTTTCCATCGTCAATTCTTGCTCTATGAAACACTTGCCTCATGTATCAAAAAAGAGTGCCCAGCCTTTGTCCCACTCGGCATCGAGACCCGAGATCCATTCTATTCGCTGATCCCTTCGGTCGGACTTTTCTCAAAAACCGACTCTTGTCTTGCCTTACTCATGCAAAAAGTGGCTTTGCTTGGCCCCATTCACTTGGCAGGGCCCTGACATTCGGGTAAGGCGAACAACCCGGATGTCCATCTTCCGAATGCCTTTGTCAATCGCGTGTCGATCATTCTGGTACCTCAAATACCATCGCCAAGCGCCACTTCCTGTACGACATGCGATGGCTGGAACGGCACTGCATGTGTAGATCTTTTTTTTTCTTCCTTCGGAGAGGTCAGCAGCCGCGATGGCCACAGAGGCGGTGCCAGAGTCTCTAAGCGATGCTGGGTACCTTTTGATTCATAATCAAGTATTCCAAAGAGCAATGCATCTGGAACCTGCTGTAACCGAAGGTAGATCATTCTCCTGTAAGATCGAGACATGATATCGGGAAAGATGCATATGGAAGGATGATTTTGAGGTATATGTACAATTCGCTATGCGTGACGGTCGTCGTCTATGTGGTGATATTATTAAGAAGTCGTGGTCTATTTACAAGAATGTGATCGGCGTGGATATCATTTCCATAGCCGTTGCAATGAGTCTCAAAGACACTCTGCCTCCCTCATTCCGCAACAGCCTTCATCTATACTAGCCATCGTGGGAGATGCGCTACGCCTGAAATCGTTCTGTTGTCCTTGATGGGTACTAAGCAGTTTCTGACACTCAGAAAGCGAACGCTTCCTGGAGTCATTGTGGCTGGTGGTAATTTTGGTATCCGTAAGAACTCGAAGGGTCAACGTTCATCATCTGAAAGTCTGTTGTCGGTAATTGTAGTTGCATCGTCGTTGACATCTGTTGAGGAGGGAACGAGGGCCACATGCTCGATTGTTGCTGGACCGGAGTTGTATCGATAGGTGTAGAGTGCATGCTGTGTCGTGAACCCGAACTCATAGCTTGTTGGCTGTTTGTCGGTAGAATGGGCATGTTATGCGGGGCGAAGGACGGCTCGAATATACTACCGGAATCGTGCCTGAGGTTGTGAGAGGGAGGAGCGACCAATGAATCCATAGACTCATTGCTAAGTGTAGCTTGGGTGAAGAACAGTGCCATGTTCGGCACGGCTTGATTGATGTCCGGAGATCGGAAGGGTGCGAGATTGGCAGTGGCCTCAGGCAATCTGATACCCCACTGGTTCGCAAGTCGATTGATTACCTCCAGACAGCACGAGGCATAACGATGGTTCACAGACATCGTATCGAGATCCTCTGATGTGGGATTAGTGTATTGCCGACAGGATGATGGGGAACAACTTACGCATTGATTGAGTAAGCTGGACTGCTGCGCCTTGAGAAGGAAGATTCATAAGATGGACTGTGCTGGCCGACAGAACAATGGGGCTAACGGCTAGGGACGTTCGTCTTAGTCCGTACATTCCGCGGAGTGCGTTCATAAGTTTAGAGATCTCTGTGGCACAATAGGTCGCTAGCTCGCGGGGAAAGAGTCCGATGTCTGAGAGATCAAGCTTCATAAATGGTCGGAAGAGACTACCAGTGGTCAGCAAAAGTCGACATAAAATGTCTGGGAGGCACCTACTGTAGCACGCAGTGATGATAGTACATGTGAAGCACAATGACGTGGGGCATTGCTGTGTTTTGGAGCTGGAACATCTCGGGCAATTCACTGTACCACGTTTGGTACTGGTGGTATGCTGACGCCAGTCGTCGAGGCGTAAATCTTTCTCTGGGTGCGTAAAGGTTGAGGTTGATATCGTTGATCATCTCAGAGAGTTTGCTCTGGATGCTGTGGAAAAGTAGACACTTCATGGGCTGTATGGCGCTGGGACTGACTGGCAAGTTGGCGTCCTCGTATGGTTGCCAGAACAATGCATCCAGCTTCTCCGAGTTCATAGCTGTCAACCTATTAGCACCGGTTCAACCGTTCCGGATCTGGGAACATACGTTTGTCGATTTCAATCGCGTTCTTAGGGATCGAAGATACTCTGCCCAACGACAGACAACATATCATCTCGCAGTTGAAGACACCCCAGAAAGTCAGCTTCCGGATGTCAATTTCGCTAGACCGCAAGTTTGGTTCTCCTGCAGTGGTCTCTGCTAAGTGGAGACCCATTTCCATAGCAAGGCGCACAGCTCTTCCGACGAGACGAAAGCTGATGTGGTCACGGCCTGCGGATCCCTCTCTTACTGCCATTACTGCGATAGCTTGTACAGCAGTCAGTTCTGCCGCACCGATGTTCTCGGCAAGCCTTTGGGCTTCGCCAAAGAAGTAATCTCCTGCTCTTTCGCGTGCTGCAGGTCGATCAGAGTATTGGCAGGCGACTGAAAGTACCGCGTTGACTAGCATAGCACTACAGTACTTGGTCGAACCCCTTGCCATATCCCTCAAAAAGTGGTCCTTGGAGAAGAAGCAGAAGAAAGGATGACTCCAGCAGAAGTAGAGGTTGAGCAGATGATCCACGAATTCGGCGTCTTGTGGTATACGGAACCAAGATGATGGTGCTTCGGCTGCCGCGCTCTGGCTTCCTGCATCGTTCCATTTCCCGTCGACAGGACTGCGAGACGACTCGTTTCGCGTTGAAGGAGCTTGCGTGTGGAAAGTGGCTCCCGGAGTTCCTGAAGGGCCCGAGAGCTCGGTATCTAATGTTCGTAGTTTTTCGGTATCTCCAGCGTTGATGGCTTCGGCCAAGCAGTCCAATCTCTCACCGCGGCGAAGACTATGGAACAGCGAAGTAGCCTCATTTTCTGGGAGAGCGCACAAGGAGTTGATGACGACATCAAGTGCAGTATTTTTGTTTTGTAGAGATGCTATGTCTTTTCGAAGTGCGCCTTTGCGCCGGTGGTCCGTGTCTTGGTCGTAGCTGCAGTCTGTACGGTAGACCGCCATACAAGTAGAACAGGAAGGAAGGCCTCCATCACACTGTGATACAATTAAATCAGTAAGAGCTTGAATTGCTTGGATGTCGAAGGAATGCGACCGACCTTGCTCTTGCGTTTGCGACATGGGATACAAGCAGAGGAAACGGCTTTTCGCTTTGCGGATTTTGGAGGTGCCATGCTGGCTAATCCGTCGCTTGAACCTTGTTCATCTTTTGGAAGGATCGTTCTTGGGGGCATCACAGGTCAATAGTCGCAATGAGCAAAAAGGTAGCCTTGGAGTGTGAGAACTACAGAATGAAGAAAGAGCAATTGAATTGAGGGAAAGGAAGATGAGACGAGGTAAGCTTGGAAGGAAAAAGTTACGTGGATAGAGGTAAGTAATCAGGAAAGGTAAATTGACAGAAGGAAGGCGCGACGGTGAGTTTATGGAGACACAACTGACTCCGGACAACGTCGCTGAATAAGAACAGTCGGATGCTAAGACTGTGGGAATAAGGGAGGTAAGTTGCGAGGCTTGGCCATGGTTTAGTCAATGGCATACGAATAAGCAGAGCGGGTAGCCTCGACCGTGTGGGATATGCACATCACACATGAAATGCTACCAAACGCACGATCGTCGGTGACAAATATGGAACGAAAAGATGGGACAGTCTCGAAGGGCACGCAACGCTCCCTCTTGGCACGTAGCAGGCGCAAACACTGTTGCTGAACGCAGCTTGGCAGAACCCAGGTTGAATTCGAAGTTGAGGCCGCAGACCTGCTGCGTGTGCAAGGTTGCGTGGGTGTGAGTGGCGTGCAGCGTGGCTTGTCGGCGCCGAGATTGCCGGTTTGCGAATGCTAGGAAATCAGAGACGAAAGATATTCGACTTGGCGCGACGCCGATCCGCCGACTTTTCCATCTTGAGTCCGTTTGCAAACTCCGTACGATATGGCTGTTGCAAATGACGGCTCCACCGGAGAAGAAGCAGCAGCAGCAAAAACTATGTTTGTACTGAATATCGACCAGTGACGCAAGTCTTCGGTACTCGGCCGCAGCCTCGTCAAGCCACTGGTCCATGCGTTCGAGGCTTGTTTGAGTTCAGGCTTGCGATTGAGCTGAAGTGATAGGGCCTCGGTCTGGCTGCTCTCGTGGTTCAACTGAGCCAAGAGGTCACGATACCCACGAGTCGGAGATCTTCCACATTCACTGTGGCTTGAGCCTTGGCCTCTCTGCATATCTTTGCTGTCAGTAACGTCTGATATTCGATGCAGCGTTCTAGGGACACTTCCTTTGCAAGCTCCTTCTCGTACCTTGCGTGCAACTGCGGAAAAGGGCATAGCGACTTGCGGAGAAGAAGAATCCGACACACGGCCCAGATGCTACAACTTCTGGACCATATGGACTGTTAAGGCATAGGGATCTGCTTGCCCTGCGTGCGTACCCGTATGTATTTCGTACCTTGCGTTCATCACGAGTCATATGTGGGTCAACCTCAGGGTTACTGTGACTCTTTTTCTTGGCAGAACGCTGTGCTGTTCAAAGGTTTGCGCCGCGCAGAGTGAAAACCTCTGTCTAGCTTGCCTCTCTTAAGGCCATTCAAGACACATTCTTAGTCACATCACTGCAGTCCACATGCAAACATGGGTCGTGATATCAACCGCAGATGGTGATACACGCATGAAGATATGCTTCCGAGTAAATGGTTGAGCATAATGTGGATCATCTTTTGGTACTCGAGAGTAGAATCTCAGCTCGGAGTGCGCGCCGTTTGCGAGGGAAGGACTACCCGGGGTTGTGACCCAAAACCTCGGTAAACGTCACCTAGAATTTTCTGGTAACTAGCCCGGTGCCAGGTGCCCGGAAATAGAGCGCTGAGACTGTATGTGGTGTACCGTCTTTGTCTCTCCTCGATGTCGCAACTAGCCAGGCGCCTCATACCAGAACTACAACGGCTTTCCAAATCGAGATTAGCAACACCACGACACCAAGCCGTCAAGGATCTTCTATTCAAGACGGTCTTGGTTGTGCTGCGAACAAACGGACGATCCAGCCCAGATCAGATTTACCGAACGCTCGATGCAAGAATGACTCCTCCGCTGCCCAGAGGGCTCGGTGGTGTACCCCACAAGAGCCGCAAGCCCTTGTCTCAACACATCAGGTGCCATCGGTTGACTCTGCATGCACAACATACCGTACATTACCCCTAATCGCTCTCCGGCCAGTGCCGGAAGTTGTTGGCTTTGAACGCTTAATTTGTCCCAAGACCGCATCCGAACAAATGCGCCTACCTGAATTGGATATTCTGCGAGGTCGGGTCCCACCTTTTGTCGCGCGCCGTCGGCTTCGGAGCGCCATCACTATTGGTTGTGGGCGATGCCGCAGCGCTTTGTCCGCCAAACCGTATACCCATCTCTGGCGTCCACATACCAGGTGTGGGGGATGCGGTCGCTGCTACTGGGGGAGGAGCAATATTGGCTCTAGTAGGTAGAGGCGCTGCCAGCGGTGGCCCTGTCCGTGGTGTCGCACGGGGTTGCTGTTGGTTCATCAACGTCTCCTGTTGCTTCTGTTGTCGCAGGTTGGTCTGGTTGGCATTCTGTAGACTCATCTGAGCCATGGATGTGCTCACATCGTCCTCAAGGGATGAAGCCTCCGCGCGTCGTTGGTAGACAAAGTTGCGGCAGTCGTCCCGAAAGCGCGTGACTATACTGGCGAGGTCGTTGTAAAATTTGCGCCCAGTCTCAAGGTTCGATATAATCTCTTTATAAGCCAAAAAAGCATTTTCCAGGTTCTGCAAAGCTTGCTCACGATCCTTTGTGGAAGTGTCCCCCTTTCTTGCTACAGTGAATGAGCTGTTCGCTTGCTGGACACGCTCCAGTAGGTCGTCCTGTTCGGTTCTCTCCGCGTTTATGTCGTTACGGTCGGCGGTATAGTTTTCTAGTCTTTGATCAAAAAAACTTTCAAACTGGATTGCCTCGAGTGTTTGCATTGGATATTCCCTTTCAAGACGCGCGGCTTCGCGCAGAAGGTCAGCGTTAACATCATCTGCCTTGGCCTTTGCTCGAATATTTTCGATTTTACGCTTGCGGCGGTTCTCGAAACGGGCAATGTCATTGAGTACAGCTCGAAGGTTGTTTGCTTCCCTCTCGACTTTGGTGGTCATGGTTGCACGCCGGCTGCTCGGAACGTAGTCTTCAAGATCGCGATCGGTACCAGCGAGTAGTCTGATCAATGCTTCATTGTCCTTCAATTTCTTCTGAACGAGTTTGTCACTGTTGCCGGCTTGTTTGAGATATCCATCAATTTCGGTGACCTGAGAGTAGAGCTTCCGGGACGCCTCGTTTGATGGCGGTCTTGCCCACCTGTCGGTCCCGTACTTGCGTCGCGCGGCATCATCCTCGGCTGACTCTGAGCGGAGCATTTCCACACCTTCCTGATACGTTGCGCGGTCGCTGTTCTTCAGCTTTTCCGTATCGGCCATGGCACTGTGGAGTCTGTAGATACCGTTCATCTGTCTGACCTCCTCAGCATGGCTGGCCACACTCGGAGGAAGGCCAAGTGGCTTCTCGAGAGCCTGCAAAGACCCAGGAAGGCCGATCGACTTCAAGAGCTCGTGTATCTCGACAGTGAGGTTCTCAAGCTCTTGCACAACAGTGTTGTTCACCAAACGATCTCTGCGATCGACGTAGATGCTAGCTGCAACGTGGACCGAGTATGGGACGAGTTTCGAAAAGAGTGGTCTGCCAAGTTCCCCGTGATCCCCAAGCATAGTCAACGGTTCCGAGACTTCCTTGGGCACTCTAGCAGTAACCATGCTCGCTCTGTCGAGCGGTTTGAGCTCAGACTTGGGTGGCACCGGCAGGAGATAGATCATGTCATTGTCTTTCTCAGCTCTCTTGAGATCCTCAGAGACTCGTGCTTTCAGGCCGTTCAAATCGTCCTGAACAGCCTTGTTGACGTATTTGGCCTCGCGCAAAGCCTCATCAGCACACTTTAGACTGTCGCGGAGACGGGCCACCTCTTCGCCATATTTTCTCTTCTCGAGACAGTCGCAAGCAGCACGGTACTGTGCAGCAGCGGCAAAGTGATGATGCTTGGCGTTCATATGATGGATCCATTCGCTACTGACAGAATCGCTCTTGATACCCCAATCACTGGCTTCATTGTAGAAGTCGCTGACCTTAGCAGCGAGCTTTGCGATACTAGCATCTTTGAGACCATCTTTTACAGCCTTTTGCCAGAAACACTCTTGGGCTTGGGCTAGCATGAGGTATTCCAAGCTTTCCAGGGTAGAGGTGTCCATGTCTTCGGGTGGAGAAGTCCTCATGTCTGGAACAATGGTTGTCTTCAGATGTGAAACAACACCAGCAGATAGACAGAAGTAGTTGCAGGCAGCCTTCAGGCCGTCACCAGTGCTTCTATTGGAAGACATGGCCAGTTGGGAATACATGGCGGCCAGGTTGAAGAGGATGTTGGCGAGTTCGAAACGGATGTTGTCTTGAGAGATGGGTCGTTGGGTGTTGTAGCCTAGAGCAGGGTACCAGATGAAGTCTAGACCGATGTCGACAGGGAACTTGGCGCCCATCCAGACGAGCTGAGCGGCGTACTGCTGAAGCTTACGGACACCGCTGGTATGGGGTTCCAGGGCGTGGACGGCGGCATGTCTGAGGTGGTCTATCTGTTCGAGATCTGTAGTGAACATGTCCGGGTGCTGATCGTATTTGGTCGAGATGTATCGCTTGATGGCTTCGGCCATGGACACATTGTGCGTACGGCGGAAGGGGAGATGTAAGATGTTGCTCCTGTTCATGTCAGTGATATGGGCGGAATGAAGCGGGTGACGGGCACAACATACGAAGCCATGGTGAGTGTGTCGGCCTGCGAGGTCGTAGCCTGTAAAGTCGGCGTACGAGGTCGTAGGTGCTAGAGGTGCGCAAAAGATCAAAAGTGTCTTTGCTGTTGATGGCTTGCACGTCATGTGGGAAACTTGTGGCTCAGCCCGACGTGTGGCGCGCGTTGCAGCTCGTTCGTGGGGTCCAACCACCAAGTCACTTGCAGTTCATCACACATAGACTCAACAATGGCAACGAAGCTAGAAGGATGGACTCGATGTATTCGTTGTAATTCAGGTATGGCATGACAGTAAGGCGGATGCAACAAAGCTACGACATGAGGGCAGGCACAAGGTCTCTGCCGCCGGTGAATGGGACGGGGCCTGGAACATGTAATCAAGCTCTTGGCACCTTCCTGTCCAAATGTCCGAAACACAGCATAGCACGCCATCCCTCCTTCCCTACAATCTCACCTTCAGCTGACACTCTTCTCTGTCCAACTCACTACTGCTTCCCCATAAACTCGCTGCTTCTCCTTTGCTCTTCTCGCTCTTCCACACTAGCCTTCTCACAAACACACCATGTCGGACCACACTTATAACTTCAACATCACCATGACCTGCGGCGGCTGCTCAGGTGCAGTTGAGCGTGTCCTCAAGAAGCTCGACGGTTCGTAAACACCTCCTCTTGTGCCCACCACTATACTCATCCCTGTCTCAGGTGTCAAGTCATTCGACGTCTCCCTCGACAGCCAGACCGCATTCGTCATCACAGAACCCTCCCTCGACTACAACACTGTGCTGGAGAAGATCAAGAAGACCGGAAAGAAGGTCAACTCAGCTGAGGCCGACGGCCAACCCCAAGCTGTCTAACCAACACGATACATCATGAACCATATTCGGATACCTTCTGCTTGAGCTATTTCGTAATCACACATAAACCGTGGGCAGGTCCCACCTTTCCTCAGAATCGCGCCTCCACCTTACGCCCCGTGTCTGCCAGCGCCCAGTCACTCTTGTGCTGCTTGCTGCGTACTCGGTTTGCCTGTTCTCTGCTGAAGCCCTTGGCCTCGACCGCCGGGTTGTATCCAAGTCCATTCTTCTGTCCGACCGTCTGTGAGTCCACCGACTCGTTTGTCTTGCCGTCTGCTCTCTTGTACACCGTAACCACTACAGCTCCTCCCAGCCCAAGGTTGTGCTGCAATGCTACCGTGGTATCCTTGACTAAACGGTTGTTGGCCCACCCACGCAGATGCCAGACTAGCTCTGCACATTGTGCAATGCCCGTGGCACCGAGTGGATGACCTTTGGAAATGAGTCCTCCTGAAGGGTTGATGACCATCTTTCCACCGTAAGTTATGTCTCCTTTGCGCACCATCTCATGTGCCTTGCCATGTTCGCTCAGTCCGAGTGCATCGATCACAATCATCTCGTTAGCCGAGAAGCAGTCATGCAGTTCGCAGACTTTTACTTCCGAGATGGAGACACCTGCTTCGGCCAGAGCGACCTTGACCGCGTTCTTCGTCATTTCGTAGCCCATCAAGTCGATGCTGCTACGCGAGAACAGAGAGGTAGCATCAGTGGCAAGACATTGGCCAGCGATGAGAATTGCTTGCTCTCTGAGATGAGGTCTGGCGTTCAAGAAATCTTCAGATACCAGAATAGCGGCTGCTCCGCCATCAGAGGTAGGACAGCATTGTAACTTGGTCAAAGGTTCGTGGATCGATGTCGAGTCCATGACTTGCTGCAGAGTGTATTCGTCTTGGAATTGTGAGTAAGGATTACGCTTCGAGTGCTCGTGATTGACTCTTGCAATTTCAGCAAAGTCTTCCTTCTTTGCTCCGTACTTCTCCATGTACTCTCTTCCGGCGTTGCCAAACATTTGAGCGGCACCAGGAGCGTTGGTGATGCCTCTGGTTGCCTTCATCATGTCTACAGTCGTGCCGGTAGGATTAGTCCGGTCTTGAAAGAAACTTTGCAGAGAGCCTGGGAACATTTTCTCAAATCCAACTACTAGAACACAATCCGCGGCTCCGTTCGAAACCATGGTACGGCCAAGGTTGAGACCTGTGGATCCAGTGCTGCAGTTGTTGTTGACGTTGTAGATGGGAATCTGGGTCATGCCGAACTGGTAGAAGACTCGCTGGCCGCAGGTGCTGTCACCGTAGCAGTAGCATGCTATGCCTTGCTCCACGTCATCATAATTGATCTGAGCATCCAGCATGGCTTTTACTCCCGCCTCGAAGCCCAGCTCTGTGTAGTCGACCTTGCCTCTAGGCTTGATGAATTTGGTCATGCCAACGCCGAGGACGTAGCATGGTGCTGCTGGTTTCTTGCCCATGATCTTGGTTGTTTGTGTTGTTCGGTTTCTTGTTATGACTTTGCTTGGGTGCAACTCGTCGTATCAAGTCTTGTCAAATCGCAACAGCGAACTCGACCTTTGACCATTCAGGTAGCGGTTGTACCGCGGAGAACGAACAGTGCGGAGAAGTGGAGAGAGCTCTCAGATGCCGAGGTTCCATCCATCCATGAGTTGGTTTTGGTTAGTTCAGTTATCCCCACCAAATCCCACCAAGGAAAGTAAACCGACTAAAAACGAACTCCGTACATCCGCGGCATCTCTATCTGGTGCGGTGATCGGCCTATACCAGTGAACATAGCATAGAGAGCAGAAGCAGGTCCATTGTCGAAATGCAATCTGCTGTATGTGTTTCTTGTCTGTATATCAATGTGGAGCCGATACGATGAGATGTTCGGCGTTCGACGTGGAGCAGATGCCGACTGAGCCTCACTACTCGTAGAAAAGGAGATTGAGACCTCATTGTAATCTACATACTATTATCCGTATCGATTTCCTCGTCAATCCTACTTGTTTGAGTGATAGAGCGAGACTGCTTCCAAGTAACAACGACTGAGCGTGACACGCCAGACCCTAGCTCAATACATATCCAAGCTCGGAGCCCATCATGTCAGGACAACTCCCAACCGACGCTCACAAGCCGGAGCATCCCTCCATGAGCCCACTGGAAGTCAAGACCGAGACCATCCACGTAGATCTCAAACGCCTGGCCACAGACATCAACTACGGCAAACAGCTGTCCCAAGGAAAAGGCTTCCGCATCTACGACTCCTCCTTCTCAAAGCTCCTCGGTTCCAACCCCAGCATCACCCAAGTCCAAAGTCGCGACTACCAATTTGCACACGAAGCAGGCGTGTACATCAAATCCACCAACCGCGTCTACTTTACCGCAAACTTCCAGACTTGTGACCCCATCGCTCTATACTCTGTAGATGCCACTTCCCTCAAAGTCAGCGACGATGACTTTGAAGGTGTAGTACAAGCAAACGGCGCTTGCAACTACAAAGACAAAGTCCTGTATTGCTGTCAAGGCGACATGAGCAACCCTTCTGCCTTGGTGCTCACCGACCCCATCTCAGGCACCTCGGAAACCCTACTCGACAATTTCCAAGGCAGACCTTTCAACAGCATCAACGACGTTGTTATCCACCACGCCAACGACGATATCTGGTTCACCGATCCCACCTATGGCTACGAACAAGCCTTTCGCCCTTCCCCCGACTTGCCTTCCCAGATCTATCGCTTTGATCCTTCGTCAGGGCGCACTTGGTGCGTGGCAGATGGATTTGTGCAGTGCAATGGCCTTTGCTTTTCTCCCGACTATAAAAAACTATATGTCACGGATACGGGAGCTTGTCAAGCTCATGGTGGTCCCAAGGATGGCCATAACTTTTCTATGAATCCTAGGTTACCTGCTACCATCTACGTCTTTGATGTCTGCGATGAAGGCACTACGTTGAGTAATCGCAAGACTTTTGCGTTTTGTGATGCAGGGGTGCCTGATGGGATCAAGTGCGATGAAGAAGGGAACGTGTATTCGGGATGCGGTGATGGTGTGCATGTGTGGAGTCCTCAAGGAACATTGATAGGAAAGATTGTGACGGGAGGCTGTGTGGCTAACTTCTGTTGGAGTAAGGAAGGGATGTGGATGTTTGGGGAGGAAGAGTTGTATTTGTGTAAACTTGGGGCCAAAGGTACTTTGGTCAGCATTGAGTGTGAGTAGGACAGAGGTGTAAGGGTTGTGTTTATGGGCTACCATAGCTTTGACAGTTGGGCCCTACTCCTACCCTAAACATACTAATAAACACTCTGCATTGCCATGGCCTATTCGCTTCATATCGCTGCAACAGACATCAGAGCCGCCAGTCACTACGAAAAGTGGGACTCGAGGACAGCGCAAAAGACTCTGAATCGTGATTTGTCGCACATACAATAGTCCATTGACATTGGCGCTAGACATGCTGTCGTATCGATTGAAGAGTGTTGTAAGGATCGAGAAGAATGCACGAAGGCAACTGTTGTTTATACGAAGAACCTTTCTGTGAGGTATGTGTAAGGCACTAAGACTTTAGAGGGCGGTGTTACGCAGAGGTTATGATAATCTTGTGATGATGACCTTCATCTTACTGGAAGAGAGCAGATCATGGCCAAAGCAACCCCTTGGTCTATCGTGTGGTCAACTGATAATAATCCAGGAACAAGGAAGAAGGCCTGATTGCTCTTTCCATGTATCACGTCGACTACGCGCCTTCCTTCAATCAGGCACGCCCCTATGACATGGCAGGCACGAGCAGTCGCTCCTTCCCACTCTAGAGTCCCTACTGTGATCATCAGACGTACCGTGTTTCACAAGTAGAATCCAGGCCAGTCAGTAAGCACGGTCAATATGTCAACAAACAGACCAGTGCAGAGAGATCGAAGGCTGGAAGAGTAGATCGTATGTATTCTGACAGAACATTAACATCGTCTATGCGCTAAGAGAGTATAGTCCATCGCTATATTACAGCAGAGCGGAAAGGGCAGACCATCTAGATGGAAATCCTCTAGAGAGCAGAAAGCAAGAAACAAGAAACTTTTTGATGCATCGGAGACCTCGTGTCGTTGGTATATTGGGAAAGAAGAAGGGAAACGCCGCCATTTTGTGAGTGAGAAGAAGGGATATCGTCTGTCCCATGCAGATAAGAAGAAAAACGCCATGGAACACCAATCGCTAGAACGCAAGACGGGGTATAAAGCCGTCGAAGAATAAACGGCATGAACAGTGGAGAGAAAAAGCCAGGGCCGAAAGGGCGAGAAAGCACTTATGCCGCAATAGCAACGGCAAGGCGCTGGCGTTCTCTCTCCATGGCAAACACCTTTCTGCTCATCTCGAGCACAGACTCGAAGCCTTCACGGCCCTTGATGGCGTTTTGCTTGAAGCGCTCGACGGTAAAGTCCTCGATGCTGTTCTTGATCTTTTGCCAACCGCCGCAGAAGGCAGTGATTTGAGCGGATTGTTGGAAGATTGTGCGAGAGGTAGGGCCGGCGGGCGAGGGACGGTATACGACAGTTTCGCGGACGGAGAGGAGATCGTTGAAGGTCATGTTCATGCTGCACATGGTGACCTTTTTGGCGGCAGGGTCGACGTAGGATGTCTCGTAGACTTGGGAGACCTCCTGGCCACCGAAGAAGGTACTAAGCCACTTTGGTGCGGATTGTTTGCAGGTAATGAGACGTTCGGTGCGGAGCTATCGTTGGAGTCAGTAGTTGTTCTTGCAGATGGAATCAATGCAGACTCACAATGCCAGTGGTCGGGTCTACATGACGCGAAATAGTGTCGACAGCGATAACGTGGGTGCTCTTATCGTTCCACGGACAGTATTTGCGCCAGTTTGCAGTCGAGACCTCCTCCCACGAGTAGTCAAACTCATGCTGCGACTCGAAAAACTTCATTGCTGCGAAAAAGCGACTGGACGAGCGATAAAGGTCGAGAGAGTGCTAGATATACGGAAACGCGGACTGGTCGCCGACGGACGGGAGGGAGCGTTGGGGCCTTTTGTTGGTCCTTGGGATTTTTTGCGGTTTGCGGGTTGCTGAAGAGCTGGCAGAGCGTCGACGGAAGAACAGCAGATGCAGATGTCGCGTGAGCAGAAACGAGAGTCGTTCGCTGGTGTCGTGTGCTTCGTTACTGAAGAAAGAGTCAAGCAGGAAAGGACGATGGGAAAAACAGCCTTCACGTTGCGAGTTTCGGTCTTTGTTGGCGCGCGCGGCTTGTGCTTGTGGCCAAAAATCTTCCTGAATCGTTGTCCGCCGATCTCGACAAGTCTGGACGCGCCCACTGCATATCATTCTCTTCATCTCACTCGTGCAACTTGTCATCTTTTGCTGATCTATACTTATATCCATGCATTTCGAACACATGCCGTTCGGGTGATACCAGACACAACACCCTTCCGCATCTGACAGAGATAATCCTCGTCTTCTCCTTTGTTGCGGCGGCCGACTCGAGTTTGCATGTGAAAGCGGTCTTTGCGGAGGTTCCGATTCTTCCTCGTCCATCCAGCAACTCTAAACTCTAAACCGATAGATCTGAAACTCTGCTTCATCCGAATGCTGACCACGAGACGGACGAGTGGATCTATACCGCAGTCCATCAAGGTGCTGTGCTAAGAGGCCCGTATATGTCATCATGATTGCTCGCCTTATCCCGGGCGTCTATGCTACTTCTCGGCCTGAGCTTGCAATTCCCTGTCCTTCTCTTGCTCAGCTTGCTTGATCTTCGCTGCCACTTCTTCCAGTCGCTGCGTCCTCGCATTTCTCCATCCTTGTCCATGATACCTGAGTATCCACAGAATAGGCGAGAACAGCATCACTACGCCTGCTATAAAGGTGAAACACCACCCTCTGCCCATGCTTTCAATCATGATGATTATGATGGCTGTACCACCCGCTCCCATGAAGCAGCGGACAAGGTTGTTGGCAGCTATGGCTGTCGACGGACTCAGTGGATACAGATCAACCAGCATGACAGAATTGCAGTTGAAAGATCCTGTCAAGCAGAGTCCAATGAAGAATAGCATAACCAGTGGCGCCGCCAGATTCGTCTCCACTTGCATCACCCATCCGTAGCAAAGCAAGGCTGCGTCGCCAATGACCACCAGTGGCCACGTGACTTGAATGCGAGCTTGCTCAAGAGGGAAGTCTTTGAGATCAGTAGCTCGTTTCTTGTCGACAGGAAACCCATGTTTGACAGCCAGACGTCGGAAGTTCCAATCAAGAAGCTTTCCGCCTAGAGTTGGCGCGATTAGACAGCCAACTCCAAACGGAATAAAGCAAAGACCGATCTGAAGATCGTTGTAGTTGTAAATCTTGCCGAAAAGATACGGCATGCTGGCCGTCACATCGTAGAAAGCCGTGTACACCAGCGAGTTGTAGAGCAACAGCAGCCCCGTATCTTTTTCAAACACTATCTTGAGTGTCTTGAGTGGGTTTGGAAACCGTAGCTTTCGGGCCTTTATCAGACGAGCTTCTTCGAGACGAACGCTTTCGCGGGTGACTGTGCGTGTCAAAGCCGGTGCTTTGGCAGCCTTCTTGTCGTGAAGATAGTTCATGAGTGATCGATTCCAGCTTTGAGGTTTGACTGCCCCATTACCAACCACGTTGCGGCAAGTTTCCGGAAAAGCTATAAGGAATGGCACCAAGTAACAGGCACTGAGAATGACCAGGAACCAGAATATAGATCGCCAGCCCAGAAATTGGGCCAAAATGCCTCCCAGCACAGGTCCTAACGCCGGAGCGACCATAGGACCAGAGGTCACATATCCCATGTAAATACCTCGTTCGGCGCTTGTTGCGATGTCAGCAACTACGCCACTACCTAGTGCAATCGTTGCAGCACTTCCACAGCTCTGCAGACACCTCAAGATGAGCAAAGAGACGTAGTTTTGACATAGTGCAATGCCTATACAGGCGCCAATGTATACGACGAAGCATACAAAGTATACTGGCCGTCTACCGACCATGTCAGCTAGATCTCCCATAATAGCTGGCGCTATGCCTTGTGCGATCATATATGTCGTCAAAGTCAAATTGATGAGTGTCGGCGAGACTTGGAAGTCCCTAGTCAGCGAATTGAGAGCCGGGAAGTATATATTTGCCGAAACCTATGACAGTCAATGATGAGTTTCGAATACGCTGAACGAAAAGACTTACAGCGGAAAAGAAACCTGCACAAGCTGCTAACAGTGCAATGAACCTCTTCTGACTAGCCGTGAACACAGTATACGGAGCTTCCGAGATGCTAGCCTCAACGTCTCGCAAATCAATATCCTCTATGGATGATGCGACTTCATCCTCATCACGAGACGTTGATGTCGTGACCTCGTGGATGGACTCTACTGCTTCATCGGGATGGCTACGGTTTTGTTTTCGGTCTCGTCCATGAAGTGCGGTTTCACGGACTCCTGGTCCATGAGTGGTTTCCCGTCCTCGGCTTGGCTCATCGTGATGGAGCTCCTCCGAAGATGGTGGTGGCAGAGACATGATGTATGTCAGAAAAGAAGGTATGAAGCAGCATCGATCGCCTATCTCAGCCTACAAAATACAAGTCTACAATGCATATCATGACTTCCAGGGTAGTGTCTCGTTGTGCCGGATTCCGTCTGCCTACATTGCGTATCGATATACAGAGGCGATTCGTGATAGGGCGATTATGTGCATCGGCGTACCGCTTCCGCCATTGCTCCCGATATCGCCGACCGGGGATTCGAGATTTTGCCGATGGAAGGTGAGTCGGAAGAATGAAGCCGATGTTGGACGATATACATGATGCTGACATGATAGTCACAGATGCCAACGAAGGAGTTGGTCCGAAAGCTGGAGCCAAGACAAACGTCAGTTTGAGAAGCAGCTACGTAAGGTCGGCGAGAGTTCACATGCGACAAGTTGCTTCGACTTGGATGGTCAACAATCGGATCAACAAAATCTAGCACATCATGGCCGACATCACGGCAGTGTTCAACACGGCGCTGAAATCTCACAATGCGCCTCCGGCCACATTACATCGCTACTCGATCGACCGACTTGACGAGTTTCTGAAAGAAGCCTACAGCATTGTATGTTAGGATTCTTTCAGCATGGCACACGCAGTGTCTGACTTGACCATAGAATGCTCGTATAGCAGATCTTACTGCATACCTTCGGGCTGTCAGACCTTCATATCTATCCACCGCTCCTGCACCTCGACGACCACAACGACAGAACTCTTCCGACCACAAATCTACTCAGGATGCAACACAACGACATCTGTCCGATACAGAAAGAGCTTCCATCGATGCCGAAGCAAAGACAGTACTGCGACAGCTGCATGCCGCTGTAGAACGTATCAGCCAGACCGAACAGATCAGGCAGGACACGGCGTCTCACATTGCGCTCCGCAAACGCAACCAGGGTGGCTTAGGCGCGATTGGAAGATGGGCAGCTGGTGGAGCTGTCACTGCGAAGAGCGCTGAAGAAGAGGTCGAAGAGGCCAAGCAGAAGATGCTCAACGCACATCGAGAGAGTATTGTGTGGTTTCTTCAGGCCAAGCTCAGAGAAGCCGGTACTCTTCAAAGCACAATGATGGAGATCAGAATACAGCGTGAGGTCGAAAAGAGCAAGAGTGTGCTATACAAAGCGAAGAACAGCAGCATGGCCTACTCCCAGAGCCTCGATACTGTGTCAGACTCGGAAAATACAGTCGCGCAGGGACAGGAGAGGGAAGTGCCACAGTTGAGTCAAGAACAGATGGAGCTCTTTGCGCAGGAGAACCAAGACATGATGAAGCATTACCAGGACACGCTGGACCAGGTCCGGTGAGTAAATTACAGCTGTCAGTCTCTCGAAGCAACAGCTAACATGAAATACAGCACGGCGGAGCGGTCTCTGATCGAAATCTCCGAGCTTCAGTCAACGCTCGTCACCAACCTGACGGAGCAAAACGAGCATATCGAGCAACTGGTACAAGATTCCTTCTTCACGACAGAAAATGTCGGAAGGGGAAACAAAGAACTCAAGCGTGCGAGTGAGCGTACCAGCGGTGCAAGAGTTCTATTCCACAGCACGTGTGCATTCTGTGCCTTCCTCGTCGTGTGGGATCTGATATTCTAGGACTTGGACCATCCATGTTCACATGCAGTCACTCGAGGAAGTAATCTGAAATGGCAGTCAAGCCATTCGCTGGGCGATCGGCGTTTGGCTAGAAAAGCGGGTTAAGACCGCACGCTCGATGATGCTCATGCGAACCGATCAGCCTCGGGACGTCGGAGCGCCATGGCGAGCACGAGGACGTGGGGACACCGAGGTTGTCGATAGAGTACAAGCACATATTGGCATGATGTAGACGATACCGACAGTCTTTGTCTGTCCCTGTTTCCTTCATCTCGTTCTGTTATAGAAGCATCAAGCGCTCAGTTCAGCCGATTTCTATTTCTATCTTCAGCCTGAGTTCGCACAAACTTGGCGTCGGTTCCTGCCCGCGTTTCTCGGATTACTTGATAGAATAGGTACCCCGCCGGTGGTGTGCCTGCGTACGAGACGAAAATGGTTTCGTCTTTGACTCCTTCAGACCCTCAATCTCGCCTTCAACAAATCACATCCCACATATCCCATACAGACACAACCATGGCCTCATCTTTCGGAGCAGATATTGTACCCCAGGCACCTGAAGATCCCTTGTTCGGATTGATGGCCGCTTTCCGCCGCGACACTGATTCAAGCAAGGTCGACCTTGGTATTGGAGCCTACAGAGACAACAATGCAAAACCCTGGGTGCTACCCGTTGTGAAGAAGGTGCGCATACATAGATATCTCATGTCTCACCAGCTGGATCTATACAGATATTCAAGGGAAACATTTGTTTGTGGTAACGAGGGGCTAATCAAATTCGCTATCTAGGCCGATGACCTCCTTCGCCAGGACCCCAATCTCAATCACGAATACCTTCCCATCGCAGGTCTTGCCGACTTCACCACCGCTTCGCAGAAGCTAATCTTTGGTGCTGACTCGCCTGCTCTCAAGGAGAAGCGCGCTGTCGCCCTGCAGACCATCTCAGGCACTGGAGCCGTCCACTTGGGCGCTGCTTTCCTGGCCAAGTTCTACAACCCCTCGACCTCCGGGGCCAAGACCATTTATGTTTCCAACCCTACATGGGCAAACCACAACCAGATCTTCTCCAATGTCAAGCTTCCCATCAAGAACTACCCATACTTCTCTGCCGAGACCAAGGGTCTTGACTTTAAGGGAATGGTTCAGACGATAGAGCAGGCTCCGGAAAGCAGCGTCATCCTACTGCACGCTTGCGCTCACAACCCCACAGGTGTTGACCCTACTCAAGACCAGTGGAAGGAGATCGCCTCGCTCATGAAGAGCAAGTCTCAATTCCCCTTCTTCGATTGCGCATACCAAGGTTTCGCATCCGGTGACTTGAACAAGGATGCTTGGGCCATTCGTTACTTTGTCGAGCAAGGCTTCGAGATGTTCGTCGCTCAGAGTTACGCAAAGAATCTTGGTCTGTATGGCGAGCGTGCTGGCTGCTTCCACTTTGTTACTGGTCCCGGCTCTAATGCTGAGGACACTGCAACCCGTGTTGGTAGTCAGTTGGCTATTCTCCAGCGTTCCGAGATCAGCAACCCTCCCGCATATGGTGCTCGTATTGCGTCGGTCATTCTCAACGATGAGAAGCTGTTCGCCGAGTGGGAGGAGAACCTTCGTGAGATGAGCGGTCGTATCATCTCGATGCGCAAGGCTCTCAAGGGCAAGCTCGACGAGCTGCAGACGCCTGGCAACTGGGACCACATCATCAACCAGATCGGCATGTTCAGTTTCACTGGCTTGTCCGAGAAGCAAGTGTTGAAGATCAGATCCGATGCCCACGTCTACATGACCAAGAATGGCAGAATCAGTGAGTGCTAGCATTAGTTTGGCTCACAGACAAAGTACTAATCATGTGTAGGTATGGCCGGTCTCAACACCAACAACGTCGACTACTTCGCCAAGGCTGTCGACAAGGTCGTTCGCGAAACCTCATAGATTAGTCTGAGGTCACCAACCAAGGGACAGAACAGAAGATGCGTCTGTCATGTAATCATGAAGGAAAATAGCATAGGTTGGAGTAAGTGCATTAATTGGGTGTTCGGTGGGAAGTGCCTCTGCAGAACGGAACCTTCGGGAAAGGAATCAAAATGTCGCTTCACAGGTCGATTGTCTTGTCGAACGGGATCACGATGTGTGGGTGTTCGGGGTTTATGAGTGTCTTGTCTGTGTTTTGGTCGCTGTCAAGATGCACGGCTTTAGTCGTCCCTTTAGTCGGCAGTTAACCCTGACGCGGGCCGACTTGCCGATGTTGACTCTCTCCATGTCCGATTTGCCGCCCATTGGAGTTCAGGCATTTTCTTTTGCACATTGACTGCGCGTGCGGTCTCACGAAGACCGGAATACTCAATCAAGGGCGGTCCAGCGGATCATATCGTGCTCTTTCATAGTCGCCAATCACGATCGGGAGACCCGAAATCGTCCACATCATACCCCCGCATTCTCACCCGGTGGACCTCCGTCATGGCTCAGAGCCGCTTGAGTCTCATCTCTAGACATCTTAACCAGAGACCCCAAGTCGAGTTGAACACACCCTACACCCACGAGCGCCAATCCAGCCCTCCAGACGATATCCTGTACAACCCTGTGCCTGCTGCTCAAGAGCAAGAGAAGAAGACCAACATGTCGAGCCAACCACCCCACCCCGCCCTGCTCATCCCAGGTCCCATCGAGTTCGATGACCAGGTTCTGCAGTCAATGAGCCACTTCAGGTACTACAGGCACACCCTTTTCATGCTAAGCATTGACTGACAATCGCAGCGAGTCCCATGTCGGCGCACCCTTTGTCAAGACATTCGGCGAGGCCTTGACCATGCTCCGCAAGCTCTTCCAGACCGAGGACCCCGCATCGCAACCTTTCGTCATCTCGGGTTCCGGTACCCTAGGATGGGACCAAGTCGCTGCCAACCTCGCCGAGCCTGGTGATGATGTCCTGGTCCTGCACACTGGCTACTTTGCCGACAGCTTCGCCGATTGCTTCGAGACATACGGTGTCAAGGCCACTCAGCTCAAGGCTCCCATTGGCGATCGCCCTCAGCTGGACGAGGTCGAGAAGGCTCTCAGGGAAAAGAAATACAAGCTCATCACTGTCACTCACGTCGATACGTCAACTGGTGTCCTCAGTGAGATCGAGGCCCTCAGCAAGCTCGTCCACAAGGTCAGCCCCGACACGCTGGTTGTTGTCGATGGTGTCTGTAGTGTCGGCAGCGAGGAGATCCAGTTCGACAACTGGGGCATTGACTGTGTCATTACTGCCTCCCAGAAGGCCATTGGATGCCCAGCTGGTCTGAGCATCGTCATGGCTTCCGGTCGTGCCATCAAGTCCTTCCAAAGCCGCAAGGTCCCTCCCACCTCCTACTTTGGCTCGTGGAAGAATTGGATGCCCAGTATGTACATCCTCTGTTGTCCCTAGTCGTCAGAACTAACATGTCATAGTCATGCAAAACTACGAAGCTGGCAAGCCCTCATACTTTGCGACCCCCTCGCCTCAGCTTGTCCACGCTCTACACACCACTCTTACTCAAATCACATCAGTCCCATTGGCCGACCGCTTCGCTGCTCACCGCAATGCATCGCAAAAGGTCAAGAAGGCTATCACCGAACTCGGTCTCAAGCAGCTGGCCGAGAAGCCAGAGAACCAAGCCAACGGCATGACTGCCATTTACCTTCCCAAGGGCTTGACTCCTCCTGACGTTCTGCCCAAGCTCATGCAGCGTGGAGTTGTCTTTGCTGGTGGTCTGCACAAGCAGATTGCCACTCAGTACATTCGCTTTGGCCACATGGGTGTCAGCGTCACTGATCCCAACCGTGATGACATTGATCGCGCGATTGTTGCACTCAAGGAAGGCATCACGGAAGCACAGGCAGCCATGGATCTTTCTTCTAGATAGGTAGACAAAAAGTCTGATGATTGTATGTTTGTGAAAAACGTTCTTTTCTTGTTGGCAACCGATGATTTCATGTAGTCAATACCTAGTCAATACCCCAGCTTCATCTTCTCACCCCCAGCAGCATCGACCAAGGACAATGCATCTCCGTTCTTGGTACAGCCACGCCCACCTTGCCAATTGTACGGCCCACAGCTTGGAACTTCACAGTCTTTTCGACACGTGGGAATACACGATCAGCACGATATAGGGTTCCTGAGTACGTCTCGGCGCCAAGTACATGAGGAAATCTTGAGGTCAACCCGCGGAGCCTCAAGCCTTCTGTTATTCCCGGTCAACGTCCAGCTAGTAACGTCAGCTGGCACTGCTTCTTGCTCCACTTGTGCAGAACTTACTCTTCGTGAATCGTACTTGGTCTGACCTCGCAATCGCTTTCGACGTTATTCTGTTGCGATACCAGGACGGCGGATCGACGTTGATGCCCTACAGTACCAGGTCTCGTGCTACTGACATGATTCCAGTCGATTATGCTTTGCCGCTTACTGTTTTCCTCGGGGCATACTATGCTAAGACTTAGAGTCCTGCAGAAGTATCTGTGCACAGACAAGTCCGCAGTTCGATGCTCGACGTAGGACACAGTCAATATGGTTGCTCGTAGCGATGTCCAGTTTGTTATTCCCATTGCATGTTCGCTGACTGTTTGGGTTCAAGCTTAGAGACGCCAAACAATTGACACCAGTACCACGCATATACTTACCAGACCATCTAGCGGCTCATAGGTATAGTTGTGTCATACTTTCTGGGGACAAAACTTCTTGCCTATCTCGATACCAATAAGATCTAAAGCCTGGCTTTCTCGACAGGTACACTACTGCCCCAAGCACTCCCTCGTGCTTACACCACCCTTGTACTACCAGGTTCTGATCTTTCATCGCCAATCATGTACAGCTCCGCGATTCATGTCATCCATGTGACTAACTGGTTTCTGCTGATGGATCATAATGCTTCTTTCCGATTCCACGCGGATATGCCCCGAACGTTCATTGAGTTTGAGCCCTGGGCCTGGTAACGGCACTCCGCGGGTCTCCATCCTATTCACCTACTCGTGGCACGCCGCGTGGAATTAATATCTGTCCTCCGGCGCACATGCACATGGAAGTATCTGCAAATTCTTCGGGAAATGGCTGTATCCGCGGAACCGTTCATGGATGCGGCTACAATATCACTTTCTATGACTTATCGTTGTGGATCAAGAGTAGTTTCATCACCATCATCAACAGCAACAACGGCAACTCCCAGAGAAGCCAGTTCTGATCGAAGCTCCCCAATGCTCAGTCAAGTGCTCGGCGTGTTGGTTGTTCCCGGTCTGCTTCCTTGGCGAACAGCCTATTCCCTGCTATGGAGCTCTGGAAATGAGTACCGCCGGACGAAGTCGAGTATGCTTCTTTGCCTCTTTCCAGCATAAGCCAAGCTCGCATTTTATCTTGCCTCCAGTATGGTCGAGTCGTGCTGTCTGCGGGATTGAGCGTTCGAATTAGTCCTGACCCACGTGCTGAACCCTCGAGCATCATGATATGCACCCAAGCTTTCATGTGGGCACCACCACGACTCTTTTATGTATGTAGGTTTACTTCACAAGGTATTACCGCTGACATGCGCTGAGCCGCGGGCGACCGCGATCCAAGTGTTCGATGACATTGCATCATTGCCGATTGATTTGATATACAGGTGGAACTACACCTTGGACTACCTCCTTGGCAGAGTGTTATGCTTCTCAATGTCCGCGGTATGATGGCGATCGTTGTCAGGTGTAGTTCCCGGAGAGACAGGATCTATGAGGTGAAGGTCACCGCGATGTGCAAAGCAGAAGACCAGCTGGGCATATAAGAGCCATGCTGCCTGCTGTTCAGGACTAAACAGCAAACCGATCTCCTGTCTACTCCTGCACACCCCCAAGACACTCTCGTTTCTTTCCACTCAACTCTCCATCACTCTTGCCACATTCCAGCGAACCAATCATGCGTTTCACTCAGACAATCTTCGCCGTCGCAGCTCTTTCTGCCATCGGCTTTGCTGATGACAACGGCCCCTGCGACGACCAGAATGACAATGGCGTCACCTGCGTGAACGGCACACCTGTCAGCAGCAATGGCGTCGCACTCGACACAAACACTGTTACCGACTCCGCAGCCGCCTCAACTTCTACTGGCAACTCTCGCCTCTCGGTCATCACATCAACTGATACCAACATCCTGGTCTCGACGACCAGAAATGTTGTTTTGGATACTACCTCGCTTCCTCACTCCCTCGATACACGCACATCGACCTACCTGAACACTGTCGTCCAGACTCTCGACTCTGCTTACACCACCAACACCTTGAACACCAACACTGTCACTGCGACTTCCAGAGTTGGAGGTGATGCAGTCACCACTACTGCTTCGACCAACACTATCACCACCGGCACTGCTGCTTCATCGAGCTCTACCTCTTCGGGCGCTGCTGGGGCTCTCCAGACTGCGGGAAACGTTGCTTCCTTTGGTGTCGCCATTGCCGCTCTTGGTTTCGCTGCTGCTCTCTAAGTAATGGTCTGATAAAGTCAATCGCAGAGTACCTCGATGCGATTGTGAAGGGTGTTGAGGATACACAGAGAGGACCTGGGAGTATTGGGACCAAATGCCAATTGACAAAGTTGGACAGGATAGCTATCTGGGGGAGATTATGAGTCCAGGATATGTATGTTGATTGATATTTGTGTAGCAAATTCCCAGCTTCTATCATGAATTCACTCTCCGTTTGATGTTTCGTGTCCTGATACGTGCTTGTTGTCGAGATGTTGCCTCGACAGGCAGAACGTAGGACAGCAACGAGTAAGCCTTTGATTCTTGATCATTTCAACAGGTCGTGCAAGAACGGTCTGATGTTAGAGTCGCTTCGACGTTGGCAACAAACGGGAGCGCCACATGAGGGCGGATGTTGCCGGCGTCACCAATGCAAATGATGCGATTGGCCGAGGCTCGGTGGCATTCAGATGAACGATGACACGAGGGGTTTCGATGCATGCGATGACAAAGTAATTACTGCGAGCTTCTTCTGCACCCCTTCTCACTCTATCATCTTTCGCCTTTCTCTCCTCGAATACCGATACCCTCTCTCCATCCCTTCGCCATAGCTACCGTCAATTGACTCGATTCTTCAACCCCGCGATCAAGGCCTCAATCCAAAAGTATAATAGTGACGTTTGCCGAACCATTTCGGTCGCCGCAAGACATCTTTCTTCTCCTACAAGCAATTCGACTGCACCAATCCACAAGACATAGCACAACATGTCCTTCTCATCCCTCGTATCCGATCTGACATACCGCGACCGCAATGGCGGCAACGACGACAGACGCGGTCCCATGTCGCGACAGGTCTCGACCATGTCTCGTGCCCGATCTTACGCCAGCACCGCAGCCACAAGCGTCAGCATCACCGGAGACATCTCGAGTCAGCTTCACGGCGGTTACAGTCACCCTCTCGCTCGCGCATGGCAGGCTGAGCGCCAGTTGACAAAGTCGATGCTCATCTATCCTTTGTTCATCACCGACAACCCTGACGAGGAGACGCTGATTCCTTCATTGCCTGGACAATACCGCCGCGGCCTCAACAAGATTGTCCCCTTCCTCCGCCCTTTGATCGCAAAGGGCCTCAAGTCGGTCATTCTGTTCGGTGTACCGCTTCACCCTGACGCCAAAGACGCTCTGGGCACTTCAGCCGACGACCCGACCGGTCCCGTCATCGCCTCGATCCGCCTGCTGCGCAAGGCTTTCCCCTCGCTCTTCATTACTGCAGACGTATGTCTGTGCGAGTACACCAGCCACGGTCACTGTGGTATCTTGCGCGAGGACGGCAGTTTGAACAATGCTCTGTCCGTCGACCGCATCTCGGATGTCGCCATGGCATATGCCGAGGCTGGTGCTCACTGCGTTGCTCCTTCCGACATGAACGATGGCCGCATCCGCGCCATCAAGCTCAAGCTCATCGAAGCTGGAATCGCACACAAGGTTGTCCTCATGTCCTACTCGGCCAAATTCAGCGGCTGTCTGTACGGCCCCTTCCGTGATGCTGCTGGCAGCTCACCCTCGTTCGGCGACAGAAGGTAAGTTTTCGCCCTTTCTTATATCCTACAATCTAGCATACTAATCCTCCACCTCCCAGATGCTACCAACTGCCCCCCGGCGGCCGCGGTCTCGCCCGCCGAGCAATCGTCCGCGACATCAACGAAGGCGCCGATATCATCATGGTCAAGCCCGCCTCTCAATACCTCGACATTATCAGTGACGCAAAAGAGATTGGCAAGGACTTGCCTGTCGCCGCATACCAGGTCAGCGGTGAATACGCCATGATTTGCGCGGCTGCCAAGGCTGGCGTGTTTGATTTGAAGACCATGGCTTTTGAAGCCACCGAAGGCATTCTTCGTGCTGGCGCGAGTATTGTTGTTTCGTACTTTACTCCTGATTTCTTGGATTGGTTGGAGAACTAGATGATGAAGGTTGAAGAAGCAGGAACACTGGTTTGTTCCTGCTTGTATGACTCACCCTTTTTGCTGCATACCCTGCTCTTTCTTCTTCGGTGGGCAGGAGTTCTTTCTTCTTCGGATGGCGTTTTTTGCTGGGATGACAGCCTTGTTCCTTCTGAGCGATCTTGCCTTTTCTTCTTGCTGTTGCGCTTTTTATTAATGATACCGAAAAAAAAGAATATCACGAACCCGCATCTCAACTCTACTCAGAGTCTTCTCCCTTCTCTGATACAATAGTGTCTCGCTTTGTTGTGCCGAACTTCGAGCTTGAGCGACTAGAGAATTGAATGGTCCAAGATTCAAGAGAGAGCAGCTAACACAGAAGCAAAGATTACATAGAATGCCGTCAGTCTCAACTTCTCAGGACCATACTTGTCCAAAAAGAAAAAGAAACTCCTTCATTGAGCAATCGGCCTCAATGCCAAAGATTAAGAGGTAGTTTTCACGAAGTAGAGATCACAAGCTGTGTTACTAGTACAAGTCTATGGGACAAGCACCAGGTCCATGTCTCTAGGAAAAGGCACCTGGCATTTCCAACTCTCGTGACTGATGCAAATATTCTCCCTGATTGTGTGGCTCGGTATTTGTGAGATATTGGTGGTAGCATCGGATCCATGGACCTGGTTTACTACTTGATACGGAGATTTCTCGAGAACAGTATGCAGGCTACAATCCCACCGACCGAACGAGCTTTCACCGTCATCCTCGAGAGTGGCTTCGACATCGGATGATTCGTTGAGCGGGGTTTCGACCTCAAGAGGCTTCGAGGACTGGTTCGAGAGGAGTTGTCCTCAGGTTGCGTTGAGGGGCGAATATAGCCGAAGCGTAGGGTGGGCATGTTTTCATTCGTACGTCAGGAGTCTAAGTAAGCAGCTTAAGCCGCCTATGCTTACTATCCTTAAGTCACGGTATAGAGAGTGGTGATTGTACAAAGTCACTGGGTTAAGCTAGCATTCAAGTCTTTATCATCCCGTTCTGATTATGCTCCACCAGAGACGAGCGAGATCGACGCTGTGGAATAGAAGGACTTCGATCATATCGACAGCAAGCTTTTTCTGATGAGGACACTTCTTAGATGAAAGAGTTGTACCAACGAACTTTTTCATATACTCCAGGACAGATTGACCTTGAAAACGAGATGTTTTCTATTGTAACGTCTTCCGGATGATGTTCAGTCTCATAGCCAGTGGTTCCAATGAGATCTCCAGCACGAGCACCTGGAAGTGCCTCTCTAAGTCTCAACAATGGAGTGATGGAGGATTATTGCCCCGGTCTTTGTCAGACAGAAGGGTTAGCAATGAATCGATAACAGACAGACGGTTAGCGGCTCGCTGCACAAGCATTGTCTGCGTGGTGATGATATCCTGCCAATCCTTTGTTTGAAGCATAGCGATCCTCATACTTTTCAAATTTACGCAGGTCGTAGACATGACTGGTATCTGTTTTCAGTGCCACTACATTCATCTGCCTGAGAACGGGACCGGCAGCCAATCAGATGCATCTTCCGCTGGCCACGAAAGCGACACAGTCGAGTATTGGAACCTCGGCAGACAGACTGGTATTGTCTCTCTTGTTCGTGATGAATCTAGAGACATTTGTTCGGGTATCGATGAGTAATGCTCTTGCCTTGTATTGAAATCGAGGACCCATGAGCGTAAACGAATGCCTCTGGGTTGGCAGCACGGCCCGGAACTTTGTCGTCATCACATTCTCTGATGGCGCTGAGTGCGTTTGACTGATCCGGAGAAAATGGCTGATGATCCGCGAGTTGCTTGATAATGGAGACGGTTCAAGTTTGGAAGTGGCTACTGCTGGCGTTTTGTGCCGTGTGCTGCGATTTGCTGCCGCTCGAGCTTCGCACAGGACGCGTTCTGACAGAAGCTCCAAGGCATCGTGGTCTGGCGATCCTTCGTCTTGTTGAATCTTTCTTTATTCTCACGAAGGTCGATTTGACTGTGGAAACACGAATATCATGCTCTATAATAAAGCCGAAATATTGTGTCTCGGGTGGTGGATGGTTCCGAGCCAACTGGCAGTCCCGCGAAATCACGCCAACGTCATTCCGTCCTGACCAGATCATTCCTTCTAACCTTTATAGGGCTATGCATCTTGGTCATTCCCAGCCTCGATCTTCTTTCACGAATCGCAAAGCATCGATATGTCGTTCGTGCATATGACCGGCCGATTTTGGGCGCCACGGGATCGACTGCCAACTCCAGCTTTCGCTACCTGTAGGAGTCACATCGACGTCTCGGATCTTGACATCGTTACCAACGACCAGTTCCTGGAGATCTGAACCAGCCAGCTGGGACCGACGTGTTTGCTTGGCTGGCCTAAGTGGGTTCCTCATCCACATTATTCGCTATCATCCCTGCAGACATCAACCTTGACCAACCAAGCATGAAGAAGTAGTGTGTACCTGACATCGTCGCGCCAATCAGAGACTTGAGATGACATTTCGGTCAACACATCTGATGGGAATCATGGAAAAACCATGGCCAAGAGACTTGCCTTCTGGTTCGCTGCGGAGACTGGTATGTGGTCACTGACTATGCTCTTGTGGACGGGCTAGGACGTAGTGTAGGTCTTGCATCATCACCGAGCATGACCATATCATGAGGCTTGGGTCAAGTTTGGGAACGAGATGCATCCAGACATCCCTCTTGTCTCTGAGACTGGGACTGAACTTGCAATCCGCCTCAACGACTCAAGCTATTTGAATTGCACGCCAGCTTAATCACTTGAAGGATGGTGCGACGTCCATCCACCACTTCCACATTCGCAAGTCAACGAACAGGAAGTATCCATGAACCAAGAGAAGACAGGGCCCTCTCTACCAATCCTACAACCGATGTTATTATACCGTCGGTCTTGCTAAATGCGCTCACGTCTGGTCCTTACAACACACACCCGAACCAATACCAGGAAAAGACGACCCAGGAAAGCAACAATGGATTTGACGTACGTGAGGTAGCACGGCAGCTACACGAAGAGACATCTCGTATCCTCGCCCGCTCTGCCAGTGTCTCTGTTGCTGAGCTAGCCCGCAATGCGGCGCCCACATCTGCACATGAGTTGCGCAAGACCAGTCTGGATCCAAACTTTGGTTCGAGTCTAGAGGATAGGCAATTGAGCCCACGCCAGACAGATCCGGGACGACACGCCTTGTCCACGGTGACAGAAGGAAAGGTTCTGGCAAGTCGCAAGCCGGCGACCACCAATGATTACTTTGGTGATTATACTATTGGAACACAGGGTCATCCACTACCGCGACGCACATCTTCCGGTATCAGCGCTTCAAGGAAGTCCCGAGTGGACGAACCTAGTCCAACCCATCCAAACCCGTTTCGATCGTCAAACAGGAACCCCTCGAATGATATCAACGTCACTCGAGTAAGCACACAAAGATCTCGACGATCCACAGCAGGCGGATCTCGCAAAGAGAGTATCGTGCAGCGCTCTGCTTCTATTGTACTCAATACGGTCGAAGACGTGAAAGAAGCCATACGAAGGAGTAGCATCTACGACGTCTACGAGAAAGCTAAAACGCGTGGTATCGAACTACAAAGAAGCAAATGGGCCATGCGACTCTTCGAGTATACATTCTATCTCATACTTGTCGCCTTCGTATACTTTGTCCTCGTTGGAGTACCCTTGTGGAAAGGTGCCGTTTACTGGTTGTACTGGGTGTTCAAACACAAGTTCGCCGTCCCTGGAACATGGTATGTTGTCCATCTACTACGAAGCTCTGGGTTTCTGATGCGTACAGGGCCGTCACCATCGGTATTGCTTTCCTCTACGCTTGGACTCCGCTGCTTGTCTTCTTCGAAAAAGACCCGCCCATGCCTGTTGATATTGACAACATTGATCCCAACCGAACACCCGGTGTCCACAACACAGCGCTCATGATACCCTGTTACAAGAGCGCCAATATCATTGGTCCTACTCTAGAGGCAGCCTTGAAGATCTTTCCGCCTTCACACATCTTCGTCATCGCCAACGGTAACAGTCCAACCCCGCTTGATGATACTGAATTAGTATGTCGTCCCTACGGAGTCAACCATGTCTGGTCTCCCGTCGGCTCGAAAATCGTCGCACAGTTTGTGGGATGTTACGCTGCAAAAGGCTTCAAGAACGTCCTCCTCATCGACGATGATTGCGCTCTCCCTCCGAATTTCCCCATTGTCAGCGACAGAATGACGCCGATGATCAAATGTATAGGGTATACGATCAAATCTGTGGGACCAGAATCATCTCGAGGTACTTTGTGTCAACAGGCTCAAGATTTGGAGTACAAGATCAGTGGCATTCAACGAGCCTTGGCTGGATACATGGGCAGCGCAACCTTTCCTCACGGCGCTATCTCGCTCTGGGACCGTGAGTTTCTGATTCAGACGTTCTACAAACACCCAGGCTTCAGTGTCTCCGAGGACTGGTTCTTTGGTCATGTGGCTAGACAGCTTGGCTCCAGAATCACGATGTGTACCTCGGTCTTCATCGAGACCGAAACACCGAATGCTGTCTTTTTCAGCTCTGGCGGCGCACGAGGAGGTTTCGGTGAGATGACCATCTTCAAACAACGCTTCTATCGCTGGAATTTCTTCTTCGTTAACGGTATGTACTATAACATGGCCTACATCCTGGGTTCCTGGAGACTCGGCTTCTGGGAGATAGGAGCCAAACTTTTCGTGTTTCAAGAAGTCTACGAGACACTGTTGTACCTCTTTACGCCATTCGTACTTCCTATCTCAATCATCGTACGCCCGGAGTTTTTCGGTTATTTGTTTGCGGGCACATTTATGTTGTATTTCCTCAACGCCATCATCTTCAACGAGCTCCATCTGAGGTTGAAGAGGGAAAGAGTTGGATCTACGTGTCTCTATCTCTATTACATGCCATACAAGATCGTGCTCACGTTCATCAATGTTGGCAGCTGCTACTACTCACTATACAAGTATGCCCAGTACTTCGCTCGGCGCCACCCAAAAATTGTCGAAGACGAGAAAGCAGTCGATGTAGTCTTGAGGATGGAAGAACAGCAGGATACCCTGGCCGATCAAGGACGACGCATGACCATCACAGCAGTCGGTGCTCAAACTCAAGGATCACTGATTGAACAAACACCTTCTGGACCTACGGAGAGAAAGATGACAATTACCACTCTAGGCCCCAAACTTGACATCCAACCCATGTCTCCAGTGATGGAGCAACCAGAGCAGTTCACGCCCGCCATCAGACTCCAAGGCGAACGTGTCAGTTTTGGCTCTGTCAGCCGACACAGCAACAGCTCAGCAGTCAAGTTCGAGCGTATACCGAGCCACACCTCCGAAGGCATCTCGCCAGGCCAGAACGTTGAGCGGCCCTTGAACACACTACCTGCAGCATCTATGGATCAATCTAGGCGCTCACCTAGCATCCGATCAGACCATTCACGTCGCTCTGCCAGTGTTCGCTCAGACTCGCTGCGTCGCTCTATCAGTCTTACCCACTCGCCCATCTCTGCCGACTTTGCGTCTCCTGGCTTTGAAGAACTGATGGATAGATTGGCGCTTGTGGAATCGAGACTCAACCCCAACACGGTTTCTGCTGTTGAAGTTGACATAGTTGAGAAAACTGTACCTACTGTGCCAGAGGCGTCGCGATATTTGGAGTATTTCGAGACGGTACCGAGGATCTCGGAGGAAGAGGACGATGACGAGGATTACGAGTTGGAGAAATTAGAAAAGTCTGGTTCGAGGAAGACTGATGATTCGAGGAGTATGGTATAAGTTGGGAGATGTGGTCAAGTTGGAAGGTCTGGTTCAGATGGTCGTGTATATAAGTAATTCGACAATTGGAGATCACAGTACACAATACGATCGTATGGCACTGGCCAACAGAACCGCATATCCTTCCCTATGAGTTATTATTCACGTTGCAGATCTCCTTTGCAGCTTCCCAGCTCAATGTCGAAGGGATTGAAGTCGTCATCAATCCCGAAAGCCGAGTCAATGAAGGGTCATAGAGCCATGTCGACTGATGGAAAGCACTCGAATGGCGACGAGAACAGGAGATTACAGTATGTTAGCAGGCAGAACACCGACACCATGTCAGAGCTTGTGTCCCATGGAGATCGGGGTTGTATCAAGGGCCACTGAATCCATCCACTCGCGAGCTGATAGCCGACTAGGCGCATCTTCCATCAGTCGCGAAGGCGATGCAGTCGAGTGATAATGGAAAAGTATTGATGGAGAAAGTCGCTTTGCCTCTCTTGTACTTGTTACAACCAAGAGCTTATGTTTGCTCAGACGTTGATGAACAGTCCCCATGGGTTACACTGTACCGAGATCGTGAGAACATGAGCGTGAGCGAATGTCTCGAGGTCGGCAGCACGGCCTAGGACACTCTCACTATCCGGACGATACCTCGTTGCGGAGAAGTGTATTCGACCAGTCCGGAGAAGATGGTTGATGGCCCGTGATTTGCTTAATGATATAGATGGCTTTTGGGTTCGAAAGTCGCTACTGCCGGCGTTTTTGTGCCGTATGCTTAGGTTGCTTCCGGTTAAAGGTTTGCATTGGAGTCCTTGACTTGACTCTAAACATTCAATGCACCATGCTCTTGCAATCTTTGATCTTATCAAGTCTCCGAGCATCAGTTGCGACCTGGCACTATGGGTCCCACGCTCAACAATGAGGCTGAAATATTGTATGCCGGGTAGTGGTTGAAATCCGGAAGTTTCGACGTCCCCACCTCCACGCAATCGTACCTTCTAACCTTTCTAGGGTTGCGCATCTTGAACCTTCTCGGTCTGGATCTTGAACTCATTCAGCCTCGACCTTTTGCACACGCAATGTAAAAACATCAAGATGTCCTCCTCGCACCCATGGGGCCCGTTCTGGCCGGCTCGGAAACGACTGCCATCTCTAGCTCTCGATACCTGCATTCGTCACATTGTCACTGCCGATTTGGGTATTGACATAGTCACCAACGATCAAGTACCCCCAGGTGGCGCCGATCTGTCTCCTTGGTTGGCTTAAGGAATCTTTCTATCCCACCGTCGCCATCATCCCTGCAGACATCAATCTTGACCGAGCAAGCATGAAGAAGTAACCTGCATCTGATACGCTCATGCCAATCAGAGCTTTGAAACCACGCTTCGGGGAACACACCTCTAGAGATGATCATGCGAAGATCCAAATTGGCTCGGTACTTCAGTCGACGCCACTCGAAAACTGTCGAAGCTGAGAAAAGAGTCGTTGTATATCTGTGGAGAGAGGAGCAGCAACAACAGTATCGAGCTACTCTGGCTGGTCAGCAACACCGTTCAACAATCACAGCAGGTGATTTCCCAAACCAGGCATCATCAATGGTGGAACAAATGCCGTCTGGGCCCCCGGAGCCAAGAACGATAGCCACTACTTCTCAAGGCCCAAGACTCGATATCCAACCCGTATTACGGTTTATGAAGGAGCAACTAGAGCAATCCGCTCAAGCAACTAGTCCCCAAGACGAGCGTGTCAGTATTGGCTCCAACAGTTCCGCCATCAATACCGAACGACGACGCAATCACACCCCCAAAGACATATCAGCAAGCCAGGATATCGTACCTCCCTTACATCCCACACCTAAAAGATCTCCAGGCGAACACGAACACTCGCCGAGTCTTTATTCAAAGTCTGCAGATAATTCCACCACACCCTCACACACATCTGCTGATTTCGAGACTCCCGATTTTGCGGAACTGATGGATGGATTGGCGATTGTGATGTCGAAGTTAAACCCTCGTAATGATTCTGTTGTTGGGATAGATTCTGCTATTGGTGGTTTTGGCATAGCTGAGGAAGTCGCGGCTGTTGTGCCTGATGCATCGCGGTATTCTGGTTATATCGTTATGGTGCCGAGGATCTCAGAGGAAGAGGAAGACGAGGAGCATGAGAGGGAGAGAATTGGACGATCGAATGAGAATAAGAATGATGTGTCGAGGAGTACGATATAGGGCTGGAGACGGGGTTTGAGTTTGAGAGTCTGGTATCGCATGGTCTTATGTATATACAGCAATCTGATGGCATTGTGTTTGCAAATGACAAAAGTGTGAAGAGTCGGGAACGACTTAGGGAAAATACAGATCATTTGCAAATCAATGTTGGAAATGATTGCAGATGTTACTCATCATAGATTCGTTACTTGCTTGAATTTGGAAAGGGAACAACCATCCTTCTGCACTTGCGCCTCGCTTGGAAGAAACAGGAAGACCAGCTTCCGACCTTTCCGTCAATACATGTCCAAAGGGCAAGCTATTACCAAAAACATGAAACCTCGCCGCAGATTTGCAAGAATTGCGTTGTTGTCGCTGGATGCAAAAGTTCGACTTCACGAAAGCGTAGCCATCATCAAGGCAATCTTTCTAGCCTGCTTTCTCTCCTTCTCGGCGGCTATGAAGAACGAGTCAGCCAGATGTTCAAGATATACTGTGCGGTCTACGCAGGAAAAAGACACACCGATCACCGCGCAGACCTGACAAGCGCCATCCTACCTTTCCGGTCCTTTTCGACACGAATGACTTCTCTCTTGGGACTTCTGTCCCGCTCCACATATTCGACGATTCCTCGGTCGGGACGACGTTCTCTGTACTCGACCATCTCGTAGCCACTTTGTTGTGGTTGTGCTACGATGATTTGACCGTGATGGTGGTGTTGTTGGGCTTCACGTTCGAGACGAAGAGCGCGGGCTTCGGCTTCCAGGGCGCGGACTTCGGCGTGGACGTCACGGCTGTGTTCGCGGCGGCGCTCGGGCAGCACGATAGTCATGGGTTGTTGTGGAGGTGGAACAGGCCGGGCTGGCTCCTGGATGTAGATAGGAGCAGGAGGTGGAGCAGGAGCTTGTTCTCTAATATAGATAGGAGCTGGAGGAGGAGCGGGCGGAGGGTCGCGAATGTAGATAGTCTGTGGCTGAGGTGGAGGCGGGGCGGGCGATGGGTGGCGAACTGTACGAGCTGGAGAACTGCGGCGAGTACGAGAGGAGCGTGCAGGAGAGGGTGCACGAACGCTGGGAGGGTTGATCCACTCGGTCTTGAGGTGCTCATAGTGCTCCTCGGCGGGCTCGTCGTAACGGTACGTCTTGGTTTCTGCTCCCATCAGCAAGTGGACACATGCGTTGACATAGAAAATGGACTTACTCGGCTCCTTGTATTGCTCGCTGATGCGAATGACTTCGTCAATGTGCTCCTTGTCCAGAGCTCTCTGCACGACAATGAAGTCCTCCTGTTCGCCGTCAGCTGAGATGTTGATGATTGATTGTCGACAGAGTCTCACCTCCTCCTCGAAAGGATAGCCCAGGTTGATGATGGCCTCCTTACGTACCAGCCTCTTGGGCATGCGAGTCTTTCCCTTCTTGCCAATCTTTGGCGGACTGGGACTGCCATGTCTACTGTGCTTGCTGCGTCGACTGACTTCGGTGACACTGCTCCGGCTGCTGCTGCTACTGCTACTGCTAGAGCTGCGAGTGGTCCGTCCACTGCGCTTGGTAGTCGAACTACGAGCATCGCTTCTTGCCCGATCGCGGTTTCCGCGTCTGCGATGGACGCTCTTCTCACGCATGATTTCGACATCGCGATACGAATCCTGCGGAGAATAGTCTCTGCGTCTCACATCTTCGTACTCCTCCTCGTACCAGCCGCCGGGGGGACCGCGTGAGGGAGAGCGTCGACGCGGCAGTGGGATCGGAACGCCAGGTGGGATGCGGTACTCGTCTTGCTCGTAACGACGTAGTGGTCGACGGTCGAAGGTGTCGAGACTGCTCTGCCTCCTCTGTAGACCTGGACGAGGGACGTTCCTGGTCTCGCGAAACTCGAAATCACGATCGATGATCGACTTTCTCCTGTAGGGTGCGAGCTGGAGGTCGGCAAGCTCGCGAGGGTCTCTGTCACCAAAGAGTTCACGGTCTGAACGACGGGGTCTGGCAGCAGGGCCATACGAGTCTTCGGCGAAAACATCTCTTTCACGTCGAGGAGGCGGACCTCTGTCGATTCTCTCCTCTATATGTATATCTTGGCGACCTGGGCGGTCATGTTCGGTGAATCGGAAAGTCTCGCGTTCCTCGACAGGGGCAGGAGGTCTGCGTGAGTAGCGTTCGAAGCGGTCGCGGTCCCATCGTTGTGCTTGGGGTTCTTCTCCGTAGGCAAGGTCGTTGCTGGAATGGCGGCCGTATTGCGAGCGCGACATGACGAAGGATGTCTCTGACCCTGACGGGTAGGATGTTTGGTAGAAACGGTTGTGAGTTTGGTAGCGCGGGGATATTTGGGGTGTAAGCTTCAGCAGCGCAGAGATGCCCGACGACTCTTGTGACACGTCTTTCCGAGAAGCTTTTTGTGCTGTTTCTTGTTTCTGAGACTCGACTTCTCTCAAAGACCAGGCTTGTGCAAAAGTCAGGAAATGTCCAGAATCAGGAAGGTACGCGACGGGGAGCAGTCGCGGTCCAAGCTGCAAGTCGGCGCCCAAATTCAAGGCAGAAACGTCATTCAAGCCCATCGACACCCAATGACTGTACAAGTCAAACCTCCTTGCCGTCCTTCTCTATCCAATCGCTCTTCCGCCTTACTGCGACTTTATGCCTTGTTTCCTGGTTTGCGGCACTCTCTCCCTTCTGTCTTGATGACCTGCACACAGACCACACGGACTACACGTCGCACACTGTCTTAATCACATCTTGCTGCATGACGAACCAAAGTGTTGAGTATATGTTCACTAAAATTACACCTCCCACCACGTACGGCCACAGTCAGCTGAAAACTGGGCATCCCGTCCGCTCTGCCATACATAAGCAGTTGAACGGCAGATTAGTACTACGGTGGGTGACCACGTGGGAATCCCTGCTGCTGTACGTTTTGCTCTCAGAACATAACCTCATCCTTTTGCTTCGCCTCTGCCTAAACGACATCCTCCATACGCAGCATCTTGACTATGTATTTAGCCGCAGATCCAGCCGCTCTTCCCACGCTACATCTTCCCCGCACACACATTCAACTCGTCTTGCCACCACTTGCTCCGTGCCCTATCCCTCAGGCCATCTCAGCATTATGCAGCAGTCAATGGCCCTGCCTGTCTGCCTGCGGGGTTGTGGCTGGCTCGCGGCTGAAAGGCAGACCGGCAAGATCAATTGCTATAAGTAGAGAGGTAGTAGTGTCTGAAGCTAAGTGCTATCATCCATCAGTATCTTGTTGTCGTGTAGAGTAGCAACTATGCTCTCCAGATTCCTTCTACCGCTAACTTCCTTACTTCCTGTTCTGGTCAGCAGCCAAACCCCGGTGGAAAACAATGCTCTGGGCACACCCAATCTTGTCCACAATGGAAGCTTCACCAAAGGGACTCCAGGATGGGTGAGCAAACCTTCTGGTACTGTCCAGGATGGTATGCTCTGCGTCATCGTTCCTGCCAACACTACTGCCAAAGCAAGCTACATCCAGACCACTCAAAACTTTACTCAGATCAAGAACGACATCTACTATCTGAATTTCACCGCCTACGCCGCTCAACCCGTCAACATCTGGATCCAGACGAATGGTTATGATCCTTCCGCTGGGGGCGCTCCAGTCGATCCCAACCTGAACACCACCCAGGTCCCTTTGACAACGATTCCAGGACCTTTCTCATTCATCTTTTCACCTGCCAATCAAGAAAATAACTCTACGTTGACCTTCTTCCTTGGTGGAAGCAACAATCTCACGAACGAGATCTGTCTCAGCGATGTATCTCTCCATCGTATCAACCGCTTGCCGTACTTCCAAGACACTGGAAGAGCGATCAAGATCAACCAGCTCGGCTACCTGCCAAATGGTCCAAAACTCGCTACGCTGGTCTCGAAAAGCAACTCGTCCTTGACATGGCATCTAAAGAACAGTAGCGGTACATCGGTTTCATCTGGCCGGACATTCCCTTTCGGCAACGATACATCATCTGGCGTAAACGTGCATACTATTGACTTCACGAACTACACTAGCATAGGCGCCAACTTCCGTCTGCAAATAGATGGTAGCGAACCCAGCTATCCTTTTGCCATATCGGACCAGTTGTACACAACACTCCCTCAGGATGCGATGCAATTTTTCTACCAGCAGCGTAGTGGTATTGCCATCGATGCTGAGCTTGTTGGATCGCAATATGCTCGGCCAGCCGGTCATGTCAATGTCTTCCCAAATCAAGGCGATGTCGTGACACCTTGTCAGTATGCTTGGGAGTCGAATGTCACATATCTCGAACCATGGACATGCAACTACACACTCGACGTATCGCAAGGATGGTATGATGCTGGAGATCAGGGTAAATATGTTGTCAACGGAGGCATTTCGACGGCTCAAATCCTGATGGCGTACGAACGAACGTTGTGGACAACAAACAACACTTTACAGTATAAGCCGGTCAGTGATGGGTCTTTGAGGATACCAGAACGCTACAACGGCTACCCTGACTTCCTCGATGAAGCTCGCTGGGAAATGGAGTTTATGCTCAAGATGCAAGTTCCTGCAAACTCTCCGCCCCAGCTATTTAATGGTTCATATATTGGTAAGTATCACGAAGACAGATCATTTGCCGTTGCTAACGTGTACCAGACATGTCAGGACTTGTCCATCATAAGATGCACGATAACCAATGGACGCCATTGCCAACACCTCCAAACCTCGATCCCAAACGAAGAGAGCTTCATCGCCCATCCACAGCTGCAACTCTCAATATGGTAGCCACGGCAGCTATGAGTGCAAGACTCTGGGGTCTGTTCGACGCCGATTTTGCTAAAAGATGCTTGGATGCTGCCCGCGTAGGTTACGCTGCCGCCAAAGCCAATCCTGCTATCTACGCTCCAGGTACTGATTGGGACCTCGGAGGTGGTGCATACAGCGATGACGATGTGCGAGATGAGTTCTACTGGGCAGCTGCGGAGATGTACATCACGACCTCTGAAGCTCAGTTTGAGAATGATGTCATATCTAACTACTATTACACTGCCAACGCATCGACTCTGTTTCCTGACGGTGGCTTTGGATGGTCGTCCATGCAGGCGATAGCACAGCTCAACCTTGCCGCTGTACCGAACAACATCACTGGAAGAAACGCAATCATCAAGTCGGTAATGACAGGCGCCGATCAGTATATCGCTATCCAGCAAACACAACCCACGGATGTCTACATAACCTCATACCCCTGGGGCAGCAACAGCAACCAACTCAACTGCATTCAAGTAGTCGCAACGGCCTATGATATCTCGCGCAACACGTCTTACCGCACCTCTGCCTTGTCAGGCATGGACTACATCTTCGGCCGCAACGCAATCTCTCAATCCTACGTCCACGGCTATGGCACCAAGACATCGAGCAACATACATTCTCGCCTGTATGCTGCTGAACTCAGTCGTCTGATCGTCCAAGATCCTATTGTTCCGCCACCACCCAAGGGAGCTATGGCTGGTGGTGCTAATGAGAGTCCTGCGGATCCACCTGCTGATGATGTGTTGAAGGGTTGTGTGGGTCAATTCTGCTATGTGGATGACGTGAACAGTTATAGTACTAATGAGGTGGCTATCAATTGGGGTAGTGCGTTGGCTTGGGTGGCTAGTTGGGCAAGTAACCATTAGGTCATGAGAGTCTCATGCTTTGTTTAGTTGTAGGTGATTTTGTTTAGCTTGTATCTAAGCTGCTCTTTGGGCAGGGGAGTCGCATCACAACTGCCTCAATTGCAACTCTAGCTAACATTAGCCAGTATCAGCGTACCCACAGTGCCGGGTCTCTTTGTGCAAAATCATTGAATGCTAGAGGCTGGCATTCCTTTCGCTGAACCGGGTCACTCTCGCCTTACACTTAGAAAAGTTGCTCCATTTGAGCATGTGTTGCACGTCATACATCGTGCAATTTGACAAAAACGATCGACAACATCTAGAAGCGGACACGAGGGCTAGGGATTCATTGTCGGATTGCAAAAAGGGCATGGAGACAGCCATTCAAGGTCGTTCTTGCCTCAAGCTTGATACAGTGCCTTCTTTCGACAGTGCGATGCACGTTTTACGTCGTGCAAGTCGACGGACTGGTGGTTGATTATATCGCAAATACGAACATAGTTGCCCGCGGTTACATTGTCAGTCTACACAAAGGTCTAGAGATTGCCTTTCGTCAACCGGGTCACTTTCGACGGCATCTTTGCACCATCATCCCGTTCAATTGGGTGGAGCTTGTTATACATTGTGTAAGCCGACGGGCTGCTAGTTAAAGATTTTGTAGAAAGGTAAACGATGCTGAATAGTCATTGTCGGCTTGCAAACGGGTCAGGACCACCCACCGTCGCTCACAAAACAACGATCAGAGCACCCAAGGCGAGGACGACCCGATTGGCGAAACGGGTGTCGCCTTTGGCCGTTGTGAATGATCTTTGATCGACGACGGTGCCAGCAGTGTGGGTGCGATGGTGCTGGCTGGTGCTGGCTGAGGTTGTTGCTGCAGATGTTGTGATCAGATTCAACTGCTGAAAGAGCATATTATATACAGAATCATACTCCCCAGTGATATGGATGTTGGGAGGTGCTTGAGAGTTGAAGCTTTCCTGTTGGTAATGCTTCCGAAAGTCGATGTAGATGAGATGGTGAAGGTTGCCAACGAAAGTCACCTTCGTCCTTCGATGAGGGGTTCTGAGCTCCTTATCGCCCCTGACTACGTGTTCAGGGTAGACTCGTAGATGATCAGAGTAATATCAGAGCAGCGTTGAAATATCTAGACTTTCCTTTTCACACGTGCTGGAGGGGTTTGCGACTTGCATGGCATTCGCACGATGACAAGATTACGAGGGCAGGGTGGTGGAGGTCCGAGCTCAACAAACAAATTGACAAGAGACGGCAACAAATGTTCATTTAATCACACCAGACACACAAGATGCAGGCAATCACAGCAAGGAGTCGACCAGTACTAAGGAGCGCTCAGCTCTGCTTCCGCTATCGCTATGCGACCGACGCACCCTCTTCGGCACCGCCGCTACTTCTCAAACTCCGCTCCGACCTGAAGACGGCCATGAAGGCCAAAGACACCAACCGTCTCAACGTATTGCGCGGTCTGCTGGCCGAAGTCACCAACGCCGCAAAGACAGCACAGCCTCTCGACTCAGACATGAAGCTCCTGGGTCTGTTGCGCAAGCGTACGTCGGCAGCCACGCAAGCAGCCAAGGAGTTCTCCGACGCTGGAAGAGCAGACTTGACGGAAAAGGAAAATGCTGCCATCAAGGTGTTGGAGGAATACGCTGGCAACGTCGAGACTGTGGGTGAAGATTACATCAAGGAGGTTGTGCAGAGCACCATCAACAGCATCAAGGCTGAGGCCCAAGGTGCAAAGGTCGTCATGGGCGATGTGCTCAAGAAGCTGTTGGCTCCTGGTGGCATCTTCGAGGGCAAGGCCGTCGAGAAGTCTCAGGTCGCAAAGGCTGTCAGACAGTTCTTGGACACAAAGTGATCGCGTCGTGTCGTCCGACACAGCCCATCATTGGTATGTCTACACACCTGGACGCTGTCGTTGCTGATTCTGAAGCTTATCCCTCTCTTTCCAGCTCGCCAACATCCAGCTGAGCCACAGAGGCAGGAACGTCCTTCAGGCCGCTTCCCACATATGTACAAATACCTACCGCGTCATACAGTTGTAAAAATAGTCCTCCCACGCACCTGCCTTGCATGTCACTTTCCTTACCGCGGAGCAAGAAAGCAGAAGTTCATTGGTCTCGCGTCCCTTCCCTTTCTGGTCAACCACGCGTTTCTTTCTGCCCTCGGATCTGGTTCATCTCTGAGACCCGCGGCCCATGTCTCAGGTACCCAGATTGACAATGCTCCTGTTCTTCACCTATCACATCTCTTCGGTGTCCCTGGTTGCTGATTACGACACATGTTCGAATACCCATTCCACTGTGTCACGATGGGCTCCCGTCTGAGCCACTTGCAATGGCAAGCTTTATGGTTTCGACGAAGGTTGACTGTGTGTCAAGTAGTCCAGAGCATGCGCATCTCATTCTCTTACTCAACAGATATGTGCTATGACGATTCCTATGAGTTGTTCTTGCTACCCCACTTTACACCTGGCAGCAGTCGGATCGAGGACTGTTTACGAGGCTCGCAAACATCCAATTGGCAAATCGTATGTTTTTGCGGATAGCAGTGTTCACGACGGCGCAAGACGGTACACCAAAGACACAACGGCTCGCCAGGAACCTGCGGGTCGGTTGTGATTGCGTTCCAGGTGATTTGTTTTTGACACCCTTCCATGGGTCCTATGAGGTCAGTCGTTCTCACATCTACGCCGGGCTGGTCCCTGGCAGTGGGCTGACATGCTTCAAGGTTGACCTAATGAGAGTCAATTCCACCGACTGTATCCAATCATGACAGTCAACACATCCAGTCCGCAACCATCGAGTTCGACACGAGCTTTCTGCATCATCGATTCCTCTCATCAGGTACAACAAACACTATGAAAGTCCCTCAGGTACCCAGGTCCTCGATCTACAGGTTTTTCCGGTCCACATTTCCAGTTGCCAACCCCAGACTTTTCCAACGGCTTTCCCCACGTTCGCTCGTACCTATCTTGGTGGTTCCGCGCATCCGATTTGCGGACATGCGTCCCGTTCCTGGATGATCAGGTACGCGTATGGCTTGTATGACGAGTACCTGCAAGGCCGTACCTCACCCATCCCGTCTTGTGTTGGGCCAATCTTCCTCCAAGTACCTGAAGATCTCCAATACTGTGCCAGTACTCCCGTTAATGCAGTCTCAATTGACAGCTGCTTCAGACACCAATGAAAAGAGCTTGGGGAGAAAAACTGGAAGGAAAGGTCGGATGATGTGGGTCTTTGAGTCCCTCAATATCGCCAATGTGGAAAGCATATCCTTCGCCATGCCCGAGTTAACCTTCGCGTCCGCAAGCATATTCGATCGACACGTACTTTTGGTTCTTCCAATTGGTCAGATCCTTGCCACTGTTCGAACGAAGCTTTCCCCGGATTTGTCTGCTTGATCTGAGCCACCATGCTTGACGCTTGCTTGGTGTCATTGGCCAAGCCATGCTTTTCGTCGACTTCAAAGTCAAGCACTTGGATGAGTGATGATCGAAGATGGCTTCGTCGTGAGGAGTACGAAGCACAAGCAGGTCCTTCTTATTGCCGGACAAGCGCTCGCAAGCTTCATATAAGACGTCTGCTTTCCCTCGCCTTAAATCGATTCTTCTGCCATCACATTCTCAGCTTCTTTCGTTAAACTGATACACAACATGAAGAACGTATACACAACTTTGGGTTTTGCCCTTGGCGCCTCCGCCGCTACCTTGACCGCTCGCGATCAATGCTGCTTCTCTTTGACTGCTACTGGTGGTAAGAGCGGAGTCGTTGGCCAAGTGAGTTATTATACACTCTGAGCGAATCTCGACTTCAATGGTCACCCTCCTGCTGTTTGAAAGATGAGCTAACACATTTCAAAAGCTTGGCGATGGCCAGAACAGGATTGGGCAGACCTCTGGACTCGCCAATGGACAGGGAACCTACTGCATCAACAACGGTGGTCTCACTGATGGAAATGGCCGTGGCTGTATCCTGACCCCTCCCACTACCCAGTTCCAATGTGATGTTGGCGCTTCGCCCACTACTGGCTTTGCCGTCAACTCCAATGGTGACTTGACCTACAACGGCAACACCCAGTTCTACGCCTGCGCTACTGGTGACAATGGTGGCTACAACATCTACACCACCACCTCGAGTGCCCAGACCGGATGTGTCGCAATCGGCCTTAACACTGGTGGCAAGTGCGCTGGCTCCAACGGCTCTGGCAGCTCTTCAGCCAAGCAGTCCTCGGCACCTCCTGCTTCTCAGGCTTCATCTGCTCCTCCTGCTTCCAAGCCTGCATCGTCTGCCCCTCCTGCCTCATCCGCTCCTCCTGCTTCCAAGCCCGCATCATCTGCTCCACCAGCCTCGCAGCCCGCCTCTTCTGCACCTCCCGCTTCGAAGCCTGCCTCATCGGCACCCCCGGCATCTATGCCTCCCGCTTCCATGCCTCCCGCTTCCATGCCTCCTGCCTCCATGCCCCCAGCTTCAGGTCCTCCTGCCGGCAACACTCCTGTGACTGTCTACCAGACCACTACCGTTTACGTCACTAGCTGTCCTGCCAACTGCGCAGCCACCAATGGTGGCGGCATGCCCAGCGGATCTGCACCTCCCGCCTCAGCACCTCCAGCCTCGGCACCCCCAGCCTCAGTCCCTGCTCCCAGCGGTACTTCCACTGGCAACGGAAACGGAAACGGAAACGGGAACGGCAACGGCAATGGAAATGGCAATGGCAATGGAAACGGCAATGGTGGCGCTTGCCCTACTTCTTTGACTGGTGCTTACCAGACCCCTCATGCCATCATCCCTGTCAACAAAGACCAGCCCAGCACCTCCTACGGAACCCAGTACTTCGCCTACCTGAGCTCCAGCAACAGCACCGTCTTCAACTTTGACATCCCCTCCAGCTATGCCGGAAAGCAGTGCAGCGTTGTCTTCCTCTTCCCCAAGCAGGCCGACCTGCAGACCTCTTCTTTCACCATGTCTGGCTCTGGCGGCATCAACTTCGACCAGCTTACCTCTCCTGCTCCCTTGAGCGTTAGCTACGCTAGCTGCCCTGCTGTCAAGAGCAACTTGGGCTCCGTTGCCAATGTCACCCCTGGAAACAGCTACGTGGTTTCCACCGGTGCTTGCGCAGCTGGCACTACTCTGTCCATCCTTGCTAGCAGCACTGGTGGTCTCAGCCTGTCCTACTTCGAGGTAAGAGTTTCGATTCCTTTAACATCTGAATTACCACTAACGAAACGCAGGACTGGAACCCCTCTCCCATTGGTCTCTTCATCACCTCCTGCTAAGTGTAGCATTTGAGGCATGAAATCCAAATGACAAGTCTTTCAACACAAAGGCTTTTACGAAACCACTATTACACCTCCTGGTGAGGAATGACGACTTGCTTGAGTGCAGTATATATACTGTCGCTCCTCACCTTGCCTTTCATTCATGACACTTTTCTCCTTTCTCATACCATATGTACCAGATACACTCATTTCCCTGTAACAATATAGCTTTAAACTCTAGTATATGTCATACAAAATCGATGTTACTGTTGTACTGTCCATCTATTGACATTTCATGCTTCTTCTGTGGGCAATGTGCCTGTAAACAATGGCAACGATTGTAGGATTTGCCACAGCATTCGAAATGCGAGTCGAACAAATTCTGGAAATGAGATTGTGCTTTAAACTATGCTAGAGAAGGTAAAGAGTGAATGAAACGGCAGCCTTTCTGTTGAATTCGATAGAAATGACATGGAAGTAGAGTGAGTAGTCAGAAAGGAGATTGAGAGGCTCAGGCTTGGGGATAGAATGTCTAGTCAGAGCGGGAAGATAGACTCGAGGTTGTACATCACCTCTGAGTTGCCGACTTCGAGGAGATCGATCTCGGCGATGATGGCTTTGTGCCCCCGAGGCAGATATAGCGATTCTGCGTCCACGTGCGAGAAGTGCTGGAGCCGTGCGATCTAGTTGGTCAACAGACTGTGACACTTTCTGTGTTTCTCGATCCTGGCGCCTGAACAACGATGTACTGGCCGGTCCTGTAGCTTATGCACTGAGCCCAAGGGGATTCCGTTGGAGAGTCCTGATATATCGCCGAGCCTCTGAGTTGGGAAGAAAAACGGCATGGAGTATGCGGCGGACGTAGCTGTTGAATGAAGCAGTCTTCTCTTCCAAGCCGAGTACAGCAGCAACCGCCTTTTTGTGATCATCAGGCTTACCTTGGTAGGCTGCGCTTTCCAACAAACTTTTATGAAGCTCCAGAGCGGTCTGAACAGAATGGAGGGTAATCTTGTAGCGTGCTTGGACGGGGCTGAGCCATTCAGAATACTTCTACTCGGCCAAGAGCCGTCCCTTCCATCGACGCATTCTTGTCCAAGAGGCAGATGTGATCTCCACGGCATGTATAGGGAATCGGATTGGCCGGTCGCGATATACAGCGCGTCTAGATATGAGTCTCTGCAGTTGAAGCAACAACATGTCCATCTCAACGGTGAACTGGTCGCACGTCTTGATAAGTCTATCGAGCTGGGATACTTAGCATGTTGTTGTGAGCTTTCGGTCTCTTGACCATGGAACGACTTGCTTACTTCGAATTGCTCATCCTCGGTAACATGATGTCCAAGACCAGCCGACGAGTCAGTATCCTTGTTGTGAGCCTCGTTACTGTCCACAGAGGTGAGTGACATGTCTTGGACATGAGTCACGGCACTCGCAATGGGGCGATCGTCTCGAGCAATTTAATTATTCGCAATGGCGGCAGCGGCACGGTTTGCGTTGGGCGAGTTCATCGTGTTTGATATGTTGATGATGGTGGTGATGGATTGCAGGTTATGGGTGCGTATGGTATTGGAGGTTGATGGAGGATTGGAAGGTGGTGGTGATGAGGAAGGACAAGTAGACAAAAGCAGTTCATGCGATGGAACATGGAAGAAGTGATAGTGAAGGGTGTTGGGAAGTGAAGTGCAAGCAAGCAAACAAGCACATGAAACCCCCGACTACATTTGGTGAGTATCGATAACAGCTTCAAAGCAAGTGATGAGGAAAGCACGTTCGAAAGTGAAAGATAACTTAATTTCAATGGCATGCGCGAGTGGACTATGGAGAGGCAGAAATAGTAGCAGTGGGAAAACTTCTGAGAGATTTGTTCTTTGCCCCGAATGTCTCGACCGTCGACAGTAAACGCAAGAACGATCTGATCTTTGTGTGAAGCTAGAGATTGATGGGCGCAGCCCATGATGCTCATTTTGAGAATTTAGCGACCAGCCTCGATGACAACATGATCGAGATTTCGTCGCAAAGGTCATTTATCAGGAAGTCGAGATTGTTGTGAGCTTGAACCAGCTTGTCGCGGCGTGTGATATGCTTGGTCTCCTCGATGGGGTAGTGAAGAACTCGAAGTTTGTCGAGGAGAGATTTGTTGTCTTCGAGAAGAAGCCCAAGCCGTTCGAAGATGATTTTGACTCGCTTGACATGAGAACCAAAGAATTCCTTCTGTCGACGGTCCATTCTAGCACGGTTTGCAGATACTTCATCGACAATGTGTTGTGGTATATTGGTAATGTCCACAACAGCAAGGAGAAGTTCTGCAACTCCGTTGCCGTTAGGGAACCCGTGCTTGAAATAGGCGACTACGCGGCGTAGCTCGTACTTCAGATGACCATATGCAAGCGATCGTTTCTGGAAGGTCTCTTTCAGACTCTCGAATTCCTCGAGCAACAAAGAGAAGGCGGGATCGTGGTCAGTCTCATCATCGGAATTATACATCACGTGTCAGCCCACTGACCAAGTCTTGGAGTGGGAAAAGCGACTCACTTCAATGAAAGGCTCAGGGGAAGGGGTTCGTCGGGTGGGGTCGAGGGCGGCAACATAGCAAACGGTGCCAGGCGACCTTCCAGACACGATGGAAGAATCGTAGGGTTCTTCTGCCATGATGGTGATCTGCAAGCTGTGTGATGAAGAAAGAGGTGCGCGTGAACGAAAGTTCTTATAAGGAAGGATGCGCATCTGCACAGTGTAGCCACATTCACTACCACACGGTACAACTGCACTGCCAAGGATGACGGGCTCTGAACAATGCTACTTCATCTGAATTCCATGTTCATACGCAGAAAGAAGAAACTCCATGATCTTTGTGCATCGTGAAAGCTTTGTCAACATCAAAGTGTTTGCGCGCTTATCAAGAGTGCAGTACATGGTCGATTCTTGGATCTCGTTGTCAAAGGCCTCGAGTGACTCTCAGATCCAGCAGTGACCGGCCACTCTATATAGTGGGCGAACCCAAGAATTCCGAGATGGAAGTGACAGTCACCAGGGCAGTCTACCCACCTCCCTTAATTCATGTGAGAGCGTCGAGGATCGCCTTTATTTCTAGGGCCCCGCCTTCACTCCCCCTTGGTACACTATAGTCCAGTGAGACACAATGGCCCTCAGCAAACGGTAAGTTGGCCCAATTGGGAACCACACTTTGCGATAAAACTCCGGAGGAGTTTCCGTGGACTGGAGGTCATCTGTTCGAACCTCATGGCATGCGGAAACGACTTATGCTCTGACTTGCAAAGGTAGAATACTCTCCAAGCGGGTAGGGGTTTTCCCTAGTCGCGCAACAGCGGCTTGGTTTTTTGCCCCTTTCGTGCAGGTGATCTTCGACTCTATCGATTGTTGTTAGACCTTGTCGTTGATAGGTACGTAGATGAGGATTCTTGGGCCAAGTCTCGGAGTCGATTTTTCTTGGGTCCATTGTAAATCAAGAAAGAGACATTCCGGTCTGAGTCAACATTAGTCCCAGCAAGCGGCAGCGACCAGAATGATCCATGATGAACAGGCCAATGATAGTGGTCATGATGAGTACGAGGTAGTTCTCACTCATCCCCCGAAAGAGATCGACTAACACCGAAGCAAATAGCAGTGCAGCTGATGACCGAGACTCGCCTACCAGGGTTTGGTCAGCAACTCGTACGTATATCGTCTCTAGAGATCTGTAGGAATCTTGTATCTAACACTGGCACAGAATGCAGCGTTCTTGCCCAGTCTTCATGTCTTCTCCTCCTGTCGGCATCCAAGTGCGGCCGAGACGACCGCTCATCGCTTTCTAGGCATGCCTATATGTCAGTGATCAATTAGCTTAGCACCGTTATAAACAGATCGAGTATCAACCGATGGATAAAGTACTACGACCTCAGCCCAAGGCGCTCGACTCGCAAGCTTCCTAGCTACAAAACCCGATTAGAGCTATCTTCAGTCACATCTACAAATGGAACAGCGACATCAAAACCATGAGCTTCATAATCAGCAGATATGCTATCAGCAAGCTCAACAACACGCCAATGACTGGCATTACTCGATTTAAATCCTGCAACACTTACGTCACGATCAGTCCGTGCTCGAGGGGGCCATTGCGATGCTTCACCATGACGAACCAATAATCAAGGCCGAAATGGTGGCCGAGATCAAGGATCTAGCTCGTCATGGAGTTGAGACACGAAGGGCGGCCGAGAGCGAGAAGCAATCGTATCAACGAGCTGAAGCTGAGAGAGCCCTCCACGTGAAAATACGAGGTACAGGCTCTCGCACAGCAATACCAATTGGAAACACGTCCGCGAGTATTCAAGCTCGCCGTTGTTGAACAAGAGGAAGGTGCATCGTCTTGGCGTGCTGAGTCATCAGCTTTTGGACCTCACCTGCCAATTCAATCTTTGTTCTTACTCCTTCTTGTTTATTCTTCCCAAATGTAGCTTCTGTCGGTCATGTCTTCTTATTCTGGGATTATTGTGTCTTTCTATAGCAGTCGGAAGTATTGACGATAGCACTGTCCCCAGCCTCCTCATAGTCCGACTCCGCGAGAAAATGATCTTCTAGAAGCAGCGAACGAGTCGCTGTGTTTTGATCAAGATACTCAGAGCTATCTTGTATTGGCAACTCTCCCACAAGAATAGACCTCATATTACCAGCCCTTCTTCATCTGATGAGTGTGGATAGTACGCAGGCAAGCCGTCGTCGTTCTTTCCAGATTCAGCATAGCGTTCTTGACCTGATCAAAGCTGAGTCTGACGAGCATAGGTTCGAATTGCTCCAAGCCGCCTTCCCAGAGCTGCAGCCAGATCTCGTTCTGCTCTTTCAAGCGCTGCACATTGTCAAGAGTAACCTTGCCGACTCTCTTGAAGGTCATGTGGATGTCGTTGCCCAACTTGAGGCGAGGGACAATCGTCTCAAAGAGCTCAGCTGGGCTTGCATCAATCATCTTGTTGGGAAGGGTGACGGGAGTCTCTGGAGAATCCGAGATCTTGTAGATGACGTGAGGGAGCATTGCGTTGATTGTGTTGACGCTTTGCTGAGTGGTCTTGGAGATGATCTGGTTGAATGCTTCGATAGAGTCTGGGCCGGGTCTGTTTGCGAGGGATGCAAAGTAGCGATACTCTGGTCCCTGGAGAATGTTCTGATTGACGGGACATGAGTACGTCTCTTTCATTTGATTGAACACGTCACTTACTTGAAGGCCATTGTCGATGGTGAACATGGTAAACTCAAGGCCATGAGACTTGCCAGGCTCGGCCTTGCGATTCACCTGGGAGATGGTCAGTAAAGCTTTTCGAGAACTACTTGATACAGTTTTGGAGGATGTGCGTATTGCGAAGATGTTAGGGCAGTCGAAGTATGTCTTCATCGTGTGTGACACGTGAAATCGTCCGCTACCTTGGACCGAGCGACAGAGTGACCAAAAAGAAAGCCACTCACCATGAACTTGCGTAGCTCCTTGAGCAATCTGTCGTATATGACGACTGCTTCTTCGATGGGCTCGACGATGACATCGCCTGCGGCTGAGATAACGTGCCCCCTCATGGCGACTTGAGCTGTTGTGGATGTCGCAAGATTGATCGAATGGGGCTGCTGGAGCGACAAGATGTGTTTGCTGGTGTTGGACCTAGCTTGGTGAGTATCAACCTCGAGAACAATGGTTATTGTGAAGTGATGCGTGGTACTGACCAACTCATCTCGTTTGCCAACACGCCCAAACAACATTGACTCGTCCCATGTACCCAAGGATTGATGTTTATATAGAAACATCCAAGACTAACAATAACAGGCCGGCGCGCATCGGACGAATTTTGTTTATACGATCTATGTTCTCCATGGAGTAGCGATGCATTACGAAAGCTCAGACTCTTATACTTGGTCACAATCGAAAGGTAAGTTATGATTGGGAAAATTTCAGATTTTGGAAGTAGAAAAAATCGAAGAGCCCAAGGAGATGGTATGAGTGATGTGGACTTGACCCACTTGTATCAAGATATGATTGATCCTGAGTCCTCTCTAGATGGTTGTATCTGTTCGGTATCTCGTTTCGTCTGAAGAGTCCATAACCATTTTGCCATGCTACCATGCATGATGAACGCCTTGGTCGCGTCTTCCTAAGTCTGTTCGGCCCTGGTTCACTCTTTGAAAGCTAGTAAACCGAAACAACAATCCTGCGTGCTTCGACTTGTCTGGAGGTTTCATCGAGCTCCAAATCATAAGAACAGAGCTTCTTGATCTCGTTCAGCTGGATCATCTCGGATCGGAGGATCCCGATCGCAGTGTAGCAAGCAACTGTAGCTTGCTTTTCCCAATGGATCATCATCCCAATACGAGACATCTCAATATCAGTGACAGAGTCGAGATCGATGATCCTCAAATTTCGAGGCATGCGATTCATGTTCTGCTCGAAGTAGACGTTCGTTTCGGCATCTCGATAGCCGGAAGTTGCTTTGTTGTAGCGACGAGTTCTGGGAACAGTGTCTTCTCTCCAGATACGGACAAGGCTTTGCATATGTGCAAACGCGGTCTCAAAATCCATCTTCACCTCGGACTGAATCATGAGAATGTCAGATGATATACTCCAGACTCGACTCACTCGAACTTACATCTTCCAAGTTTCGTGGTTCACCGCCGGGCTGAGAGGAGCGATGTGCCATATCAGTGTTAGCTTCGTGACTCTGCTCTTGGATACCATGCGATGCATCGGTCATGTTGAGAAGTCGTCTGGATGATGGATCAGTTGTGCGAGAGGCTACGCGAAGTTGTGTTAGCTGAGTCGCAGGAGTGGACTAGCAAGGACAAGCAGACGCGTGGAGACAAGATACTTCCAGAGCTGCAATGCAGCGAAGTTCGTATTGTACGAAAGTCGACGAGTGAACGTCTCGCTAACGATTGTTGGACCAGGTAGGAGGCTGATCCAAGTGAAGGATGGAGATAGTGTTGTGATGATCAGGAAACGAGTTACCCAGTTGCTGACACTACGCGCAAGGAATCCGAGTGAGAGTTTCTGGAAGATGATGAGGCTACCTATATGATCCTGTTGCTGTAAACGGGAAGAAGATGCGCTACGCCTGCTAGACTCAACAGTATAGTCAGAGTCGAGAAGAATATAGATCAAAAACTGAAGCAAAGTTGTGCAGCAGAAGGTTTGACGGAAAATGCGCGGTGAGAGACCACTTTACCAATGGGGCCGGAAGATCAAAAGTCGAGCCGCCGCTAATCAGTACAAATGCGCAGATGCTTCCAAACTCCCAGCGCAAAAAAATTACTCCCGCCAAGCCTCTCCTATAGCTCGAATATGGCATACATTATCAGAAACCGCAAGTTTCTATAAGCCCAACGTAGATCCGTAATCTGATTCTCCAGATGTGATTACATCCAGATTCTTAGAATCATTCTGATAATTTGATAGTGTTACTTTTCGATCTCGAAGATACATTATGAGGAAATGTTAGTACACATCAACCTCGTAGCGAGATACAGCAAGCTCCTCGCGGCCAAACAGCATTCACGATCACAAATCTCTCCAACCATCCATCCTTTCTGCTAAAGCAGCAAATATTGGAGTTTCTAGTCCTGACAAACACTACTTCTGAAACATCAACTGTTGCAGTGTCTTTGTGGGGTACCTTGGGAAGAACCCGTTGTTTTCTATCGGCATACTTTGTCTAGATTACATCATCTTGTGCTTCTGTTTTGGTCTCTGCCGATAGAAACAGTGAAACTTTCTTATATGTGACCCTGGCTCCATTTCTTTCCCCTCCCTTGTTTGTATGGTTCTCGATATCCTGCTCTCACTGAAGCTGGAGGGAGACTGACGCCTGTGGATGCAGTCAAGAGAATTCGTCCCATATCGCAATGAGGCGGTTGTGTGACTCGACCACTCTACGGCTCAATGCTCTGGTGAGATAGCGGCGGATCTTGACGAATTCGAGCCTTTCGATCCGGTCTTGAACTTCATCCTCATCCTTGCACACGAAATGCTCTTTGAGAATAGTAACGAGATCTTCGCAGGCATTGCAGTAGTTGTACAACTTCTTTTGTATCTGATATAGCGCCCAAGTTGCTTCACCGGCCTTTCTGTCATTCTCCATAGCGAGTGCGAGTCCGGTGAGCTATCTTCCGGACCAGTGACTGTAGTCTGTAGTTGACGGGAGCCTGCCGATGCTCAACCTATACGCGGTCTGGTAGCTGCGAATCTTGCTGAGAAGGCGTTCGCAATCCGCGATTGAGCCTCTGCTTTCAGCTGCCCTTTGCTTCAAGTGTTGCTCTGCCTCGTGGTACTCTTGCAAGATGGCATCGATTTCGTCAGGAGTCTTGTTCTATACTCTGTCAGCGAGGTCACGAGGAAAGTCGGAAACACTTTATACTTTGTAGTCCTTGATGCGTGTGACCAGATTCGATGCCACCATGTCTTTGGCCTTGTCTTGGATGAGATCACCACGTGGAAATCTTGAGTTCTCTGAAGTGGTGTCGCCACGGCCAGCCAGATCACCGGTATCTTCCATCCTGAACTTCCTGAGGAGTGCTGAGAAAGTTCAGATGCCGAGGAAGAATGGAAGAGAAGACCACGAAGAGGTCTTGTTGGTAAAGGAGCAAAGTGAGTTTAGTACCTTCTGCATGAATGGAGCATAATAAAATCGCTTGACGAAAGTGAACACAGATTGCTTGAAATGTCCTACTGCTTTGGTGATAAGTGAGGATGTTACAAGTGATGATTTGCAACGACATCCACGGAGAAGCCCAGTGTATGTGATTGATGCTGTAGAGAACTCTGAGCTTTGCTTGCGAATCGCTGGAATGAGAAAGTGATGAGCGTTTTTGAGAGTGCAGTGATACCTTGATGGATGAACAGAGAGACAAGGAATGATGGAGAGAAAATTCAGTCCTTTTAAGCTTTCTTGTATATGGCTTGAAGACATTTTGGAGTACTGATTGCAAGCATTTGTGCGACCAAACAGCCCGAATGATGGTAGATCAGGCTGTTTTTCTGGCGGCGGGAAGGATGTTAAACCACTCTCTCGGCCAAACTCTGTCCTCTGTGGAGACCCTTGAACATTTCACGTCCCATATTCCGGATGGACGTACGTCCAGCTACGATCGCATTCGTCATCTTGTTCCATGTATCCTCTTGCTCTTTTCGTAGGTGAAAGTGCTCCTCCCGAAAACTCATGAGCTCCTCCGCGAAATCGTAGCATGCACGCATCCTCTTATGTATCTGGTAGAGCTCCCAAGTCATCCTGCCCAAATCACCGTCGTCTCTAAGTACTTCATTGAGTCGATGGAGTTGTTCAGCCGACAGGTCCGTGAGAACATCAGTCTTCGGAAGTCCTGCCACATCCAGAGCGTGGAACATCTGCATCAACATGATGCTCGTGTGGAGTACATCTCGCCTCGCGACAAGAGTTCTTGCCTCAGCGACCATCCGAAGGCGTTCGTCTTCCATTCTTTGGTAGCGTTGTACCAGAGCTTCCAGTTGTTCACGGGTTTTGTTCTGCACCTATTTAGCATTGTGAGTTTGGGGGGATTCTAACATCATACCTCAGGATTCTTGAAACGCGCCAGAAAAGTTTGGCTCATCTCTGGGCTCGATTGTTCATCGTTTTTGACTTGAGGGATTACAGTCTTCGCGGCTGCAGTATTGTCTTGTATGGCTGGTATATCCATGGTAACTCTCGGAGGTGTGATGCTGAAGACTTTGTAGAGGAGTGGCAGAGCTGCAGAGGTTGTAAAGGAGCGGTAGAGCTGTTGAGAAGCAAGTAAGTAGTTCGCACACGTAGGTTGTGTCGTGTGAAAGACGGCTAACGAATGAAGAAGGATCTTGACAAAGTTTGATGAAGACGAGACGGTAGGTGCAATGGCAGATAGGAGCGGGTGAACGCTAACTACTCAGTGAAGTCAGGTAAGCTTGCATAGATGAGACGGAGTCGAATTCAGAACGTCGATGGGTTGAGATGATTGAAAACAGATGAAGAAGGGAGGCAAAGTAGACCTGAATTGCGTGGAGTAGATGCAAGAATCTAGATGATAGCTTGGTGAAAAAGATGCGCTGGTGAACTGAGCCCTTCCATTGGATCAGTATGCTAAGGGAATGTAGTCGAAGTGCAACAGCTCGGAAGTTGCAGACGGTGAGAAAAGCAAAGAAAAGGGCAGGAGGAAAGCTCGCAAGCAAGCATGGCAGCCACCATCAGTGCTTCAAAGAAGCTCACTCAACCACTCGAGACAGCCTTCCATTCTTCTGACTCGTGACTCTTCGATGATAACCATTCTGGCCTCTGATTCCTGCATCTCGTCGCGAAAGTTCTGGGAAGTGATACCATGCTCGATGAGATCACGCAACAGCTCCTGAATCTCCATCTCCACCTCTTTGAACTTTTCAATCAACGTGAAGAACTCCTTCTGTGCAGAGTAGAAAGTGGTAAGCGATTTAGCTCTGTTGGTGTCGAACTTCAGCACTCTGGTGGCCAAGTCGAGTTTGACTGAGTTGTCGTGATTGAGACTACCGTCGGGACAGGTGAAGATTGGAGAGTTGCCGGCGCCAAAGGCCAATCTGTACTGGGTGATCTGGAAATGATGATCGTTGCATTCAGCGAGGTGTCTGTCGATCTCGATCTGAAGTGTCTCGAGATCGTCGAGGTTGAAGATGTTCTTGGTCTTGAGATCGTCGAGCTGGTGGATGGCGATTCCGTAGGACGGTTTCTGACGAGGTGGGACGTCTCTGGGGACTGCCGAAGTGGAGTAGGTGCTGTCTTGCAGTGCGATGATTTGGGTGAGCATAGTGACAGCGTCCACTTCGGTGTCAGCCATCGTAACGATTGACGCAGTTGAAGACGGAGTAGACAAAAGGTGGGCACAGATCTGGGTTCGCAAAGCGGAGTTATGGCAGAGTAGTAGAGCAATTTGATTGAGAAACGTGGACTTTTATGTAACAGAAGGTGTGTGTAAACGCGCGGTGTAGTTGTGAACCGGACTGCCTCTAGTGAAATTTCTGACCACCGGCGCAAAGGGAATCTCGAAGGAATGGCATGCGAAGTCGATCAGCCAAGCTGGCGGATGATGGAGGCGAGCTTTCTGATAATCATTCCCCAGTCATATCTAGGCTTGTTAAGACCGCTGAGAAGACCCTTGAGGTTGGCCCAATTCTGGTAATCTTTGTCAATCAGCTGTAACTGATCGAGCACGCCCTGGGCTTCCTCAAAAATCTCGCAGATTCTCTTGTAGTTGGCGTTCATTCTGGCTTGGACTTGAACGCAGTGCTTGTCGTGATGCATGACAAGGCTGCTGGCGTTGAGCAGACTCTGGGCTTCAGCAGAGAGCAAGTCGATGGGGTCTTTGACCTCAGGAATCTGGGTCTTGATGTGGTCGTTCATTCCGGTGAGAAGGACCCATTTCTGCATGTTGGTTCTGAGGCTGTGCTCCTCGTGCCTCAGTTCCGCAAGTCTCTCGTCCAGGAGAGCTTGGAGGCGAGTGGTCTTCTGATAAAATTAGCCGTGCACGTGAGCAAAACGTAGAAAAGACTCACCTCCATAATGGATTTTTTTGGTGCAGAAGGACTTGCTGGACAGCAACGTGGCGAGTGGTTGAGATGTAAGTAATAGAAAAGGGGGCTGAGCGTCGTCAATCTACGTGTCGACGCGAAGATCCCTGATGTGGAAGAAGGAGTTCAAGAGGCTGTCGAACGTCAGCGTCTCTTATGAGTGAGAAGAGAAGCAAGTGAACGTTTCGAAAGGAAATCTACGCCCCGGGCGCCCAATGTGGACGCAGCTATCTCCTCTTTGCAACTCCTATATGTTTGTCGACAACTTGATGAATACAACTCATGGGGGACTTCGATACCAAGGGGGTAATGTGAGATATTGTCGATCTTACTCCCAGATCAGAACTTGCAGTGGGCTCTCTGTGGGCACGGGCTAGTTTTTAGCAACATCTTGCATTTCGATAGCTGCATGTGGTACCCTTTGCTGGCTGAAGAGTTACAAGAACCGTATATTCTCTTTCTCTCATGCTTACCTATTACAGGGATCTAGCCATTGTACTGCAAGAACTAACACGGATATCATAGGTTATCCATTGAGAGCCCATTCTTATCGGGCTCTCTTTGGACAAAGCTCATTTGTTAACAACATCTTGCATTTCTATAGCTACATACGGTACCTTTTACTGACTGAGGAGTCAGAAGTACTGTATACTCTCCTTTGCTCACGCTCATATGTTACAAGCATCTAGCTATCGTAATGCAGGAAATGATGCTAGCATGATACGTTGTCCAGTGAGATACAAAATTCATGAGGCTTTCTCTGGGCTCAACCTGGATCGAAAAATAACCATGCATTTCTATATCGGCTGTGGACTGATTTCGTTTCCAGAGAGTCCTAGGAACATTAGGTAGGTTCTTCTCTTTCTCTTATGCTCCTGAAGCAAGAGTCTTTAACTATCCTAATGCAAAGACTAGCTCAGATTTGATTGGTCGTCCACTGAGAGCTGGATTTTCTGGGGCTTTCTTTGGATGAGAGCTAGATCTTAGAAGATCCTTGCATTTCTATAGCTGCTTTGTGGCTTGTGTGGTGCTTGGAAAGTCCTGTATGAGTCGGATTGGTAAGCGGGTCGGTACACATCTCCCGTAGTTCTCCAGGTATATCTTGTACTCTCTGCTTGCCGTGAAGTACTGTTCATTGCAGGAAATGTACCCCTTTCCTGATTTTCCTTTGTCTGTCTATCTCAGTATCTAACCATAATCATGCAAGAACTTATACGCATACTGACCTTTGTCCAGTGTGAGTTGAGTTTCATCAGGCTTTCTTTGGACAGAAACTGAACCTAGAAAGAACTCTGCATTGCCATAGGTTATCGAGAGCATATTCCTTTGTTGATCCCCTCTTATCCGCCTGTCTCAATTCCTAACCATGCGCATGCAAGAATTGATGTAAACACAGACCTCTGTCCAAAGAGAGCTGTGCCTCAATGGGCTTTCCTCGGACTAAACTCGGATTCGCAAAGATTGTTGCATTGCCATAGCAGTATTCCACATCTTCTGCTGGTTAGAGAGTGCTAAAAAGGTGGTTGGTCCTGACAGCTATATCTCTGTCTGTTCTATCTACTCACCTAGACTAGATCGCTATCGAAATGCAAGAACTGATGCAGACACATATGTCTGTCCCAAGAGAGATGTTGTCTAAGTAGCTTCTCGCTGAACCGAGGGCTCGATGATCTGGAGGCCGACCAGGAAGAATGGCGCCGCAGACGACCTTTCGAACGGGAAAAAGACCCTTAGGACAATGTTGCCTGGCGTTACGGTGGGGACCTTTTGTCCAGATCTAACGGCTGTCTGTGGGACGACGAGACCGTCGAGCGCCTGAGCAATCTCAGTGAATAGATTCAGGGGCACTTCGGCGTTCACCTTCAAAAGGCAGACGACGGCGGACCATGAGTTGCCACCGAGGAAGGAGAGCCGTGTCCCGCTAATTGGAGCTGGACAACTCTGTCGAGAATCATGACAGGCAGACAACAGAGAATGAAGACAGTGTGTAACTTGCAATTATTTAACAGTATTCCGTATTCTTCGCAAGTCAGAGAATACGGTCTCCCTATCTCTCTCCTAGCTACTGACCTATACTATGCTTCTATCACAATGCAGAGAGTGATATGAGTCTTGAGCTACTCCAAAGAAACCCAGGTTCTGACACCCTTGCTCTAGATTGAGGCTAATTCTGTGAACCTCCTTGCATTTCTATGCTTACATTTTTTGTCATGTTGCAGTTAAGAGAGTGTTATACAGGGGGAAAGCCCATAGATCTCCCTTGTTCAACCTCTTTGTCCATCATCCAGTATCAAACATCCCTCTGCATATTCGTCAGTAAGGCCTTTTGATGTCTACTCCAATGAGAAGCTCATTGTCTTCCTCGAGACAATAGACCGGCTCATGTTCCACTGCGCAGTCAGAACGCGTACCACTCCAGACTAACGCTGAGCTTGAAGACAATCTTAGGTCTTTGTAGCTATTTTCATTCGCTTTGCCAGATGGAGAGTACTGCGAAATAGATGGACCACCAAGTATTCTCTGACGGGCTCTCTACAGCAATAAGCTAAAATCGTACATGGCAAAAACAAATCCTCTTATGGTACTGCTCCAGTAGCATCACTCTCGTCATCTGTAAGATCGCGATATGCATGTAACTATCACAATACACAAAGGCTCGGGAAGAAAGAAGATCATCCATTGCAACGCGAGACGATCACGGTTCATCCTGTGCTAGCCATATATGAGAAGGCCACTCTGCATATACATAGCTTTGTCTTCTGCTGCTTGGCGTTTAGAGACCTGCAACGAGCACAAGCAGAACTCTTCTTTGTCAGGCTTTCTTTGGCAGCAAACTTGTGTCAAACGTCACTCTACGTGACGACAGTAGTGGACACACACATGTATCGTGTTCTGAGTGGTGGTGTCTATATGTGCACAGGCATGATATCCACAGGCGTCGAGATGTATAGCGGTACCGAGAGGTATAATTGTGCCCATTGAGAAGAAACGGTTCTTCGACGTTCCTTGGGTATATCTCCAGTCTGTCGATCTCTGTGACTTTTGAGAGTTTAAACAGTGCTCCTAGATTGGGCGGGAGAAGGCGAAGTTGCAGAATTCATTACAACGTAATTGCAGATGGAGCATAAGAACGAGCCGGCACTTATTTGGGCACTCGAATGTTTGATGCTGAGCACGCAGGTCTGCTCGAGCTACCTGCTGATAGTCAAATCTATTACGCGCTTTTTCCACGCCAGCTCCTATTTTAGAGCCTGTTGATATCTTCGTCCACTCTTCTATGTCCACGCCATTTTGCTTGATCCCCAGCAGCCAATATTATGCCCTGAGCAACGTTTTTGATGTTCGACTGATTCTGTCCGTTCCGAGGAGTCTAATTACCGCCTCTTCCGCGAACCAACTCGAGCAAATGGCGTCCAATGATTCTGCGTGTCTCGTGCTGAGTCTCGATTTTTGCGTGGATATCATCGAGCGCTTCTTGGTACTCAGGGGTCTCCACGACACCCTTCAATCCCGCCATCTCAACGAAAAGCTCCTTGATCTCTTCCACAATCTCGAATTCCCTTCTCAGACCCTTTGTAGCGGCCGAGAAGGCTTTGACTCTGTCAAGGTCGAGGGTAAGCAAGATGTTGGCTTTTCGAAGTCGGCTCTCGTTGTTCGTGTCCAAGATCACGGGTTGAGCCATGTCTCCCATTCTCTTTCTCAGTCTGAGGTAGCGGCGGTTGTACTTGTCGAACTGACAGAACTGGCGGCTGCATTCGACGGTGTTGGCGAGGATCTCTTGCTCCAGTTTCATGATCTGTTCTTTGATCTCGGTGCAGCGAATTTTCTTGGCTTCTGAAGACATTGAGGTTGGTTGGTGAAGGGTGTTGTCCTGGGATCGTGTCAATTGATATCTTGACACGGGGTTACAAGTTGCGCTGGAGGTGACTCACACCGAGGTTGAGATTGGTTTGATTCTCGGCGCCGGTCATTCTGGTTGAGAGATCGTGGGTGCTTGAAGTTGCTGAACCAGTATCTCCGTCGGTAAGATCGTGGGTGTTCATCGCCGTAGATAGTGTGTCTAGAAATGCAGGCGACCGGGATGAGATCGTGGGTATGGTTGACAAGCTTCGAAGCGGATCGAAGGCGAAGATCTTCCGATGGATAGACCTTGGTAGTGGTATAAATGGGTCAAGAGAAGTCGAGTTAATGTATTTGTTGATCAAGTGTTCTGGAAGAAGAGGCTAAGAAGTAGTTCAGATCTTTAATAAGTTGTTGTCAAACAAAGCGCTCAAGAGATCGTGGTGAGTTTGAAACTGAGAGAAGATACAATAGGATTGTGATCACGTGGTGTTCAGATTAGTAGTGAGAAGAAAGATTGGTGTCTGATTAGGAAAAATGAAGTAGAGCAGAAGATCAAGGCAGCAATGCAACCCTATCTGGTAGGGCAGAGATAGCTCATGGCCTTACCACGATTGACACTTAGCATCTTTTCCAGTATCTTCGCGTTCCCTACTCGGAACGCAGCTTCGGGCGCCTTGAGATATCCTCCCAGTAGTTCCTGAGGCACTCGATGCGGAGACCCGACGTGAACTTCATCTTCGCTTCGAACGTTACTCTGGTGTGAACACCAACACTCTCCAGCTCGGAGGGATAGTTGGCCATGATTTCGGCTTCCAGTGCCATGATATCCTTGAGTTTAGCGTAGATGACTCTCTCTCGTGCGTTATAATCCACTTGATGCGCGAGGCACTTCTGGCTTGAAGCAAGCAGATCATTGTAAGGGCCGAGTGTTGAAAGATTGTCCAGATCCAAAGTGCGCGAATCTAAGCCTACGAAATATCTCTGTATGCTAATTTCAAATTCAGTCATACGGATACCGATACGAGCCATTGAGTTGTTGCGAGCGAGTGCCTGAAGCTCTGTGTGCTTGTCGAAATAGTTTTGTAGTAATCCTTGGAGAGTGTCTCTATCCTGTAGTCATGTCAGTCTCAGCCACACTTATCGGACGATTGTCCATACATTCACGGCAGATGCTGCTGTCTCGTCTGTGGCCTTAGCACTGGCCACAGGCGCATCTGTTTCTTGTGTATGGTTGTCCATGATGAGAGTCGAATGGTGACAGGTGTTGATGGCCGAAGTGGCTTAATTGAGAAGGCTAATCTGAGTTGGGAGCGTAGAAGGGGACCAGTATTATGGATGAAGGTCAGGATGAGGATAGGAGATGTTGGACATTCATGGTCCAGCGAAGTTGCGAACGGAAAAAGGGTTCTGAAAGGGACAGTGAGAAAACAACGGAGTCCAAAGTCCGACAGATGACTTGGACGGCGTTGAGTTGTCAGTGAAGACAGGCGAAAGTGAATCTGAAGAGCGACAATGTCCTCCGTGCAAGCCTTGGTGAGGAGTGTTGTGATGGACAGCGACCTCTTCCGACAACTGGCTCTCTACGCAACACATCAGAAAGGCAATACCGAAACGAAGAGAGGACATAAAATTTTTTCTACCATAATCTGGGATTAAAAAAGACAAAGAACAGAGTATATCTCCCAACCCTTTGTACTCCACCAACGCCAGACACATGAATGAACGAAAACCGTGGGGAAATGCAAGAAAGATATAAGCCACATCCCATCTACCTGCTTCTGGTGCTGCCGTTACCACGCTTACCAGCGGTGAGCCACTTGGCCAGCGAGGCGGTTGTGTGACGATCACCCTCTCCCTGTCTGGCGTTGCGGTTCATCTTCTGTTGGCCCAGCTTGTGCAGACGCTCGGCCTTGCTGCGGGCAACCTCATTGGTGACACCGTCCTCACGTCTGTTCATGCGACTAACACTACGAGTGCGAGACATGGCGCGGGAGATGCTGTTACGGTGCTTGGCGGGTGCGTCGCCGCCGTCGACATCCATCATGTCGGCGTCTTCGACAGCCTCTGCACGACCACGAGGACGGGATTGCGAACGAGCGCGAGCACGCTCGGAAATGGATGTGGAGTCGTGACCGAGGGCCTCGAGACCTCTCTCCATCTTCTCGAGCTGAACGGCCTTCTTGCTGCGAGGGATGACGGCGCGGTTCTTGAGCGACTTGCGTTGCTTGGCTTCGTTGCGGATGAGTTGACGCTTCTCACGAATGAGCTCGGCCTTGTAGCGGATGTCTGCATCTTCGACCTCCTCGACCTCGTCCTCTGATTTGTCGTAGTAGCCCTCTGCCTCGAGACGGGCTTCCTCCTCTTCCAAAGCGGCGAGCTTGGTCTCGATCTCGGGGTCGACGAAGTCGTAGACGTTCTTTCCGTCGAGGAATTCGGGCATCTTGTCTTCGCGCCAGTCGGGGTTCTCGAGCATCCACTTCTCCTTGAGGTTGATGTTGAAGACGCCAGCACCACCGTTCTCCTCTTCGATGTCGCGCATGAGGGTGATACGGTTGGGGTCGGCCTTGTCGTACTTGACTCTGGTCTTGACAACGTCGGGAACGAAAGTCTCGCGAACGACACCACCCATGGGTTGGGCAACGTGGATACGGCGGAGAACGTCATTGAGACGGCCAGTAACCTCACCAGAGGCGTTGGTACCAGCCTTGAGCTTCTGTGCGTTGCGCTCGGCCAGGAGACGGTCGCAAGCGGCGTTACGGACATTCATGAGGCCCTCGGTGGTTGTGCAAGAGAGCTGGAGCATTTCAACGTTGTCTGACTTGCAGAGGTCGGCGAGAGCTTGCTGGGTCTCCGGGTCGAGGTCCTCGGGGCGCATGGCGTCGATCTTGTTGATGACAACGAAGACGAGCTTGTTGGCGAAGAGGGGCTTGATGGACTGGAAAAGCTGCATCTGGGCCTGAACTGAGTAACCACACTGCTCGGACAGATCCATGAAGTAGAGGATGGCGGAGCGCAAGTGGGCAATAGCAGTAATAGACTGCATTTCAATTGTGTTCATCTCTTCCAGAGGGTGGTCCAGAATACCGGGGGTGTCGATAGCCTGGAATCGCAGCATCTTGTAATCAAAGTGACCAACGAACAAACTCTTTGTTGTGAAGGCGTAGGGCTGGACATCGACATCGGCGCGGGAGATGTTCTTGAGGAAACTCGACTTTCCAACGTTAGGGTAACCGCAGATGAGGAGAGTGCGGGTGTTGGGGTCGATGGCGGGAAGACGGCCCAAATGCTGGCGAACCTGCTCGAGGTAGAGGAGCGGGTCCTTGAGACGCTTGCAGATGGTGGCCATGCGACCAAGGGCGGCGCGCTTGAGCTGCTTGCACTGGAAGAGCGACTGACCGTACTTGACGAGACGGACATAATCGCGGGCGACTGTCTCGATCAAGTGCTTTGCGGTCGACAGCTGACCGAGAGCGATGCGGAAGTGGTCAGCATCGTAGAGGGTGTTGAGCAGATCCTTGTGGAAAGGGTGGATGTCGGCGAGACGAGGAAATCCGTCGAGGACGGCTTGGATCTTTTCGGCAAAGGTTTCGCAGGTGAACTTGATCTTGCGCATGTAGAAAGCTGCGAGTCTGGTCAGTCTCTTGTTCTTGTCGCTTGTTTCTTCCTTTTGGCGGGTCCCTCGTTTCCTGCCGCTCTTCCCATGCCCTTTTGTGGTCGCTCATGCCCAACCACCAGAGACTCTCTTTCGTACGACGAAATGCGGTACACACCTCTGATTCTCGAAATCTTGAAACCGGCTCTGATCTGGGTGGGCAGTCTCCTCTGAGTCCTGCTCAGGACAATGTCCAGGAACTCCTGCGACGTCGGCACAGGGGCGATATCCTTCCACGTCGTCTTCATGGTTGCGGTGTGTGTGGTGTGGTGAGTTGGGTTCTTGTCGCGAGAACTGACCGAAATCCTTCCTGCGACTCCCTTCGAAAAATCTCGCCTCCAGACTTTGAGATAAGTTCTGCCGCAAAGGCGGTCTGCGGAAAGAAGCTTGAAGGGACTTTCAATCGCCGACCTCCGCGCGCGCCAAATGCCAAGACTGGCTCCCCTCTCGACCTCACTTTGTCACTCGCACCTAGCACTGTTCCATGCTCTGATATTCCTCGCAATCATTCATCTAGTTCACTCCCTCTCCTTGATTCTTGATTTTTTTGCTTGTCTTGTCAGTCTGCCGCTATCTATTGGTCGGTCTATTGGCCGCACCGTACCCAGCCCTGTCGCCGTTCAAAGCTTCAACGTCCGTGCGCCAGCACAACCTCCTTCTTTGCAGTCAGTACATATACCCTCTTTTTCAACACTTTCATATCAAGCCTCTTTAGCTCAGTTGGTAGAGCGCGGCACTAGTAATGCCGAGGTCACCGGTTCGACTCCGTTAGGAGGCATATCTCTTTGCACTTCTTTTTGCATTATACCAAACTTATCTTTTGCTCATGGTCAAAGTGTTTTGGTGATTTTTTGGGTTTTTGAGTTTTTGGCGTGGGGATGACCCTGGCGTCGAAGCCTACGCCCAGAATCCAGCTTTTGTTTGACAATGCATCAGGATACTGCTGCCCTAAGCGCCTATTGTTTTTGCTCGTGATTGTACACATTTTGCAGGAGCGTATGTTCCTCCGCTGCGCGCATCATGGTCGATATGCGCATGGGGATTCCAAATCTTGTCTCTCTCTAGTACACATCCTCGGTGGTCGGACGTTGACGTAACGACAGACTCTGAGATTATTCATCCACATGGCTGCGACACTTGCTGTAATACATCGCACTGGTTTACAGCATAAGCGATTGAGCAACGGCTTTCCGACCACAATCCCTCATCTTCAGCTCGGAGTAGCCGAAGAAAGGGTCGATGTTGATGGCAAGTATCATATACAACATCCTTCTGGCCCGGCTGCCGCTGCCGACTCTAGCGTGACGGGCCGATAAAAGTGTGCCTCGACCCTCTCTTCATAAACCTAGGTCTCGCCCACCCTTCCAACAGTGACTGCTCTGAAAATGCCTCGACGGTCAACTTGGGGAGCCCTGGTCGCGCCGAACTCTGGATTGCTGCATGTATGCTGAGACTTCTCGCGATCTTACCTCGATTATTCTGGATCGCGATTGAGTAGACGACACGGATGCCACCAGCGAAACCGACATCGGCCACTGCCTCCGGATCTGGAGGCGTGGAGAAGAATCCTAGGAGGACAGCAAAGAGCCGCAACGGCTGTCAAGTTTGCAAGGTCAAGAGAGTGAGTGACGAAGGAGAATGCATGCATTCGGACTCGTTCTTGGTGAATGAGACTAACATGTAGGCAATAGCTAAAATGCGATGAAACACGGCCGGTGAGTTCCCATCAGAGTAGCTCGCGGCCCGAGTCATAATCAATTCAAGGTGTTAGCCTTGAATGCTGCGCTGTGCGACAATGGTTTGGTGATTGGTGGTTGCGCGCATGCTTCAAAAATGACTTGCCGCCAGTGTGTTGATCTATACTGACTTTTGCACCTTCAAGGCATGTGAGAACTGCACCAAGCGTGGTTATGAGTGTCCTGGATACAGGAAGGCTCTGAAGTGGTCGACAAAGTACGAAGTTTTACAACCTGACGAACCCGACAGCCAAAAGACATTTCATCCATCAGTGGAATATCACTTCTCCTCCATCGATCCGGTAACCTTTGGCCAAGCTTCATATCTCACCGCCGAGGAGTTTACTGGCAATGCCGACGAGTATCGGGAGGTTTCTGAAGAGACAATCTCGTACATCTCGCCATCTCAGCATGTCGCAGGATTGGAAGTACAAGGACCATACAGTGCTTCGCCTCAGCAATGGCCAGGCTATCCTGATGCAGGCCACCAGCAAGCTATGGTCTCATATTCACCAAATACACCATCACATCAGATCGTTGGAAACAGAGGAGGTCACGAGATCCAGACGATACAACAGCAACAGAGTAAAAGTCCGGAAGAAATGACCCAATGGAAGTCCCTGCTTCGAGCCTATTACCGCATGGCCACTCCTGCCATAACCCGATCTCTCCAAAACGATAGCACAGGTCTGGTAGAACACTATTTCCGAGACGTGTGCGTCCTATATTCCTCCTTCGACTCAAAGCTCAATCCGTTCCGTACTGTCATCGGAAAGCTGTGGGACAGTTCGAACTCCATCTTTTACGCGATCCAGAGCATGGCAGCTGCACACTTGGCCAACCACAATCCAGGGATGGAAGTTCAGGGATTTGAGATGCAACGAAAAGCTTACGAGTGTCTCCAGCATGAGTTGCAGCTCGCACACGTTAATCAGCAAGTTGACGACCGACTTCTGCTTACAGTGCTGCTTCTGGGAATGAGCTCGCCATGGCACGAAGCTGGTGATCTTGGCATGGCGCATCTCAACGCCGCACGAGGACTCATCTACCCCAGGCTCCTTAGAGAGAAGGGCGACCAGACAGAAGAAATGGCACGGAACGACCAGTTCTTTGCAGAAGCGCTGATCTATTGGGAAATGTGTGTTGCATTTGTGCACAAAGAGCCCATCATGCCAGGCCGCGAGAAGCCCGACGACAAGACGAATTACAACGAAGCCCGTACGATAGGCACAAAAGTCATGCCGCACCCATGGACTGGCGTTGGACCCAGAGCACAAGTCCTCTTCGCCGAAGTCGGTCGACTCGTCAGGAACTTCCGTGCTATATCCTCGCCGCTTTCATACGGAGCGACAAGCGAGCACGTCGATCCTACAAAGATCATCACTGCAGCCATGGAGTTTGAAGAAGAGTTGTTGGAGATTCGCTGGCCAGCTGTTGACGACCTTGTGGATGTGCAAGACAATCTCACAGGCAAGCTGGACTTCATCATGGTTGCAGAGTCTACACGCTGTTCGGCTCTGCTGGAGATCTATCGAGTCTTCCCTAACATTTTACACAACAGACTGCTGAAGAATGCCGATGTCACTGGCACATCGAGCCAGTTCTTCTTCCCATACTGCGGCAGCACGCTCCTCCACCACGACCCGCGCGATCCGATAACGTGGCTGACATCACTGGCACGACACATCTTGTTAGACTTGATTGGCAGTGTTCCACCAACCTCAGGCACACGACCACTCCAGCTACTTATCATATTGACAGCAGCTGCCGAGCTTCGACTATCCGGACCTACGACGGCATTTTCGCATCGCACCTTGGGTGCGAGAAATCTAGCCATGACGAGATTAGAAGAGCTCTCGGCGCGATTGCCTTCGAAACCTGTGTTCATGATCCTCAAGCTTGTCAAGGAAGTTTGGCGGCGCTTTGACATTGGCGATGGTAGTGTCTTCTGGTTGGATGTTATGCATGAGAATGGCTGGCAGACTGTTATCGGTTGATCAGAGCAAACAGTTGCTACCCTTGATTATTCCGAGCCCCCATCGCCAAGCTACGTATGCTCGCGGCAAAGCATTACCGTCAGAAAACGGGGCGAGGAAATCACTAGAGATCGTTGGCTCCTCCTCGCAGTGCAAACAAGCTGTATGGTTGGCACGGCCCCTCTCTTGACGGCGAACTGGTATACAAGCCGAGTCGTCCGCTATGAGCGACGTTGTTAACCAAAACTTGACACTGCTGCTCCTTTTCCAACGGACTACTTCGAGGAATGCGATTTTCGACCCGAATCTACGCTAGCGTTTGAGCAGGATAGTTGATACAAAGCATAGACTCCAACCTCAAACCAAACGAGAGGAACGATCCCTGGAGTTTCAAAATGCCTATATCTTACTTATGGTGGATGGTTCATCCAGGCTTGAATCATCGACAGCTACCCGCTCAACGAAGACGAGAAGGAGGAAGAGGCGAAAGATAAAGACAATGACGATGATGAAATTGACAGCAACCACGGCGATGGATTGTTTATATATTAATACGAATATCACAACTAGCGAGGCAGAGTTGCGACTCCAACTTTTTGGTCTGATTTTCCAAACGCTTTTCACCGGACTCGTAGATGGCTCTGTAGCGTCTACAACTGCTGGAATCTAACCTCCTTTCCGCTCCATCTGAAGACTAGGCTCATCCCCGTGGACTTCAGTTGAATTGACCATATCAACAACCGCGTTAGCTACACGCCTCCCTGTATGACTTCTGTATGGCATCGGCTCGAAGAAATTCCGCACCAACTCCAATCCAACGTCGAGGTCGCTGCAATCAATCCTGTAACCCGACATGACCACCGGGATCAACCTTTCATGGAAGATTCTAACTCGCTGCTTCCAGAAATCGTACATCGTGGTCATGTAGTCGAGAGTCATTTCGTAGGCGGTGTGTTCGTCTCGATAGATCCGGTTTCCATTTCGAAGAGACGATTCTTCTTGTCGCTTGACCTCGATCTCGATGGCTTGGATTTTCTCGGCGTGTTCGATGTCGAGTAATGCGAAGGCTTTTTCCAGTCGTTTTAGCGAGGTTGCTGCGTCTAGCATGTCTATTCTCACGTCAATGGTATCGCGCTTCCAAGTGCGTCGAAGGGCTTTTTTGATTGGCCGCAAGGCATTGCCGTCCGTGTATGAGAGGCAGCTGTAGATGTGGGTGTAGAACATCTGGTGGTGTTTGAGTTCTTTCTGGTGTTGTTCTCGGCGTAAGCTGCGAGCGGCTAGTAAAGCCTTCTCGAACACTCCAACAAGCTTGTATGGCTCGTCGACCCATTTACATATATCGGGCAGGAAATTGTCTGTCTGAATAGCGCCTACACCACGGATACTAACAAGTACACCTCGCACATGCAGAAATTGCAACGAGGTGAACGGTATGGAGGCTTGGTACAAGTCACTCGTGGCTTCACCTAGGTTCCAAATGATTTCCGTATGGCGGAGATGATGGCGTAAACTCAGGACCTGGGCTTCGTGGCATGTAGCTGCGAAACCGTGGCGGCGAGCCAGCATCAACAGTAGCTTGTCAGCAGGGTCTACGATCTGGATGACATTCTTTTTCATCGAATCGTCCATCTGCCTGATTTCGAGAGGGATGATGTAGTCCATGATCTGTTCGTGGATCTCGAGAAGCAAGCGCGAGAGAGGAGAATTTTGCATGTTGCTTGTTTGGTTTGTGTCTTGATAACGTGAATAGGATGGTTGTTGGGTAGATGTTGATGCATCATTGCTTGAGATATGTCGTGAGTGCTCGAGGTCAAGCTCCGGAATTGAGAACATCATGAGACTGAACTCTATACTGCAGCCTCGCAACGACTTCCCTTCTTACCGTAGTTCCATCTAACCCTAAATTCTTATATGCCATATGTTCGCGACACTCGCATCGCTACAAGGTATTCACAATCTCTGGCACTCATCTTCCCAAGCGCATATGGCGAATTGTCGGTGACGTCGGATCTGCTCGCATCCAGCTTGGCTTTGAACATCTCCAAGATTTATGCCAACTTTTGATAGACTGACAAAGATATGCTGGCCTATTACATGGACCCTTGCAACACTCGGGGCATATCTCCTCCAATAACAGATCTACACTATGACGCGCCATGCATGGCTTCCTATATCAACTTGATCAAAATCCAGTTTGCTAATGTGCCTGATTCTGTCATGTGGCTGGTTCGTCATTCTCTACAGGGGTGATACACGTCCGTGGTATTGCATATATGAAGCATGCTCGCGACTATTTGGCCAGTTCCAGCTCATACTGATTCAAACTTACCTGACATACTTCGATAACTCAACATCATTCCATCATGGCTCTCACAAGATCTGCAAATACAAGCACAGCCAAGCCCTCTCTCCTGGGACGCCTGAAGGGCAATCACCACACAACCACAACCACAACCACAACCACAACCAAGCACTCGACCAACCCAATCACTGGAAGTCACACGACAACGACGACCAAAAAGGTCGATGGTGCTGGCCACCACAACAGCCATCATACTGGCACCACAGCGGGCACCAGCAGAGTTGGATCCAGCACGAGACACACGACAAGCCACCGCACCACGGGCACCACAACCGGAGCCACCAGAGTGCAGAAGCGCAAGCCGACAATGGGCGACAAAGTCAGCGGCGCCATGATGAATCTCAAGGGCACTGTTACAGGCAAGCCCGGTGTGAAGGTGAGTCCCGACAGGCGCAGGCAGGTTGTCGCGTTGCAGTAGCTGACAGTGATGTTGCAGGGAGCCGGAACCCGCAGAATGAATGGAACCGACGGCAAAGGCTCGCATTACACGCGTACTTACTAGAGTTTGAGGAAAGCAGTTGAGACGACGCGACACCCACGAGACGACTTTGACGAACATGTGTACGAATAGTTTTTTAGTTGAGCAAATGCAAAGAGCATCAAACCTTCACTCAAACGTGTTCGCGATCCGAGACGACTCGTTGATTTGAAGGCTGGCAGGCGTCAGCTCTAGCCTGGGAAGCTCGCTCCAGGTTCTTGCTGCAGGGAACTGTTCCGAGCAGTGGGGGCCCACAAGACCCTCGTTGTCTTTGATCGGACAGTCAGCCAAGCAGTCTTGAGCGGAGAATGTTGGTACAGAGTATTGGATCGCGAGCCGCAGCAAAGGTTCTTTCCAATTTCGCAGTTGTCGTTCGCCAAGATGGCATACGAGAGGGCTGCGTAACACCAGATCGACAGGCGAGGCCGATGGAGGATGCAGCCAGACGAGGGTTCCGAGACGGAGGCTAGGCGGATCTGAGGATAGCGGCGTTCTAACATTAGGTGGTTAGCCTTTCTCAGGCGACAAAGTCTGAACATCATCGTCGTTTCCCAAACCCTACTTGCACATGTGCCTGCCGTTCGCTCCGTCCATACGCTTTTGATTTTCTTCGTCGCTCTTTGTTCGCTTTGCTCCTCTTTTCACTCGTTTTCCATCCCTCTCCGACGTGTTTCGCATCGCAACTTGTACAGAGATACCCCTTATTCCTATACTAGCCCACTCAGCATACGACGACCGTTGCCCGACCCCCAACGGCCCATCGCGACCCGCGACATTAGCATCTGATCTCGCATCTCCCAGGCAGTCACTTTTGACTACACATTTCTCGTTTGTTCGATCGGCAGCTCCTATAACCTGCAGCTAGCGACTCTTCTGCATGTCGCATACAATGGCGCGCTCACCGAGCCTTATCGCTCTGCTCTTCGCTCTCATCATGGTTTTCGCGACAGTAGATGCAAACAGCTTGCCATGGATGTTGAAGCGCCAAAATTCTCTCGTCGGTACAGGGGCAAGCACCTCCTCGACAGCCCAGACTTCTTCTGCTGTCGTCGACAGTTCCACGTCGTCGGTCGCTCCCACGACATCTTCAGCAATCCCCGAAACGACCTCGTCCGTGCCGCCAACCACGACCAGCGAGCCTCCTTCAACAACGACTACCCCCACATCATCGCAGGCTCCTACCACTAGTGAGGCTCCTCCCACGACCGCGGAAACCACTCCTACCAGCGCTCCTACAACCTCTTCAGAAGCTCCATCTTCATCTGCCACCTCTGCTATCGTTGAGACCACTAGCTCTGCTGCTCCCTCTTCTTCCGTCGCGGACAGCTCTTCTGCTAGCCAAACGGCTGCTGGTTCCTCCTCTGCTGCTTCGTCAGAATCTTCCGCTGCCTCTTCTCGCGCATCCTCCGGTCAGAGCACAAAGACAACATCCAGCAAGTCCTCTAAGACGACCTCTTCTGATATTGTTGTCATCGGCTCCGGATCTGCTGCCAGCACCATTAACCGCTCGACTGTGAGCAAAGCTACTACCATCACCAACGCCCTCGTTTCGTCCTCGACTCGTAAATACACAACCATTATCACTACAATCACTGGTGGTAGCACTCTAACCACTGCTGTTCCAACTGAGGAAGTCATTGCATCTACCACTGGTTATGCAACTGCGACCATCTCGCCCTCGTTGAACGATGGCGGTAGCAGCGGAAGTAGTGGCGGCGGTCTGAGCACTTCCACCAAGAGCATTATTGGAGGCGTTGTTGGAGGTATCGGCGGTGCCATTCTGCTCGGTGGCCTTGCTCTTGTCGCCTGGCGCATGTGGGGACGCCGCCGTGCAAAGGGCCCGAGAATGGATGACGACGATGTCATGGGTCCCCAACCGCACGAAAGCCTCATGACTGAGAAGAATGAGCCCCCGCTAGCCCGCTACCACGGCGGTGGCGGTCAGATCAATACAGCATCCAACTTCTAGATGAGCGTGTTGTTCCCTTTCAGGTTTCTTCAAAATTGCATGACTGGGTGTTTTTCCCTGAGGTTCTACCCTATTCTTTGGTCTTATTCTTCTTAATTAAAGCGCAGCGAGCGAGCGATCGGCATGTCTTATCTCCAAACCTCTTTTTGGTTTTCTTACATACCCACTCTCCTTTTTTTGTTCCGTACACACTTCACCTCTTGTCTTTGGTACTCTATATAGCTTGTAGTGTCACCATAATCGGTGACTACATACCAATCCATTTATAAAAGTTGATACTCCTTGGCTCTGGCCCTAAACATTTCGAGCTCCTTGTACGGAGTTTCTCGCCGATATGGATTAGCCAATGCTCCGAACCCATTCTTCCAGCTGCTGCTGTTGTTGACTCTATGCCTTTCAATCCTGCGTACAAAATCTCTTCTCTATAGCTATAAGCTCGTTTGTGAATTGTCTCCCATCTGAGCGGTGAGAGAATGACACTGGACAAGAGCACTTTCAACAGAAAAAGTACTGCTGAACCGAGCTTGCTGTCCGCAAGTCAGGACAGAATCATGGACGCGAGCGAAGAACAACTCTTGGACACATTCTGGGAATGTTGAAACTGTTTTTTATCTTGTGCTGAATGTGTTTTGCTATAAAGAAGCATTATTTAACAGACTCCATTTCAGGACCTCTGCCCGCTAGGTCTCTAGCAATCATCATCTCAGACCTTGAGAGTCCCAGATTAGTAGCATACTCGCCGAACGTAACCACAATCTCATGCAGGCCATCACCCAAACCCTTCAACAACTCTTCGACCTCAGGGACTTGACGATTGCCGTCAAAATCCATATCTGTCCAATGCGGAGGTAGGTTTCGGATGAAGATTTGAATCTGTTGTGTGGTGATGATCAGAGTGCGGACGATGGTTGAGATGTCTTTTTGCACTTGGCCGAGGTTGTCTTCTTTCAGACTGGCGACTGCGAGGCCGCAGACAGCATTTATGGCATTGGTGATGATGGCACCAGTGCTGTAAGGGACACCAAAGACAACTGCGTTGACGCGACGGGCAAAGGATTGACGGAACGGCATGCCGATTGGCGTTCTGATGAGCCAAGAGATCAGCCCGTTGGCATTGTTGACCATGCCGGCGCGACCGAGCTGTTCCTGTTGCTCCTTGGTCAAGATACGATCAGCACCATATTCGAGCAGCTTCTGTGCTCGAGGACTGACGGGATTCGTAGAGCCGTGAGACTGGCCGTAAGATCTGGCGACCAGACCGACAGAAGTCTCGAAGGCCTGCAGGCCAGTTGAGGGTGGTGCTGGTGCCATGAAGATGACGTCCTCTCTGACAGGGCGCGATGAGATCTTGGGAAGGGTTTGTATTGGCTGAGGGGGTTGTTCAGGCGTGTGGGCAATAGCGCCTTGCGAGTCCTGGATGCGCTGGATGACGGACTGAATTTCGATCAAACAAGTGCCAGAGACTTGAGACCAGGTAGATCCACCCTTTCTGTCAAGCTCAGTGAACAGAGTCTTTCTACGTTCCTCGAATTTTCTAGTGATCATGGCAAGTTCCCAGAAAGCCATGGTCTTGGGAATCTCTTTCTTTGCCTTTAGACCAGCAAGTAAACTACCGTTAGGATCTTTCGAATCGGCGGTCAGAGGCTTGTTCTTCTTGACGGGTTCTTGAGAAGTGTAAATGGTGAATGCACGGTTGGATAGCTCCCACAAGGCGACCAGAAGCGTCGAAGACCAGAGGAAGCGCGCAATGAGAGAGAAGGGGTCGGTAAGACCTGCAGGCCTTGTCGACTTGGGCAAAAAGAAGAGAGTACGGCCAATCTTGAAGGTCAGAGACCATGCGAGATTCCTCCAGAGGGCGAAATAGAAGAAAGGACCAAACAAGCAGGTAAGACTGACCAGCTTGGCAGTGTGGGCGACGATGTTCTTAAACTCGTCTCTGAGCTGCACGAGCGGCGAGTTCTTGGTTGGAGACTGCGGCAGGCGGATCAAGTCGTAGTCTTTGTAGAGATGGATGGCAGACTGAGCTAGAGCGAGGAACAAGAACTGAGAGCGGAGAAGAATGGGACGCTCGTTCAATTTGGGACGTTCGTACGATCTACAAGAGTCAGGTTAGGACAAGCAAAGCAGGAGGTTGGGGAAGACAACGTACCTGCCAGGGTCGATAGATGCGAGATTGGCATCTTTGGCGGTGGAGAAGATGTAGAGTTCTACATAGAGGAAGGCCGAGAGAGTGTACCAGAAGCATGTGAGGATGGTGTTCTTGGATACGAGGTAGTTCCAGAAAGACTCAAAGGTCGAGATGGAGGTTCGTGGGCCAAAGTGTAGTTGGGCAACTCGGAGGACAAAGATGGAGAGCGATGAGATGAAGAGGAAGAGGGTGCGGATACCAGCAGGGCCGAGAGGGAACCAGGACCAGAACAGGCCAGGACTAGCCAAGGGAATCGAGATGAGCCAGCATGCTGCAAGAGCGAGCAGAGCAGCACTAGTGAATCTTGTGTGCAAGGAGGGCGTCAGGAAGTCGCGGTATGGACGGGCGGTAGGCACCGCCTTGACAGGGGCCGGCGGGTTCATGTCAGCGCACACCAACGCGACCTTGGACTTTGTTGATGGGAGCTCTTGCCAGAACAAAACACAAAAGAGAAGCTGCACATGCCGCCAAGCAACGACCGTTTCGCTCCCGTACGTCACCCTCGCGCCTGCCTCGACTCTCTCCGCATTCCGCAACTCGACGTGCAACCATCTCAGGCACCCGCTTTACCACCACTCTCATACATAGACCGCCATGTCGTTCCAGGACTCTCCCAATCTCGAAGGCAAGATGGAGCCTTACCCGCCGTCCGCTTGAGCGTCCACACTAACACGCGCATAGCCCAGCCTACCACATGGCGCCGCTCCGACGACCCCGAGTACCAGGATGATCCAGAGTTCAACGCCTTCACTACCGACCTTTCTGATCGCCTCTTTTCCCTTACTGCAAACATCTCGCGTCTTTCCAGCCAGGTCGCTCTACTCGGTACCAAGCGCGAGACGGACCGCGTGCGCGAGCGTGTCCAGGACCTGCTCGAAGAGACGTCGGCAAGCTTCAAAGACATTGGCGATGGCTTGAAGAAGGTCCAGGCATGGCACGACTTGGGCGTATGTCCACCTCCTTCTGAAACCCTCTGCCATCCCACTAACACATGAGCAGCCCGCCCAAAAGTACACCCAAGGCAAACTGAACCAGGAATTCAAAGCTTCCCTCACCGAATTCCAATCTCTGCAACGAACTGCTCTCGAGAAACAACGCGCCTCTGCCACCGCTGCCCGTACCGCCCTCGAAGAGTCTGGCTCGCCGACTGTTGAACGCTCGCAACAGCAATTACAACAGCAGCAGCAACAAGAACAACTCCGCCTAGCCGACCAGTCCGACGTTGACTTTCAAGAATCCTTGATCGTCGAGCGCGAGGCTGAGATACGCAACATCGAACAGTCCGTGGGCGAACTTAACGAGTTGTTCAGGGATGTCGCGCATATGGTCCACGACCAAGGCGGTCAGCTCGACATCATCTCTAATAATGTCACCAGCACCAGAGATGACACCCAGGGCGCTGACCGCGAGTTGCGCACCGCCAGCAGACACCAGAAGAATGCCAGGAACAAGATGTGCTGTCTCTTGTTGATCCTGGCTGTCATCCTGACTGTTGTCATTGTTGCTGCTGTTTCTGGTTAGATCTGCTGTCGCCCACTAGACCTCTTTCCCTGTCCTACCTCTCTGATCGCTCGCCCTTTCTCTTCGCGGACCCCTCGCCGCATCTCTATATACCCCTCCTCTTGTTCTGGTCTCTTCTTGTCGTCTGTACATACAATCACAACATCGCAATCTTTTCCCACGAAAGACAGTCTTTCTTGGCTGCCCTTTATGCTTTCCGTATTCCCGAACTCCTGCTGTTTTGAGAAAATGGTCTTGTCGAGTACGCAAGCCGCAGTGATCTACATACTATGTATAATGTTCCCTCGACTATGAACTTTGACCCCCACGCGAAGCAACAAGAAGTGACAAAGGCTCCTCTCGTCCCGCGTAACGTCGTATTCCACATGGGATTTCTGACTTTGAACCCGCAAAACGGTTTCAAAACCTGTTCGTTCATGCGGAATCGCACGTGGTCTTTTTGCTAGCTTTGAAGTGTAATCTGTATATCTTCGGCCGTACACAAAACTCACACGGTGCAGCAGACTGTCAAATCAGAGTGATCGCGGAGTAATTGCATGCGAAGTTGAGAACGAAACACGGATTCGCATCCTCGGCAGTTTGTGTGGTCCATGCTGATGACAGGCTGGGAGAGCGCTTTGTAGTGCCAGATACAGGCTCGAACAAGCAGCGGTTATGGTTTGTTAGTTGAGTTTTGATGTAAGGGCTGTCTTGTGTGGAATATACTAGTAGGCTGTGTTCGTATCGACTGGTGAGAGCATCAGTGGAATTGATATTACTTTTGCTGTTCGAAAGTGTGTAGGGAGGATCAATCGATACCTTCTACAACGATGGGCCTCCTGACATTGATGGTCTTAACCAACGGCAATACAAGACATGCTTCATCCTTCGCCATATTCAAATATAAAGCAATGCGTTGTAGGTATATGACGAAACTGCTCATGTGTTATACCGCAGCGAATCATACCGCTCGCAACACTCGCTAGATACAACACGACAACAAAGCCCTATCAACCAACCAACGAACGGCAGTTGATATGAGCTTCTGACAGCGGTAAGCAAGTGGTATAGCCCCACGTACGAGCGTTCCTTTCTGCGAGACACGATATAGCTATATCCCTGCCTATACTATCACTCTACCTTGTCCAGGCACACTCCTTTGCACCAGTGAGGAAGGTCCAATGTCGAGCCCTTATCAATACTATGCTCTTCATGAAAAAGGCAACTGTGCTCGTGACTTATCTTTCTGTTTCACCGCCTGTTTTGCATACCCCTGTTGCAAGGGAGCAAGTGATAGACAAGACACCATGATTCATGGAGCGAGCAGATCATGAAAGTGAAGCGCAAGCACCAAAGAGAAAACCAACGAACCTCGGGAATGTCTTTTCCATGTTGATCGGGATCCCACCACCACCACACCCACATGTCACTCACTCCACCTTCTTCTGCTGCTGCGGCGAAACGCAATATATCTGAAACGAATGCAAAAATGTAACCACGTTATTGGGTGGGTTGTGGTGGCCGCCGCCGCCGCCGCCCCCAATCATGCAGAAAGGAACGGTCTGAAGTTCAGCTCACCGCCCGGATAAAGGGCTTCCTCGGCTGAAACATACCACACTGATAAGCAACTTCAGCTTCAATGTTGTTTGTAGTCCTGGCTGAGCGTCTGAGCACATGTCTGGAAAACGAAGATGTCGTCGCATTATTGGTGCAAATCATAAAAGAAAACGAGGCCCCCGAGAAACCCCGAACAAGATCTGCTTTTGTGTTTCTTTTTTTGTTCTTTGCCGGCACACGCGATGATGTGGTTCGTTATCGGGGGCGTTTTTCTTTGCTCCAAGTTGGTCGTTTCGTGGTTGATGTGCTTTATCAGTTTTCGGAGGCACCTAAAGAGCAAAACGATCGTCTGGCTCTGTTCCAATCCTTCTTGCATGTTGCATGAATCGTTTTGTTTGGGTCGTGGAAAAATGGAATCGTCACTGTGCTGTGCTTCCTTTGCAAGTCTTTGTCGATCAATGTTTGGCTTTTGCGGAATTGGTCCGTTGCAATGGTCAAATGAGAGCAAGAGTGATTCAAGCTTTGCAGAGAGGATCGTTTTGTTTGATTTTGCCTCTCGATGGTGAAAGTGATGCTGCCGTTACGCGCATCATCTAGTGTTTCGTTCTTTCTTGCTGCGCGATGCTCGCATCATGCGTGGTCGGTTTGGCTTGCATCTTGTTGTCTCGGCAAGCACCCTTCTCTCGCGTATGCTCACGTTGTTCCGCACTGCATGTTGCATTCCTGCAGCATGTATGCGCTTCGCCAGGCTGTATATTGCATACGTACATGTGGCATTCGCATGCGCGTCAAGCGTGCCATTCTTCAGGAACCGACTTTTTGGTCGGATCGTGAGCAGAATGATTGTCAAACGTGTTGCCGATCAAGACGAGCGGATAGAACGGCTACTGCGGGAATAGCAAAGAAACACCGAGTGGTGGTTGATAAAGAAACTCGGGATGATCGCAAAAAAAGATTGAGCAACAGAAACGACAAATGCGCGACACGCGGCTGAGAATGTGGCCGATCACATGGAGGGGAGAGGTAATGAGTGGGTGGCAGAAGAAATTGAGTGTCTGAGAGCCATGATTCGCACAACAACTCGTTCTGCTTCACCATGCTTGCCTTGCTTGCATACATTGGTTTGGGCACGCACCCTGACCAGATATTTTTCGATTTCGACGCACCCTTTCTTGAAACTTTCGGCGCCTCATGAGCATGACTGCAGCGCAGTACTCTGTGCCGTCAGAGATAGATGGAACATTAAGCCTCCGAACATCCATAATGTGGACGAGGCCGTCTGCAACTGCTTCTGCGTCTTCATGGCCCAGATTCGGTTCATACGGAAGCTTCAGGTAAGCCCTCGATTGTATCCAAGATGTTGAACCAATGACCATGAATATCATACACTGCAACATCTTCAACCGAACCGGCAAGCAACAAATCGAATCAGAATATGTTGACAAGACAAACACAGAAGACGACGGTGGCTGCAGGTGTTGAGAGAATGTGTGGAAATTTGGGAAGCCCTCCCCGGATGGGCGCCTCCATTCTCGCCTGTTGCAACTCTAAAAGGAGCGCTCGAAGCTCCGTAGAACAGGGATGGAAGCTTTTGCGACTCACGTCAGAACTTCTAGAACAGAAGCCAAACTCGCGAGACCGAAATGAGGTGAGAAGCAAAAATTCTTCCCCTGCTATATTGGACGGTGATGTCAAAGTGGTTGGGCCTTTTGTGGCTGCGGGCTTGATATTCGGACGTTGCTGTTGTATCTTCCAAAGGCTTCGGCTCTTGTTCTAGTCAATTTCCTCTTCTGCTTTAGTCCCAATATGCTCGCTGTTTGCCCGGACCGCTCGGTTCCGATTCACGAGCTCGTGGTTAGAGTTTTGCGCAGTTTGAGTAAGAAAAAAACACTTCTCGAAACCGACAATTCTGATTGCGATGACCGCGAGGCAAATCCGAAGCGCGACCGGGGAATTGTTACTCACTGGAAGGCGGTCTGCCACGCATTGACTCCCTTGATACCATACCATCCACTGTTGTGTCATCAGTGAGCACGAGTCGCAGCCTCGCACTGCGGACAAACGCCGAACGAACTGTGCCAAGGCATACCACACGATTGCCACGTGGAAAGCTTCCCGCATGCAAGCCACATGCGTGTTTGGCCTCTTCGAGACCCTCTTCTCATCTCACCTCGGGTTACCGCTCGGTTTTGGAGATGCTCGACATGACTCTCAGGTCGACGCAAACCAGTGAGACGACTCAGCGACGTGCTTAGTATGATCGACGATTAGCGGTAAGCAGTGACAGACATACTATCCCTCTGCTATCGCCCACGTGCTGGCTCAGACCGGGGTCAAAGCACGGTGCTTGCTCGGAGCGTTCTGTCGACATGATGTTAGCAACGCGGAAGTAGAGACGCGAGTTGCGAATCTTTCACCCTTGATTCCGATCGTGGTTGGAAACGAGCGTCTGCCCTACGGAGCCGCCGCTCTCTAAATTCCAACTTACCCGCTTCCGGCCCAGCTTCCGAATTGTTCTCCAAGGAGATGCTGTGCAAAGAAAGACTGGGTTTCAACGGTCGGTGAGAATACTCAGCCGACAAAGATTCCGAGCGCAGGAGCTTCAACAGCTTGACTGATGATTGGTCAAGCGTCGGTTCCCAAACGCTTGCTGCTCAGCAAAGATTGATTTGGCTTTTGGTTTTAGGTAGAAGAGCTGCCTCGGAGACATGTTTAGGCGTTGCCCGATGACCTACCTAGCACAAAGAGGGCAGTTTACTGCGACAGTGTGGTCGTACAGCAGGGCAAGCTCCGGAGCTTGGCCTGCTGGTGTCAGCATTTTCGAATGGGTGGTATCAGCCACAGCGACCAACGCTTGGAGTGTAGGAGCCAGATTCAGATCTCTTTGTGACGAAAAGGACAAATTGCACATGCAGATCTCCGCCTGTCAACCGTGTGATCTTCACGGAACAACCAATTCTCTGGATATGTCCCCATCGCGTGGCATTAGTGCTCGTGATCCTGCAGCTGCGCGATTTGAAATGATAGCCAGGATTCAGGACCAGCATGTTGTTGACTTGTCGCTTCGATGAACCCCAGAGGGAAAGCTGCCAGGGTGGGTTTCCTACTGCACAGTGCACCCCAGTGAGCAGAGCTCTCCCCACGTTCATTTTCCGAGCCTGCCCGCTTCGTGACTGATCACATTTCCCTGTGTTGTCAACAACATGGCCGCGGCCCGCCGGCCTCAGCTTCCGTTGGATACGCTCTCGGCAATGCGCTTACGCTTTGATCTCTAACCACCGGCAGTGCCACATGGACACGATCTACCCAAACTCTGTATCTTCTCTTGCAACATATGAATACGTACAGCGTTAACCAGATTAGACTGCTCATCGGTCAGCAGGAAGAAAAAGACATACAAGCATTCCCTTGGACCGAAAGATGGAACCAAATCTAAGCTTAGATGCGCCCTATGAGCTCGTCATAGTATTCTCACACCCGCGATATTGAATGGCGCGCAGGGCAGCACCCGAATCGAGCGGTCATGCCCGCAGCTGATGGCACATACGAGAGCCATGTCAGTCCTGTCGGACGATGGAAAACGCTCATCGACGCCCGAGGCAAGCCGCCAGCAAGGGGAAAATCGTTTTCCAACAGTTGATGATCTCGGCAAAGAATGGTACACCTAGATCAGGTAACCATCCAGGAGAGTGTACATGGGTACATGGATATGCTGAGAACCATCTCTAGGTCAATCGAGATCCACATGTGTCGTTTGCTGTGCGCCTGTAAGGACGATTGGCATCTGCGTCCGTATTTTATTTTCTAGGGGATTGGGCCGTATGGGGACATGAGAGGTTAGTGCGGCCGTCGAGTCAGTGTTGGAGATAGGAAAGGGTAACGAAGCGGAGTCTTTCCGTGAGGCTGTTGACTCCATCTTGGCCGTCATCTCAACGGTGCTTTGTTGGTGATGGTGGCTTTTCTGTACACGACGAGACAGGGTTGGCAGAAGCACACAAGTGAATCGAGGAAGGCGTGGAAGCCGTCTCACGCACACCGCACATGGCGCATGAAACCAGAGAAGCAGGCAGCTCTACGAAGATCCCTGCCCCGAGAAGACAGGAATCTTTGATCGGCGTCTGCAACACGCTAAGCGACACGTGCATGTGGGAACCTTTTTCTCACACGAATCAAGCAAATCAGGCGGGCTGCAGGCGTGGCGGATGACTCAAAACGCCATACGATCTAGTGAGGGATGGCTACATGCGTACTGTAGACATGGGATGCGCAGGAGGGCGGAACAAACAGCGAACTCGCACGATCGACAGGCGAAGAAAAGCACACGAATATCCGTGAGGCAAACGATGCTGTCAAGGAGGAAAAGGCGAGCGAGATACGTGCGTAGGGCCGAGTGGCCAGGCAGGCACGGTGCATGGGAGGGCAGAATTAGCTGTAGCCGTTTGGAAAACATTTGGTGTTAGTGGGCAACGGGTGAATAATGAACAATAGTTGGTGAAGCATTGCGCACGAGGTAGCGTGGCCGCCCCTCTGAGCTGGTCCAACGGCGCTATCCACAGAAAGGGGAAGGTTGATCAAACCCCTGCTACCACGCGAGCAGGGCGCCGGCTAGCTGATCTCATGGCTCCGAAAATTGACACATGAAGCGGCGCTGGTGGAATTCTTAGCTCGGGCTAGCATGGTCGTACCCACAGTACTTGAAACTTGAAAGGCCTTACGATATCCAGGCCACCGAGCCGTGCAATGCCTCATCCAACCCCGTCCAGCACTTGTCCTCCTGCATCCACCGTCCTCGCGTCTCTCCAGCAGCCCTCGCCGTCGCCAGTCCTGCCCCCCGTGCCCGACGAGCTGTGTCTAGGTCAAGATTCGCTTTCGCCACGTGAATATCAGCGAACCAAGCACGACAGCCTTACCACAGAAGACTCGGCGAGCCGATCTGCCGGCGTCATAACCAACTCGCTCCCCCATCCCGGCTCATCATCCGCTGCTGCTGCTGCTGCTGCTGCTGCGTCTCCGCGTCAGCCCTCACAGCATCTTCGCTTGACCTCGCTGGGCCGTATCGCTCCTACTGCTGCGAGCGACTCTCTCGAATCCCCCACACGCGCTTCCCCCCGCCTGTCCCAGGAGTCGCTGTCTTCGCTCGACTACCACCCCCGCCGCCCCGGCCTCGACGACAAGCGAATCTCGCTAAACACCTTTCTCTCGGCCACCACTCCTCCCTGGGCTGTACAGGAAATCAACAATCGACAGAAGATGCATCAAACCTCGTCCCGTCTGCTGCGTCAGACTGACGATGACCGTCCATTCACAAGAGTAAGTCCATCTGCCAATGTTTCGCCGTCTTCCCTAGCTCACCCCGAATCTCTGCAGGATCTGAAGGATCTCTTCTCGACATTGATGGTCAGTCTGCCTCTGACCCCTCATCGCGTCCGTTTCACCAAGGTCGAGCACACCTTTACCACCGATGAAGCTCTGACCAACCTTGGATCGCTCAAATTCTCCCAATCCAACCGCATGCCCGACCCCAAAGACCCCTCCAGAATCGTCACCACTACGACAACCACCACCTTCTCCATGGCCAAGGAGATGGCCCGCACCGTCTGCAACAGATTCTGCGAAGCAAGATTCGTCGAGTCACTGGATGGCAAGACAGACTTCAGCTCGAGGAGTTCCGTGTGGCAGTTGACCCCCAAGGGCATGCGTGTTCTCACTCGCTTCTGCCAGCGTAACGGCATCCACCAACGCCACGTCAATGAGCTGCTGGATTCGGCTCGCAATACCATGCAACTCGTCATCCTCGAACGCGTGCCCGAGAACGACAACATCAACATCGACCGCGGCACCATTGAGGTTGTTTTCAGAAGATTCTGTGGTGAAGAAGGCCCCAACCTCAAGAGCACTGCCACTGCCGATTCCGAGTCGATACATGACTACGCAACTGGCCTGGTCGGCGTGCACATGATGAGATCGCGCAAGCAGTTCGAGAAGGATACCCCCTACATGTTCACCGGCAAGTCGGCCCTCGATTGGCTCATGGACTGCTGCATGGTTGTGAACAGAAAGGAGGCGTGTGACATTGCCCAGCAATTCATGGTACATCAATTGATTGTTAACTTGACCGAAGAGCGTAACTCGCCCGCTGCCTCGCGCTGGTCACCCCTGAAGACAGCGCATTACGGCGTCACTGACAAGGGAATGAGAATCGCTGGCTGGGTCAGAAGTCCCAATGGATCCATTAACGGAGAGCCCGTCGTAGTCAAGCTCCCCCCCGGTGTTGCTCGCGACTCCAACACGACCAGAATGTCACAAATCATCCACGACCCCGCCCAGCGCCTAGTCTTCCGCGAGTTCCTCCAAGAAACCCACTGCGAGGAAAACCTCACGTTCTATCTCGAAGTTAGAAGCTTCTTGCTAGATTACAACTCTGCCAAGCGCTCAGTTCCTGCCCCTCGTCTCGATCTCATCCGCGAGACCCTGGCTTCGGCATACAGTAAGCTCATCTCACTGGTATCTTGTCAACTAAAGCTAACCCTTGTCCAGGCTTGTACAATGCTTTCCTTGCTCCCGGTTCGCCATGCGAGCTCAACATTGACCACAACCTGCGTAATGCGCTTGCTAGCCGCATGACCCGTGCTGTAGGAGAAGACACCGAGATGATTACTAGCTTGGATGAAGTTGCCACTCTGTTCGACCAGGCCCAGACCAGCGTCTTCAAGCTCATGGCCAGCGTGAGTCCTGCAACACCTGCTCGTGAAAGTAACCAAGGCTGACCCACCATCAGGATTCTGTCCCGAAGTTCAGCAGAGACCCCAAGTACATCAGAATGCTCGAGAACCGCACAAACTACGATCAGATGAACGCAGCCTTCTCCGCCGCCTCAGTGTCGTAAAAGACGCTGACTGGCATCGACCATATCTAAATAATCCCCATCTTGCCACTTTCGATACCAATTTTCCCACCCATCCTGGGTCACACCAGAAAAGCGGCCGTCTCGGGAAGACGAAATCTGGCGAGACGACGTAATCATCTCGTCGCACATAGACACGACGCAATCCGAGCCCCAAAGTATCTCTCACAATGACGCCGTACACAATGAGGCGTGTCAGCCTTGGAAATGATTTTTCTCCGACAACAACTCTGGATAATCCTATCAACAAATGGCGCGGCGGATTGCTTCGTGTGGCCCGTCTTTCGAAAGCCGTGGGTCATAGCCCACGCTGTATTCATTTCTGGTATTTCGATTCTGAATAAAGGCATCACAGGCGTCTCAGGGTGCATAGCAGATCGGCGTTTTTTTCTTCTGCTTTTGTTTTTGGAAACATGGGGGATGACAAGTAATTTGAGGTTGCTTTTTCATTCTCGCACAGATGGACTTTTCATTCTTCTATTTGGTTCATTTCTTATTTCATTTGCTATGCTTGCATTTCGACCTGGCTCGCGGCGGCAGCAGAGAGAATGGCGGCACTTTGACGACTCAGCGATTGCAAGGAGGACACGTCTGAAGGAAGGACATTGATGCAAGCACGAAGCTGCGTGAAGGACTGTAGAAGTAACAATAGCATGACACGTCTATGAAGACTGCTTATCTCACTATCATGTGCTTGTGTTATAAGAAGAGATGTCAAGAGTGATGTGAACGGCTAGACGGTAAAGAGGAGGCGCAACAAGGTTCCAGTTCGGGTTTGCGAGTGGCTGCCACGCTTCTTTGAGCACGCTTTGGGCGCGTTTCCAACGCGTCTTCCGGCTTGAATCATTGTCAACAGTAATATCGAAACAAGCAAACTTGCAGTCTTGTAATAATAACAAAAGCGCATTGGTGACAGCTGCAACTGCTACTTCCAGAAGACATCATCGGCTATAGCACAAGTCATGGGCGTCCCGCCGGGTGTAGGTCCCTTGGTCTAACGAATGTTTTGCACAAGACATTTTCCTCTAACGCGGTCCACAGTCGCAGGCAGCTCCACTTCCGAGCAATCTGCCCTTTCGACTCGTCTCCAAGACGATCGGATCCGGCGCATATGCAGCGTGTGTACTCGACATGTGTCTTGATTACGAGTCAGCCGCTGACAGATGACAGTATTCGCAAGGCAGTACCCAAGGACAAGCCGAAACCCGTCATCGCCGTCAAGTTCATCAACAAAGAGCATGCCTTCAAGGTAGGCCGATTGCGGCCCAAGCAGATTGAGCTCGAGATCAGTTTGCATGGACAGGTGTCGGGCCACGCCAACATTATCCGCTTCTTGTCGCACGGCGACGACCAATCATGGATCTGGATTGCCATGGAGCTGGCCGAGGGCGGCGACTTGTTTGACAAAATCGAGGCCGACGAGGGAGTAGGTCAAGACATTGCCCACTTTTACTTCAAGCAGCTCGTCAATGCCATCGCCTGGTGCCATGGCAAGGGTGTCGCCCACAGAGACATCAAGCCCGAGAACATGCTGCTGACGGCCAACGGTGACCTGAAGCTGGCAGACTTTGGCCTTGCTACGGCCTTCCTCAACCCCAAGACTGGAGACTCCAAGATGTGCGGCCTGGTATGCGGCAGTCCACCGTACATCGCCCCCGAGATCATCCAGGTCGGTTACGCGAATCAAAAGAGGAAGCATGGCGAGGGAAAGTTTGGCTACAACCCCAACCTCTCAGACATCTGGAGTTGTGCCATTGTGCTGTTTGTGCTGTTGGTAGGCAACACGCCTTGGGACCAGCCCGAGCCGCAAAAGAGCGACGAGTTCTACCATTTCTGCGAGACACAAGGCCGTCCCGAAGACGAGCTCTGGGACAAGATACCCTCGGAAGCCTTGAGTCTGCTTCGAGGCATGCTCAAGGTCGACGTCACGGAGCGCTTCAAGCTGAACGACATCCGCATCCATTCATGGTACACGCGTCCGAACAAATTCATGAACTCCAAAGGCACCGTCTCGGACTCGGTCGGCCTGGCCACCAACATGATCGAACGCCTGCACATTGACTTCACCACCGTATCCGACTCACAAAGTCAACCGCAACCCAAACAAGTCGAATCACAACCTGCACCCGCCCTCATGTCTACACAACCCGTCACCCCAGCATTCGACCAACCCTTTGACTGGGAAGCTCCGCCACGACTGGCAGGCCTCACAGCTTCCCAACCAGTAACCGCACACGACTCTTCTCGTGTCGCCATGACTCACGACCTCATCGCCGCCCAGCTCTCGCAAGAACCGCACATGACCCAGTTCAGCCAAAGCCATAACGTCCCTCTGTCCCTAACGCAAAATGCCCGCCGCTTCCGCGATATCGTGCCCGCGCAATCGCTCGCTCGCTTCTACTCATACCAAGCTTTGCCTCAGCTGCTGGGCACCATTCGCAGCGCTCTGCATACACTCAATGTACCCATTCCTGCCGCTGCAGCTGCCGACGACAAGGCGAAGCAAGCCCATGTTCGTATCCGCATGGTCGACGGCCGCAAGCAAGGACTCAGCGGCAATGTAGTGCTCGAGTCTATCGCCGAAGATGGTCTTGTGGAAGTCAGATTCGTCAAGGCAAAGGGCGATCCACTTGAGTGGCGTAGATTATTCAAGAGGGTTGCCGTGCTCTGCCGGGATGCGATTCTCATGCCTAGGGAGTAAGGGATTTTTGCTGCCGTGTCGACTTGCCCTCTTCTGGTTATTTCTCCTTCTTCTCTTTCTCTTCTTTTCGCGTCTTTTCATGGCGAGCTTTACCTTTTTTTTCCCCCCCTCTTACACTACTTTCGGTTCTCTTCTTGGGGACCTGATCCCTCACAATTGGGTTCTTTCTCCAACTCCCTCTTGTTTGAGCAGGGGTTTTTATAATCATTTCACGCGCACCGTTGGAAAAAAGAGTCATGAGCACACTGATATTTTCGTTTCTTTCTTTCTTTCTTTTGGAGAAAGGTCAGCGATGGGGTTATTGGGTCTATTCTGTGGAGCAGAAGGTGGGAGAGGGATATCAATGTCCTGGGTTGGGGATACAGAGTTGGGAATTGAGGGGAAAACCGGAAAAATGGTATTATAATCCCCCTTTGGGTTCTCAATGTTCTAATTGTTTCTTTTGGGCCTTTCCAAGTTCTTAGTAATCTTGTCATTGCTAGTTGCTTTGTGAGGGATGTGGGTAAGTGCTAACGAGAGGCATATACCACCAAAAGGTAAGGAGGACACGCTACAAGGGCGATGTGTACAGAGGAAAGAGCACCAGTTGGAGGACCAAGGATCGAAGTGAACAGAGAGAGACTATGGTGCTTTAAGAGATATACTCGAGAGTCATTTCCCGCTAACGTTCTTCACAGCAACGTGCGGAGTCCATCCCCGACCCACCACGTATGGCAGGCTCATTCCAGTGGCCCCTCCTTGGATGGATGGGCCCTTCTTTGTCACACTTCGTGCGTATTCAGTGTTATCTCTTCCCTTTGATCAGCACTCCAGACAAAGGCTTCAGGTGCTGAGATTTAGTCTCCATCAACCACGGATTGGTCGCGACTCGTTCTCTCTAGCCTCATGCACACTCAGCATATCATCAATGTCCTGCTGTAAAATTGCAACCCCTCGTTTGTAAACAGCATTATACTCAAGTAAAAGGATTAGGTGGGAAGCGTCCCCCTTCCTCACTTTCAATCGCAGTTGGCGGCTGCATACTTAGCAACTCTCTCAAAGTTGCGCGCTCGATCTTAGTGCTCGGCTGATGTTGCAGATTCGTTCTGACTCTCTTCGCCTGTCGGTCTTCTGTAGAGACATCTGATTGTCGTGGTGTATTGCTTGGTGCAGCTTTCCGTAGTAAGTCTCCAATGCTGACGGGTGCTTCCACCATGATGGCTGATCGGCCGGGTTGAACGGGTCGGGTATGGAGAAGCGCTGGTCCATTGGCGGTCATCCAATTAGGTAGTATCATGTTTGAGTGTTGTGATTGTTGGTGAGAGTCATTGTGTGACGGTCGCCATTGTGTTGGTCTGTCTGATGCCTGAGGTGGCGGTGAACAGCCACCTGGTGAGAATGTCAAGTCGATCGGAGCTGGCGAGTGTGTGTTGTCTGTCGAGGTGGCGTGTTCGGCGCCGGCAGTTGGTCGAGTGAGGATGGCTCTGACTTGAGAAGCGATGTCGCCGGGTGGTGTGTCCCTAGGATATCGTTGTCGTTCCTGTCCCTCTAGTGTTGGATCCACAAGCTGTCGTGACGGTGCTGATTGATTTGGACGTCTGTAGTGTGCCAGCAAGTCCTCTCTGTCGACCGTGATATGAAGACTGTTCCTCTGAGACTCTTGGTGAGGATGTTCTGCCAATGCTGGCCAAGGCCTTGCACCACTCTTAGGTGGCCGTGCTTCCAAGGCATGTTTCCGTTTCCTGGTTTTGGATCCTAACCACGAAGGCGGATTACCGTCATTGAATTGGCTAGGTTGACCTTCTGCTTCCGAAGTAGGGTTTGCAGGCGCTTCAGACGCTGCTTCTTTGGCTGCCACCGCATCCGTAGGCTTTCTGAACTTCTTGCCTATGTAATACACTTCTCCGCAGGTAAAATGCTTGCCACCCGCATCCTCGAATTGCGGCAGTTCCTTCATACTCTGAAAGACCACAGCAGCCTTGGCATCAGGAGCCATCTGCCACATCTTATGATGAGCAATCTCCCTCAAGCCATCGCATCTGTGAGTCTGATCAACCAGATCCAAGTCGTGCGTATGATCTGGACATCTGTCATAGGGGCTGTTTCGATCAACGGTGTAGTTGAGGATTGTCTGTGTATCGCTTGCATAGTTGGCGACTACGCTCATGGTGAGGGGGCATGGTTTGTCTAGTGGTTGTCGGGTTGGTCGTGCTCGTATGCCTTTGCTGGCGGTGGGTGCTGCTTTCTCCTTGTGGAAAAGACATCGGTAGTATGTTCGTTGTGTGTTGAAGCGAGGTGAATATGCTCCGGCTTTTGCGTTGCTGTCTGATCGAGGTTATTAGCATTTGGTTGATTCGAGGGTTGATGATGATGCTGTAACATGATGATTGCGGTTTCGAGCATAAATTTTTGGACAAAACTACATGATATCGTGGAATAAAGAACAATTTCACAGAAATGATTAAACAGAGGCATGATCAAGTATGTATTCACGACGTCCCCTTTTGATACTTACACCAATTTGAGACCCACGGCTTTATTTCTTCGTACTCTTCTGGAGACAGAGTAACGGCTTCGTTAAGTTCGAACAAGACTTGTCGCCTTCGAGCAATGTCGAGAGGTATGGTTTCGATAATCATGTTGGCAGTTGGACGAAAGAGGAAAGAATATGACAGGAGGTCTTAATCGACCGGGGACTCTCGTGGTTGTTTAACTGCCCAAGTGGAGATTATGGTGGTCCGTGCTTCTCTGGTTCCTCACTCGATCAACTGACTTTCTTTCCTACTCAAGAACAAGTTCTATAAGCGTGTAGTTGCTTCTCGTGGAAGCAGCAGACCGAGAGAAGCATCTAACACACAGCAATGAAATGGAAACTACAACAACACGTGCTCCACAAAGACCAAGAACAATCCGCAAGCCAAGCTTCAACACGTGCAGATCGAGCAGTCACCAAGCACTTGCAAGAGAGAATATCGGTGAGAGAATTGTGCAACAGAAGCTTTCTGTACTTTGCTTTCCTTTCTACTATCTGATCCCCGAAGAATAAAGGGGGTTTGTTACAAACGACAAAAGATCTCGAGTAAAACGCCACGCCACAACCTTGCATGAACCCCAAACCCTTGTTAGCACACATCCTATCCTGGCTGACGACAACAACAACAACAACAACAACAACGAGAAATCCATTCCACCCTTTATCGCATGGCCTGAGCGATTCTGCCTCTCAGTGTGTCCACTGCCTGCTGCTTTTCCGGATCTAGGTCTTGGCTTCCGGCAAGACCAGTAAGGAGTTCGTCGATACCGGCTGCATTTTCTTCGCTGCCGAAGAGCACGCTGTCGCCGTGACGTTCGCTCTCGCGCAGCCACGCTTGGATCAGGTAGATGAGATCGGCGGCGAGGATGCGGCGATGTCTGCCCACAAAAGGTTGCTCGTTGGTGTAGTACATCTGCTCAACGACAGGCACCAGTGCTGAGGGGCGGATGTCGAGCTCGAGGAAGGTATCCATGACCCACATTGGTGAGGCGGCATTGGCCTGGTACTCGAGTGCGTAGCGGAGGAGCATCGGAAGGAGGATAGGAATGGGGAAAGTGGCCTCTGCAGTGTGCAGACGTTGACCTAATGAGCGCACCTTCAGTGCTACTGATTCGAATGCTCTCATTCGGTCACTGCTTTCTGCTTCTTGGTGGACTTGCTCGATGAGTAGCTGCCAAGTTGCCTGGATATCTGCAGGGTTGCGGTGGTCGGCGCAGTGGTAGATGAGAATGCAAATATCGTAGTAGCCTGCCTGGTCGGCATACTGGTTGAACAACTCGGCAACCTCGAGAATCTGACCATCGAGTGCCTTCAATACTTGAGGTCGGCGTTGTTCTGTTAGACGAGGGTCTGACTTCATACGTTGTAGGATGTCGTCTTGGATGTTGCCCACTTCCAGGAGGTCGGTGATCTCGCGCAGAAGCTGCTGTCTGCCTTGTGCAGCGTCAAGCAGAGAGACAGTGCGAATAGAGGCGTTGGTTCTGGCACGGCTGAGGTAACCAATACGTTGCTCGAGGTTGAGGTCGAAGCCGCTCTTGGCAAGCAGCAGTTGTACTGAAGCAGCTTCGAGGAAGTTGTTGTGGTGTGCGTAGTAACGCCAGAGCAGGTCCGCATGGTCAGGGTTTTTGTCCATACGTCGGCGGAGGTAGCTGATGACATATGGCGAGCTGATCTCCAGAAGCCTATCATTCCACCCTTGACCCATGTACCAGTCGTAAAGATTGTTCTGGAAGACTTCATCATCGGAGTTGTTGATGATTTCATATGCCTCGGATTGTCTCTTGGCGGTAGTGGAGAAGGCGCCATCAGGGTTTGCCTCAGATGACTGCTCAAGAGACACTATCACTTGATGGATAAGATCGTAGCATTGTTTTCTGCCTTCGAAGGCCTTCTGTCGCGGGTCGTCTTCGGGACAGTCGTCCCTCAGCCATGAGAGGGCACGGTTTGCACGATCAGACTCGTGTGCGACAGTCAAAGCAAGCTGTATGGCACCAGCATAGAAGGACATGGGAATGTATTGTGAGACAGCCCACTCGAGGTGCTCCATCGACAGCGACCCAGCCACCTTTTGGAATAGTCGCAAACTCTCATTTAACAGTCTGCGACTTGCCTCGGATGTAGGACCGGCCTCTGATGCTCTCTTGACCTGCTCCTGAGCCTTGAAGATGACAACATCATCGGCGCTGCAGAAACTGCCACAGCGTCTTCTCAAAGCTTCTGCTACTGTGTCAACGTTCGACCCGTTGACGATGTTGCGGTTCACAATTGCCTTGACAAGCTCCTTGGCCAAGTTTCTGCCATCAGGTGAGCAGAACAGACCCTCATAGGTAAGTTGCCTGGCACGCGCGCGAGATGCTTCGGGGAGGGACAAGATGATCTCATCAACCTTCTCGTCGAAGAGTACGAGCACGAAAGCGATGCCTTCGATAATGCTCGAAATGAGCTGAATCAGAGCGTTCATCGCACGGTGTTCGCCTTGCAGAGAGAGTTCGTCTTGCTTGTTGGCAACGCGTCCCAGAGATTCGGGTCCAGACAAGCCTTCGATGGTACTCTTGTTCTTGTTCAGGAACTCTTGTAACGAGTTCAGAGCGCGTTGAATGTTTTGTAGCTTGGTGAGTGCTACAGTCGATGTGACCACGAGTCCACCTTGAGGAGTGACCAGTTGTGTCAGAACTGGAGCTCTCCAGATGGATCGCACCAATCGAGTAATGTACAACGCCATGCCGTCGTGTCTAGGGGAGGGACGCACGTTGTCAATGGCAGGAGTGTTGTTGTCCAAGACAGAGTTCTCGTTGAGCATAGGCTTTCCTCCTTGAGTGACGAAGGATTCTCTTGCAAAATCTACAATGTCTGGTTCTGTGATGTTTGTGATACGAGCATCGGCGTTGCCATCAGAAGCTTCACCACAAGCGACAGCGAGAGCGGTGGCAGCGGTCTCAGTACGGCCATAGTTTCGAATGAATTTCTTCACCTGACCATCGCGACCTTCTGCATCACCACCGTAGCGAGCAAGGGAAGCAAAGATATCTACCAGTCTGCGGCGGCGCATGATTTGTACACCGGTACTGGTGAGCACAGCAATCTCGGTAGGAGCCTGGTCGAACTGAACAGCGAGTTCGTTGGCGAAACCCAGAGGTGTAGAGGCTGCAGCGAAAGAAGGGCTGACCAGACCAATGCCTTGAGAAGGGTAAGGAAGTTCCAGAAACATGCCGATTTCGGGGAACAGAGTAGCATGGCTGGCGTCACGCGGCATCTTGATGCGACCAGAGTCGGGAGCGGTGATGAAGATGGAGTCTCTGTGAGGATCTTGCGGGTTTGGCACGACCCAACATGAGTAACCAGGGGCATATCTAACGCCGGCCTTTGTGTTGGCAAGGAAGCGAGTGCTGGTATCCAGGGTTGAAGGATTGGTTGCAGGGCTGGCAGAATACGGTCCGAGCGAAGCGGAGTTTGACTGGGGTTGTTGAGGCTGAGGAGGAGCGGTTTCGCCGTCCTTGGGAGGAAATTTGATATGGTGGACCTGCATGCTGGTTGGGGCGGAAGAGGAGGAGCTGCCGTAGAAGGCGCCCGAGGTGGCACTAAGGAAAATACGACAGCCAGTGCTGGTAAGAGCCTGGAGACTGAGTCTGTTAGTCTCCTGAGCGGAGATGGGGCTGATGGAGACAAGAGTAGTGTTGCGCGCAAGGAGATCAGAACTGGGAACCATATGAGCGATCTGGGCCAGCAGGCTGGTGAAGGGACGTGACAAGGCCAGGTCGAGGACGTTGTTTGGCTTCATGTGGTAGACACGAATGGTCGAAGCTGAGGACAGGGTGTAAAGCAAATCGCGCGAATCGTCCACCACCATCTGCTTGATGTGCTCCTGCTCCGAGCGAGCACCGAAAGGCAACAACTGGAAAGCAGACGTCATGGTCGAGTTTGTGTGGTTGATCTTGGAGCATCGGCTGGCGAACCAGCGTTCCTCTTGCTGGTAGGTGAGTTCCCACACATCGGTAGCCTGATTTCCACCAAAGAAAATGCGACCAGTCTTGTCCGAGGACTCGATGTAGCTGATCGAGGTACCCTTGACGGGCACCTTCATGTTGGTCGAGTAAAGCTGGACGGCCCATCCACCATGGGCAGATTTCGCAGCTGCCAGACCGATGAGCAGGATTTCAGCATGGGTTGCGACAACCAGCAAGTGTGTGATGGATTCGATGAAGACGCCCTTGCGCGGCTTGACCAGCTTGACGGCTGTTATGGCATTGGTCTGGTCCTCGAAGCCAATGAGCTCGGGGTTGGGATGTGTGTAATCCCAGAGATATAGCGACGAGTCGATGACAATGAAAGCGTGATTTAGCTCGGCGAACAGACCCAGGTGTGTCGAGACCTGGGCCATGTTTGCTTGCTCGAAGATTTGCTCGGGGATGTCATAGCTGCGAGTGCGCTGGAAGGGTTGCCAGGCGTTGTTGAAGGTGGTGTCATAGTCGTTCGAGATGCCCTGGCCAACGTAGTTGTCGAGGGCCGGGTACTGGGCCTCGCTCTGGAGGGCTACGTTGACTGTGCGGGCTGCGCGCTCGATGGGGGCGAGCGCATCTTGGGCTGCGGCGGGCCTTTGAGCAGTCGCATCGCGTGAATTGACCTGGCCGGCGCGGTATCCAGCTAGAGTCGCGGCGGCATTGGAACGGAAAGATGGTGGTTGCGGCATCTGGCCTGAACTGCCAGGTCTACCGGGCGCCGGAGTATTGAAGAAGGCACCTGGCAGAGGACGCTGCGGCGTCGGTGGAGGTCCTGCCAGAGCCATTGTCGATGCGGAAGAGGTGGTCTGCAAAGAACATAAACTTGTTCCGAGCACAAGCAGCGACCTTGAAATGCGAGACCAACGACAAAGCTTTGGACGCGCCCAAGCGCACAGACCTTCCAATGCTGTCACTCGTCAGAAACACTCCTCGATGCCTTCGACCATCTTCCACCAACACCTCGTCTCAAATACAATGCCCATATGTATCGAGTGCCGGTATCCTGTAAGCAGTCTGTACACAACATACAGTAAGGCCGATGACCGTACTTTGGGAAAGGGCGTCCGCTTGACACAATGCCCTCGATGCAAGCGTTTTGCAGACAAATATGTCGAGCATGATTTTGTTGTTCTTTTTCTTGATCTAGTCTTGATCAAACCTCAGGTAGGTACCCTTCCTCTATGTCTTCCATGTTTCCTTATTCTTGTTCATCTTCGTATCTCCTTTTGCATCTCGACTCGTCTCCAATCATGATATAAAACATATTCTCAAACCACCTTTCCGTTGAAATCACCAACAGGTCCCAACTTCAGTCAGTGCTGACCTATATGTATAGGTCTACAGGCATCTTTTATTCAACCGTCTGGGTCGAGAAGATGGACGCTTCAACGTACGTCTTCACATGCCATGTCTGTTGTCCAAATCTCACTGCAGTAGCCCTCCATAATACGCCTCGGTGTCTTACTCCTTCTCTTCGACGTATACTTGACTTGGGCTCGCATAGAAGAAGCCATGCCCTCTTCTCCAGCCACCGACACCATCTCCATGCCAACACCACCAGACCCATTCGCTCACCCTATGAGTAATGCTACGGCAATCAGCGACTCGAGCACTCAAGGTCTATTCCCCACTTCTTACCTCCTCAACGAACAGCCCATCATCCTCCAATACGTCTTTTTCCTCTTGCTATGCGCATTAGAGACTATCGCATTCCATCTACCGATCCGTACGCTCTTGTCTTTGCGTCTACCTCGACCGCTGTCTTATCTCATTCCTCACTACCCTCATCCTGCGGTCATCAGCACGGCACTACTGGTGTCGAGTTTTACAAAGCTGTTTCCGCTGCTTTTGTTGATATGGAAGTATGATTTACCCAGTAGCGCGAGTGCTGTCTCGTGGGCGGTCATCATCAACAATGTTGCTGCTTTGGAGATCTTGCTCGAGTGTGGAGTCATACGAGCTGCTGTGTTGGCTGCAGTCGGCGCTGTGTGTCGAGCAGGTGTTGGCTGGGTAAGTCTCCTGCATGTCTAAGAATGGCAGATCTGAGCTAACATCATCACAGGGCATCTTGAGGGCTGCTGGAGTAGGATCTGGCGCGGCAGCTGCCGGGGTCGTCGAGACGGGCGATGTACTCGAGCTGTGGAAACGACTCGCAATGCACGTGGGCATAGGACAATAGCGCAATCACATCATGCAACAACAATACACACATCCCAGAAGTTGGAGTATCGAAAACAAGGGCTGCCAGGAGACGAGCCCATTACGAGTGATATGTCACAGTGTATCCTTTCCCAGTCATGACGCCAAATGCCAATGTAGTACAATGTTCTCTTTGAGAAATGCTGCTTTCTCTCTTTTGCCATGTTTCCTGCCTTCTCTCCTCTAGTCTCTGTGGACGTACTCGGGTCTCAGGTCGCCTCGCTGGGGTTGGATGAGGGGATGCCACTGGGCGAGGAACGTGATAGCTATGTCGTTGGGGGTCAGTCGCGAGATTCCAGCCATGAGCAGAGGCCGAGTACATACCCCACATGAGGTAACAGCTCCAGGCCGAGAGGATGAGGGTGGATCGCCAGACACTGTTGTTGTTGACGCCTGGTTAGCCGCTTTCTCTCACAGCATACTCCTCCTCGACTGTATCGTATGTCCATGCTGATCACTTGGAGAGCAGCAGAAGTGAAGCACTCACGTCTGTGTCTCGCCCTTGGGACTGGCGAACCAGGAAACGGCGCAAAAGGCCAAGATGAAGAGGAGGCCGACCAGAAGACTCCACCTGTTTGTGCGCGCGTCGCTATTAGCCCACCGATCCCGATACATCTGCTGCTTTGGATGCGACCGGCGACATACCCGTTAGCCATGTTTGATGTGTTGAGTATTTGACAGGGTGATGTACACTTCGCGATTCGCTTTCGCCCGTTCGCTGCGGTGCACCTATCATCCAAGGGTCGTCGTCGCGATGACGCTGGGGCTTGGCGTTGGCATCTGGCCTGGCATCGACTAATTATCTTGGGCCGGCTTTCCATCTTTCTCCAAAACACAACAGTTCGATTCTCGGAGGAATGTAGAATATGACTTTGGATCTCTGCTGCTACCATACAAGGCTGTCGACTCGAATAAATATCCTTCTACACTGACAAAATCCGTTGGCACGAAGCGGAGGAGCAAAGTTGGGTATTCGTGCGGATCTCCTGAGCATTTAGTTTGCTTTTACCATCATTGTCATCGTCACCACACATGTTGCCAGTACGAAACACACAACCGAAATGCTCAGCAAACATTCAAATGATATACTGACTATCGAGCTCGAAAATCTCATGCTGAAAGGACGAGGAATTCTTTCGCCAATGGTTGCAATTGTTCCATGTCATTGCTAGCACCCTGGCCATTTCAGGCTTCAAGACTAAGAAGGAACATAGTCCTTTGTCCCGGAAGCTCTTCTGTATCTGACAGTATCCCGCAATCTATGCTCGATTCGGTGCTGTCTGGAAGATCACCGTCTTTCCGTAGAAGACCATACTGCTGCTGCGCAACAACTATCGAGGTCATCGATTTGTCCTTCTACCTCGTCTTGCATATACCGCAAGATAATCCCAGCATCCAAGGCCCCATCCAGGTCAACATTTTTATGCATCTTCCTCATCTGCATTCTTCACGACCTTCCCCTCAGCCTTCTCGGGCAAGAATCTGATTGCCACAAACAAGATCAATGTCATGATGAGCATGACCAACCAAATCAAGTAGCCGTTCAGAATCTGTGTCTTGACGCCTGTAGCGAACAGACTGGCAAATAACGCAGGCGCCACAGCACGAATACCAGCAACCATACTCAAGGCCAATCCGTTCATCGTACCCAGACTAGCTGCCGATGGTGAGACGTTGTTGACGCACAACTGAACGCAAGTAAACGCCATAGCGGCTCCAGTACCAATGATGGTCGTGATAGGAAGCAAAGTCCAGAAAGGAGCTGTAACGCCCTTTCTGAGCATATACTGAAGCAGTGGGTTCCAGATACTCGCCAAAGGGAAGAGCCAACCGCTGAAGCGCAAAACACCTCCAGTACCGAAGCGTCTTTGCATGGGTGGGAAGATGAAGAGCAACCAGAGCGCTTGCGAGATACCTCCGAGGGCCAAAATAAGCGAGATCTGGATAGGCGCGAAGCCGTAGCCACCTTTGGGGATGCTGGTGAACCAGAAGACGGGGAAAACGGCAGTGTTGGCGAGGCCTATGAGAGAGACGAAACACCAGATGAACAAGGTGAAAGAGACGCCGGGCTGGTTGACTAGTTGCCAGATTGACATGGGTGGCTCGACGGGTCCGCTGTTTTCCTTCGCTGACACCAGAGTCTGCAAAATCGATACGTCAGCGGATGCAACTAACCCAAGTGCAAAGACTTACCTCTTTGAGATGGATGGCTGAGATGGCAGCGGCGCTGAAGCCAAACAGACTGGCCACGATATTCGGCAGTGCATACGGATATTCTTCGAAGAACCAGATGCCCCCGAAAACACGAGGATACTGGCTTGCAGGAGAAGACAAAGCACCACCTTGAATCGCATGTCAGCGGACTGCTCACACCTGGATCCGTGGATCATACATACCAATGACAGGTCCCAGAAAGATGCCCATATTGCCAGAAAATGCAAACCAAGCAAATGCTCGCGCTTGAGTTTTGTGGGTCGAGTTTTCCGAGAGCATGGTCCTGACAGTACTGGTGTGTCTGTTAGTATACATACACCTAAATCACATATGAACGGAATACTCACACGATGGTGCCAGAAAACACTCCAGCAAGGCAGCGGAACAGGATGATCTGCCACATAGACTTGCTGAAACCGAACAGGCAAGTCATGATGGAGACACCGATAACAGAGTACACCAAAACTGGCTTTCTTCCGTATCGATCTGAAACGCGGCCCCAAGAGATCATAAAGAGCATTTGTGTAAGGGAAAAGAGTGATTCCTGCGGCCAAAATGTCAGCATTTCCGTGTCTTCTGTAGTCCAGCCATGTCCCAGAACAGCAGCCTCTGCTTCGTGTTCCCAAGGCGTTTTGGAGAGAGCCATGAAATACTTACAATCAAACCGCTATAAAATCCAACATCCTCTTCCTCAACACCACCAACCTCCAAAATCATCTGCTGGATGAAGGGGAAGATGGAAAAGAAAGCGATCGGCTCAACAAGCCTAGCATAGCACAAGAGTATGATCTGGCCCACAGGTAAAGGCTTGTCGTCATCGTCATCTTCGGCGGCAGTCTCTGTGCTGCCAATCTTGTTGATCTCCAATGTTTCGGAATCGGCTTGGGTGACTGGATTTTCTGATGATACTGCCAGTAGAGGTGTGGTCTCGGAAGCCTGGATCGTAGTTGATGCTGGGTTTGAGTGTGTATGGGTTGCGGCGCCTCCTAGAGCCGTTATGGTGGCATCTCTGCTGTTGCTGCCGGACATGATTGACCGTGTGAGAGCAGCTTATGTATGGTCGGAAGATGATTATGGCGAAACTTGATCAGAGATGTATCGCGCAGATAACATTCAAATACAAGGACACTGCACTTTACTTTCTGCGGTGTTGGATGGTCGAAGAGCTGGACGAGAAAATTTATAGGTCTTCCAAAGTTCCTGAGCAAGACACCGCCGGCAAGGCATCAACAAGCATACGCAACAGTGGAGGGATGACGAGAAACGAACTATCTCGGGTATCTAGGCAGGAAGACGGTTTATCACTTCAGATCAAATAAGTTGATCGACTCGTCCCAAAAGTACCGAGTCGTCTCTATCGGCAGCCGTGTATCCTCCGACTTAGGCACAATAGGAAGGTGACATTGTAGGATTGAAAGACGACACATGGTCTGTGCGGAAGTAGATTGAGGACCTGGACCCTTGATCAATGCTGACCACCCTGCTTCCTCCATATTATATTGCATTCATGCGGGACAGGTACGGAGTGTTTGAACCACATAGCCATTCTCAAAGAGCTCAAGACTGCAAATGGACAGGACGATCATCAACAAAAGCAATGTGCTAACGAATGCATGCTACAAAGGGTATCTATTTGCATGTGATTAAAGGTCGACACACGATCATCATGAAGGACTTTTCATCAGTCGGCTACAGTCTTTGTTGCTTCCGTCTCGTCCGCAGCGTCTGAGTTAGCAACCTCTGAGGGTTTAGGAGCAGCTTCGTCCTCTGCCTCGAAAGAAGGTTTCTCTGCTGGCGCCTCGTCATCTTCCGTCTCGGTCTTGGGTTCCGAGTCTTCCACATTCGTGCCTCTTGTCGTATCCTGTTCACTTGTCTCCGTTGGCTCTGCCTTTGTAGGTGAAGTCGAGTCTGTGGGTGGCTCCTCTTCGACAGCGGAGGTAGGTGCGGTATCATTTTTCGTTTCTGAAGTGCTAGCTGTCGAAGCAATCTCGGCATATGAGGGAGGGTCACTTGACGGGTAACCATCTGTCTCTTTCTCGTCTTTTGTTTTCGTCTCTGGTGTGGAATTTGACGCAGAAGCTTCTGCAGCATCCGTCTCAGGGTTGGTGAGCGCCTCTTCTGTGAGTTGTGATTTCTCTGGCTGCTCTAGAACAGAGTCTTCTGCATAAGGTGGAGGGTCTTCGGCGGGTATTTCTTGTTCCTTCTCCTGGTCTTGTTCTTGTTCTTGTTCTTGTTGGGCAGGGGGCCCGTCCTCATGCCGGGCGGTCTCGACTCGTGTGAGCAGGAGAGGACCATGTCCAGTGGGCTGTTCGCCATCTTCATCCTCTTCAACCTCTTCATGGATAACAGTCGAAACGGAAACGGAACGATCGTGGCTCATGGTGTGTCTGTGCCTCTTTGTGGTGTTTCCGGAGACAACTGTGAGACTAGCAGCGGGCTCTATATCAGGCGAATCTCTCTGTAGGATGGTAGGCACAGCGCGAGTAGCGACGGGTGTGGTCTCGATGCCTTCTGCTTCAGGAGGAATGGTATAATTGTCCTCAGGAATCAAGCGATATTCGTCGCAAACAGTCTTGAATAGCAAGTATAGACCCGTCTTAGACTCAACTCTCCAGAAGACGTCTCTGTGAGAGAACCAGGCATGGGCAAAGATGCGATAGACTCGGCGGAAGACTTCGGTCATCTTACGGATTTGTGCTTGAGCCGAGAGCGTCTCAGTACCCAGACCGAGCCTGCTGGGGAAGAGCTTGGTCGAGGTCAATGCAGTAGCGCACCAATCGAGGGTGTGGCAGCAGTAGTCGATGGCGCAACATGATTTGGGAGGTTCGTGGGCGGCGCAGAGGTACTGCCATTCGCTAGCGCGCATCTCGGGGCAGGTAGCAGCTGAGCAGGGAGGGTCGTCGGCAAAGAGAGCGCAGGCCATCATGTTTGCCTTTTGTGTGAGGAAGCGACACAGCTCGTACAACCAGATTCCGCGATCGACACCGGGCGGTGGTTGGGCTAGCGATTGCGCCGTGGCTTTGTCTATGGCGACGCGACATGACTGCGTGTGTTCGTTGTGTAGGGCTTTGAGGTGTTCGGTGAGTTGAAAGGCCGAATCGATCTAGACAGGAGGGCGTCAGCTGTTGTTTGGAAGAGACTTGAGCACCAATCAACACACTTGCTGGAGCTCGACAAGCGGCGGTCCTTCTTGCATATCCTCAGCTCTCGTACCGCGTCTGATCCTCCTCGAAGCATCGACATCAGCCTTGTGAGAAGCTCCAAGCATCCTCTCTTCGCTGTCGAGACCTGCGCTGGGCGAGATTTGGTCTTCGGCGATGGGCGGCGGGCTGGGGAGCCTGGGAGAACTGGACGGAGAAGCCATTGGATCTTTTCAAGCTGCTCTGGTCTGCTCAGAAGAAAAAGAATGGCCGTCTTCCTGCTCTCGGGAAGGTAAACATGCGGTCGAAGTTGTAATTGTAAATGTCCAGGCACATGCTCGTCGCGTCTTGTCATCCCCAACACTCCGCTCGGCACCATCCGACCCGAGCCCGCGCGTCATACCTGAGCATTTATTTCATCTACCATCTTGTTTGATCGCAAGAACATACCAACCATGGATATGGAGTTTGACGACGATGGCCCGCCTATGCTGGTAGCTGCCGACCAGCCAAATGACACAGAGAACTTGTCTGCTGAGGTGGATGACATGAACCTGACCAGGGTCCCTATCACCATCATTACTGGTGTGCAGCTCCAACAAATTGAGCTTTGCTCAGTCCTGCTATTATCATAGATAGACTAACATAGTCTAGGCTACCTTGGAGCTGGCAAAACCACCTTGATGAACTACATTTTGAATGAACGCCATGGAAAGAAAATTGCCGTCATCTTGAATGGTGCGACCTGGTTTATCACATTATCCCTCTATGACTAGGCTCTGACAGTATGAGTCTCAAACAGAATTTGGCGACTCTGCAGATATCGAAAAGAGTTTGACCGTCAGTCAAGAAGGCCAACAAGTCGAAGAATGGCTCGAACTGGCCAATGGCTGTCTATGCTGTTCCGTCAAGGACACTGGAGTCAGTGCCATCGAATCCCTCATGGAGAAGCGAGGTGCTTTTGATTATATCCTACTGGAAACAACTGGTCTAGCAGATCCCGGCAATCTCGCTCCTCTATTCTGGGTCGACGATGGTTTGGGTAGCACAATCTACCTCGATGGCATTGTGACTCTAGTCGACGCAAAGAATATCATTCGCTGTCTGTCTGAGCCGACGCCGTCAGAAGCTCAGACCGATGGCACTGAACATGCCCACGGCCCTCACCTCAGCACAGCACATCTGCAAATCTCGCACGCAGATGTTATTGTCATCAACAAAGCAGATCTAGTCTCGGAAGCCGAGCTCGATCAAGTCAAGGCCAGAATCTCTTCCATAAACGCCTTGGCCAAGATACATGTTACGGAACACAGCAAGGTCCCAGCTTTAGAAGGCGTGTTACTCGATCTACATGCCTACGACAAAGTAGACGCCGACAGCATCGACTTCGCCAGCAAAGGCCACAGTCACTTGGACCCTGCCATCTCGACAACAACCTTGACATTGCCCCCTCTATCATCAGCTCAGCTAGACAAGCTGGATACATTCTTGCGCAACATCCTATGGACGCGTTTCTTCATCTCACATCCGGATGCCGAGGGTGTGTCGGTCGAGTCCGCGGGCTCGAGACCTGAGATTCACCGTACCAAGGGACGTCTCGTCATGCAGGAGGGTGGAGTGAAGCTTTTGCAGGGTGTACGTGAGGTCTTTGAGTTTATTGATGCTGCAGACGTCGGCGCCTCGAACGAGAAAAGCTCCTCTGACAAAGGCAAGATTGTCTTTATTGGTCGCAACTTGGTACCTGCAGCCTTGCAGAAGAGTCTTGAAGATGCTGTCTTGGGTTAGCGCGCTCAGCTCGCGACTCTGAGTGTCTGCAGAAAGTCTCCCGGTCGGATGATCTTGCACACATTGCCTACATCACAGGATGGCGTAAATCATCTGGTCCAAGAGGTCAATTATGAATGCAGGTCGGAGCCAAAAACGCTTCGACAGCGACTATTTGGATATATACTATATTTACAGACTAAGCATTCCTTGGAGTATAGAGTGCTCACTGTAACTCCACTTGCTCTACTTTACGTTGCTTGTCAACAATCAATCGTAACTGTTTGCCAGTTTGGGAAAAGATGCCTTTACGAAGCACATCCGTGTAGAGCTCATAGGCTGGATAATCTGTGAATTGTCGAGTCAGCAAATTCCGCCTTGAAGTGTTTGTCCTTCCCTGGGTACTCACAGCCATTGACAAACTCAATAACCTGCTTGTCTGTCATACCCTTGCCTTTTTGTTCTCGCAAGGCACGTTCTTGCTGCAGACGCCACTCGTAAACGAAAAGCGTGTCCACAGCATCGATGTGTACCAGAGCACCAAAGTAGCTATTCAAAAGTCAGCAGGAGATCACCATACAGCAACTTTTCTTTCAAGCACATACTCAGTCAAAGCATCATACTGCCTCAAAGCCTCGTTGACGAACGACACATGCTCCAACTCCAACGAAGCAAGTCTTCCATGATAAGCCTCCTTGTCAAAAATCCTCGCCGCCTTTGCACCCTCCCATTTCTGCACCAACTCCTTATCACTCAAACTTCTAAAGCCAACACACCAGCCTTCGAAGATCACAACTTCAATTGGTGGTTCGCCGTCTTTGTTGATGACTTCCCAAGTTTCTGGATCTGCGCGATCGCCTTGGCCATCGTGCAGAGACTTATCGTAGCTGGGGATGCGAATATTCGGTTCGCGGGCTACGAGCTGAGAGAATATTTGTTTGCCGAGGGCAATGTCATGAGTGGAGGGTTGGCCACGGTGTTGGATTAGCGGGTTGTTTGGTTGAGACTCAGCGAGTTTTCTTTGGGCTGAGTGGGTGAGGTAGAGGTCGTCGATTGAGAAGACTACTGTGGGTAGATTGTGAGGAGGCGAGGTTAGGGTGTTGTAGAGAGCTGAGACCTGGTTGTGGTGTGCTAGTCAGATATTCTGTTGATATGCATGGTACCCACTCGAAGTTACCCCACAAGGAAGAGGGTTCAGTGAGGATAGTCAGGCACGAAGGCGTTCATGTGATAGACAAAGTAGAATTGAGAATTACGGCATCTCTTGCTTGATTTGCAGGAATTGTGAACACTCACCAGGGTCGTCTTTCCTGCGCCTTGAATACCGTTCAGTCCCAGGAAGAATGGCGGGGCATCCTTGCCTTCTTTTTTGTAGTAATCGCAATGTGCCTTGATCTTGTCGAGGATGAAAGGTATGCAGTGCTCGGACTTGTCGTCAACTATCTCAATGGCCATCGTGTCGTCTGACTGAGACGGTATTGCTCCTGGTGAGTTCAGTGGTTGTCGAGGAAGAAGATAACGACCCCACTGCGGACAAACACTCGACCGGATTGATGACTCCTCCTTGGCACTGATGAAGTGATTTTTGTGTCATCTCTTGGATTTCAGCCTCACTCGATCAATTTACGTGAGTTCCAGGATAATCAAGAAGTCCAAAGCTTCAGTGCTCATGGTTGTAAAGTCCACATGCAACTTCTCTCACATGATTGTGATCATCCCAAGCTGTTCTTTCTCCAAACCATTTCATCATCCCCCGCACTTTTTCGGCAGTTGACATGTGAAAGGAGAGAAACAAAGCAAACAGAACGCGAAGGCATTTTTAGTGAGGTTTGAGATGGATGTCAAAGACTCGGCGACCGCGGGTGCTTGAAGTAGTAACCGAGGCTCCAAGGCATGCCATTCTAGGGCTGTCTTGGCCTTACGAAAGCACCGTACTGTGGCTATCCGGCTACCGTGAAGCTACCGTGGGCCGAGGCATGTCAATGAGCGCCGAAGCTGGAGATCATGAGAGCACGTCGCTGGCTCACACCTTTATGTAGACTTGTTCCTCGAGTCGTTTCTTTTTCTTCTCCACTCCATACACACTCTGGGGATACTCCAATCACACAATCCCATCAAACATGGCTCACAATTCATATGGCCTCGCAGGGGCCGAGTCCTCATCAAACCCGCTTCGCTTTGATGGCCAGACAGTTGTCGTCACTGGCGCTGGTGGTGGCCTCGGCAAGGCATACGCTCTGTTCTTCGCTTCTCGCGGTGCCAACGTCGTTGTGAACGATCTTGGTGGCTCGTTCAAGGGTGAGGGCAAGTCGTCAAAGGTCAGTGAAACTCGAAGTGTGTGGCATGAATCCCCTTCTAATGAGTTGAGATAGGCCGCAGACGTAGTAGTTGAGGAGATCAAGGCAGCTGGAGGCAAGGCCGTCGCCAACTACGACTCGGTCGAAGACGGTGACAAGATCATCGACACGGCCATCAAGGCATTTGGCAGAATCGATGTCTTGATCAACAATGCCGGTATCCTCAGGGACATCAGCTTCAAGAACATGAAGGATGATGACTGGGACTTGATCATGAAGGTCCACGTCAGAGGTGCATACAAGTGTGCCAGAGCAGCATGGCCGCATTTCAGAAAGCAAAAGTACGGCAGAGTCATCAACACAGCATCCGCAGCTGGTCTGTTCGGTAGCTTTGGTCAGACCAACTACTCTGGTGAGCATTCCTCCGCACAGCATCCCCTACCGTCGACTAACACACTCCAGCTGCCAAACTTGCACAAGTCGGTTTCACAGAGACACTCGCAAAGGAGGGTCTCAAGTACAATATTCTCGCCAACGTCATCGCTCCTATCGCCGCATCCAGAATGACACAAACCGTTATGCCCCCAGATGTCCTCGAGAACCTGAAGCCCGATTGGGTCGTCCCCTTGGTCGCCGTTCTTGTGCATCCCTCAAACACAGAAGAGACAGGAAGCATCTTCGAATGCGGTGGTGGTCACATTGCAAAGCTCCGATGGGAGAGAGCCAAGGGTGCTCTGCTGCGTGCAGACGACAGCTACACTCCCGGTGCATTGCTTTCCAAGTGGGACAATGTCAACGACTTCAGCAAGCCTAGCTACCCTACCGGTGTTGCAAACTTCATGGAGCTGCTTGAGGAGGCTCAAAAGCTACCGGCAAACCCTCCAGCCAAGAACCCTGACTTCAAGGGCAAGGTCGCTCTTATCACTGGTGGAGGTGCTGGTCTCGGCCGCATTTACTGCTTGCAGTTCGCAAAGTACGGCGCAAAGGTCGTTGTCAATGACTTGATGAACCCCGACGATGTTGTGCAGGAGATTCAAAAGCTCGGCGGTGAGGCTGTCGGTGTCAAGGCTTCGGCAGAAGACGGCGATGCTGTTGTCAAGGCTGCCATTGATGCTTATGGCCGTATCGACATCATTGTCAACAACGCAGGTATCCTCCGTGACAAGGCCTTCGCCAACATGGACGACAAGCAGTTCGATCAGGTATTGGACGTCCACTTGAGAGGTACCTACAAGGTTACCAAGGCTGCATGGCCTTACTTCTTGAAGCAGAAGTACGGCAGAGTCGTCAACACCACTAGCACCAGTGGTATCTACGGTAACTTTGGACAAGCCAACTACGCTGCTGCCAAGTGCGGTATCCTCGGTTTCTCCAGAGCTCTTGCTAGAGAAGGTCAGAAGTACAACATTCTGGTCAATACAATTGCACCCAATGCTGGTACCAACATGACTCGTACTATCATGCCTGAAGAGATGGTTCAGGCTTTCAAGCCCGACTACGTTGCTCCTCTTGTCGTGGCTCTGAGCTCCGACCTCGTTCCTAAGCCCGGCACTGGCGCTTTGTACGAAGTTGGTTCCGGTTGGGCTGCTCAGACCCGCTGGCAGCGAACGGGCGGCCACGGCTTCCCTGTTGATGTTCAGTTGACTCCCGAGCATGTCCGCGCACAGTGGAAGAGAATCACCGACTTCAGCGACGGTCGTGCTGATCACCCTGCTGACGGCAATGATGGCTTGAAGTCTATCATGGCCAACATGGAGAACAGAAGCTCCGGTTCAAAGCCTGCCAAGAAGGAGGCCGGCAAGAATGACGAGGTCCTTGCAGCCATCGAGAAGGCCAAGAAGGCTACACCCCAGGGCACAGAGTTCAAGTACGACGAGAGAGATGTCATTCTTTACAACCTTGGATTGGGAGCCAAGCGTACCGACCTACCTTTCGTGTACGAAGGCGACGACAACTTCCAGGTCATCCCGACCTTTGGCGTCATTCCTCCTTTCAACGCAACCCCTCCCTTCTCTTTCGACGAAGTTGTACCCAACTTCTCACCTAACATGCTGCTTCACGGAGAGCAATTCCTCGAGATCAAGACCTTCCCTATTCCCACTGAAGCCACTCTGGTGGCATACCCTAAGCTGGTAGAGGTTGTGGACAAAGGCAATGCCGGTGTCGTAACATACGGCTCCATGACCAAGGACAAGAACACAGGCAAAGAGCTGTTCTACAACGAGTCGACTGTCTTCATCCGTGGTTCAGGTGGCTTCGGTGGCCCTAAGAAGGGCACTGACAGAGGTGCTGCCACCCGTATCTACAAGGCTCCCTCGCGTAAGCCTGATGCTGTGGTTGAGGAGAAGACCAGCGAAGACCAGGCTGCCATCTACCGCTTGTCTGGAGACCGCAACCCATTGCACATTGACCCTGCATTCTCCAAGGTCGGTGGCTTTGAGACTCCTATCCTTCACGGTCTCTGCTTCTTCGGCTTCGCTGGCAAGGCTGTCCTGCAGACATATGGCGAGTTCAAGAACGTCAAGGTCAGATTTGCAGGCGTCGTCCTGCCTGGACAGACTCTAATCACTGAGATGTGGAAGGAAGGCAATGTTGTCATCTTCCAGACAAAGGTCAAGGAAACCGGCAAGCTTTGCATTTCTGGAGCTGGTGCCGAGTTGCTCAATGCCTCACCGAAGAGCAAGCTGTAATGGCGTGATCAAAGTATTACTGTAGTATTCTAGCGTTGATTTTTTTTTTGAATGTCATCATGAACTCTCACACCACCAAATCTTGGTTTCTGCATGTCATCGTGCTCGTATCGTTCTCCGCGTTCCTCATGGCCGCCACAGATCATCATTCGCAGCTGTAATCGTATAGAAGGATCCGGGAATACCACCTGTATTTAGCACATATTCATAGAGCCTATTCTATGTATAGTGTATACCAAGAACTTTGCTCTGCTTTGCCAGAGAGGTGTTCGGCCTGCTCGGCATCGTGTTCGAGTCAGCTGATATAGATGCTTTTCCCATCCTATCGCGAAACAAGCCTTCGGGATGCGACTATTGATAGCCAAACACTCACGACGGATTGCACGCGTTTTTCCAAACTGGCTAGCAAGTTTCATGATTTCCTGTAGAAGAAATGTCTTGATGTGATGAAGATTTCGAAACATGCAGCTACCCGTTTTTCAGCTTCTGATGCCTGCCTCGGTTCCCACGTGCTGCGATAAGACGGTTGTGATGTATCAGCAAGGCGGACCGTGGTGAAGGATCCCACAAAGAGGCATCCTTGGACCTTGGGATGACCCTCGTGACAAGAGGACCGTGCTTGCTTTCAAAATAGCGCACCTTTTGGCTCGGCCCGCAGCAGATCTTCATGTCACCACAAAACCCTTTTTCTGGAAACAGATGCGGCCACTGAAAAGCCATTCGAATCAAACTCAAAGAAACATGGTTCCCTATACCGGTGGCTCATTCCAAAAGGTGTTCATCAGGTTTATCGATTGTTGTTATCCGGGCTTTTGCATCTCATCGTAAAGCTTGTGTGAGAAGCTTCAATTCATATGTGCCGCTTCATCTCATTTCCACATACCCCTGCAAGAAGATCTGGGGAGCGAGAAGAGCTTTGGACAGCGAAGAGGCCCGATTGGCGTGGTGTGCCAATCTTTATTTCCACTCTTTGCGCTCGGCGGTCTCGCAATTTTTTACTGGCCTGGTTGGCTACATGAATGGTTTGTTTAAGCTTGTTACACCCAGCCAATGGTGAGGTGTCATCGCGTACCCACCAACCCATTTTTGATTCCCACGTTCCACACCTGTACGAGTCGAACCTTCAGCCGAAGCGGCTTGGCTGGGCCCGTATTCTCGAATGCCCCCGCCGCTCGGCCGTCGCGCCTGAACGAAAGTGAAAATTGTGGTGACAAAAAGTAGAGGTGAGATAGGTCGATAGCAGCCTCGGAGCAATTTCCTCCTGCGTTACTTAAAAGGTCGGGTCGTCCCTTTCGCGCCTGGCTTGAGAGAAGAACCTCCCTTCGTTACATTCCATCATCTCAGCCTGCATCAACGTTGGAAGTCAAAAGACATATAACGTGCTTTCCCCGGACTTCTCGCGTATCCATACCACGACCTCACTCTCGGTACTTTGATACTTGAAGCAACTCTTGCCTTCATCATCACCTGGACTATAGTTAGATCCTATAGGGACCACGCGAGAGCAACGTCTTTCACTCATCACGCCGTCATTTGCCGCTGGACTGAAACATTATCAACATTCAAGTTTACTGGATTTGGCGAGCGGCATTGTTTTTGCTGTCTAACGGTCGTTAATCTCGGTCGCAACTGGGCAATTTGTTTACCACCACTGATCTGGGCTGGCCTCGAGAGAACCAAAAACCTTTGATCAAACACCCTTTATCAACGCAAACGTTTCTAAAGAACTCACCCCTTTGTACGAACACATCTGGAAATTTCCTACATATTTGCCGTACTCCCTGCATCCTTCCAAGAAATCGATATTTCTCAAACCCCGAGGTTCTCCGTTATCCGCCTGCATATTCACCTGACTCGACGGTCATAGTCATCACCAAATATGCTCTCGAGAATTCTTTTTACCGTGGCTGCTGCCGCTTCTACCGCTATGGCTGTGGCTCTCCCCAAGGAGGTGGCACTTCCCAAAGAAATTGTGCCTCAGGCCGTCGTTGCCTCTATGGATGAAGTTGAGAGCAACCCATGGACGCTTGTTTCTCCTGATGGTACATGTGGTGGCAGCACCAAGTACACTTGCGTTGGCTCCCGCTTCGGCGATTGCTGCAACACATACGGGTTCTGGTAGGTTCAACTTACATTCTTAGTCATGTCTCGGAGCTGACGGAAAATCATAGCGGTATCACAGACGCTTTCTGCGGCGCAGACTGCTTCGAGTTGGCTGGACTCTGCAGTGCCGACTTGCAAGGCTCCAACACAATCAACCGTCCCAAGGCCACTCACGTACCCTGGAAACCTACTGTACACCACGATCCTCACTTCAAGCCTTCTTACGTGATCGACAATGGCGAGAGAGCCCCCAACCAAGTCTGGTCATGATCTCTGAGATTCCACCCTTCTCAAAGCTCTTTGAACGATCCACCCACGACTTACTACACATGATCCACGACTCCGGGGCTTTCTAATTTCCTGTCAACCACTTTCTCCATATTCCAGCGAGGCGTTTTCGCATTTGACCAGCGATCGACATATGCTCCCCTCCAAAGAAGAGGGTACGAGCCAAAAACCAAACTTCACTTCTTATACATAATTTGAAACCTCCACCGCCAACTCTTCACGGAACAACTAGATTCTTCTTGGTCCTTGAATCCTGGCCTCTCTTGATCTCCTTTGTTCTTCAGTTCTAATTAGCTTGCAACTCTTTTGGTTTTGCTCTCATGTTACAAGTATCGCTCACTGGCTGTGTATAATGTTTTCTTATTATTACCTCCCTTCGCTATCAGGCATTAGCTTCGTTAGATCATTGACCTTATGTCAAAACCTTACTTGGATTTTCTATATACCCTGTTTTGCTACTCAAGATATCCGGCAAACAATTCAAAAAAATCTAAAAACCATTTCCAATACTACTCAAATCCCTCCCTCCTTTTCTAACGTCAGGTGCCATACATGAGACCAGCAATGACTCCTGACTTTGCGAATGGATGTCGTACATATCTTCCCCACACATCCCTTTCTTGGTCCTTGGGAGAAATGCCATGTTTCAGCTTTTTGATGGTCCCCCAGAGTGTCTTTGCATACCTCGAGTTTCAGAACTTCTTGCCGTGGTTTCGATTTGGTCATGTGCGATCCTGTTCATGCACGATCGATTGAATGAATGAGATGAGGAAGGTGCATCATACTCGATCGCCTCGTTTTCTTCATCACTCGACTAGATTTACGGTATGCTGTTACGGTGTATGTGTAGACTATGTTGTGCGCATTGTAATCGAAGAGGACCAATGCAAAGTCCGACAACGCACGTTTCTCTCTCGACCCTCATGTTGTGAACGAAGGTTATCGAAGCTCGAAAGATTCTCATTGGAAGAAGTTGCGTAGCCAAAAAGAACCAGGACTCATCCTCGGACACGCCTGCCATGACGTCGTTGCCGTGGATTCGGTGATGTGGTGAACACTTTCGACGACAACACCCCACGAGACGCAGCCTCTGCTCTCGCAGCCTCTGCTCTTGTCTCACGCCGTGGAGTGGGCTTTGGTTTGATCCTGGTGACCCTTTTCTTTGCTGCTGCTGCCTCAAGAGCTCTTAGCCGTTCTTCCTCGATGAAGTCCATCTCCTCCTGCTCTGCTTTACGCTGGAACCAACGTATGTCTTCCGCACCGTATTCATGTCCAGAATGAAAAAGTGCCATACAATTGAACATGGTATTCGTGTTCCAAGGATCCAGTCCTGGACTGATGCATGGCTTGAAGAAGTCGAGTATGTTCAAAGCTCTCTCTTCCAGGTAATCTATGGAAAAAGCTTTTGCTGTGACTTCCAACCACTCTTTCATCTCCTTGTAGTTTTCGGATGTGGCAAACTTGTCTTTCAAGATTACCTCATCACCAGGTACTGGTTTCCCATCAACCAGCACTAGATCGTTTTGGAGCACCAGATTGAAACGCATGGTAATCAGTTCGGAAACGTGATTTAGTGCATCGCCCTGCTTGACCCTATCTCTGTGGCGATTGATGTGGTATGTGGCGCCGTCTCTGACCATCCCGCAAATCGCTTTGCCGGCACTCAGACATGTTTCCCAAGTCACGTCAGAGTGCAGTTTCCGGGTCACGACTGCGGCCCAGAGTTCGAGGACGGAAGCATTGTTGATTGTCATGAGCATTTCGGGGCGAAATGCATGCATACGTTCATGAGGCAGTCCATCATGTGGTGAAGGTTTGGGGTATTTCCTGGGAGGTGGTGATCCCCTCGTCTTTTGTCTTTTGGAGGAAGGCTCTCCGTCTGGTGGTGTTGCGGATCCGGATCTATCTAATCCTGGGGACACGACTGTGGGCTCGAGTGGGACGGACAGCGACTCTGCCTCCATTCTGCGAGAAGACCGTTCGAGATGTTCGTGAACATGATCTCGGCAGGAGTCAAAGATGTCTTTATAATATTTGGATGAAAAGTCATGTCCCAGAGGTCGAGGTAATCAATCCGCGACAGGGTGACGTACAATTGTTCTTGGCGCTCTAGACCAACTTTCTCAATCGACAGGCTCGAAATCGCAACTCTCCATCGCACATCAAACTTCACCATGTCGTCGCCAGAGAAAACGATACACACCTATCACTGCATCTGCACACAGCTCGTACTAGCCACCACAACCCCCCTCCCGAGCCTCAAAACGCGAACCTCGGACTCCTCACACATCCTCCCTCTCCCCTCGCTCTCTTCAACCTCGCCAACCTCCCATTACGCTTCCCTAGCCAACACAATCATCGATGCCAAACCCACAGTCATCCGCCTCGAAGACGGTTTCGAAAAGCGCTACTTTCACAAGTGCGGCCGTTGCGAATTGAGCGTTGCGTACTCGCTGGACAAGAGTCAGTTTGACGATACAAAATCTTCTTCTGGAGCTAGAGAGGATGTCGCGTTCTTGATTCCTGGAGGCTTGGTGGATACTGAGGATATGAAGAGGGGCAAGGATATGGATGCTGAAATTGCCAAGGTTGGCGTCAAGGCTACTTGAAGAGCTTGCACGTAAGACGCATACTGGACGGATGCTATACCACCTCTATTGCGAAAAACTCCTCGAGGGGAAGCCGGACGGTACGGCGTGGAAAGAGCGAAGCACAAGACGCTCAAGGCTGAGAGCGAACGAACAGACAGGACAGGGGAATGACTCGCCACTGCCATGGAAATCACCGCGAAGACGCAAGTCTGTCGAGCTGGTCGCACACGTTGGGATGAGGAGTTTGATACTTGCGCAAGGCAGACAGCTTTATCTCATGCAACTGGATTCAGGCGCATGCATACCACCAAGAGGACGAACAATTACAACCGGAGATACTGGGCAGGCGATCTATCCTCCGTCTGCATCGCTTCGCCGACAGACGGCAGTGGCCCAGTGATTGAGCGCTATTTCAATGTCGGACTTGTGGCTTAGAGGTCTATTAGGAGGCTCCGAGGTGATGTCTCGGTCATCGACATTGTCCAGAGCCGCAACATTACCCTTGCTCGACAGCTGCCACGAAAACCTCGAGTCGGTCGTTTTTCTCTTCTTGGTTGAGAGATTGGGCTGCTCTTAAGATGCTCTTCAGCTTGTCATACCGCTGTCTCGGTCTTAAGGCGAGTAATACTATAGAGAAACCAAGGGGCTAGAATATTTCCAGGTATCATGTTTACCACAGGCTTCTCAGAAATAAGCTCAGGTTCATTTCGGTCGTTGTCTCTCGGCGTGTTGTCCTCTTGACCGTTCTACAGCTCCGAGGCAGATGCCGAAGGGTCAATGGTCGAAGCTCCACACCAGTCCGGCCTTCTTCCCAAGGAGCAACTCGTGTTCATGTCCGAAACGGCTAAAGTCGCCGGTCGGGCAAACAGCCGCCGAATGCAAGCGGCAGTGAAAGACGGGGTCGCACTTCTTCCCGGTGGGGGTTTGAGGGAAACTACCCCGCGACCACTTTCCCGAGCAGCGATGTTGATGCCGTCACGCCCTTTATATTCAGAAAGGCCAATACTTTTCTGCTGTCCTGTTTCTGTAACAATCTCCCTGGTGTTGGCTTATTACGACGAGTTTCTTTGACATCAACCTCGAAACAAGTACGACTAGCAATAATATCCAAAGATAACAAGCAAGACAAGCTATTCACGATGGGTCTGAAAGATGTTGGTTTCATTGGCCTCGGCGCCATGGGAGGTGGTGTAGCCATCAACCTTGCAAGAGAAGGATACAACGTCAAAGGCTTTGATTTGGCACAACCGCTAGTCGATGCTCTGGTCAACGAGGGCGGAAAGGCAGCAAAGACACAGCAAGAGACCGCCACAGATGTCGAGTACCTCTGCATCATGGTCGCCAACCACTTCCAAACCAGCTCCGCTCTCTTCGACGGCGACAATCCAGCCATCAAGGGTCTCGGCCAGAACAAGACTGTCATTTTGCTGTCAACAACTCCTCCCTCTTACCTCCACGAGTTGAGGCAAAAGCTAGATGATGCTGGCAGATCAGACGTCAAGCTTCTCGACTGCCCCGTCTCGGGAGGCACCATCCGTGCTGCAAATGGCACCCTCAGCATCTTCGCCGCCGGCAAGGAAGAAGAAGTCGAAGCAGCCAAGGACATCCTAAACACCATGTCCGGCAACCTCTACCGCATCCAAGGCGGCATCAGCAGCGGCACAAAAGTAAAGACCATCCACCAATTGCTTGCTGCCACAAACATCATCTTGGCTTCAGAAGCCATGGGTCTCGCCGCCACCGTAGGCCTCAACACCCAAAAAGTATACGAGCACGTCAAGGCCAACGACGGCACGAGTTTCATGTTTGAGAACCGCGCGCCGCACATGCTGCAAGATGACTGGTCGCCTCTGTCAGCTCTAGGCATCATTCTCAAGGACGCGGGTATTGTGACCGCCACTGCTCGTCAAGGATACTTCCCCACTCCCCTCGCGGAATGCGCCGAGCAATGCTACCTCCAAGGTCTGCAAGCCGGTCTTCTCAGGGACGACGACGCAAAGCTAGTCACCATGTACATTCCCTCATCCTCGGCCTCGCTAGTCAAGGAAATGGCCACCGCAGACGTCAAAATGCACTCCAACCACCAAGTCTCCGCCGACACCGTCAACGACTTGCTGGCTGGCGTGCACCTCGCCGCCAGTGTAGAGGCAATGGCTTTCTGCAAGCATCTAGGCATGGACCGCAAACTCATGTGTGAGATCATCTCAAAGGCTGCGGGTTGGTGTGATATGTATACCAAGCACATCCCTGCCATGTTGGAGAAGGACGATTGGAGTCTGGCGAGTTGTGCTGCCGCTGATGATGTGAGGAAGAGATTGGAGGCTGTGGTTGACAAGGCCAGGGCGCTCAAGTACCCTGTTCCTATGGCTTCGGCTGCTTTGCAGCAATTCTACTTTGCTGGTCTTAGAGGGTAGAGGCTAGAAATTGTAGACTGTTCTGCATTAAAGAATTCAAAAGGATCATCAGCTTGCATATAAACCATCATTTCTGTCTTGCACCGTCTTGTGTACGTGGTTTTCACTTTCGTTTCTGCAAGTAAGATGGAAGTCATTGGCGTTCGATGTCATGTTTCATTGCGAAGAGAAAGAAAAAGGTTATAGAGCTCCCAAAATGCATAAGCTCCCCAATCATGTTTTGTTTGTTCCAAAAAGCGATTCGAAATCCGGGTTCAGCAAACAACAAGCTATGCCACTCTTTTGTAAGGGGTAATACGCTTAGTAACTGCGACCGAACATGACCCACTTCTCAGCCTTGCGCTCACACTTGGGGTTGGTGCACTTTGTCTCGCCCTGGACAAGTCCCTCGGCGGGCTGGTCAAAGGGAATACACAATGACTTGGCGCCCATGGAAGGAGCACGAGCATCGACCTCCTGGCCCTCGATCTTGCCCGAACTGAGTTCCTTGATCTCGTCCTCGCAGTCGGGGACCAAGCAGTGGGGAATGATACAGGTGTTCTTTGAGTTGAGGGCGGGGACAAAGTCCTCCCACTTTGTGATGATCTTGCGGTGGTCGCGGAACTCGTCTGAAGCCTTGCGGAACATGTCGTTCTGGATGGTCTCGAGGAGAGCAGGGACGTCCTTGCCGAGGTCGGCGATGGGGATCTCGCTCTTGCCGGCGGCGAGCTGGTCGCGGCGGGCGACGGTGACGACGTGCTTGGCGCTGTCCTTGGGGCCGAACTCGATGCGGAGGGGAACACCCTTGAGCTCCCAGTGGTTGAACTTCCAGCCGGGACTCTGGTCGTCACGCATGTCGGTCTCGGCGCGGACGCCGGCCTCGAGCAGGACTTCCTTGATGGCGTTGGTCTCGGCGTAGTGCTTCTCCTTATCCTCAGCGGTGGTCTTGGCGGTCATACCGACGGGAACAATGATGGCTTGGATCTCGGCAACACGGGGAGGAATGACCAGACCCTTGTTGTCACCGTGAGTGAGGATCATAATACCGATGGAACGGGTAGTGAGACCCCATGAGTTTTGCCAGACGTGCAGCTTCTCCTTCTTCTCGCCCTCTTTGGCGTGAGGGTCCTCGACGGTGATGTCGAACATCTTGGCAAAGTGCTGTCCCAAGCAGTGAGAGGTACCAGCCTGGATACCACGGCCAGTGGAGGGGATGAAACCTTCGACGGTGGTCGTGTAGTGGGCGCCGGGGAACTGCTCAGCGACGGTCTTGCGGCCCTTGACGACGGGGACTGCCAACAACTCGTGGTAAATAGCCTCGTAGTAGTCGAGAATCTGGAGAACCTCCTTGCCGGCGTCCTCTTCGGTCATGTGAGCGGTGTGACCCTCCTGCCACAAGAACTCGCGCGAACGGATGAAGGGCATGGGGTGCTTGAACTCCCAACGGACGACGTTGTTCCACTGGTTGAGCTTGAGGGGGAGATCGCGGTGAGAGCGGATCTTCTTTGAGAAGTAGCCGTACATGGCAGTCTCGGATGTGGGACGGACGGCCAGTCTCTTGTCCAGCTTGCTCTTACCACCCTCGGTGACCCAGGCGACCTCAGCAGCGAAGCCCTCGATGTGATCCTTCTCACGTTGCAAGTTGGCCTCGGAGATGAACAGGGGGAAGTAGCAGTTGCGCACACCCATCTTTCTGATGCGGGTGTTGAAGAAGTCCTGGATGCGCTCGTAGATGCCGTATGAACCGGGTTCGTAGATGTAGCAGCCGGGGACGTCGGTGAACTCGAGCATCTCGCCCTTGGTGATGACCTGCTGGTACCATTCCGAGAGGTCGTCCTCCTTGGCCACGTCGATACCGATCAGAGCAGCACCCTCCATCTTCTTCTTTCCACCACCTTGGGCAACCTTGGGTTCCTTCTTTTCCTTCTTTTGCTTGGCCTGGCCCTTCTGTGCGTTCTTCTGGTCCTTTTGCTCTGTAGAAATGATCCGTCAGCAGCTGACTATGCGAGTTGGTATCCATGACACACCCTTTGCGTCGGCAGCGGGCCTCTGCTGGGGCTGGGCGCCCTCGACTGTGCCTTCGGACATTGTTGCGAGTGTAGATGCGTGGGTCGCGTGAGATTATATGTCTGGCGGAAGGAACGACTCTTGTGTATTGCGGCGACTAAATGCGACAAGAAGGTGCGACTGCGCAAACACTTTTCGTGCGTGCGGCGTGCCCATCTCAGCTGTCTTAACCCTGTCCCTTGCCAAGATTTGCATCTCGCCGCTTCCTCCTCCGCTCACCGCTCAACCTGCTCCTGCACTTCCCAGCATCATGTTCCTCTGATGGTTTCAAGCAACCCTTCTTCGTTATCCCAATGAGAAGCTTGAGTTCTTCGTTATGTCTTCATTAGCTTCGCAGCAAATTTCCTGCCTCCCTCCTCTATATCTTTTGCAAGAGCTAGTGCCTCTTTTTCTCGTTTCCATGCGAACCAAAAGCGCTCACGTTTCCACGCAGCAGGAGGAGTATCCCATGAAGGTTGTTTAATCGTTCCATGCCAGACTATGTCAGGCTTGCTTTCTTTGCTGGAGACTGGCTCCTGTTTCGAGATTTGATTAGGAGTACTGCCTTCCAGTAGAGCTTGAGTACCTACCTTGTCCCATTGGCGGTACCCTAACTTCCAGAGACAAGGATCCTTCCACCCCGGAACAAGCTCGCCGTCTACCTCGATGAAGTATGTGATCTCAGGTTGGTAACAACGACTCGGCCAGACGGCTTCGACGCGGGGGTCATCATAAACCAACGACAAGTATTTTCTTTCTTGTTCTTCGGATCGGAACGTCAGGATGTGCGTCTCCTTGCGATAAGAGCTTTCTCTCGAATATACGGCACTTGGATTCAGTTGGGTGATGGTGTTGATGTGCACGTCAAGAGCGTAGCCTTCTTCGAGTTTGACCTCCCACTCCAGAGGCGCCCTTCTGTATGGCGACGTTTGGTTAAAAGCTTTCTTCGACCAAGCTCACTGACCAACACTTACCTTCCTCCAAAGGATTCAATAATTTCTGGGTCTCGGGGCTGCAGTTCGGTCCATTGATAGTCCGGAAGCAATTTCTCGTAGTGAATGTCGTCGTCTTCTTCTTCATCCCAGCCAGCTTCAAGGAACAAGTCGAACTTGTGGAAATAATCCTGAGGAACCTTGACCATAAACCCAACATTTGGGTCGCTACGAATCGCCCTGAGTGTCGCTTTGTCGTTGCCCAAGATAGAGGCGGTATATCCATTGAAATCCAGTCTGCGTTCTTGGACGAGGAGCGGGCGACCTATAGCTTTGAAGTGGTTCTCAAGTGTTTGATTGGCGCTGAGTCCGATGGCCCACACCGAGGAGCGACATGATTGAGCGATGGTAGCCAGACCGAGCAAGGCAAACAAAAGATTCGATGAGGACATCAACAGCATTGCGGTGGTATGATAGTTAAAAGTGTGCTTTGTAGATCAGGGTAGTATGCGCTTTCTGCAACTGAAAACCACCTGTGTTGCACAAGCAAATGAGGCAATGTTGGTGTGGAACTCGAATCTGGTCTCAATTTCGAGACGCTGAGGTTTACAGTCAATCAACTCAAGAGTGAATTCCCGTCTAGACGGGGTTTCCGCGCGTGATGTTCAAACACAAACCACTTCGCCTCGGCCGCCCTGTCTTTCCTCAATCTGCAACCTAACAATCATCATCACTTTCTCCAGTATGGCGATACCTATAGGCTTCTTCGTCTTCCTTATTCTAGCTCACCAGGTTTCCTGCATCGGCTCCCTTGTCCATGCGCTTCCTGCCTCCCAGCATCCAGATTCTGGCCCTGATGCGATGTAAGTTGCAACTCGTTTCGTGAACTCTTTCAGCCCATGCATCACGTCAATCACCGGTACATTCCCACATTGTCTATTAGACTCATCTGACATTCCTATAGGGTGATTCCGCATCAATTCTTGGTTCGCCTGGCTGAGAACTACACTCTGGACTCTCACTGGCAACGCATCGGCGCAGAGCTTAACATCACTCGTTACTACAAGAACCTTGACTGCTACTATATCGACTTCAGCAACGATAACATTACCCACGATCTGTCCGAGGAGTCGACTCTTGCTCTAATACGTAGCGACCCGAACGTTGATCGCGTTTCACCCAATGAAGTCTTCCGCATGGACACGGGCGTCACAGATCACATTGTCTATTGATCTAAAGAGGAGGTGGGTCAGTCCTAAATCGCTTTGTATATCCTTAGACGACTGACTTGATGTGTTAGAACGAAGCTCGGATGGCTCGTCTTGATATTCGCGTTGTGGAAAAACCCGGTGTTCCAGTGAACAGCACTATACTCAATGACAAGTGAGACCAGCAGCAACAACAACAAAGACTTTGGGGGTATATAGTTGGCACACTTTCCAAGCCACGAGAAAACAAAGTTCATCCTCCATACAAGCAACAAGCATTAAGTATCATTCCTCTCAAACATGCAGTTATTCCTCCACGGGAGCATCAGACTTAAGCCTGCTTCTCAATCTCAGTCAACTCGACGTCAGTAGAGGGCCAGAAGTGGCTAAGGTCGCCGACGGGGAAGTTGATGCCCAGACGCATCTCAGCAGCCATGATGACAAAGGTAATGTACCAACCCAGCATTGCAACGACGAAAAGGAGTGCACCACCAGCCTGTGAAAAGGAGTCAGCCATAGCCATCATGATTAAGCAAGCAAGAATGAACATACGACTTGAAGGTTACCAGCAGTAGCATAATCGCCAGTAGCAACGTGGAAGTAAGCACCCGCAAGAATATAAACAGCAATAGCGGCAAAGCCAAAGATACCAGCAAAGATAGCATTGGTCTTGAGCGAAAAGATAAAGTAGGTGACGAAAGCGAAGCCCCAGACGATGAGGTAGAGGGCGATGGCGTTGTTGTAGTCAGGGCTTGCGGCACCCTCTGCAGCATTGCCGGTGGGGGAGTACGAAGCAGCAATGCCGAGAGAAGGAAGTTGGATCATGCCGAAGGAAAGCCAGAAGACACAGAAGAGGGAGAGCGAGTTCATCTGTAGCGTTGTCAGTTCTTTGCACATATATTGTATACATGTTTCAACTAACAGTAAAGAAGTTGCCCATGATCCACTCAAAGATGGCAGCGAGACCGAGAAGAACAGGACCAGTGAAGAAGAAGATACCGACAACACCAGCAAGACTGCTAGTACCAGCAAAGCCCATCAAGATCATCGAAAAGGTAAAAGTCGAGATGACGAAACCAGTGAAGCCCATGGGTACGGCATTGGCGAAACGCTTGACATTGTTGCCGTGGCGAGGAGTCTTGGGAGTAAGGTACAGCTTCTCGAATAGCTCTGGCGAGATGGTCATGCCATTGTGGGAGGAAGTGATGTTGAGGTTGTGGTTGTGCGACTTCTCGAAGACAGCATCCGCTGAGGGTCTGTTCACATCGGTGGCTGTGGACGACATTTTCGCTCAACTGAGGAATAGATTCTGAGCTGAAGAATAGTGAAGAATGTCGAGTTCAACACGGAGGGTTCATGGGCACCACAGCTCTTTTTATAAATGCCATTGAGTGCTTACACTGGCTGTCGTGATTGGCTGTGTGGTTTCGAGAGTCTTTTCGAGTCCTCATTGATCTGCAGTTAATTTTCCTTGTCGATGGTTAGGTCTTTAAAGTTGATTAAAGCCACGAATTTAGTCGACTCTTGCATGGTAGTATAGCCTCTCTAGAATTTATGCTAGCGGTCCAGATGCTCGGAATACTCACACGTTCGTCTACCCCAATCCTCTTGGCTCTCTCCACTTATTCATGCCCGGTATCAAGAACCGAAACTCGGTGTTATGTTTTCATGTGAAATTAGCCAATCGGCTTATCTTGGGAGACATGCGCCTTATATTGACACAAGGCTTATCACATGGACAGGAAGCCACACAAGCGCGTGGTCGAATGCATGCAAGGTCGAAAACGCTGGCCGAAGGCAACAAGTCCGTTGGCGAAGAAGGAGGCTTACCGTATTCTTCACACACCATGTCTGCTAAAGTATGCCCACGTTAGAACGAATTGAACTAAGATCATTGAGACAGCGAGCCAATGTTAATTGGCGATGGGTGTGGTCGCAGGCTCTGTTGACAACTCGAGTCTTGTGTTTCTCTCTGATACACACTCGGCCGTACGCTATGGAGAGCTCGGTAGCGAGGTTCGAGTCAAGAGTTGGAAGTCGCGACTCAGGGATCGTCAAGGAGTGTAGTATTCAATCTATTATAGCCACGGATCGAGCCATGGCGTGAGTGGTGACTCTAATCGGCAGTTGTGCGAGGACAAGGAAGCCGGATTCGTATGGTCGGTCAGACATTATGTGATGGACATGTAGCGATTAACAGAGCTTGGTACACTTCGGGGATTTTCAGTTCTGTAGAGCCCAGCTTCCACCTGTCAGGTCTGTAGCAAGTGCAGACGAAGATGGCTGAAAACGACTGCCGTTCCGTCTCGATGACAGCGAGACGTGCAGGGTCGATTTTGAAGGATAGACACGCCATAAGGTCTAACAAACCACTGACCAGAGCTTGGTGCTATGTGTATGGCCGTGCGTGACGTTCGTGCCGTCGAATCAAGAGATGATTTGCAGTTTGCAAAACACATGGGCCAGGTATAGGTCGATCATGCCGGTTGCGAAAGGGGAAGAAACCGGAACGCTCAGGTTTTGCGACTGGAATCAAGACTGATAGACCACCAAATGCGATCCATCATATAAAGGTTCGTCGAGGGTCCTGTGCTCGGTAGGCCGGCGGCGTCGGTCATTGTTAGCCGAGAGCATTGACACTGACGGGCGGCCAGGGTCCATATTGCCCTCTAGCACTCATTCGTCCATGCAGAGTGTTGAGTGAGGAAGGAGATTGGACCATGTTTGCTCAATATAGTCGACCCGTGTTCTGACCGAGGTATCATTCAACGTTTTAATGGACAGGGCGGCGTGTCAGCAAATAAGGTAGTAACAGCCGCAATGGCAGAATCTTTACCGCCCTGGCCATCCAGCAGCTGAGATAGATAAGATCTCCCACTGTCAGCTTCGAAATCTCTCGAGATCTTTCTGACAACGCTAATGCATCAAAACGCCTACAAGTACGCTGCTGAACGGCACCAGAGATTGCATTGCGTATGGATCCCGTGAGCGCGAACTGGTTCCGCAGTTTTCTGCGTGTTCACACTTCTGAACTCGGCGATGTCTAGAGTCGCACCATGGTCTCGCTGAGGTGGAGCTGTGTGGAAACTTGATCTGAATTCCTTCAGCACACCCATATGACATTCAACAGTTTCACCCTCCTGCAAGCTCTGTCTGTACCGAAGACCTTACGCTGCACAACACGGTGGCAGGATCTTTGACCGTGTGGTATACCTAGGTATGTCGTGCTGCGGCTCACTTGCTACTGTTCGGCTTGGCTACGGTTGAGCCCAGCATTTCGTCGCGAGTGCAGTATGGCGGTATCGATGTTCTGCCCACAATCCTTGGGAAAAGATGCCGGAGAGCGTTTGATCCTGTCGTTGCAGGTTGCAGAGAGCTCCACAACCAGAAAATTGATGTCATGCAAAAGCTTCCCTCCTTGCGGCCGAGCGAGCAACCCGGAGGTTCTTTAATCGAAGATGTCATTTATGTCTCTGCAGAACATTTCACAGCATCCTCGTCATGCTCGTCCTAAAGGGAGCTCATCCAGACACATCTCCAGTGCCCTGTTGTTCATTGTTGAGATCGGCTCGGCTTCCATCTACATTCGTCAAGAAGAATGACGACGAATGCATCGATGATGGAACGAACTTGTGCTAGGCCGTTCTGACCCGACCTCATGTCTAGGATCGATGTGCTTGGCTGACGGCTCGCTGTTAACCAAAAGAGCATGAACCCCTAAAAAACAAAATAGGCAATCGGGATCTGATCTCAAAGTACGGTACCTGGAAGTTGGGTAGGCGCTATATTTCTTGTTTTCTTGTGCGAGAATAGGCAGGATGTAAGCAAGACTTTGCTGTGCTGCTACACGACGTCAGTGGGGTCTGCTTGGCGAAAGCTTCCTAGGAACTGCTTCCACTACAATTTCTGGATCCGGTCAAGAGCAGAGTAGATCTGCCTTGTTCCGACAGATATGATCGTGAGATAAGTGAGATAGTGTTTGAGCGGCTGAGTGCGAACAGTTAGGGTGTGGACTCCGACTCCGCTTGACCACGCGCTGGTTTGACTCGCGAATGGGAGTAGCTCTTCTGCACTGAGTATTTGCATTCATCAGAAAGCGATCCCTGTCGTTTGCAGGCAATGGGTGGGATTGACCAGACTCAAACATATGCCGAGGTGAGTTGAACATGCTGATGATGTAGCTACTAGCGAGTACCACCTTGTATTCTCTCCCTCGTGCGCGAATCACAAAGGCGTACAGAGAATTGGCAGAGATCGCTACCTGCTTAGTTCGTCATCCCGTTGCACAAGGAAGACTCTTGGTACAATCGATCGTCTCAAATCGTTAGAGCAGCCAACACTCAGTGAAGCAAGTCACAGCATTTCCTTCGTCATCTTGTGGCATGAGTGAAGTGACCATATAACAGCCTTACCTTCAACGTTCAGCACTTCTTTGCATCTACAACTTCTCTGGAGATTACCACATCACAACTCTTCATCAGCTCATCACCATGACTTCCTTATTCAATCGCATTCGTAACAACCATGTCTTTCAAAAGATATTGCGCGTTCTCCAGTTCCTGTCATCAGTCATGTAAGTCACAGCGCATCTTGTGCTCAGTTCTGTCGCTGACTTTACTTTCAGCTCCCTCGGGCTCTTCTCCTCTCGTCTATACAAAGTGTACAGACTGGTTCGCAATGTCCGCAACTCCTCTGGCGCAGTCGAAGGCATTCTTGCAGCTGCAACAGCTTACACCATCTCCACTTTGATCGTCAACTTCTGCCTTAAAGGCGGCGCACCCAAGTTCCTTCGCTGGCTACTTATCGTCCTCGATCTGCTCTTTGTTGGCGGTTTCATCGCCGTCGCTGTCTTGACCAGACCCCACGGAGGCCTCAGCAGTCTTTGTGCTACACCCAACGCACGCAACGATCCCAACAATCGCAACAATGCCTTGTGTAACCTACCGCTGGCAACCTTTGGTCTTGCTATTTTCAGCACGTAAGTCATCAATCACATCGTAACAACACAATGGACCAATGCTGATTTACCATATAGTCTTCTCCACGCTATCACTGCCATCTTCCACGAAGTCCGTGATCACCACAAGAACAAGAAGTCTATGCTGGCAGAAGAGGAGATGAAGCGCTCGGAGGATGGTCTGCACGATTAAACGGATCTTTCCAAGCGTGAACTCAGAGTCACAAGTGCATCGGGCTCGCTGGACTTTCACATGTCGTCGCGGTTGTCATGTTGATACCTACAACAACGAAAAACGCAATCGCGGCATTACGGCCTCTATTTCCTTACCCTTGTTGCTACTCAATAAACGTACCCTAATGAATCTGCTTCTATTGCCATCTTCATACTTCTGCATATACACATCGCTTATACACTGATCATGGAAGCAAACGAGTATTGGCACATCTTCAGATAGTGACAACGTCCCGTTGTGTGAATGTGAAAACTTGCAGTTGCCAATGTTTGACTCCTGCCGGTTCTTAACACCAATCTGGAAATTTAGAGTCTGTCTCCATTGGTCTAAGAGTACGATTGAGTTGTGAGTCCAAGTCATTGAAGTTTCTGACCCCTAATTTCGGGTATTTCAATCTGTGCCGGTACGACCCTGACTCGGAAGCGGACGTAGCATAAATTTGTGCATTGAACACCGCTCAGGGTACTAATCGTTGGGAACGAAAGGCTATCTATCACCCTTTTGTGCTCGACCTTCGTGGATGGACTTCGTATGGAGACATGTGTACAAATTGCCGTAATGTGTCTAACTCATGGAACCGGAAGTTCTCACTGACTTTCAGGCTGCAATCTGCTCTGATTCTGAAACTACCCAAGTATCTGCAACTTCCAAGCTCAGTAGTTCACACCCTCGTATCTGATTGAACAACTCCAAAACCCCTCATAATACCGACGAGATCTGTGAAAATACTGCCTGAGTCGCATGTATCGAATATTATAGCCAAGGTATGCTTTCAGAATACATAGAGAGCTATATTGATGGGTTTCATCTGGGCCAGGGTTATCCCCTTAGTGACTTGACAGATGACGTATCACAAGACACGTCGTGCACTGTGTTTTCGCGATTTTGACAGTCTTGCTTGACACCAAATACCTCGACGTGTAACCAATGGACAATTCCAGAGAGCAGACAACATGCCGTACGTGGTACTCTGTCTGGCGAACATCTTTGGCCTGACTCGACAAGTCGCACACGGTTAAGCGCCAGACCTCGGATTATCGATCCCAGGACTCCTGGTTTTTCCTAACCATATTCGGACTGCAGGCATATTTGTCAGATTAGCAGGCGTTCATTATCCACATATGATTGATTCTCCCAATTTGCTTTTGCCGGTCGCGATGCTCAGATTCATCGGCGTGCTCTGCAGCGAGATTGTCCAAGTCAACCCACAAGAATACCGCAGAGCTTGACCCACAGATTATCTTCGCGGGACCCGGTTGATCGATTGGGAAGAGGCTCCCGAGATGGATAACGCGGCTCAACGACTGACTGAACATGAGTTCTTACGCCCGTAGAACCTGGCATTAGTAGATCGTCAGAATGATCCGGTGTATTGGCTGCTGGGTTTGTTCCACGATCTAGGAACGACCATGCTCGGATTATAGTCCGACATCATCTGTCCCGCAAGACCGCTCTCAAGACTCAGAGCGCAACATGTGAACTGAGGGGTAACGCAGTGACAAGAGACACAAACGGTCATTGGCCCCCAATCGTTTCTTGAACGATTCCTCAGAATCAGTACGAAGGCTTGTCCCAGATGGTTCGTTAATACGCACGTGTTATCTGCCATGCTCTGCACAGCTTCATGAGCGGACCAAACGTCATGACCATCCGCGAACGACGTCGGCAAGAGATTCATGGACCGCATGTCTCAGCGAGGTCATTGTCGACTCAGGCCACAAGGGTGCTGTCTTCGACCAACGTCGCTGCAGAATCTTAGCTGCAGAGAATTTGATGCATGGCCTCTTCTGGGGGAGGTGGAGCCACTACTCCTCAGATCTCGAACTCCTTTTGGACGAGACTAGTTGATGCATGCACTCGAACCCGGCGAGACGATCGGTGCCCCGCGACGACATTCTCGAATGCGCGACCATTTACTTGCAAAGGATGCGGCGAAGACCCAGACTCGATCGTCGAAAGTGTCAAGAGACAATACGGCGACGCCGTAAGCCAGCCACTTATAGGTGCGCGAAGTTTGCTGTATGCCTTGTATTTTGGCGAGCTGATGTGTTGCAGGATTAAGCTTCAGCTGTCGCGTTCATCCCCAGCCCCACCTGCAACGTAGATCTCGGATTTGCGCGTGGTGCAGCAAAATGAGCACCAAACCATCGCCATAGTTAACCCGAAATATTCAGGCCATCTACTGTCTAGTGCGCAAAGATGCGTACCAGTAGTTGTACAGGGAGCTGTGTGCATGGCCTCGTTCGGGTACATGGACACTGTTGTGATCAGCAGTCAACGTGCGAAGCTCTCAGATTCCCCGCCTGGCCTGGCCCGTCCCGTTCGATCATACCAGGTCGGTAACCGCAACCCAACCGGACAAACTTTCTGCACGCTGCCACATATCGTATGCTTCCTTGAGCAATTTGTAAATCAGTCCGTCATTCGAGAGGTAGTTCACCTGAGTGTTCGTCAGCTCAAGCCACACCTACTGGTTCTCCCATAACAGTTGTGTTATAGGAAAAAGCTTAGAGCAGTCAAACAAATGTTTGGGAGGTCCGGTAACAGCCTCTGAGACAGACGCTGTAACACTTCCCACGACGGCCCGCGCCTCGTGGGTACCAAACAAAGCAAAACTGGAGAGCAAACGGCTTTTTGCTAACGTCAACACGGTGCAAATGGTGATTCAATCAAGACACGAGTGATGTGTAGCGATGGTGCTAGGTCAAAGTCTTTTGGTGATGAGCGACATCGTTTTCAGACACAGGGACCGCATTTTCCTCATTGAGACAAGACTCTCAGGAAAGGAGCGACCACAGCTGAACATTGCACTACGCGCGTATAATGTCCTTGCCTATTGCGGACATCTCCGAAAACCAACTGCCATGTTGGACAATTCCAGCTGTCAGGTAACCGTTACGAGGTCTGACGAAACCTACAAGGGGTTCCATTCAGCTCAGTGTCGATCACGCAGTTGATCGTATAGTAGTAAGTGCGACCGAGCATATATCAAATGCTAGTTCACCCCACTCTTCTCTCTCATGATTCGATGATGTCGTATGCCGCGACGACAAGGAAGGTCCCATTGTTTAACTGAACAGAGTTTCCGTTGCTGCTGCTGTGGTTGCTTCTCTTCGCTCTATTCGCTCTGGAGCATGCTTGGTCTACGGACAAATTCTCCCAGTACGTATATATGTGGTGCAAACCCCACCTGTCGACTCTACATCTCAAGGACCCTCAGACTGACAGAAGCTCCTCGATCAGACCGTGTCCCTAGTTTCACTTCCCCCGTACCCACAGAGTCACAACCTATCAATCAATACAAAATGGAATACCAGTCTCAAACACCAGCTCTGGACAGCCTTATGGTTGCAAAGAAGCGTAAAGATTCCGCAGCAGACGAGCCATCTCCGCAAAGTCCTGCCAGCAGTGGGATTCTCAATCGTCGCCTCGATCTCAGCTCTGTAGCTTACCGATCATTCTCCAACAATGGCTCACCTGCACGAAGCCAAGACAGTCATGCTATGCATATGGAGACAAGGATACTCAAAGAGTTTGACACAATTGACGCTTCGCTGATGGGCAACATGAACATTGAAAAGTTTTCAGACTATATCGCCCGAGAGCGTCTGAGCTCAATGCCCCACCGCGGCAGTCTTTGGGACAGAGTGCTCCGGTGGGCTGAGTTCTATGCCCTGCAGATCAACAACTACGCTAAGAAGATTGGATCATTCGTTCCCGAGAGCCAGTACGCAGCTAGGCAGATCTACACATTGTTGTATAGCATCGTCGAGCTTGGGGAAACCAATGCTGGTGCTCTCAACACCACCTTCTCAATCTTCTACAAGCTTGGTCTCTCATTGTCGTTTTTGTCATCGCATGAGACACAGCTCAGCTTGAGCACTGACGTCCGCGAGGATGTCAGCAGAGCCTTTCGCGATATGCACCTGTTGGTGTTCGACGTGGCATCTCACTACCACGGATCAGTTCGCGGCCTTGGACAGAAATCCGTAACCCTCGATCTTACTTATCTCTTCCGCGAGCATCTCAACAACTTCCACAACCGCAAGAACCGGTACGTAGGACAGTCCTATCCCTATAGCTATCACTAACGTTACCTAGAATTATGAACCATATCTGGAGCCACGCTCTTGGAGGTGATGCATCGAGGGATGTTCATGAAGTCCGCAAGTGGCTTGACCAGAGGGCTTTTCTGCTGCGAAGCATATCTGCGGAGTCTCTAACGCACACCTCCCAATATGATGAATACACCTGTGAATGGTTCCAGCAACCTCTTTACCAGTTCACTTGTGCCAGCGAGAAGATACTCGGCATCGAAGGTCCGCCCGGGAGTGGAAAGTCAGTGCTCTCTACTTGGATTCAGGAGAGATTGCAACGTCGCTTGGGTCAAAAGACTCACAGTACTGTAATGTTCTCCTTCGATTCTGACATCCCAAGCGAGACTACGTCGCTCGCTCTGGCCAAGAGTCTAGCGCTGCAGTTGATGGACATCCGCTTAGGCAACGTCCCTATGTTCGAAGCTATTGTTCAAGCCTACAACAGCAACAGCTCTACTGATACGGAGCAACATCTATGGACTGCAATCAATGCAGCCTTCTCCGACCTTTCTGAGCCAACCATGATCATCATTGATGGCCTAGATCAGCTGCGCGACAACAAGAAGCAGGTCTGTGAGCGTATTGAGAAGCTTTCGATGACTCACGAGTCCCTCAAATCCATCATTCTCTCCAGACCCATGATCCTCCCCGAGACTTGGAAACCATTTCAAATCAAGCCGGATCACCTCTATGACGATATCAAGCATATAGCCCAGCATCAGCTCCGGAACTGCACAGCTTATCGCAAGAGCAACGACGCCGACAGACAAGAATTCTTGGATCGCCTAGTCAAGAAAGCAAATGGCTGCTTCCTCTGGTTGTTGCTTGCTATTGATGTCCTCAGTCTCTCTAAGTCGCCAAAGGATCTGGACGATGACTTGGAAAAGCTTTCCGATACATTCGACAAGATCATCAAGAAACGTGCCGATTCTGATGGCTTTGCGGATCATGATGTGAAGCTTCTGACCTCTTACATGATGGTGACTGAGCGGCCACTATCTGTGAACGAACTTTATAATCTCCTTCAAGTTGACCTCCAGAAGAAGACGAACACACGTCGTGAGATAGACTTCAAGGACATGTTCAAAAAGACATCTGGATTGTTAGGCCCCGACAACGCAGGTCTTGTGAAATTCTTGCACCCTGCAATCAGAGAGCATTTCATTGCTTTGCAGATCAAGGGAGATAAATTGCTTCCTCACAAAGAGGCTCATACAGACATGACCTTGAGGTTGCTCACCTACAGTAAAGCTTGTTTGTCCAAGTCTCACGATATCTCCCTTGAGCCTTTGCCGCAGATCGATGTCGAGCGTCTTTTCACAGAACACGATCTGTTGGAGTATGCTGTACGCAACTGGACGACCCACTTCCGCCAGTCCACTTTGTTCAAGTCGACAGGTGCCCTTGGGCTCTCGAATGATGTCAAGGCAGCCTTCCCGACTTCACCTTTGATGCCCCTGCTCGAATGGACATGCTGGGATGCGCAGTTCCCCACCAACGAACTGCTACCTATACATGATCTCGCTCTACGCGTTCGCTTTGATGTTTTCCAGGACAAGCATATCTCGACATTGCAGACTTCTATCAGCTGCGCTTATGTGTACCACATGTACTCATCCCCGGACGCAGCTGCACCTTACTTTGTTCGAGCTTCCCGTGTCTGTCAGCACATGCTGCCGAAACACAATCGCATAACGATTACTTTGACTGAGACTGCCCTAACCATTACGGAATCGATCAAGTTGACCAGTCGCACGGAGCTTGTGACATTCCGGGAAGAGATGCTCAAATTCATCATCACTGCTTACAAGGAAAGCCATGGTGAGACCAGTGACATTGTCATTCGCTATACCAAAACTTTGGCCGAGATGTATGTCTCGATTCATGAAGAAGACCACGCCGCAGCGTGCTGGAAAGAGCTTCGTACCATCATCATCAGCAAGCATGGAGAGGGTTCGGACTTCGAGAGAGAAATTTCCGGAAAGCTCATGATTGTTCTGAAGGGGGACGATGACCATGTGATCAGACCATATGTCGAGGATATCTTCTCTGTGGGCGAGGAGAGAACTATAGTCTGGAACTTTGCCAGATTCCAGATGTTCTTGAAGCTTGCACAAGGCTGCGAGCATCGCAAAGAGCTGTACGAAGCGGAGGAGCTTTATGTGACTCTCTGGACACGTCTGCTAGGACTCTGTCGGAGTCAACAATCGCACGATGTCGAGACTCGTATCAGCATGCTCCAGATCGCTGTTGAATATGTCCACTTCCTGACAAGACAACAACGCAAAGAAGAAGCAAAGAACGTGCTTATCGTCCTGTGGACTGAACACAAGCATTTTGGATGCGAGTCTGAAGCATTCTATCAGCAGTTAATGACTATCGGCAAGCTGATGAGATCTCTGGAGCTCCATAACTTGTCGATCTCTGTCTTTGAGCGCGTCTTGAGTTTCTTCAAGGCGGTCGGCAAACACGAGAGCAGCTACGCTCATGAGTGTGAGAGAACGATGATCGAAGTGATTCAAGAGACCTCAGAGAGACACTCGTCCTCTTCCTCGAGGTGTGAATCCACGGACGAGATGGAGACTGTCGTTCGCAGAATGTTCAGCTCTTCAACCACTCTGTCCCACGAGACTATTAAGGTCGCTAGATCTGCCGTTCATGTGTACATGACGCAGGAGCATTGGTCTGAGGCCATCAGCCTTCTGACCAGAACGCTTGATCTTATGCATTTCTCAGGCTCTTGGGGAGGTGACGTTTGCTTGCCCAACGAGTACGCTGACGAATCCATCGAGTTTGCTCTCGAGCTTGGAAAATGCTATATGAGAAGCAAGCGTCACTCGGAGAGTTTGGCAGTCTACCTTCAGCTGTGGCAAGCAGTGCGAAGTTCCTGCAGCATTGATGACAAGCGAAGAACAATCATTCTCGATGTTCTCATCCAGAATTATACCGAGCACAAGAGATGGAGAGCTTTGGTTGAGCTACATAAGGATCTGCTGCTAGAGTACCGCCGGTGAGTACTAACCCAATCGATACTACCGAGACCGCAAGTCTATTATCTGATGAGCTGAATATACTGACTCTCGACAGACACCTCGGAAGATCGCATGAGCGTATCATTGGGCTTCTCTACTTCTTGGGTGATCTGACGCTTGAACACGGTCACGGGTACCCCGAAGATTACTACCGTGAGATCGTCGACATCATCGGAACATCCAACACCAAGCTTTCGTTCAAAGCCTATAAGAGACTCAGCCAGATCTACTACGATGAGAGTAACTGGGTGGAGCTGAGAATCGTCTGTGACGTCCTGTGGAGCCTTCTCACGACCAAAACCCAGGAGTACGACTACGACGAAAACTATATCGAACTTCTGTACATAAGATATGCCTATGTTCTCAAACATCACAACAGAAACAATGGTAAGGCGGACCACAAGCTCTTCGTTCTTGTCGCTCAGCAGTACCGAGACATCTGTATAACGAAGTTCGGCTCCTCATCTTCTGTTGCTATTCGAGCCAGGATCGAACACGCTTCGATACTCATGGAGGACGAATCAACCAAGATCGAAGCTGTGAGCGCCTATGAGGAGATCATCACAACGACCAGGAACAGCAAGATTGTGATTGACGAGAAGACCATGTCAATGGTGAAGAGTCGTATGACTGAGGCCTATGTTTACGTCCATCGCAAAGGTATCTCGTCAGCGGCCACAACAGAAAAGGCCATCATTGTACTTCAGGAAAGGCTCCAGCAGCTCAAGAGTGCACATGGAAGTGCTTATTCCGAGACACTGTCTGTTCTCAGCGAACTGATCTCGATGCGCTGCAAAACCAAGAAGACAACAGAAGACGAACAGACTATTATTCGCATGCTCCAAGAGAGTACTGTCGAGATAATCATCAAGGAGCAGCAATCTCAGGTACTCTTCGAGGCAGCGAACACAATCGGTGCCATGTACATCACCTGCGGCTACCATGCTCAGGGTCTCGAGCTCGTGTACGCTGCCAGACGTCAGATAATCTGCGGCCATGCAGGAAAGAATAGCCTCAAGCTCGACAAATCGATCAATCGTGTCGCTTTCGTCTTCCTTGTCACCCTGGAGCTGTCGCTCAAGGGCTCCTCCGGACACAACTTCACCGAAGTTATGGCAGATTGGTTATCTGAGTCTGTGTTGTACAACAACTACTCTCGCAGTCTGACTACTCAGGTAAAGATCGATCAACTGCTCCTGCGTAGCGCTCGTCTCAGATCATTCTGGCTCACGCGCTCGCGTAAAGAAGACATTGACATACTCGATGGACGTGTCTTTGAAATCTTCATCAAACAATTCGGCACTCCTCTGAAAACCAGGCCGGAGATGATCAAGACCTTCTTGCTATCGCTTCTGGCCCATATCGGATCTGGCGATGCTTACGACATTCAGGTGGCCAGAGCCGCATCTATCTCTGGAGATTCCAAGATCGAAGCACTCATCCGAAGCGGCAAACACCACGAGGCGGCCGAGGTTGCATACTGTACTTTTCACTTCGTCATGACGCAAGGTGGCTACCAGCAAGCTGGCCTCATCGGTTATGGATTCAGACTAGCCAAGTACATGACCATGAAGGACAATGTCCCTGCTGAGGTTCACTCTAAGATGCTGCAAGCTTCGAGAGAAATCATGACGGAAGTCTTGACTGCGTGCAAGACACTACAGATTAACTTCTCACAACTGCACGACCATGAACTAAACGATCTTGTTGAACTTCTCGGCCAGCAAGAGAACTACAAGGAGCTTGATGTTATTCTCGAGTCATTATGGAAGTCGCGTTCCGGCCAGAAGAACTGGAGTGAAGACACATTGATCAATCTTGGAGAGCGTCTCGTTATGTCACGTCATCTGGCTTCCGACAAAGGACACTCTCACCGTGCCATTCACCTCGCCGAGGACATCACCTATAACTTGCGCCGTGTGCTCGGCGGTCTCCATCCTCACACACTCAAGATGTCCGATTTGTTATCTCAGCTCTACACTGGTGCAAAGCAGTATGGCGACGCGCTCAACGTGCACGAGGAAGTCATACAGCTCATTGTCTCTGGTGATGATGGCGATGAGCGTACTACTGACATTGTTGATTCCTCAACCGCTCGCAAGCAAGTCAACCTCCTGAAGGCCGCGTACCAGCGCAATGGTGGCTGGGTCAAATCTGCGGACTTCTACCAGAAGCTCGTGACCGACTTGACAAAGATGTTTTCCAAGACCGCAGACTTCAAGGATCTGCAACCGGTTAAAGAATGGCAGGCTAAGCTTGACAGCGCAACCGCCCATCTTGGTCTGTTCCAGAAGCCTCAGCAGTGGATGTTTGTCGTCAAGGATGACATCCCGCTCAAAGGCGGAAAGCACAACCACATCAGTGTTGCTGAGGAAGGCTTCAAGCATGCTCCTCAGCCTTTAAAGATTAAACAGACTGGATGGAGTTTGAGACGCGTGTCTGATCTTTGGGGCATGAAGCAGCCAAGTGCCGGAAGACTTGATGCTGAAATTGTGGTTTGATAGCATGTTTGATTTCATTTATCGGAAGTATGGATTTGTATGGAGTTTTTGATCTTGAAATGTTGTTGCTTTAACTCTTATGTATCAAGTTTTTTATTGTTTCTTATCTGCGTGGAAGATTGATAGTCGTACCCTCCCGTGACCTTCTTTTGTTTTGTATTGTGCGTTGCTTTCTGATATTGGCAACCACGTCTCAACCGCTCTTGCCACCCACAGTCCACTTGACCGGGCTCTTCAATCCAGCCTTCTCAGCCACTCCCTCCGTCTCCTTCGCCTTCTGATTAACTGAATCCATCTCAAAGCCAGCGACTAACTTATACTGCTTACCCACTCCCTCCAATTCGTCCTTGGGAATCACATTATAGATATTCTTGAAGCCATCTGGAGCTCTCTCGTGAGCAAGTTGAAGCACATGATCAGGACCATTTGCTCTATTTGCCATGACGATTTTGGCGGTAGGAGGCAGGCGGATGGCTTGGTATTGGGAGAGAGCGAGGGGAATGTTGATGGGGTTGTTGAGGAGGCAGTTGGTCAGGGCTTCTGCGTCGATGATGGCTTGGGAGGCGCCGTTGCTGCCGATGGGGTACCTAGAGGAGTCAGCATATTTCTCCTATGGATATGGTTGTGAGTGTCATGCTCCCTGTGATACTTACATTGGGTGAGCGGCGTCACCCAATAGTGTCAACCTGCCGTGACTCCATCGGTCTACAGGATCGCGGTCGCTCATTGGGAACTCATAGACTTTGTCTGTGTCGTCGATGAGCTGTTTCATCCTCAAACCACCACACTGCCAATTCTGGAACGCTCCTTCGAATTTCGATTTCGGGACTGCGTTTGTCCAATCTACAGGCGGTGGGACAAGATCAGGATCGTCCTTGTCACGAACTCTAAGTTCCGCGATCCAATTAACTAGACTCTTGCCTTTGCGCATGGAGTTGCCGGAAATAGGGTAAGCGATAAATTTCTGGTCTGCGTGTCCTGCCCACACCATTGAAGCTCCAGTGAGATAGGGTTCCTGTTCACGGCATCCACGCCACAAAATACGACCTGAAAAGCGAGGGGGGCCCTCATCAGGATACAGCAGTTTGCGTGCTACGCTGTTGATACCATCCGCTGCGATCAGCATATCGCCAGCCATTTCTGGAATCTCCGGCTGCAAAGCCAAATCTCCCTTGCGCACGAAGCGTGCTGTGATTGTGCCTGAAGGATTGGTTCCTTCTGCCGCTTCTTCGTCCTGCTCGAAACTCGCAAGGGCATGACTTAGATGCACGCGCTCAGCGCCCAGACGTTCTTTTACAGCATCCAGCAACAATATCTGGAATTCCCCGCGGTGAATGCTGAATTGAGGTACCGTGTACCCAGCACTCTCGCCCCTGGGTTCACTCAAAATGGCATCTCCATGGCGATTGTAAAAGTTGAGTTCCTTGGTTTCAATGGCTGTGGATTTGAGTGCGGGTAAGAGTCCAAGGTTTCGGAGGATCAAGACGGCGGAGGGCTGCACGTTGATGCCTACGCCTAGAGTGGTGAGGTTTGAGGCTGCTTCGAAGATGTGGATGTTGGTGAAGCCTGCTGCGTGGAGGGATAGTGCGGTTGTTAGACCACCGATTCCAGCTCCGGCAATGATGATTCTGGGCTGTTTGTCTTCGAGGAGAGGCATGGTTCTGAGATGTTGTCCAGTCTTTAGATCCAGAACGCCTATTTAAAAGGGTATGCACTAAGTGCTATGCCTATGATGTGAATCCTGAAGAGCCTTCGGCAATTCAAAGGATCTAATTGCACAACACAAGGGGACGGAAGATGTGATAGGTGATGAGGACAGGAAGGAAGATGTGTATTTAAAGATCAACGTCGGTGTATTCTGATAGGTACGACTCCATTAGTTACTTGTTCTCTTTCTCATGTCCCGATTTTGGCTGAATCGATTGCCGAGGGAAGTTTGAGGTGAGAACTCCGGGGTCGGAGCAGACGAGACGCGCCACAGTCGCGAGGCTCTAGATCGTTGCATTCTCTTTTGGAGGCGCTTCTCGTGGCGAAGCGGGGTTGATCAATGGTGTTTCCGTAGAGATGCTGTATAGCTAAGTATCGCCAGTGCAAACGAATCTTGTGAGGCTCATAGGTTCATTAGAGGAAATATAGAGGTAAGCCCTGGCTGTTACTAACAAGCCACGTTCTAAACGTGTTTGCCACGAGAGTTGTTGACATTATATAAAGCTTGGCATGCTTCTACCAGTAACCAGCTATCAAAGTGGCAACCTCTCTCGCATCGTTCGTTGTACGCGACAAGCCACTCACATCAAGCATTGTCCATTGGATGTCTGCATAATCTGGTTTCCGCATTGCATAGACTGAAACGCGTTGACCATGTTCATCATTCGGCGGAGTGCCTACTTCGTAGATAGTTCATCTCAAGTCGCGTCTGCTTACCCTATACACCTGGCCTCCCGGAGCTTCTCATGTACTGGCTACACTAGCCACAGAGGCGGACCACAAAGGACACCCCAGCAAAAAGAAGAATCTAACAGAGCCAATCAGCGGCTATGGCGCGCCAAGAACAAAGATCACATCAAGGAAAAGAACCGAAAGCACTATGAAGCCAGAAAGGCAGCTTTACTACAGTCCGGAGATGCCGAGCGCACCAAGAATTCGAATGCTCGCAAGAAATACAATCGAAGATACTACCAGCAAACCTATGCAGCCGTATCACATTATCAAAAGCAAATCCTCAACAAGACCGGAACCCTAGAAGCAATCTCGAAATGGGAGGCCAAGCGTAGATTGATCGCCGAAAGGAAAGTTGAGCGTGAGAGACAGCGTGCTGAAGTCATCGTCGAGGGCGAGAGACGACATGATGCAAGCAAGGCCGAAACTGAGAGACGGCGTGCCGAAGTGAAAGCTGTGCGTGAGCAAGAGGTTGAACGCCAGAGACAACGCACGCAAGAAAAAGCCATGCTCGAAAAAGAGCGAGCTACACGACGTGCCGCAAAGAAGGCTGGGAGCGAGAGACGTCGTGCAGAAGGACAAGCCGAACGGCAGGGACAACTCACGCAAGAGAAAGCCATGCTTGCCAAAGAGCAAGCCAAAAGACGTGCCGCCAAAGCAGATGCAAGACTGGAGGCAACCCACGATTCGCTGCGGCGAAGGGCTGAGAGGGCTGAGAGCGCAAGAAGGCGTGCCGCAGAAAAGTCTGAGCGTGAGCAACGCCGTGAGCAAAGGGCTGAACGTGAAAGACACCTCGAGCACCAAAAAGCCATACGCGCCCATCAGCGAGCCACGTCCCGTGCTGCAGCCGCAAAGGATCGTCGCGAAGCGGCGCGTGAAAAGGCTGCAGAATACAGACGAGATGCTGACTTTCGCAAGGCCGTCGTGGCTGGAGAACAGCAACGTCGGACTCGCCCCGACTACGCCCATCGTCAAGACATGCGGACATGGTTGCTGAGATGTGCGCAGCGAGACCAATTTTCTTGGAAAACGCATGTTCCGGTGGTTTATGAAGACAAGACTGTCAAGACTTGTACAGCCTGCGGTAAGACACGCCTTGCAGGCTCAAGACTATGGTGGAAGAGCCTGGTAAATCCGGACACGTACGTGTGTCACCTTTGCTATACTGCGGACTGTAGTCGCGCCATGCCGCGCGGATTCGAAGACTATGAATTTGGGAAAGGAAAACATCTCAAGCCGTAATTACAATAGAAGATTGTTGTAACGACGTATAGGCAGGTATGATGGATGGCAAAAGAGTCGTGACTTCGTCATAATTATGGCTATCGCAAAGGTGGTATCATCCCAAAATCATGCATCCCATTCTATCCCATGCTGCTGAATGATTTACTTTGTGGCGCTGTGCACTTGTGTAGCTGCAAACGCTTAAGCTCTGGCCTGCTTGTCCAGATCAGCCTCAACACCACGCTGCTGAGTCTTTCCCTGATCGTGCTGGGCCTGGTACTTTGCCTTGTCGGCCTGGTTGCCAGTAACACCAGCGACAGCACCGCCGACGGTGCCAGAGACACGGTCGGCAATACCGGAGCCAAGGTCTGAGAGCTGGCCCTTGGCCTCTTGCTCCTTGCCCTCTGCGTTCTGCTGAGCACCCTGTTGCTTCAGAGACTCGTTGCCGATGAGGTTGCCGAGGGTCTCCTTGCCGGAGCCCAGAGTCTGGTTCCACGAGCCGGCGCTGCGGTTGGGGTCGTTCTCGGCGACACCAGAAGCTGAGACGCTGTAGCCTCCGATGTTGGCTCCTGCGTGCGAGGCGTCGTGCTTGATATCGGCTTCGGCCTTCTTGTTCTCGCCAGCGGTCTGTCAATATCGTTAGTGTTGAGTTGATCAGTGGTGAGGTGGACCGAGGATACCTTGTCGGCGTTGCTGCCGATGAGAGAGCCCAGAGCGGACTGAGCGGCGCCAGAGGCAGAGTCGATGTACGACTGGAGAGTGGAAGTGTTCTTGTCAGACATGTCGTTGATGTTGTGGTGGAAGAGATGTGGTGGTTGTGGTTGAGGCTGTGGGTGAAGGTTGAAGTTGTGGTTTAAAGTTATGGTTGCAGATTTGTAGCAGATTATGATGTGTTGAGTGAAAGTTTTCTTGAAGCAAACAAAGATTTATATAGATGTTCGTGTTGTGATGGTCAAGTCAACTTCCATGTTTGCATGTGAAGCCAATGACGTTGAAGCTCACTGGACCCTGTTTTGGTCGGGTGGCTGGGACCATATGACGTGCACCACACCGACTCTTCTAGAACGTGTCGTTTGTAGATGTGTTGTACGGAATTGTCAAAAACACGCGTTGTTCGTACATACCTTCAAGGCGAATGCCTGTCGCGATCAGTCTCGTATTACTCTGCTAGTTGTGCCCTATCCCATATCCTTGCGTTGGTACGCCGATCAAATATGCATATCACAGCCTCCTGACCGAGAAGAATATCCTCTTAGTACCCTCGTTGTGCCATGCGATCTTCTTACCTTCAGCCATGGGCCAGTCTTCCAATGTAGCCTTGACCTCCCACTGGGTGCCCGTCTCTTCACCAATCTCCTTCCACATTCGCTTCCACGACTCCACGTTCTGCAGGAACATGTTGCCGCTTCCGCTGGCAGCTGACTCTGCCTCGTGAGACTTGACGTTGCCCACTTGACGTCCTACAAGTAGCGAGTCCTTTTTGGGCTTGAGCAATTGGACCACTCGTCTTGCAATCTTCTTTTGTCCTTCGTAGCCAAACAAATGGAAGAAGGACGATGCGTGGATGATGTCGATACTTCCATAGAGCTGAGTAAGTTCTGACTTGGACTCGAAGACGTCTGCGGTGATGAGGTCGCTTTTAAGCTTGTCCTTGTCCTTGAAGAGATCATATCCAAGATCCAGGAATCCTTGGTGGAGATCACATCCAATCAAGGCTTTTTCGGGTACACCATCAGCGACCAGTCTGCGGATGTCCTGCCCAAAGCAGCAACCCAGGTCTAGGTATTTGTTGTTGCCAGACTTGAGCCTCTGCACGATTTCTGGGTATGCATCAAAGCCGCCCAGAGGCATGTCCAGGAAGCGAAATTGACCGATGCATGGGTAGGGGAAGACTGCCCATGCTTTATCTCGCTGGTGACAAGTTAGTGATTGATCGCATGCCATAGACATGTGAAAGGAGTCAAAATAGAGGAGCTCATCGTTGGGTCCATAAACCACATGTATAAGAGGGAAGCGAAACTTACGATTCTCAAGACATGCGGCACAACCTCATCCGAAGGTAACTTGCAGTATGTTTCCAGAATGGCCCTGGCTTGAGGATTGACGTCCTCAAGCTCGGCCTGGAACCAGGCGACACCTGTGTCTTTTGTGCCAACCGATGCCATGTTATGAGTAGGAAATAGAGAAACTGAAGGTGGGCCTGTGATTGGGAACGTAGATGGAGTCGTCTAAAAGGCTATTCGGCTGATTAGTGTTGATGGTTGCCGCGATGTTCTCGGTCGTAGGGGCTCCTCTTCATCGTCATTAGATCAAATGATAAATCTGTCATGCGATATAACGTCAATAATGGTAGCTTACCGGTCAGTATGCTTAGCGACGCGTATTAGCGCTGGGTCGCGATTCAAGCAAGTTCTTCCTGACTGCCTCAACTGGCGTTGTGCGCGTACGAAGGCATGAGTGGGGTGAGAAATGTGCGTGGCTGCCTATGCTGTATATTCAGGCGGCAATGCGTCCATACAACAGCCAAGCGCTGCTTATCGGTTCGCATCAGAGGTGCAGCCCTAAGATGCAGCAACCGGTGACGGCAGACGTGTCGGGAGAAAGAAAGAAAAAAGAAAGAAAAAAGGAGGAAAAAAGACAGGAAAATGCGGTCAGGTCTCCGTGCCCCGCAATGGCCAAGCACGGGCAAGGAAAGCGGGCGCTGAAAAATTGCGAGCAACAACATCTCGACGCAATCAGATTCATCATTGCTTCGCGTATTGCTCACTTCGCTTGTAGACGACTACCAGCGTACTCACGAACCTCCAAAGCCCCTATTCCTATCCTTGCGAAACCCACCTCTACCATAATGAGCGGCGAAATCACTCACCCCACCATCAAGGGTAGCTAGAGCTCCGTAATGTTTGCAATTGAAAAGAGAATCGAGGCTCATACACAAGGCAGATGGCTGGTTCCGCGAGATCTCCAACATGTGGCCCGGCCAGGCCATGACCCTCAAGGTCAACCAGGTCGTCCACCACGAAAAGTCCAAGTACCAGGATGTCCTCATCTTCGAATCGACCGACTACGGCATGGTCCTCGTCCTCGACAATGTCATCCAGTGCACCGAGCGTGACGAGTTCTCGTACCAGGAGATGATCACCCACCTGGCCATGAACTCGCACCCCAACCCCAAGAAGGTCCTCGTCATCGGTGGCGGTGACGGTGGTGTCCTCCGCGAGGTCGTCAAGCACGAGTGTGTTGAGGAGGCTGTCCTCTGCGACATTGACGAGGCCGTCATCCGTCTCTCCAAGAAGTACCTCCCCGGTATGGCCGTTGGCTACCAGCACCCCAACGTCACCACCCACGTTGGCGACGGCTTCAAGTTCCTCGACGACAAGAAGGGCGAGTTCGATGTTATCATCACTGACAGCTCCGACCCGGAGGGCCCTGCCGAGGCTCTGTTCCAGAAGCCTTACTTTGAGCTGCTGAAGGGTGCCCTGAGAGAGGGCGGTGTCATTTCTACCCAAGGTTGTAAGCACCCTTTCCTAGTCCCCTGAACCGTCTCTGAACACACTTCATGTCATTGTTACTTTTCCTTGTCGAGACCAGAAGTTGCTGACTTGTCATAAAGCCGAGAACCAGTGGCTCCACCTCCCCTTGATCACCAAGCTCAAGCAGGACTGCAAGCAGGTCTTCCCCAACGTCGAGTACGCCTACACCACCATCCCCACCTACCCCTCTGGCCAGATCGGCTTCATGGTCTGCTGCCTTGACGCCAACCGCAACCTCAAGAAGCCCGTCCGCCAGTGGTCCGAGGCCGAGGAGGACAAGCTTTGCAAGTACTACAACAAGGAGATCCACGAGGCCGCCTTTGTTCTGCCCAACTTCGCCAAGAAGGCCCTCAAGTAGATATGATTTACGACAAACAAAAAAAGGAGCCGTCGAGACGTTGTGCTTTAGACGTTTATACAAGATACCAATGACATTACCTGCACGCCTTGCGGCCCTTGTACTCATGTTATGACCACTGCAATGCACATGATGCTCACCAAGAGAAGTCAATCATGCCAAGCTGCCCACCATGCCCTCATAGACTGGCCGAATGTTGGTACGAGTAGCTGTACGCTGTGTGTCTTGTTCACTTCGCCTGTGGCTGGCTACCAATGTTGAAGCCCGGCAATCATCGAGATGCAGTCTGGCTTTGTTGACTCTTCAAGCCCTGCCACCACAAGCCAGGTGCAACGCTTACCGATACGCAAGAAGTCCCACCAGAATCATGGTGGAGTGGAGCCTTGTTGTGGTCATCCGGGTACATGCTGCAAAGTCTCTTTTGTCACAAACGACCCGCCAGTCCTTCAAGAGCCGGCTCTCTACCAAGTCGGCCGAGTCGCGGCGATTGCGTGGCAACATGATGGAAGCATCGATGGCCTCTGAACGTCCCTCTGTACCTCCTTCTTTCGGCGTGTCAAGGGGAATAAGCTGCGGAATATGAGTCGGCTAGGAAAAGCGGAACAAAAAATGCCTGCATATGCACCTTTGCGATTGGCCGGATTGTCCGAATTTTCCTTGTGCAGCAGGGTTGTTCGCGCTCGGCGGCTCTGGCTTCTTGCATGCGTACCCGTCTTTTGACGGCCACGTTTCTGTCGCCTCGGGTACTCCGTAAGGACGAGCGGGTTGAGGCGCCTTGATGGGAATGGCAGACTCGACTGCATGACAGCGCTGGATTACGGCCGTCTGGCGAGTCGACGACTACGCGCAATCATGGGTTTAAGATTCCTCGGGCGACGAGGTGTTGGCCATGCATTGGCTATAATTCTCCAAAATGACAGTCGTGATCTTGTTAGTGTTTCGCCGGTGGGTGGAGAACAGGAAAAGCGAAAAAGAGATCGAGGCCGACTAGAGCAGGACAGGTGAAGGTGATGATTCTTTTCAGCTGCTCAATGTACTGCCGTGTAGCAAGGCAAAGCAGAGGTAGCATGGAGCAACAGGGATAGCGTGTTTCGAGATGCGCCTTCGCCGGCCTTGTTCCTGCGCTAGCCACGCCATCCCCATGCTCATGCGTTTGGTACCTTGAATCTTAAGACCACACCACGCGAACAAACCTCGCCGCCATCGGTCGACTTGACATGCAGGTGAGCAGTCTGGAGTTCTCCCTTGGGACATGTTTGGCGAGGGTAAGGAAACAGAAGACATGTGTGTTCTGGCTTGCGGCTTGCCCATGTCTGCGCCACTTCGACTGACGCCTCCTTTGTGGTGTACCGTGTGCGCAATCGAATGCTCTTTTGACTCGGCCAGTTTAAGCTCATCCGGCTGATCAGCCGTCAATCTGGCTGTACAGTCGCGTACAGATACCCGACAGTCTTTGATGGAGGTGGGGATCTTCATCTCTCTCAGATCCACTGCGAAGCAAAACTCAGCTCGCTCGACTGCGCGAAAGCGAAAGCCAGACGGCATGTCCGCGCGATGAACGACATGTACTCCGGGTCCCCGGTCCTGCATGCATTCTGCAGCATCTGGAGTCGACGGCAACTGGCAGTTGTGATGGGAAATGAAGAACCAGAATTCAAAGATGCGGCGGTAAGCCGAATGCCCCACCCCCGGCTGCTTGCTGGCTCGTCAACGTTTGCTCTTTCCCTCCTTGGGGTTGTTGTGCCCCTGACTCCCTCTACACAAGCAAAACACCAATTCCACCATGTCCAGCTCATGTTAGCAAAGCGGTTTCGAACGATATGGCGCAATTGTGAAACAATCATCTGGTCAAGCTGGAGCGGGCGCCAAACTGTCGTCTCTGATCCTTTCGGAAGCGCGGCGGTCCCCAGTTACACTTGATCGATGCATCTAATCAAGTGGGTACTGTACAGCGGAAATGGCGCTGCTGGCGCTCTGGACTCCCTGCAATCTCTGAGATCCACGCTGTCACTTTTTTCCCGCCGCGTGCTCTCCCTCACCTTCCCTGTAGGGGCACGGTTCAAGGCCTGAAACTCAAAGTGCGCCCTCCTCAACTACTTCGACTCCTATATGTATCAAGCCTTCCTCCCCCGTGTCTTACATTCGTCTGTCCCGATCATCTCTTGTCTTCGTTATACCTTCTAGGTCTGTGACCTATTCTTTCTTTAACACAAGTCCTTGCTTGGGCTAGTCATTCATTCATCACTTCCCTTCATTCACACTCTTTCGACCTTCCCTCCTCTCAGGATTTGATATCCTCGCTTTATCCCTTCATTTTCAAATCTCCGTATCCAACTTTACAATGTACACTTCCACCAAGGTTCTCGGCCTGGCTGCCGCTCTCGCTGCACCTGCTGCTGCTTTCTTCCGTATGCCCTGCCCTGGTCGTATTGTCACCGAGCGTGCCGACCCTATCGTTTCCCCTGGCCAGGTTTCCGGTCACGTCCACACCATTTCTGGTGGCAATGGCTTCAAGTTCGAGATGGACTATGCCGATGCTCGCTCTTCAAGCTGCTCCTCTTGCCCCATCAAGCAGGATCTCTCCAACTACTGGACCCCTTCTCTCTACTACCAGCACCAGAATGGTTCTTTCGAGAACGTTCACCAATCTGGCGACGGTACTGGTATCTATGGCGGTATGACCGTTTACTATCTCCAGCGTGGTGGTCCCAACAACGACAAGCTCAAGGCTTTCCCCGAGGGCTTCCGTATGCTCGCCGGTAACCCCTTCAAGCGCAACCACACCGACGACTTTGAGTCTGAGGCTGTCAGCTTCGTTTGCCTCGACTACAGCGGCGGTTCCAGCACCACCGACGGTCTTCCTACCAAGAACTGCCCTGACGGTCTCCGTGCCCAGGTCTTCTTCCCCTCATGCTGGGACGGTGTCAACCTTGATTCCGCCGACCACAAGTCACACATGTCGTACCCCATCGGTGGTAGCTACGACAGCGGCAAGTGCCCCGATTCTCACCCCGTCCACCTGGTTTCCATCTTCTACGAGGTCAACTACAACGTCGGTGACTTTGGCAACATGTGGTACGGCAGCGGACAGCCTTTCGTCTTTGCTCAAGGTGACCCCACTGGCTTCGGATTCCACGGTGACTTCATCAACGGTTGGGACGTTCCTACTCTCCAGTCGGCCGTCGATGAGTGCACCAACGATAGCGGTCTTCTGTCCGACTGCCCTGTCTTCGACCTGTTCACCACCAAGCAGAGCCAGGCCTGTATCATTCCTCCTCAGGTTGACGAACAGGTTACTGGTATGCTCGACGCTCTTCCCGGATGCAACCCCGTTCAACAAGGCCCTGGTCTCGCCTCTGTCAAGACTTGTGCTGTCACTGCCAACAGCAAGGTCGCCACTGTTGGCGCTTACCAGCAGTACTTCAAGGACGTTACTTCTTCTCTCAAGTGGCAGTACGTCGGTTGCGGTACAGATAGCTTGAGCACCCGCACCTTCAGCGCCGCTTCCACCAGCAGCAACTCCATGACCATCGAGTCGTGCATTTCCTTCTGCTCCGGTAAGGGATACACCTACGCAGGTCTCGAGTACGCATCTCAGTGCTACTGCGGCAACACACTCGCCTCTGACCGTGCACCCGTCACCGGCGTTCTCGGAAACTGCTTCACTCCCTGCACTGGTGACAGCTCCGAGTACTGTGGTGGTGGCAGCGCTCTGTCCATCTACCAGAGCTGCAGCGGTCTCTCCAGCTGCTCCAACAACGCCTACAACGGCCCCAGTGGCGCCGCCGTCTCTGTCGCTTCTTCTGCCGTTGCTTCTTCCGCCGCTGCTTCTTCCTCCAGCACTTCCAACAGCAGTAATGCCGCCGCTTCAAGCACCAAGTCGGCAACCACCCTTATCACCTCCTCCAAGACCTCTTCAAAGTCCTCTTCCACCTCCACCACCAAGACTTCTTCCTCAACTTCTTCCTCAACTTCCACCTCCACCAAGGCCAACCACCGCAAGCAAAAGGCCCCCGCTTCAGCAACAAAGAACGCACGCTTCGCTGCTGCTGTCGCTTGGGAGGAGGAAGCCGACCGTCAAAAGGCCGAGGTTGCCGCCAAGCTTGCTGCCGGTAAGGTGCGTCGCCATCTTGCTGAGTTGAAGGCCGGTCGTCACCATTAAGTGACTTTTCTTTTTTTCTTCTTGACGAAAAAAAATCTATGTTGTTGTTGTTGTTGTTGTTGTTGTTGTTGTTGTTGTTGTTGTTGTTGTTGTTGTTGTTGTATGAACGAATCTTTATGGGGATGACAGGGGTTAAACAGGTGGTTTGGGGATCATATAGATGGGACTGACTGGACAAAGGGGGATTGATGACATTTTTTACCGTTCTTTACTTTCGTTTCTTGTGTGTTTGATCTCACCAAGACCTACTTTTTTTGCTGAGGATGAAGATAGGACGGTTTTAGGGAAAAGCATCATCCATAGTGTCACTGCATAAGGATGTTGTTTTTGACCCAGAATATACATGAATCTTTGTCCGAAAACGACAATCGTTCCATCAACTTTTCCTCCGCCTAGCAAATACTCTGTGATCTTGAAGCGACTGTGAGATGCATCGTTTCATGTTTATCCTTCCCTGAGTTTCTTGCCCGGACCTTGCTGCTCGACATCAATCCTTTGTCTCTTATCCCCAGATCCCGCGCCCAGAGCTTTGGTTTCCTCTACAGGAGGAGGTCCACCAGGCAGAGGCGGCATTAGCACACCATCATTGAGAGTCCAGCCCTCTCTCTGTAGTCTCTGGAATCTTTGTCCTACCGCAAAGCGGACCAGATCTCCAGTTGCGCGAGCGTCCTCGAGGGAATCGTGGCCAGCGGCTCCTCCCATCTGGATGTCACGCTTGAGGTGGCGGTTGGTGAGCATTTTGAGGCCGAAGCGGAACGGTAAGCCTCGAGGGTGCGGGAAAAGGATGATTGTGTCGATGATGGTCGGATGGCACAGGCGGGTGGAGTTGAGATCATTTTCGATACCGTGGCCAATCAGTGGGGTAGATGGTGTGAGGAAAGAGCATAGGAGATCTCTTGCGGCGGCTGGACTTGAGACAATGGGTAGTGGGCCACCAGTGGGTCCATCAAGGACTGGAGACGTGGAAGATCCAGGTGGTGGAGGTGGCAGTAGCGCATCCATAGCGACCTTTTCCTCGTATGGCACCGCAGAGCTGTACATCTCTGGCGTCACACCTGACCAGCGAGTGTTGAGATCGAGGATGGTGCCTTGAGGACGCACGAGGACATCTACCAGGCAATGACCTTGGGGCCATGACACTGCAGTCAAGCGAATCAGCTCGAGTCCACACACAGTGTAGCCCATCTCGCAATCAAAAGTGACTGCCTTTGGGAATTTGCCATCAGGTCCTTTGGCAGGTTTGAGATTTTCTGGAGTATTGATGAAAGGCATAATCGAGGCAAGTCGCTTGCCCTCGCTGACCTTGAAGACGTGCGTCTCGCATTGTGTGCAACCCGGAGTGCCTTGAAGTTCCTGACAGCATGGATAGATGGCTTCCTTTGGCCCTTTGATAGCGTCCGTCTTTTCACGTTTGGGTGTGAATGGCTTCGCCCAATGATATCTGCATGGTCCGTTGGTCGTCAGAGCACCGTCTTCTTCTCTGCGCTCCTCGAACACTCTGAAGCGAGACTTGCAGCGATCGCATACCTCATAGTTTAGAGAGGCGGCTACGCCAGCTTTGGCTTCGGCGATGTCTTCATCAGTCGGTGGTATAGGTACGTAGCCATAGAGCGCTAGGTATGTCTGGTCGGTGATCAGGTGAGGGAGAACAATGTGCTCCGATTCCAGAGGTAAGCCAGTATCGATCGGTGGTGGCAACTTGACTTGATTTTCCTGTAGATCGGGACGGATGTTTGCGAGAACATGAGCAATCCACTCATTGACAGCCATCTTTTTCAGTGCTGCCAAACGATTTTTGATGATGTTGGCATAGACTTTGTGGTTTTCTCGTGCCGTCTTCTCCTCTTCGTCCAAAGCAACCTTTATCAACTCATCGGGCGTCATAGTCAAGGCAGTCTTCTTAGCGTGCGAAGTCTTGGCCACGTCGTTGTTCAATCGTTCCATCTGAGCATGGAGATGCTTGAGGAACAGAGTACGTTTTGCATGACCAGCAGGATCATGAGGAATCATGCGAGGGTTCAAGGACTCTCTGACAGCAGGTCTGGCAGAGGCTGTTTTGGATGATGCGGTCGGTGGTTTAGGAGGAGGGCTTACTGGCCTCTGTAGAGTCTCAGGTATCTTAGGTGTGACTGCAGCTGGTGTCGTCGGTTTTTGTTGGTTGACGGTAGCAGAGCTATGGGTTGCATGACCATTGGCTGCGTTACCAGACGAGACAGTGACACAAGGGGCAGGCACTTTTGCGGGCTCTTCAGTGTCTTCAGGCAATTTTCGTTTCTTGCTTGTGCTTTGTTCAGACACAGCGACGGCTTGTGGTCGTAACTCATGAGAAAAGATGCAATGAATTATGTTGCATCTCTCGCCTTCGGGACATGGTATGCCCTTGAACAGACCAGTGGTTGAGAACATGGTGTGTCAATTACTGCCAAACAAAGGCGAACGGGCTTGTGTGCAAAAGAATTTAGTGGCTTAAACACACTTGATGGATGCGTACATGATTACCTGAATGGAGTGAGTGCGAAATGGTTCAAAGCATGACCAGGTTAGGAAAGTGGTCAGTGAACAAGAAGTTTACTTGAGAGAACTTCACAAGCCACGAGAGCGAAGCAGCGAATGCCGAGTCTTCAGGTCTTCAGACTTGGAGCGTTGGCACAAGCAGCAGTAGCTTCCTTTCGCGACACAGACGAAGTCTCTATAAGAGTAGAGAGGAATCTCTTCACTCTCCTGGGTCAACAGCTATCGAGCTCGGGATCCCTGGACAAAAGAGTAAAGTTGGGCGAGGTGGAAGCGGCAACACACGGCAACCGTGCCGTCGGTCTTTCAGACGTGCCGAGAGGCTGAACTCGCGCGTCATCATCGTCCACTCAGGGACGGAACCCAGGCAACTAAATTGTTTCTTCTACTTACATAGCACCCTTTGTATGCACTCTTGAGTCTTTCGAAGATCATGGACGCACAGCTCTCATAGCAACTCCACACAAATAGCAGTCGCGTTGAAAGATCGAGGTGACAACCTCCAAGGACTAGGCATGGCTGATCATCTGTGTATCCTGATCCACGGGTAGACTCTCCTCTTTCTCCTTACTATACTCGTGTCGCGTAGCTGACATTGCTGTCAGCCTTTGGGGCAATCCAAAGCACCTGAAGAACCTCGCCAATTCGCTCCAAGCCGAACATCCCAAAGACAAGCTACACGTTCTCGTCACCAAGAGCAACTCCAACAACTTTACCTACGATGGCATCGAACTAGGAGGCGAACGTACCACCAATGAGGTTGAGGAAGAGATCAAGACACTTGAGAAAGATGGCAAAAAGGTCACAAAGATAAGCATCGTCGGCTACTCGCTGGGCGGCCTGGTCGCGCGTTATGTTATTGGCTTGCTATATTCAAAGGGCTACTTCGATCGCATTCAGCCCGTCAACTTTACTACATTTGCAACGCCACATCTTGGTGTACGCTCTCCTCTGCTCGGTCCGCACAACTATCTCTGGAACGTTTTGGGTGCCCGTACCTTGAGCACCTCTGGTCGCCAACTCTTTACCGTCGATTCGTTCCGCGACACAGGTCGTCCGCTTCTGACCGTCATGGCAGACCCTAGCAGTGTCTTCATCCGAGGTCTGGCCAAGTTCAAACATCGTACGCTGTACTGCAACATCATCAACGATCGCAGCGTTGTATACTATACCAGTTGTATCACATACAAGGATCCCTTTGTCAATCTTGATGCTGTCGAACTGCAACCATTACCTGGCTACGATGGTGTTTTGCTACGGCCCGATGAGCCTGTACGCCCAAAGCCTCGAGTCCCGCTCGGATTCTGGGCCCGTGTGAGAGCTACAAGCTGGTCTACTCTCACAGCTGTTCCATTTTATTTCCTGCTCGCCATTCTCATTCCCGTCGGCAGCGTACTTTTCCTCATTAATAGTGGCATCCAACATATTCGATCTGCCCAACGTGTTCGCCTACACGAGTCTGGTGGCGCGGCTTTTGGGATTGAGCGGTACAGGGCCAATCCGCTCCTTGAAGAGGCCCAGAATCTCGAGGAGCGCGTTTATAGACGTCTCAACACAGACCAAGGACAAGACTTCCTACCTACGCCGCCGTCGGAGGATGATGAGCGCTTCTCCAAGGCCGAGCACACTGGTGGCCAGTTCAAGGGACAGGAGAAATTCCCTACGCTTGCACTCACGTCGGATCAATTTTACATGATCCAAGGATTGGATGATGTGGGCTTCACGAAATATCCAGTGTACATTAGCAAGGTCCGCCATACTCACGCAGCCATCGTCGTAAGGACCAATCGCTGGGGCTTTGGTGAAGGCAAGATTGTCGTTGGGCATTGGGTTAAGCATTTTGAGGTTTAGAGATAGTGCGCGTCTTGAGATTTTAGAGTCCTTTGTTCTAGATGGTCCTTGTTAGACTTTGCAATACTGCTACTTCTCAAGTATATGTGTTGAAAACATCGTTGTAGTCAAAAGTAGACACCCTAACCTGCTGCGTGGTAAGCCAAAGACAACTGGAAACAGGCAGGGATCCCTTCACACGATAGCGGTGGTGGATGCCGAGCTAAAGCGGCCGCCGACTGGCGGTCAGCGCTCAACAAGGCTGTATACCTCATGAGTCTTTATCGTGAGACAAATTCTGCTTCTCGATCAACAACTATCCACAGGCACACAAACAATCAGTGCAACCACCAAGATGACGATAGAAGGAGACTCTCCCGGACCCGTTGACGCTAAACGCCCCGTTGTCGGCACTAGCGGGCCGAGCCGTGTGTGGGTGCGCTCGGGCTCACGCGTGCTTTATTCTCCATTCCAGTATCGCAAGCGAAACTCACAGCCTTCAGACTCCTCTTCAAACAGTGCGTCAGGAGACGTTCCCGAGGACAACGAGGACGAGGACGAAGACGAGAACGAGGACGAAGAAGAGTTCTATACGCCTGATCAGGGATACAGTCTGGACATGGACATGTACTCTTCCGACATGCGCGGCTACAGCGGCGACAGCCACATGAGCTCTGAAGTTGACGACGACATGGACTTCTATGCAGTTGAGTCGTCTCAGCCACCAGTCACGGTCGACGCAGTGAGATCTCCTACGCTTTCTCTCCTCGCATGGTACATTGGTCAGTCGCTGATTCAAGCTCTCACAGCCATCTACACCTGCATCGACCACGATGGGTAATGCAATGCGCACAACACAGAGACCCGACGGCCCTACCACTCCCGTCAATCCTACCGTCAAAGTCAACACTGCCAAGCTCCACGAACTGCGCGCAAAGCTGCTTGCCAACCGTCAGGCAACCCCTGTCAAGGACGCCTTGAATCCCATCAACAACACCAATGCTGTCCCCGTCAAGACAGAGTCACAATCCCGACCTCAGAGCCCTGCCGTCAACCCGAACCCTACTCTGTTGAATACCAAGCCTCTCGTTCAGCCACATCATCCTAAGAACAACAGACCGACTGCTGCCTCGATGCTCAGCCAGTCCAACTCGGTTGATGCTCTCTTGGCCGAAGGCCATGCAACTGCTATAATCTCACAACCTGAGACCAAGACCCAACAGAAAACTGCCCCAATGGAGCAGCTCAACACAAGTGACCCTGCATACAAGCCTGCCGCCGGGACCAATCTTGATGCAACCAAGCCAGTCAAGTCACCCGCTGTCTCTCATACTCAATTCAATACTGCTGAACAGACTATCGCAAACAGCGATAAGTCGTCGTCGACTGTCAAATCGCCAGACCTTTCTAACCATCAAAAGAACAAGCCCATCACTCTGACCAGCCAGAAGACTAATCTCGCTTCTCTTGTGCCCGGACAACAGCCTCCCAAGGACAAGCCCGTTGACATGAATGCTGATCAAGACGCCATTGCAACGAAATCCATGAGATCCGTGTCCAATGGACCCATGCACAAGCACAATCCGGATTTGATGGCTGAACTTCCTAAGGATTCAGAGGATGAGTATTTCAAGGACGTCGATCTTTGGCTTCAGATCACTGGCTTCCACGACACTTCGTTCCGCGAACAAAAGCTCAAGACCTACAAGATGCGTGCTGTGCTTGAAGAAAAGAAACGTGCTCTGGAGCGTGAATTTGCAGAGCTTGAACGTCAAGAGGCTGCTGCGGCTAACGACCCTAGCACCAAGGACTACACGCGTGCTGTCTCGGCTGTCTTTATGCTACCTCCACCTCTCCCTGCTGTGGTTTCGACAGACGAGCAGTCCGCTCCCGTTCCCAAGGCCAGTCCCACACCTTCTCACCCTGCCTCTGCTGGAGCCAAGCGTCCTCGCTCGCCGTCTTTCCTAGTGAACAACAATCGTGAGAAGTTGAGCCGTTTGAACACCTCTGATCGTGCTGTGCCCAGAGATGACTTGTTCGACAAGCCTCTGTCCGCCAGTGCTTCCAGACGTGATTCCGATCAGAGGTAAAGTGACATGCGCAACTATGCAGATTGAAGGAGGGCTTGCCGGAGTCTAGCTAACCCTATGACAGATCTCACTATACCACTGACAGATCAGACCATCGCCAACGCTCTGCTTTTGACGCTTCTCCTGCCCACCAGTCCATCTCTGTTCGTGGTCAGGCCTTCCGTCCTAATGACAACGGCGTCAACCGTCGCGAATCCTGGACTCCCAGATCTCCTGAACACTGGTCTGCACGTTCCCATGGATGGAACACTTCGTTCTCTGATGTCAACGAGCAGCCCATCGGCCAAGGTGGCTTCTCTAACAACAAATGTGGGTACAAGTCTTCCAACCCCAGAGACAGATACAACAGATAAACCTGTTTCAGATCTGCTCTTGCACAAATACACAACTCATTTGAACACTCGGCGGTTATTGGGAAGATCTAAAAGGGTTCTTCCGGCATGATTAGCATTTTTGATAGCAAGGAGTTTTGGGGATATTCAACACATGCCCAACACGAATAAATGCTTTTCTGTTTTACCCATCTTGATATTATTACCTACCGTCACATTGTTCCATTGCTGAAAAGAAGCACACGTGCATTCAGAGCATACTCGCTAACTTGGATACTCAAGCAGCCGTTCAAGAACGATTCTTTATCATTAAGTCGTGGAACATGCAAAATGTTACTGAAGCGCAAAGAGATGGCGTCTGGGCAACCCAGGAGAAAAATACACGGCTGTTTACTGATGCCTTCCATACTTGTCGCTCAGTGGTACTGCTCTTCAGCGTCAACAAGAGCATGGCCTTCCAGGGGGCTGTAAGCAAACCTCTCTTCATCTGACGTTATGTACTTCTAACACAATCGCTTTCCAGGCCGTCATGACGAGCCCACCCTCCCCAAGCGTTCCCCAACCAGGCTTCTGCAAGAAACTAAAATGGCCTTGCTCACCACCATTCCGCATTCGTTGGATCTGCACCACGTCGGTCCACTTCAAATTCGTGGGTCACCTCAGAAACACGATGAATCTTGGCGAAGACGGCCAGCCGCATGCTGTGCTTGTTGGGAAAGATGGACAGGAAGTTGACAAGTCAGCTGGCGAGGGGGTCGTGAAGATCTTGAGACAGAGCGATCTGGAGGCCAAGGGAGAGGATGACAGACCTTGAGAGGCTGGGACCATTGACGACCTTTGGCGATGATTCGAAGCGTCTTGCTAATGCGTAGAGCTTTGCTTGAGACATGAGCTTGAGAGCCAAGGTGTACGCACGACAATCGAGTGAGTTGTGTTTATGTAAATATATATGTATGCTGTTCATAATTTTATAGACGCACTAGTAGTTTCCAAAAACAAAAAAGAAAAAAATGATGTCAAGCCGACGTTCTCTCGCTTGACGCGGGTTTCAGCCAGCTTGGTCGTGATTCTTGAGCATGCATCAACCGTTACAGCATCCCATTGGCATTTGAATATGATGAGTATTGCTCATGAGCCTTTCATCGCACAACTTCAATCTATCTGCTGCTTCTAAGCCCAGTCCCATAGAAGGGAACAGGCTCAGTCTCAAAGAGCAGGACAGACTAAACGAAGCTGCGAAAGTACGCGTTGCAAAGATCTTAGGCGTAACACGGAATATGATCGATCTCACAGACGACGAGCCTCCGAAGAAAATGGCCCGTCTTGAGAACAACAGTCGTACGGAATTTAGACACAGTAACCCTCCATCTCATCGTCCGCGCCTCTCGGATCGTCCGCCTATTCCTGGCACTGCTATCCAAAGCGATACGCAAGGTCTCGTTATTTATCAGGCTCCGAACCAAATCAACAATCCTTATGCCAGTCCTCAAACAATGCAAGCACAAGGTTTTGATCCTCTGGCTCCAAATCAACACAGTGCCCCTTATATGAGCCCCCAGGTTGTTCAGACGCAAGGGCCCAATACTATGGCTCCTCCATCAACAGACCTCGCTCACCCTGTCGATCTGCTCAACAACATATCTCTATCAGTCGCCTCGTTGGAACTATTTCAGCTACAGCAGATTCTGTCCACGGCAGCACTGAGACATCCAGACGTGTTGGAACACCTTCGCACCTCTTTTAGGATCCAGGAGACGGATAGAAGCACTGCACACCAAGCGCTGTTTGATCTCTTGCGCGTACAGTCGCAAGGAGAAATCCGGGTTGCGAGACTACAGGATGAGCGTTCGAGAAAAGGTTTCATGTACACTGCTAGTCCTTATGGGCCACCATCGCATGAAGTTGCTGGTGCCCCAGCGTATGCTGCTAGCTCTTATGGTCCATCGCCGCCTAATGCTTCTGTACCATCGCATTATCCTGCTTCCGTTGCTATTGTACCAACACAAGCACATCATCCAGCATCCAGCCATGCAGACTTCCCGCCTCAGGTAGTGCCAACCAACCGAAGATAACGTCGTCGTTCTGAGATTCTCAGACTGCGTTCGCTCCAGAATCGCTCTCAGGAGCCTCCGCCGGATGTGAATTAAAGCAAACACCAGACTTCTAGGATCCAGTCTCAGAGCTACATTTCAGGTCATCAACTTCCACCATGCAATCGACAAGCTCTCCGCATCCCGAGAGCCAACGGCAGAGACCGCCGGACTCGACACTCCGAGGTCATTGTGCAATGCTGCGATTGACGTTGCACGACTAGCAGATCCAAGTGTCAAGGCAAGTCTGAAGCAGGATAAGTTGTTTATACAAGCTTGTTGGCGAGCGTACAGCACAATCCTTAGGAATTTGTCGCAAAAAGGCTGGATGCTGTTGGGAATACTCTGCGAACGGTTTGCAGCGTCCTCTGGTTCAGACACATGTACACGTGCTATATTGTCTTTTCGTTCGTGTTCCTGTATATCACACTTCAGATGCTTATCAGCACGAGATAGATGTACTCGTCCGTGCGTTTCCGCTCGAGTCACGATCACAAGGGCAAGGAAAATGGCTCCGGACATGACGAGCAGTGACTCGTGTACATGACTCTTGATCGGAAACTTGCTCTACGTAAGAAGTGAGTAAGGGTGTGTCAGGGTTGTAGCTTCGGGATCGATGTGATTGACAGGAGTTTGGTTGATGAAGGCTGAGACCTCTTGATATGATGGCAAGACATGATGGACAGACGATCAGGTTACGGACGTAGGGGCCCTCGGTGGTGTAGTGCTTATATACTGTTCTGTCGATCTCAGATAGCAAGACAATGGTCTCGGAAGTGCTCGGATGAGCTGTCAAAGGAGTTGAAGCAATATTCACCCCCAAGCGTTATAGCGAAAGACGTGTGAGTTTGAGATCTGGGCCAAAGAAGAATGCACGAATTGCGATTGTTGAAAATGTCATTAGGGAGAGAGAGCAGCCAAAAGCATTTCTGTGGTGGTGGTGAGGGGTATAATGAACGACAAAGGAAACACAAGACACGAAGAGAAAGGTCCAGTCCATCAAACGAGATGCCTCTCTTGTGGACTCGAGGCCGCTGAGCTCTGGTCAACAGATAAACTCATGTCGGAGGGTTTGGACGTCAACTCTCGAGTTACAATGGTAGTCATGACTCTGATGCGTCCGTCTTCAGGTTCGGTGTCCACCATCGTCAGACCGTTGTCACTCTCGGCACTGGTCCGTGTCTTGTTTCTCATAGTTTCCATCTCCATCTTGTGTGACATGTCTCGTGCAGCGCCGTTTTGGGAGGCCAATCCTTGCGCCCAGTCTGCGCGTGCGGCATGCGATGTAACGGCAAACTTTGCAAAGCCGCTCGTATCGTTGTTGGTGCGTGACTTTGTTTTGGGCTTGCGGGAAGGTATGTATCGATGAGCCGAGTCCGGGTCTGAATGCGAAGAGAAGAAGCGAGGGAAGAAGCGGGATATCGTTTTGCGGAGAGTCGGTAGACAAGCGGCGACGACGGAAAAGTTGCATTCGAGGGAGGACCAGTAGGCTGCGGGAGTGTTGTCCCAGGTTACATCTGTGGAGACGGAGATGTCGTAAAGTGCTTTGAGGCGCAGGATGGATGTCAGACAGACGAAAAGACCCAGGCAGAACACGGCGATGAGGGCGTATTTTTGCTTGCGGGGTAGTCGGAGTTTGTTCAGGACGGGCACTGGCATCAAGCATATAACAACATCAGTGATGATGTTTAGAGATGCATTGGCGAACCAGACGCCTAGACGGCTCAGACAGTGGCCGCCGATGCTGTGATCCCAGAAGTATGCGACTGGCGTGCACATGAAGGCAGTACTAAAAACAGACCATAGTCCATAAACAAAGATGACTCCAATCGAACCTGTGATCATACGTTGAATCTCAGATCCAACAAAGACTCGTCGGTATTGAAGCAGGATCGAGATTTTGGTCAAGCTCAAGCTGGCTTGGTAAACAGGAACGCTGGCCCATAACGCCTTGATATGTGTCAGTACCCATTATGTCGGAAGGATCAACGGGACTTACCTTGTTTAATTGTTTCATCTCTTCAACAGATACCGATGGGTAGTGTCGACCTAGACGAGATATTAGACGACTGATGGCTTGAATAGGGTTTGTGGTGAAGCCATACCTTGCCCATGCTGCACCTCGACACAGATCAGAGCTGTAAGTGCGACGGACAGCGCGAAAGCGACTAGCACAACATAGTCCTCGGCTCCGACATTGCGAACGATCATACTCCTTGTAAAGAGTCTCAGGCCGAGAACAACAAAAGCGATAGAAGTCGAGACGATGGCTACGACGACGCATGTCAGACCTCTCGATCCATGACTTGTGTGATCGGTCGTCATTCTGGAAGCTATTTCCTATTGCCCAACTAGCTTTATGGTGCTGCTGGTAGACCAGCAATATAGAGAATCAAGATGAAGGCGGCGGAATAAAGTGTAAAGAGCGAGAGTAATTATAGTATAGGAAACGTTTAGAGTCTAGAGAGCGACAACAGGACCCCGATGCTTCGGACCCGACTCCTGAGCAGTACCGACAGGTAGATAAAACGAAGAAGAAGGCAAGAAAGGTAAAGTGAACCCCTCAAGGAAGAACGAGGGTACATATTGCCGCATATGCAGGCACCTCAGCTGCCACGAGGTGATCTACATTCGAAGGACTTACCTTGAACGGGATAGACGGCGCAACGAGACCCACGACGTGACGCCAGTAAGGATGAGCCAGTCAGTGTGGGCCTGTCTATCGAATTGGATGTAGCATGATCGATGCGACATGCTACCGTGATAGGAATGGTAGGGTACGCGGGGCTCGACTGGCAAACGGTTCGTGCACTGATTGTTCGGAAGAATGGCAACCGGGTTGGTGGTGGACGGTGCATGCTGTGGGTAAAGAGTATAGACGTTATTAGCGAGCTTCTACAGTGGACTGTAGATCAATGGCCACGGGTAATCACAATACATTGCACTGCTGCGTCAGACGTGCCGCTGTGTAATCCGGTCTTCTTTGCAGGTTGAGTTGGTGAATGTTCGCTTGCAGACTCTGACTTCAGCTCACATCGGAGACATGGCTATTCCTCTTGCTTGTTCCGCCATTTTGACCATGCAAAGGATGAATGGAAGTGGCGTATGCACCAGCATGAGTCGGCAGGATCAAGCAAACACATCATCTCTTTCAGCAACGGTCGAAGAGCTGAACACGCCCTAAAGTGGTCAGGGATCTTTGGTTGAGGTGGGCCCTGAAAAGCGGCACGGTCAGGTGTATGGCGACATTAGAACAGCCTCTGTTTAGAAAATGGCGTTTCAGAATATAGACTTTGGGCTCAAGTCAGTCATGTTGGAGACTGGCTGGCAAGCAAAGATATCATGACAGAGTGTCTGTGACACATCGAGCACAGTGCTCGAGGATGCTTGATCGACGAAAAGAAGCGACTGAGAGGAAGACATGAATCGTGGCCTACCGCGCGAGCGCAGGGACCCATAGGAAGGAAGGTGTCTCAGCTGCCGTGCCGACGGCATGAGTTGAGAGGCTTGAGATCTCGTAACATCTTGGCCAAAGACAAAGCCCTATTGTTGTGTCAGCATCCTGCATGAAGCTCAACCGCAGGAACTAATAAGACGACAGACAAATAGGTATCCATTCAGCGTGGTATAACGGTGGATTGAAACAGTTTGGGCTGGATGTGACTTGGAACCGAATCACCTCGGCAAACCATCATGTGGTGAATGACGACGACTTGAACAAGTCTTGGCAGAGCAACTTCCAAGTTGTTGCTCAGCACACGACATCAAGCAACGAACACACAGTTGCATTCTCGGGAAGGAACAACGACCATGTCACTCGAATCGCATTATCCGTCCAACTGTCCATTCTGTCGTATCAGCGAAGCCTATCCCGCATCCCCCGATACGCCCATACCCTCGAATCCCGATCCATCCCTGGTTGATCCCAATGCCTTTATCGTTCTGTCGTCTGACCATGTGCTTGCCTTTCTGGACATCCTGCCCATGACCACCGGACACGTCTTGCTTACCACCCGCGTGCATCACGAGAAACTCAATCAAGTGCCCATCGGGCCCACTGCCCAAGCCCTGGGATACTGGATGCCACTAATGTCGCGGGCACTTGCCAAGACACTCGATGTCGAAGATTGGAATGTCGTGCAGAACAACGGGATACGTGCCGCTCAGGTCGTGCCTCATGTACATTTCCACTTCATTCCCAGATACTCCGAAGGCCGCCAACCACCGTCTAAGAAGACCAAGCGTGACACGTTCGAGATCAAGAGCTGGAAAATGTTTGGCAGAGGTCAAAGAGAAGAATTGGACGAGGAAGAGGCGCTTGTGCTGGCTCAAAAGATTCGAGAAGCTCTGAAACATGAAGTCGACGCTCTGGAACAGGACACTGTCAAGCTATGAGCGAGGCTTCGAACACCTGCTAGTCCGAATATCATACGCCGAGCCACGCATAAGACAGCCCGACTGTTCTGTCTTGCAACAGCGTCATTTCAAACAATTCATTGACTATTCGAAGAGTCGAACTACAGTCCACTTTTGAGACTTGCCATCGGTCTTGGTTTTGGCATGGAGCCCCGAGCATAGGGCCATACCTGATGTACATTCTGCTGTTTCACACAGCGCCATGCTAGAAATCGGCATCGATCACACAGCGCCGTGTCGGCGAAGGTTCCTCCGCATGCCTTTCAGGAAGCTATTCTCAAGGCTCCCGGTGTGGTAAGCCACATGGGCTATAACCTGGCTCTTGATGCCATTCACATGATAGGCCACTCTCAAAATCTGGCGCAAGCCGCATTTTGGAGCACAACCATGCAGAACACGAGCTGACTCAGTCGATGGCGGTACAAAGCTTGAAGTGGCAGTCAAGAAACACTGAAGGAAAAATGCAAAATCGAGTTTTCGGACTCTATCTACTCTGACAGCAACTCCTCCAAAACTTCGGCAGTCGTGCGTCTGGGAGCGTACAACTCGAGAATCTCCTTGCTCGTGGCTGCAGCCCTACAGGTCACATCCTCGCGGGCATCTCCAGCGTGTTTGATCGACAAGATGACATTTTTCGAATGCGGCCCTTTGGCCATTTCTTCGATGAAGGACATGTCTTTGAAAACAACCTTGTCCTCTTCCACCTTGGTTCCAATATGTTCTTCGACCAGCTTAACAAGCTTATTCCCAGAGAAGTCTTCAGGGCCATTCACGATATATTTCTTATTGTTGTGGGATGCGACGTCTTCCTGAGCAAGGAGGTGACCGGCAACAATGCCGACCTCGCCAGAGTCAACCAGAGCATAAGGAACATCTGCGTCGATCATTGTCGACAAGGTGCCTTGTTTACCAGTCTTGCGGAAGTTCTTGATAAACTCGACAGTAGAACCCAGGAACATGGGGATGAAGCCTTGAGGATGAAGGGATGTCCAAGCCAGGTCCTTGAATTCGGGCTGGCTGAGCATCTGCTCAATGGCCCAGTGAGTGCGAGGGTAGTAGGCCTTGAAGTCAGGTCTGACGTTGGGGTGTGTGGTCGAGATGCGAACGGCGTACTTGACACCAGCATGCAAGCAATTGACGTAGAACTGCCCTTCCTCGGCGAATTGTTGTGGTTCATTGTGGGAGGCGACAAAAACACGTTCGACGTTGTGCTCCTTCAGCCAGGCATCGTCGATTTCAACCCAGTTCTGCTCGACGATTTCGACAGCAGGGATTTGAGCGAGCTTCTTGGCCGCATCACTGGATGCTGAACGGGTGAGGCAGAGGATGCGATGGTTGGATAGAGAGGATGATTGCTTGATAAGCTGGGGCAGTGTCTCTACAACTTTTCTGCCTGTGTTGCCAGTTGCGCCGACGACGAGGATTGTGGGGGCCATCTTTTGGGAGAGAATAGAGAATGAGATCAAGATTAATTTCAATTGAGAAGTGATGCAGAAAGAAGAATGAACAGACTTGCCTTTCGAGCTACCTATATATATATGCACAATACAGTTTCCAACGTCAACTTGAAGCTTTGAAATCAGATGACGAGAGCAAGAATGTTGGATAGGATGGGCATCCAGCTCCGATATATAAGGAGTCTCGGAAGCAAGGCCGGGCCCCGGAATGGCAGGATCCCGTGCGGGCTGGGCGAGCTCTGAACCTCGATGTGGAAGCTGGAGAGAATTGACCTTTAACCAGCATGGAGACTTGCACATTTGCTCCTCGACAAGAGGATGTACAATGTGTTTCGGTTTTCGTTTGACTTCGTTCCATGCCGTATACTATACTCATAAGTCAGACGCTAGCTGTTATCGCATCAGTTGCCTTTGCTTGTCGAGTAGATACCAAGATGCGTACTTGTAGTTTCTCACTCAATGTTCAAGGAGTGTGACGAAGGTGAGTAAAGTCAACATCATGACTCAAATGGACTAATCATCATTTCTCTTCATGCTGGAGTATCATCCCTATCTCACAATAGAAACACAACCGCCAAAACAAAAAAAAACAGCTCTCCATGTTCGCAAGCTTGCTTCCCTCAAGACATGAGACCTGATGGGTTTGGTGTCACTTGTCTGCGGCCATTGCTCGTCTTGTTTCTCTTCTTTGCCATAGAGCCCATCTCACTTTTCGCTTGGGCAAGCTCAACACTCGGGTCGTGCGATGTGATAGACTCCAAAGGTCCACAAATTTTTTATGCGTATACCGTGACTGTGGAAGAGAGGAAGGATTTGCTTTGAGAAGTTGTTCTCTACTTCCTGGTAGTCGGATCTTCTTGCGACAGCATGCGACAACGAGATTTGCTTGTGTGATCTTGTAAGTGAGGTTGTTGCTTGATCCAAGCCACGACGACGCTCTTTGCTTCTGGTTGACAGCATCACAACACACCAGTCTCCTTCTTCTTCTCAAAATCCACGTCAAGAACATCCGCCTCTCCCTCTGGTTCCTTGCACAACACAACCCTCACAGTATGACCATTCTTCAATCCAATCTATATTCCGCTCAATCAACCTCTTCACTCTCAATCTTTCGAACCCTCTCCACTTACCTCATCAGGGGATTGCTTGGGTTGCAGCCATCTCTGAGTTTCTTCCCACCACCAGCCTTGGCCTCCTGCCATGATGTTGCCGAATGATTGTCTGGTGCGGATGTACTCCCAGGTCGTGTCGAATTCAGTGCTGGAGAGTGGGTCGGTGTTGGGACTGAGGATGCGGATTGTGATGAAGGTGCCGAGGGGATGTTGAGGGTAAGGGTCTTGAGGGGAAGGAGGCATGGTGTGGTCTTCTTCGGTGCGGTCGGTCACGTGGAGGATGTATGCGTCGTTGCTCATTGGCAGGGGATGGGTTGGAGTGGATGCTGCTGAGGTGATTTGGGATGGGGGGATGATGGTGGTGTAAGGGCTGGTGATATGGAAGTTATATGGACTGCAAGACAAAGAGCTTGAGCAGATGGCCATCTTGAACTGACAAACATTGTATAGAGAAGCTCACATCTGGCTCTGCATGTATGGAGTCTTTGTCATCGCGGTTTGCCCACGGTCAAACATATCTCTAGCCATAAAGAGCTAGTTTGGGTCGCTACAAACATACCTATCAAACTCCAGTGCATCGGAACTCATTGCTACATCTAAACTCACCGCCAGACAAAGAAGCAAGACATATGGAGGTCAAAGGTATAAGCAAGACTCCTGTTCTTGTATGACCGTACTCTAAACCCTGCTGACTGCCACACCAACATCCCGGCCCTTCAAACTATCTCCGTCCCCATGCTCAGAAGCAGCATCTTCACTCTCCTCCTGCACCGCATCCCCATGCAAAGTCTCCGCGAACAGCTTCCTCTTCGGCATCAGATACCTAACATCCACAAACCTCAACACACAAGTCATGCATATGACAACAAGCCACAAACTCAACGCAGTCTGCCATCCACATCTATAATACGGTGCTTCCTTGGCCGGCCAAATCAGAATTCCACTCCATGCTGACACTGCATAGTAGCCAGCCACGCTAGTGCCTACAATCAGTGATCTAGCTTCAGGATCTTGGGGTATCAGTTCTGATAGCCAGGAAAAGATTAGTGGTGCCGTGCCCAAGGAGAGGTGGGAGATGAAGTAGCTGGCATAGGCGGCTGAGATGGGTACGCTAGAGGGGTTGCGTGTCCAGAGTGTCATTGTGATGGCGGGGATCAGGCCGATGAGAGATTGGGCGATGATGAGGGTGTGACGGGTGCGGAGTGTATCGGAGAGGATGGCCCAGATCCAGACGAAGGCTACGGCGATACCGCCACCCGCGATGGGTATGACGTTGATTTCTTCAGTGGACCTTTGTGATCGTGTCAGCGTGGTTGTGTTCCGGATATGAAGACGGAGGTGACTTACCATCGCTTTGAGCCATCCGGGTTGGTGAGGGACTTCAAAAAGAGATTGAAGTATTGGTAGCCTCCTTGAGCGTGCACAGTGGCAATGTATAATGCTGCGATAAAGTACAATGTCCAGCCGGAGAATGCACGCTTGGTCCCAGCCCAGGACAACTTCTTTGGTTCAGCTCTTCCGTGACGAGCTAGTCGCTCCATGGCAAGCTCCTGGTCAATCTTCTTGAACCAGAACGCCCTAGGGTTGGGATTGTTGGGTACATCCGGCAGCATGAAGAATCCTAGGATACCCCAGACCACAGTCATGATGGCATCTGGAGATTTGTCAACACCTGCACACCTCTGGATAGGAGCATAATCAACTTACTAATCACAAAGAGCCATCGCCAACCAGACAGCCCTTTACCTTCCAGAGTAGCAATAATAGCAGCCTGTAACGCACCAGACATCATGTACCCCAACGTCTGACAAGACTGATAGAATCCCATCCTCTTCGCAAGCTCCATAGGCGTATACCAATGCATAAGCAAAGTCATCATACCAGGCCATGCACTACTCTCACACAGCCCAAGAAAGACTCTCAGTACATAAACATGTTTTGCGCTCTTTGCCAGTGCCATGAACCCTGTGATGACGCCCCAGGTGATTTCTAGACCAGTGAGCCAGTAGCTGGGTCTTACGTAGGTCATGATTGCTTGTGAGGGAATGAGCATGAGACAGTAGGCGATGTTGAAGTATGTGGTGAAGTAGTTGAGTTCATTGCCGTAGAGGTTCAAGTCTTCTTCCATGCCTGAGACGTATGCATTGTTGATGTTCTGTTGATCCAAGTATCTGGCAAGAGAATCAGCATTCTTATACTTTGACCTCTAAGAGCGCGGGTATTACTTGATGACTTGACTGATACATCCGAATGTCAGAAGAAACATGTCTAGTCTTCGGACCAAGGCCTTCTCTTCTGAAGACCGATGCTCCAGGTGGATAGCTGGCTTGGCCTTCCTGAATATAGATGATAAGCCCATGGTGTTCATGCCAGTAATTGTGACCGAGTATGATGAGGAAAGACACCGGATGTAAGTGCAACAGTGATCAGAGAGATGTTATGAACCTTTTGAGCAGAGCATTACCATGCCGTCTGGAAGACTGCAGCAAAGGAGTGATAGGCGAAGCATCCTCTCCGCCACATGGATCCTGATAAGACATGACTATCCTTGTGATACCGCATCTCACTCCGGCGAGGTTACTCCGCTCAGTGGTAGCCGGTTGCTTCTGCGGTATCGGTGTATCGGAGTAGTAACAATAGAGAGGGGTTTGTTGCATGATGGAGGTTAAGCATGTCTTGGCAGGTGCGATCCCCACCAATCAACCTTTATCATCGACAGCAGATCTTCCTTCGAGTTGTTCGGCCACCGGGCAAGAGAAGATAGGCAATTGATAGAACAAGAGTTGGCCGCTGTAGCCGATTGAGGAGTCACGAGACTGTAGAAGAAACTCCTTGACATCGAGAAGCGAGTAAATGCCAGCAACATCCGGAGTCAAAGATAAACCAACTATCATCTGGACCTCTATCACTAAGCAGTCGAGCTTTCCAAGTTCACCAAGCTTGGTAAGATGCCATCCGCACAGCCTGCAACACCTCCTGCCACACCTCCCGGGTTGGAGCCTTCTTTGCCTCTGCCTTCACCATGTCTATCGTACTGGCACAGAACAACTCGCGGTTTCCCTCATCTCAACGCCAACGAGAACAACCCTACACCAGAGACAGCCGACTACATTATCATCGGCTCAGGAATCTCAGGCGCCTTGATAGCCTTCTCCCTAATCTCCTCCGGCGTCCCCGGTAACGAAATCGTCATTCTCGAAGCTAGAGAAGCAGTCTCGGGAGCATCAGGCAGAAACGCTGGCCACGTTCGCCCTGACGCCTTTCGAGGCTATGCTGCATACGCTGCTGTCCACGGACCCGAGCAAGCGAAGAAAATCATTGTAGAGGAGAGGAAAGTGTTGCACGCTGTTGATGAGTTTGTGCGAAAGTACAATGTTCCTTGCGATTTCGATCTCACAACTACCTTTGATGTGTGTTTGACGCCGGAGTTTGCTGCCTACGAGGCGAAGAGCTTCGAGGCGTATAAAGCGGCTGGTGGAGATGTGTCGCATGTGCAGTTTCATGATGGCGATGAGGCGAAGAGAAGGACAAGGGTTCCTGAGGCTGTTGCTGCGTATGAGTGGCCTGCGGGATCTAGTCATCCTGCCAAGTTGGCTCAGTGGCTGTTAGGCAGTGTCATTGACAAAGGTGCACAGCTGTGGACACACTGTCCTGCGATCGCGGTGATGGAGTCGGAGCATTCAGAGTATCGATGGGATGTGCGAACACCTCGAGGAACCATTGCGACCCAAAAGGTTGTGCACAGCACCAATGCTTATGCTGCAGCATTGCTTCCTCACCTCAATGGCTACATCACGCCAAATCGGGCACAAGCACATTCGCTCGTACCTACTTCTGCCTTTAGTGCTAAGAACGCTTTTGCCAGCACAATGTCGCTCAGATACAGCCTGCATCATTTTTACTCAATCATCCAGCGAAAGGGCGACGGAACCATTGTTCTCGGCGTCTCTAGGTCGAATCCTGAACTCAGTGCAGAAACATTGGCGATACGAGAAAGTTTTGATGATGGTGCTTTCAACCAGGAGATTGTTGATGATGCATTGAAGCGCTTCAATATCATGTTTTCAAGAGATGGCGCAGAGAGTGAGCGTCATGGCGAAGGCCTTGACCACGCGTGGACAGGCATCATCGGCATGACACCCGATTCAGTGCCTTATGTGGGCGCTATCGAGGAGCTGCCAGGACAATATATCTGTGCTGGGTTCAATGGACATGGGTAAGTGATTGTGATTCCTGCTAGGAAAACAGCTGCTGACAAAGTCAAGAATGGCGAGAATCTTCACTTGTGCGCCGGGGTTGGCCAAACTGATGCTGGGTGGATCATGGGAAGACACGGGACTGCCAGAGTGCTTCCAATATGGCAAGAATAGATTGGTAAAGGCTGTGCGCAAGGGCCAGAAGGGTAGTGTCTGGTAGCTCAGGCAATGAGCAAGACCCGAACAGAATATTTCGGCGTCGCTAAATTGCATTCCTTTGCCTTTTCCATGCTCAATTAGTGATACCATATTAGATCTCTAGCGCAGGAAATAGCAGTCAGCCTCAAGTCAACCGGCCTCTCGTTTTCGCACGGCACGCGCTGTACTTGTAAGGTGTCAATGGCTGAGTTTGGAAAGTCATGATGTGTATTGATCAAGGGAAAGCGCTTTGTAAATTGGTATTTTGTACAAGGAAACAAGCAGAGTCGAGCGATTTAGCTGTGCTTCTGGGTCTTGGGGGTGTGGGTATCGCGCTCGTAGTAGGCCCATTGGCCCTGGTTGGGCGACTCCTCGAGGTCCTCCCAGACTTTGCTCTTGTACATTTCGTCAACGAGGGCGGTCTCGGCCTCTGCGACCAGGATAATCTCCTCAATCAGGCCAGCCTGGATCTGTTGCTCGATGTGGTTGACCCTAGGGAGCAGGTTAGCGGGGCGGTCTTGAAGGCGAGAAATAGCGACTCACTGCTCTGCGGAAAGAGCCGGCTCAGGCTCGATACGAGGAATAGTCTCATTGTCTGCTCGGGGATCTGCCAAGAAGGAAGACTCCTGGTGGGCCTTTTGCGAACGGACTCTGGGGCCTTCGGGCTCCTGCTTCTGGATGGGTTCATCCTCGTATTCCTCAGTCTGCATACCCTTAAGAGCGGTCTCGTTGTAGACAATGTTGACCTCGTTCTTGCTGTTGGATGAAGCGATTGAGCGGAAGGCGTTGGGGTGTGCTTCGACGACGGACTTGACGCGAGCTTGCCATTCCTCCAGACCCTCAGGCTTGACGGACTCGACGATTGACAGACGGTGCTTGGTGAGAGCCTCGACGGATTGGCGGTAGACGGAGTGTTCGGGAAACTGCTTCAGCTTGTCCAGGGTCGAGTTGTAGAGGTAGAGGAGGGTGGAGCGAGGGGCGGCATGGGTCAAGACACCAGTCAGACCAGTAGGGGCGCCAGGGGTGAGGAAGCGCGAGGCCTGCGCGAGCAATCGGGTGGAGGGTCTCATTGTGGCGTGGTGGATGTGTGTGATGTCGATTCCAATTGACAATCAGTGACGCCCGCGATTCGAACTGCTGCTCGGCCAATTGCTGACCACCGAGAGCAAACAGCGCAAACAGTCGAGAGCAGCGCCAAGCGGCCTCCGCAAGTCTGGCCTAAGCATCGAGCATGGAGCATGCGTCTCTCCTTATTATTGACTTTGAAGCTTCGATGCTCTGACCTGCATTTCATTGCTGTCGCATTTGCCTGTCGCTCTTTTACCTGACACTTGGTTCCTTCTGGATACTGGCGTGACCCCACAAAGCTCAGCAGATAGATCTATCCTGCTGCTACAAATCTTCCCTGCTCTCCCGCCTACCCCGGCCTAGAGCGCCTGTGCGCCTCCCTCCATTATGCGATCGCTATTGCTATCGCCTTTGATTGCCTTGTCGTTGGCCGCTTCCGTCTTTGCTGCTCCTCCGGTCAAGAATGATGCGCCCGCCCTTCCGCCCGCCAACTTTGCCCGCGATGCCGCCCTGAATGCTGCAAGAGATGCCCCCGACGCTCCAGCATCGCCTGCAAAGGATCCCGAAGTCAAGGGCGAAACGAAAAAGGCCCCTGTGACCGATGGCGCCGATGCTGGTCCTAAGGGAACTGTCTTCAATGGTGTCGACGTCCCTCCGATCACCGAGCTCAGCGGCACCACATTCGATAAGGACATTGAAAAAGGAACGTGGCTGGTTGAGTTCTTCTCGCCCTACTGCCACCATTGCAAGGCTTTTGCACCCACATGGCAGACTTTACACGAATTTTACTACACCTCGGACCCTCTCCCTGCCTCCAACAAGGATTCGCCCGACTCTCTCAATTCTTTCACCCGCTACTACGATTTCAAGTTTGCCAAGCTCGACTGTGTCGCCTTTGGCTCAAAATGTGGCGATCACAACGTAAACTCCTACCCTTCCGTTGTTCAGTTCAAGGACGGTAAAGAGGTGGCCCGCAAGGTTGGTGCTTTGGACATTAAAGAGGAGGCCAAGTGGATCGAAAGTATGCTTGAGACCATCAAGCCCGGTTCAAGACAAAAGGACGGTCCCAAGCTTCCCAAGGTTGGAGCTTCGTCTTCGCCAGACTTCAAGGGTGCCGCTGTCGTTGGCCCTGCTAAGGAAGCAGATGCCATCGCTGAAGCCACCAAGTCTACTACTTCCGTTACCCCTACCAAATCTCTGCTCAAGGCCACCAAGATCGCAAAGGAGACTCCCAACCCCGCTGGGACTTCTGTCCCTCTGACTGCCGAAAGCTTCCAACAAAAGGTTACGACCACCCACGACCCCTGGTTCATCAAGTTCTACGCACCTTGGTGCCATCACTGTCAAGCCATGGCTCCTAGCTGGCACGCCATGGCACGCGACATGAAGGGCAAATTGAACGTCGGCGAGGTCAACTGCGAGGTTGAGCGTCGTTTGTGTAAGGACGTCAACGTCAAGGGCTACCCCACCTTGATCTACTTTCAGGCTGGTGAGCGTATCGAGTATGAAGGTCTGCGCGGTCTTGGTGACCTCATTAGCTACGCAAACAAGGCTGTCTCGGCCGGTGATGGTGTTGTTGACGTTGACGCTGCTGCATTCGAAGCTCTCGAGGAGAACGAAGAGGTTATTTTCCTCTACTTCTACGATCACGCGACCACTAGCGAGGACTTCCAAGCTCTGGAGCGATTGTTGCTGAGCCTGATCGGCCACGCCAAATTGGTCAAGACCCAGGACCCAGCTCTTGCCGCTAGATACAAGATCTCCACCTGGCCTCGTTTGATTGTGTCTAGGGATGGCAAGCCGACTTACTACACACCTCTGTCTCCCAGAGATATGCGCGACTTCCGCAAGGTTTTGGGCTGGATGCAAGCCAACTGGCTTCCTATTGTGCCTGAGTTGACATCTTCGAACGCCCGCGATATCATGGACCACAGACTGGTCGTTCTGGCCATTCTGAGCCGGGAGCGCAAGGAGGACTTCGTCATCGCAAAACGCGAACTCAAGAGCGCCGCCCTTGAATGGATTGATAAGGAGATTCAGGCCTTCCAACTCGAGAGACAGGAGCTCCGTGATGCAAAGCAACTGCGTATCGAAGAGGCCGAGGACCGTAACGACCAGCGGGGGCTACGAGCAGCCAAGCAAATTAGAATTGACATGAACGAGATTGACCGAAAGGAGGTTGGTTTTGCTTGGGTTGATGGTGTCTTCTGGGAACGTTGGCTGAAGACAACATTCGGCATCGATGTAAAAGACGGAGAGAAGGTGGTTATCAACGATGAAGATGTAAGTTTGACGTTATTTGATCGAGGCGACGACGCAATTACTGACTCGTGTTCTCAGAACCAACGTTACTGGGATCTCACATCAACCGGCAACCCTATTGTGCCTTCGCGTGTTTCCATCCTCGAGACACTGCCCAAAGTGGTGGCATCTCCACCAAAGATCAGCCCCAAGCACAAGAACTCGTTCTTTGGGCATTTGATTTGGACAGTGCGTAGTGGCATGTCGCATCATCCTCTCATAACACTTGGGCTGGTAATCGGACTGCTTGTTGGAGCCAGCATCTGGGGCAGAGGGCTCATCAGGAGAGGAAAAGCATTTGGCAACACAGGGTCTTTCTTTACTGTAGGAGGTAACGAGAAGGACGGGCTACTGGGAGGTGCTGCCACAGGAGGCAAGGTGGACTGAGTTGGTCAAGATTTCTGTTTCTACTTTTTTTTTTCGAAAGGATATCACCCTGTTTCGGCTCTTTGATGTTCATGTCAGCATTTGAATCAATCTAGCATTGGCGGAGAGTTGCGGAGTCGAATGCGGAGGACGGTCTTGGCGAACCCCCGAAGGTCGGCGGGCGATGCCATCTTGATGATGACTAGACACTCTGAACAGCATTCTTAGAATCTGCGCACGGCATGATGAGAGGTCAATTGCAGTGGTCCCGCGCGCAGGCGGCACGGAATGCTGTCCAATTCCATGCGCGACCAACCTTTCGCCAATTCCAACAAGTGCGCCATGCATCGAGCGAGCTCAAGAAAGAGGTCGCTCGCAACGAGATCGTCGGAGACGCACGCTCAGGTTTTACCCGCATCAAGAATCTGCTAGTCGGAACCTCGATTCTCGCCGTCCTTGGATTTGGATACCTCTACGTTACAGACACACGAGCAACCTTCCACCAATGGCTCGTCCCGCGTGTCTTGCGCACCATCTACCCCGATGCCGAAGACGCCCACAGAGCTGGCAACAAGGCCCTCAAGGCCTTATACTCTGTCGGTCTGCACCCCCGTGAAAGAGGCAACCCGGACCTGAATGGAGACTTGAAGGTCGAGGTGTTTGGACACGTCTTGGACAACCCCATTGGAACATCTGCTGGTCTGGACAAGAACGCCGATATCCCTGACGTCGTCCTGGGTTTCGGTGCTGGTATTGTTGAGGTTGGCGGTATCACCCCTAGACCACAAGAGGGCAACCCCAAGCCTCGTGTCTGGCGCATTCCTTCGCAGAACGCCGTCATCAACCGCTACGGTCTCAACTCTGAAGGTGCCGACAGTGTGGCTACTCGTCTTCGCCAGCGACTGCGCGAGTTTGCATATGCCCTCGGTCTTGGTCTTGACCCCGTCGCAGAGCAGTCTGTCTTGGATGGTCACGCTGGCGTGCCCCCTGGCAGTCAAATGCCCGGTCGCCTGCTTGCTGTTCAGGTCGCAAAGATGAAGGTCACTCCCGACAACGACATCGATGCTATTGCCCAAGACTACGTCTATTGTGTCAACCAACTTGCCAAGTACGCGGACATCCTGGTCGTCAATGTCTCGTCACCAAACACTCCTGGTTTGCGCAACTTGCAGCAGGCTGCTCCATTGACTAAGATCCTGACTGCCGTTGTCGATGCTGCACAAGCTACTGACCGCAAGACGAAGCCTGCTGTCATGGTCAAGGTCTCCCCCGACGAGGACAGCGATGAGCAAGTCAGTGGCATCTGTGGTGCTGTCTGGGCTAGCGGTGTCGACGGTATCATTGTCGGAAACACTACCAACAAGCGTCCCGACCCTCTACCCCTCGGCTACCAACTTTCTCAAAAGGAGCAGAACATCTTGCTTGAGACTGGTGGCTACTCTGGTCCCCAACTGTTCGAGCGCACCGTTGCTCTAGTCAAGAAGTACAGAACCACATTGGATAAGGGACCCAACGAGAGCAAGCCCAAATCTGAATCTGAGACCAAAGCCGAGCCCAAGAAAATTGAAGCGCCCAAGCAACCCGAAAAGTCAGAGTTTCAGCTCGAGACCGAAGCCATGAAAGCTAAGATCAGACAACAACTGCAGCAAAAGTCGGACTCGACCAAGAGCGCAGCTCCCAACAGCTTGGATGCCGAGACAAAGTCTGCCATCGAATCAAGCGTGGAACGCGATCTCAAGAACTTGAAGCCCAAGACCGAGGATGCCGACAAGGACAGCCGCAACCAATCCATCATCCAGATCCCAGACAACCACATCCCTTTCCCTGGCTCCTCCACTCCCACGACTACTCCAGCAGTAGTCACATCCTCCTCTTCGCCCATCGAATCCACCGTCTCCTCTGCCGTCTCAAAAATATCCGACTCCACCACTCCAACCTCTACATCTACCTCTTCGCATCCACCAAAGGCAAATTCCCTCAGCACACCAGCCCAACTGCCCACAAAGGAAAAAGTCATCTTTGCGACTGGTGGCATCACCAATGGCAAACAAGCTTTGGAAGTGCTGAACGCAGGTGCGAGTGTGGCTATGGTGTATACGGCTATGGTGTATGGAGGTGCAGGCACGATCACGAGGATCAAACAGGAGATGAGAGAGGAAATCCACGGAGAGGAGAAGAAGTTGCCTTCTTCGAAGCCCAGAGATGAGCGATAGGAATTGAAAGGCGAGGATCGGGAAGGAAGGATGGGGGGACAGGATTTTGTACAGTACAGAGAGTTTAGAATTTGCATCCTTTTTTCTTATGCCTTACTTTCTCGAGAAGGATCTCTTCGAGACCATGCTTTTTGCGCTGACGTAGAGTGTGGGCGATGCTCTTCAAAGCTTTACACTGGATTTCTTAATTTGCGGTTGCTTGAGATTGTGCATCCATTCTCTTGCTCAACAGCATATCTCTCGATCTTGCTCGCGTGAACGTATGTCATTCTTTTCTTCCCGACTTCGCCAACTCTGAAAACCTGGAGATCTTGACCCGCCCAGAGCGTCATGGGTGTGTTGTCATCTTTGTGGCCATCAAGTCATAATATGAAAGCTACTCTAAATGGATGTACACATCTAACCCCTTCTCACCACAATGAATGAGAACGCTTGGTCTTCCTTTGTTTGTCTTCTTACTCAACATGCACTTTTGCCCTGCCCTCCAGTCCTAACAAATCCTTCCCAAACGACACCACCCATGCAGTCGCAAACATGAGCAGCAACAACGGCGATAACACAATGCTCAATCCTTGATGCACCTTGGCATAAGGCAAATGCCCACCCCAAAACACACACAAAGCGCCATAAATCCCCCTCACCGGCCTGGTGTTCTTCAGTCTCTCAAACACAGAGTTTTCCTCCGGAGGCCCGTTATTGGTCACTTTGTCGAATACCGACGGAAGCATAGTTGCATGGTACTTTTGACGTAAAGCATCATAGTGTTCTTTGTCGTAGAGATCCCAGAATTCTGGGGCTGTGTAGAAGGCATGGGCGTATAGACATTTTAGGCCATCGAGTTCTTTGGTTTTTGCCTCGATGGCGCGGTTTGCAGCAATGAAGTCGTTGCGGTTGCGAGGGCCAGGACCCCAGACTCCTACGTTGATGACTCTAAGGCTTTCTTGCGAGTAGTGTTTTCCTTTTGGTGTGAGTGGATAGGGAGCATTGAGTTTCAAGGGACACAGCCAGAGTGGATAGAGGCTGTGCTCTTCGTCGAGATAGTCTATAAAGTCTGGTGTTGTGGCGTAGGGGAAACCGATATCTTGGACGATAAACTCGTTTGCAAGTCCTGATTTGTGGAGAGCGGTGTACATTGTCTTTGTGTGGATGAGGTCGTCGAGGAGGTAGCGGGTCAGTTTGTTGAAAGGGGCAAAGTGATACTTGAAGGCGTAGTAGCCGCCCCAGAAGGCGCCTCTGTCGAAGCGGAAAAGGTAGTCTTTGATGGGTACCACTTCTGTTACAGAACGGGAGTTTGAGGAGTGGATTCTGTGTTCGAGGATTTCTTGGGCGTGGACGTAGAACCAGGGGTCGGATCTTGAGAGGTACTTTGTGATTGGGCAGCCTGCAGTGGGCGTGTTGACCATGCGACCTGCGATGATCAGACCGCTGTTCTTGGAGAACATGATGCCGTCCAGATATTGGATCTTGTCGTCGGCCGTGTAGGACTCGATGCACTCCACTGCGCCTACAGCACTGGTGACCTCTGTGTACTCGAGCTCCATGAAGTTGCCAGCCTCGACTAGCTGAACCTCGATCTCGGTCACGACACCCAAAGTTCCGAAAGAGCCTGCTGCACCATGGTATAGATCTGAGTTCTCGGAGCGGGAAGCACGCACAATCTCTCCATTTCCCAGCACAATTTCGATGCTGTTGACAATGTTGTCGAAGACTCCATGTCTGAAAGACGAGCTCTCACCAGAAGTCCCGCTGAACCCACCACCAACAGTGATATTCTTGAACTCCATGATGACAGGAGCCACAAGTCCATATGGCAATGTGGCATCGACCAACTTCTCCATAGAGACATTTGGCTCCACAATTGCAATCCGCTTCTCGGGATCAATCTTTAATATCTCGGTGAAGTCACTGGTGGATATCATCTTCTTGTGATCTTTCTCCTGGCTTCGTGTGCTGCTTGTGCTACCGTGGAAGATCCTGAATGGTTCCTTTCGGTCATAGAAAGAGCGAACTTGAGTTGCAACCCGCTGTGTTCGCTCGATGTGAGCCTCATGGGCTCGGTAGTTTTCCGACATGCTATTGTGACTTCGGTCTGGCTTGACACAGCAGGTTTGTGTACAAGCTCCTTTCAAAGGTCGGATGATCGTTCGATTTGTATACGTCCGTTTGGAGGCTGCGAGGCCAATATGATTTTATATACGTTACTTCGATCGAGACTTTGGCGATTCGAAGAAGCGATTGGCTGTAGTGGCATAATACTGGCTTGCAAGATTGGTTGGTAAAGAATGTAGACCACGTCTTGTCTATTTGATTGAGATGGTTGGTTCCGAGTAGCCCTCGGTGATGTCAGTACTTTGGCTGTTAACAGCCGAAGCTTCCGAGCTGTCGGCAAGAGTTGATCTCAGAGCACGTTTGCAGCGAATTGGAATATGCCCATTGGCAATCGATACCTGGTGAAGAGAGTCTTCCTTCAAGCCCGCTATATCCAATGACAATAGTGTTTGAAAGAGAGAGTTCTACACTGGGATGGCGTGGTAGATTGAGAACGACACGCTTGGCACCCTGATCTGTTGAGAACGTCTGTCACATGTTAGTAACGACCAGACTTCCTTCGTGCTCCACCCATGTCCTCCATCTCGCACTTCCAGAGACCATCATCACACCACAGGATACTTCAGGCTGGGTACGCGGAACCAACTGCCTGAGTGCGTTGCGTAGAATCTCGTTGTCAGTCACTCTGTCCATGTCGTTTTTTACGCCACCGGCTGCCTGTAGAATGAGGCAGTGTGCAATCATGCCGATACATGAACATCGCAGTATCTTTTGAAATCGTTCTTCTGTCTTGATCCATGGAGGATTTCGCCGATATTGCATAAGTTCTCTTGGTATCCTGCTATTTTCAATAGTTTATCTGAAGGCACAGCCTGGCAGCGCCTCAATGTTCTCCCCTACTGATCACATGTCGTGACTTTGTCATGCATGTACATATAGCTTGACCTATAAGAACAAGAAGAGGCGCAACTCCAGGTTAGTTATCTATGAATGCGCGGCTACAATTCGCTGCTTTGCTCTTGCGAATCGAGCATACCTGCCGCGCGAGAATGCCCTTGTCAAACTGGTTGCAGACCGGTGCCGTAGCCTTGCTGACATGGGGCAAAATAGGCAATATCTCTGTCCAGCCGCCATACCATAGAACACGCGACGGAGATGCCAGATGATTTTCCTACTCCCCTTATTCTAGTACTAATGAGACACACCTGCTGGAAGAAACACATCTATCATCATGAGCCGACCTCCTACGCTTCCGGTACCGCCTTTCTCACGTTCTCGCAGCATGTCTCAATCTAGCCATCACGGCAATCTTGATGCTTCGCAAGAGCATCCTACTGTTGCTCCCCAAGAACCTCTTCTGTCTTCGACAAACATACCCTCGCAGTCGTCGTCATCTACGTATGTCTAGCTTCCCCAAAATTCATACATGATAACGAAGCTTACTGTGATGAAAAGCATACCCAAAGTTCGAACAACAACGGCCGTAGGTGACAAGAAGCACCAGGGGCGATCCTCAAATATCTCGAGGCGGCTAGAGACGACATGGTACATTGAAGCATTCTGTCTAACATGTAGCGCTGTCTGCGCAGTCCTCATCGTCGCCCTTCTCGCTGCCCATAACCACCACCGCACTGACAGTTGGCATTACTACATCTCTATCAACACAGTTGCTTCGGCGCTCGGAACTGTCTTCAAGTCAACCCTCCTCATGGCAGTTTCTGCTGCTCTTGCTCAGGGAAAGTGGACATGGTTTCGAAAGAGATCCGGCACCCTGAGCACATTCGAATCCATCAACGCTGGGAGCCACGACACAGTTGAAAGTTTCAGACTCCTATGGCGCATGAAGGGACAGTAAGTCTTCATTGATCACCTAGTTGTATATCATGTCTGACACTTGTCCCAGACATCTGGTTTCTGCAGGAGCACTTGTCGTAGCTCTCGGGTTCATAGTTGAGCCTTTCCTCCAAGCAGTCATCTCCGACTACGGACGACTCGTCGACATTGACCCATCCAATACCGGCGGCCCTAGCGCTACTATCAGCAGCTCGAGACGGTTCGACGGTGGTACCCAATGCATCTCCACTTACAAGACCAGATATCCTAAGATTGACACCACGCCTGATTTTGCCATTAGTGCTTCACTTTATGACGGACTGAACGCAGCAGGAAGCCATGGGTACCAGAACGTGTCCTTCACTTGTATATTTGGTAACTGCACGTGGCCTGAATATGTATCGATAGCTGTACGGAGTACTTGCTTTGATATCTCTAATCACTTGAAGAGGACAGATCCAGAAAACACAGGCCAAACAAAGACAACTACACCTGGAAAACCATCTCGAGCGAGTCCATCGAGCGCTACTGACTCGACGGACACTTCTGAGTCCGACGCTGCTACGGAGATGGCGATGTATCCTACCGCGGCGCCACTTACGACGGCTCTGACAGCCTTTGGTGACACATCGCCTCTTGATTCCTTGGTAGCACCAATTCGATCTACAGTGACTCGAGCGACTACAGGACTGGCTAGAAGGGCATCCTCCAGTTTTCAATCATCTTCGGCGACCCCATCACAGTCCTCAGCGATGTGGACGGATTGGACGCTGGAACATCTCGACTTAACTTTGACAAATACGAACGAACAATGGCGCAACGCAAACACTTTTGCTGTCCTCCAAGCAGCAGTAGTGGCCGATGCAAATCTCACAATCAACTTCAAGGACTCACAGACACTGCTGGCTGCGTTTACGATCATTCGGGCCGACGATGGCCACACTCCAGGTAGTGTAGACTGGGATGCTGCAGCTGCGTCCGCCACGGAGTGTGGACTCGAGTTAGTCCTCAACGTCTACAACTCTTCTGTCGTCAACAACACTCTATTCGAGCAAGTAGTGGCAAGTGTTTCGAAGAAATTACCCGAATCGTGGCTACCTTCGTCAAGTGTAAATCAGACGATGTACCATCCCTATGGACTTAAAGCTGATCCTGGTACCAATGATTCGAATCCAATCCATCATGACACATTCTTACTTCGCGACGATTACGCTTTGGATCCTGCTGGATTAAAAAGAGGCGATGTAGGCAGTTTCAATATCACGCAAAAGACTCTGCTTAGTACAGTCGACTTTTTGACGTCGTTGATCAAACAAGACAACGATAATGCAACAGTCAAAGCCGTCCAGGACAATCAGACTACACTCTATACCTACGGTAGCCCAATTCTCCAACCACTTTTCGACCAGACAAACACAACTGCGACATTCGATGCCGTAGCGAAAAGCATGAGCAACGCGATACGCAACCTGGGTACAGAACCTGTTTCGGGCACAGCAAAGCAATGGGTCAGATTCTATCAAGTCAGATGGGCTTTCTTGACTCTACCTTTGTCTTTGATCACAAGTAAGTCATAAAGCCCACACAATCACGCTTTTACGTACTAACATCTTCCTTCCAGTCGGTACCATCTTCTTCATACTCTCGATCGTAGAGGCGCACAAAGCCCACGTGCCAAGTTGGAAAGCCAACAGTATAGCTACAATGGTACATGGACCAGACGAAGCGCTTCAACGTCATCTATGAACCCAAAACCACGCTCACTCATTGGATGTAGCTAGTGAAACAATAGCTAAGCTTGAGTGGTTCCCAGAAGGATATGCCTTGACTGCTGTAGACCATCCTGCTCCAAAGATATCTCGACCTACGACACCAGTGAGAGACGAAGAAGAGCATGAGATGAATGCCCTGAGACCTGCCACTACACCTCAAACTTCTGGTTCCAATGTCACCTTGGTTGATCGACAGAGTGTTGGAGGAGCGGGACAAGGAGACAATCGATCAGTGTCGCCTATAGGTACTGGTCCTGACTGGAGTGATGTCCAGATCAACACTTCATCTACACGAATGGCAATCCAAAGGAGTTTGTGAGGTGTTCGTCAGATCAGCACATATACAGCTATTTTTGTTTGCTTTGACTAGGATTTGTTTCTGTTAGTCTATGTTCCTCAATCGGCGATTTGTATACTTCTTCTTGAACAATACATATGCGTGGACATGCCAGATATTAAGCCGAAGCCACACCTATCTGCTCATACACAATCATCTACTTGCCCCATGGTTCGAGTGCTAAACATGCAACAACCGGATCAAGACATACTCGAAAGTGATCTTCGCTCTCCTGGAGCGCTACTGCCCTACTAATGGATGGATATACTTGCCTGAGACAATAGTCACAGGTCAATATCTACTTACAGCCTTCCTACTTCCAAGCAGTCAACTCGCTCGGCACAAGACACACAGCCGAAAAAGGACAATTTATCTTGAAAAGTCTTTGATCGTGGAGAGCCATTTCGCGTATCCAAAGATAGCAAAAGACAGATGATCATCAAGGTTACCATAAATAGCATATGCCATTTCCATCGTCCCATCCTCGTCGTCCTTCCCCCTCTCGTTTGGCGTATACATGTCAAAAGATACATAACATTACACATCTACCGTCCACCATGCATGAACCCAAAGCAGTTCAAGCAGCAAACTGAAAAGACGCACATGTTAAAAGGGGGCTTACAACCTATACAAAGAAAAAGAAAGCGAGTCAGGAAGCAAGCAAGCCACAAATCTTACTGTTTTGTATCCTGCACGGCGGATAGGTATAGTTGTAACGGGGGTGGGAAGAAAAAAAGACTTTGATCTGCAAGAACGTTTACAGGAAACAATCTACTAGCATGATCGGGGGAAGATTCAAAAGGGGGTGCGTGTGAGATTCTAGAAACGGCATTCGGACGGAGGCAGTTGCGTGAAGTGATTTGCGGATTGTGGCGGTGTTGATTATGGAAGCAATGGAGAGACATAGAATGGTATCCAATGGTGTGAAGATCTATTGGTTTGTGGTAGATGGTGCTTAGATACTGGAAGGAGGAGAGGGAAGCGAAGATGGTTGCACTACAGGTGTTCTACCTGAGACAATAGAGTGTGGAGGACGCAAAGCTGATCATTCCTCCAAGGTCAAGATGTGATTGATGCTCGGGTTAATCAACAATTTCAGGTGCCCTGGAGATGGTGACAGAGACCCATGGCGTACATCAAAGATCAAGCATGCTGTGCAGGCTGATCAGGGTACTCGAGAGATGAGGAGGGGGAACGATAGATTTATGACAGGGGTAAACAGAAAGAGCACTTGGCCAAATGTGAGTGACGCGGGCTACAGGGGTTCCACGGAGAGAGCTTGAGCTTGGGCCACTCGTTCGGATGCCGGCTCTCTGTGGATTGACAGTCGTCGCGTGGGAATTGCGTATCTTTGGGAAAGACGATCGTGAGCAACGGAGACATCAATCTCTTTCACAACCCTTTCTGAATCGAGTCCCTCGTTCGCGTCAAGTCCACTTCCGCTGTCTGGCACAGGCTATGGCCCAAACGCGTGCTGGAAGTGTCGCCGGCGCCGGCGCGTCGCCGCATAGCGTCAGCTTGAAGGTGTTAAGGTAAGTTAAATGACCGCCTGGCTCTCATGCTGTATTCGACGAGACGCTTGCTGACAGGAGATTCTCTCGCGCACGCAGGTTATCACATCCATCACTGTCGCCGGCACATACGCTTCCAGGCACTGATCCCGTCGCAAAAGCGTCATTACCATATCCTGCCGCGCCAGCAGATGCGTTTCCGCTCTCACCGTTACTGGCACTACCTCCTGCTTTTGGCGCGGCCTACGTCGGCACTGTTTTCTCTTGCACCCTCTGCGCCAACAACGAATTGCCGCCCTCATCCTCTGTAGTCATACGAGACGTCCAACTAAGTGCCGAACTTCAAGTGCCGAGCGGCAGCATCGCGTTGCCGCTGGAAGGTCCAGATGCTGCACAAGAACAAGACGTCCAGCCGGCACAGACATTGCAGCGGATTGTACGGCATGAGTTGCGCGAAGACGGCCCTCACGTTCTGGCCGTCACTGTCACCTACCAGGAGACGCGAGATGACGTTACGAACAAGCGAACGTTCAGAAAACTGTATCAATTTGTCGCACAGCCTGCACTCGGTGTAAGAACAAAGGTAGGCGATCTTGCTGCCAAGAAAGACGCGCCAGACACGCACAGATTCGTGTTAGAAGCTCAACTCGAGAACCTCACCGAGAAGTCGGTCGTCTTGGAAGAAGTCACTGTTAGCACGGCCCAAGGCCTAACCAGCAGAAGTCTGAACTGGAATGAGACTGAAGACAGGCCGATATTGAACCCCCAGGATGTCATGCAAGTCGCCTTCACTCTCCAACAGATTCAGGGCGAGGAGCTGGACGAAAAGAATGGCAGAACGATCCTCGCGCAGCTACATGTCGACTGGAGAAGCCCAATGGGGGAAGAGGGCAGCTTGACAACAGGCTGGCTGGCCAGTAGAGCCAAGTGATGACGATGAACCATTGGGTTGATTGTTTGATTAACACTCGAAGTTTATTTGCATCATACTCAGCGCGTTAGATGGATGAGACGTCGGGAGGGGCGTGGTTGACTCAATCCTCGGAGTGCTACAAAATTTGTCTCAGCCGACCAGGGTCCATGGTTGGTTATGGTTGCCGGTCAGCCGTGAGACAGAAATAAAACTGATTCACGTCAGTCCCAGACTGAATCGACGTGGTGATTGCACACGGCGGGAAGGGCTAGCAGCCACACTGAGGCGCACTCGAAAGTGTGGTTCAAATACGTATCGCGTTTCTATGTCGACGACGATTGCGGAGGATTTTTGTCAAGGTATCCGTTGGCCGAGTGGGAGAGGTGCTAGCTTGAAACATGAGGGGCACCCTCCGCAGATCTCGTTTGTGCTTTCAAGAGTTCAGACCACAGACCAGGCGAGATTCCACGTGCGCTCTCCCTCTGGGGGTGTGCAAGGGGGATGCGGAAGGGGCGCGTAGTATCTATCACACATAACTCTTGTCTCTGATAGAGAGGCGCAGGCATGATGAGGCGCACGATGATAAGCTCTCAGGAAATTGCGGCTTGCAAAGAATGGATGTTTATTATTGCCGATCCTGTGTGCAGCAACAAGTGGAGAAGGAAGAAAGGGTCCGTCCGAAACGGGGTAGAGGACCACTTAAAGGCCGTATTCGTGGTTAGCCGGTCGGCTTGGCCTGGCCAAAACATAGGAGAAAAGTAAAGTGATGGACAGGTTCGGGACACGACACGGACACGGGCTCCCCAACGCTGCTGCTATACTTGTTTGAGTGTGGGCAGGCTGCGACGGAGGGAGCAGAGGGTGTGTAGCAAAGGCAAGAATCGCTCGCCATAGCGCGCGCGCGCTTACGAGTGCATGGATGCCAGTCAAGATAGGTAGCAGGACGCGTTTGCAATCTATCAGGAATCGAACACGGCGTCAGGGTGGAATCGTATCGTATCGTGGTCAAAGGAGTTCGGTTCCAGTGTAGCCCAGTCGCGCACAGACGGGCCAAAGTTTCTTGAGCCCTTGGCTGTAGTGTGCGCCTTTGATAGATTTCAGGATAATGGCGGGCAGCGGGCGAGCAGCATAAACCACCCGGCATTCAGGGAAACCGTCGTGCCTTGTGCTTCCACAACTGCCACGCCTGCTCGACCTTTTTTCTCTCGAAACAGAACCGTTTGACGGCCAGCAAACCACGTCAAAACGATCGTCAGGAGTTTTTGGTCGCTTCTGCCCACGGCTTGGATATTAGCATTTGCGAACCCCCTCTGCTGCCCTGTCGTCTTTTGTCTTTCACTGTTGTTCACCGAGTCCCAAAGCCACTGCCAGCTTTCCTGCGAGTAACCTGCTCAACAAACTCAACCCTAACTTTTTCTCCTCACGACGACCGTTGTCCGTCACGAAAGCCTCACGAACCCCCTGGAAACTCAAGCATCATCTACCGTCACTCCCAATCCATAGTCACTCCTTTGCATATCCCCAACTCTCTCACACGCCGCACCCCTCCCATCAATGGAATAATACACAACACAACATACAACCACAACTATTTAGCATAATTACACATGGCGCCCACAAAGACCAAGGAATCAACTTCGATCCCGCTAGCAGACTATTTTTTCATATCCGGCATAGAGTCGACCCAGATCTACGACGAGAGAGAACATGCCGCCGCATCTCCCCCACCGGTAGACGAGACGATTGAGGAAGACATTGCCCTCGAGACAGACAGCACCACATCGCCCAGGCCTTCGACACCGAACTCGCCCAACACAGTCGGCGCCAAAAGGGGGTCGTCTCGCTACAGCTGGGAGGCGCGCAAGAGCATTAGCAGTGTCATTGGCCCTGGTGATTTCAAACCCACGCCCAGCAATCGAAGCAGTGCGACCATCAAGGGTATACAAACAGAGACTCCGGCTCTCAGCGACGAAGACTTTGAGATTGCGCTTCGCAAGTTTGCTTCGGAGAGGGAGAACTTTCTTGAGGAGATTCAGGTGCAGGCAGGAGCCGTGGTACCGCAAGCTTCGCGGACACCAAAGTCTAGACCGCGAACAGTACGCATCACAAGCGCAGAAGATGCGGCAAAAGATGCGGCACAGAAGGGCGGCATTGGAGGACTAAGGAGGCGTCTGTCGACCATGAACAGCATGAAGAGACAACCCTCGGTCTCCGTATCGAGACAACGTGAGTATTCCAGCACACCGACAAGCCCACCAATTGACCAAGTCATTCCAGCTTCTACACGCACATCCAAGCGCCTGAGCGGCTACAACTCTGTTATTCCCACGCCGAAACCCTTCAAAGCCTCGCCCGACATGCACCCCCTGAAACGACGATACGAACCCGTTCTGCTTGACAGATACCCACCAAAAGCCCAAGATAACGAGACGAAGCGAAGATGCCCTTTCCCCGACTATGTGCCTATGTTTGCCTTCCCCAACGACGTCGTAGTCGTTTCGTCCGACGAGCGTCCGCGATCGACCTGGCACGGCTTTGCCATGACAACAGGAGACGGTTCCAAGCTGCATGCTATTTGTGTGACAGTGTGGATGCCGCTGAACGAAACTGCGTCGGTCGAGCTCGAGCGGCAATGCGAAGCATGGCGAAAGGCAAACATGAGCGACGAAGAGAGGGAACTAGCAAGCAGCTTGGGAGAACGTCTGGCAGCTGAAAGGGCAAAACTTTCGAGACTACTAGCCGAACTACCCAATGCTGCCCAAGGCTCGGTTGAGAGGGACACGCTCGATGATCAGATCAGCGCAGTCGAGGAGAAAATCTCTCTTATGGCTGATCTATTGCGCCCTGTGCGACATGGAGCCGCTTCTAAAATTGAAGGTCTTACTGATGGCGAGAGTGGCTTCTGGATCCCGCGATGCTATGGAGTGCTCGGCAAGGATGGCGCCATGACGAGCTTCTGGAAAGAGTGGCTCAAGGCCATTGTTACGCCCATGACAAACGGTGCCGTACTTCGCGTACCACCAAGCTCTCCCAAGATCGGCATGTGGCAGCCGCTTGAACGATACGTCGTCAACTTGTGCGTAGAAGCTCCCAGTCCCATGTCTTCGAGCACCCAGATCGAAGTCGCCATACGTGAGCTGCGCTTGTACGCCAGGAAAGAGGCCGAGAACGAAATTCCAGGTTCACGAAACGCCGACATCTACGCTCTCTTCCGGTCCCTTTCTTTGAACAACATTGTTACGTTGTTCGAATATGTCCTCTCGGAATCACGCATTATCTTGCTCTCCTCGCACACATCTATGCTGCATCTTGCGAGCGCTGCCATCACCAGTCTGATCTACCCTCTGAAGTGGGCTGGAGTGTTTATTCCTGTCCTTCCAGCACGTCTGATCCAAGCTCTTGAAGCTCCTTGTCCCTACATTGTGGGTGTAGAGCGAAGATATGAGAACCTTGAATTTCCTGATGATGATTTTGTGCTTGTGGACCTGGACCAGGATACTATCGAAAGCACGGCTAGACCAACGCTCCTGCCTCGCCAGCAGCGCAGAAAGCTCGTCGCTTCGCTACAAGCAGTCGCAGCCCACCACATACGTTACGGCGTACCTGTCGGACCTCCCTCGTACGCCATCGAGACTTTCCCCAATGACGCCTTTTCTTCCGAAAACCCTCAGATTTACAGCCAAAGAGCCACTCCATCGAGTCTGGCATCTTTGGTCGGAGCCAACTCTGCAGCTTTCTCAGAATTACCCGTGCCTATCCAAAATCGCAGCATCATCCTCAATGCCTTCCTAAACTTTAGAACTACCTCTCGAGGAAGCGAGCACCCGTCAACAAGCTCTCTCTTTGCCACTGCCAACATCAATGAAGCTGAATAGAGATTTATTAAGGGAGAAGGCTCTAGCAAATGGTGCCATCTCATTGGAATTTTTGAAAATGCCCGAGCTTCTCAGTTTATGAGAGAGTCCTTCCATGTTGTAGAAGATCTGAACCATGATGTCGTAGCCAGATGTGTTACGATCCGGATAGCATTCTGCGACATGGCTCCTGATACCATTGTTCAGTTCCTGGGCAGCGTCGGCGCCGCCATCAGTGCCAGCCTTGTAGAGATAATCATGGAACTAAAATGTCAGGAGAGTTCGACGACAGTAAGGGGGTGTTGACTCACGATGGCACCATCTCCATCTTGTGACCAGCCGGCGACTCTACAGAAAACCAGACAGAGGCTCTGACGATTGATCAAAGTTTTCGGCTTTCCGTTGGAGAGAATTATTCGCAGAAGAACAATATGTCGCTTGTCTAGACAGAAGTTTGATGATTTGATGTCACGAACAGACAGGAGAAAGAATGGTCGCGTGCTGATGCGAAACACATTGAATTGTTGTTTGTCCAGGCTTGGCAGTGCTCGCTGGTCAATTTTCCGTCAGTTTTATTGTAGTTGCTTTTATCTACAATCGCAAATAGACCAACTTTATCTGACCTAGAGTCAGTGGCAGAACAATGTATTCACAGACGGAGTCAAAGCATGTGAGGTTTCTGATGTATTTTGCACTCGTTATCATTATTTTGATCATGTACAGTCAAGCCAAGTATATCTTATCCGTTGTAGGAACCACCACCTTCAAGTATATCCTTGATGTTGATCTCTCCAGTGCCTCTTTCTAGCGGTTTTGGCTGGTTTGCGCCTTCTTTCCAGCCGATCATGTAAATGGTTCTGAATGTAGCAGGGATGCTACCATCCTCATTTCCATACAGTTCTTTGTAGATTGCCTCAGTGGCCAGCAGAACGTCTCTTGATATAGGTCCAGGAGTGCGCTTCAATGCAGCATTTGACTCGCCCATGGCTTGAAGATCACGCATCAAGTGCATTGTGCTAGGGTAGTCGACGATGATGTCGTCGACATCAACTGTAAGTAGCTTGAAGCCGGCGCGGGTAAGGAGATTACCGACGTCACGAACGTCAGCAAGTGGTGAGACGTGAGTACCGATACCTCCTAGACGCTCCTGCTCGGCGAGCTGTAAAGAGCCACGCAGTTCGAACAAGCTGTCACCGCCAGACATGGCGGCAATGAAAGGGGCATCGGGTTTGAGAACGTTGTTGATCTGAGAAAGGACAGACGGCAGATCGTTGATCCAGTGTAAGCTCATGGATGAGAGGACCAGATCGAAGGAATTGGCTTCGAAGGGGAGAGTCTCTGGGTTCTGGAGGATATGGCGTGTAAGGGAGATGTCGTTGTTGAAAGGCTCGTTTTGGTCGCGATGCAGCATGGCCTCGCTGGAGTCGGCACATGTCAGATGGCCGATCTTTGAGCTCAAAGGCTCCGAAACTGGTCTGGCAGAGTCCTGATCAGGGTCGGGTAATGTGAGGACTCGAGCGATGTTGCAGGAATTGGCACCGAAGTCTAGGACTTTGTCAAAATTGCGGTTGATGTCAAGGAGACGGCCAGTCAGCCGCGTGGCGACCTCATCTCTCAGATAATCCGTGGCTCTTGATTCCTCAATGTCGGCGGCGGCTCGAGAGCGTTGCTGCTGCTTGGCTTCGTTTGAAAAGACCGAGATGCTAGGGGCGCCAGGTTGTTGCACTGCGTAGTTTCGTCGGCTGCACAGGTTCAAGGTTCGGGGGCGGGAAGCGCATTGCACTCGGCGGGCGATATAGCTGAGACGCATCTTGAAGGTACCTGATTTGAAGCAAATGCTGTTGTCGCCATCGACTCTCAGAAACCTCGACCTCTCCCCAGATTTGGTGAGCATCATCGTCATTGAACCGTCGGTCTAGCACCATCGCTCTGCCGGGCGGTGAGCAATCGTATTGTCAACTGGACCCTGCATGTTTCAAACGATGCCATCAAGCAAAGCCAATTTGGCCTGCATTCCTTCCACCATCCATCGCTTCTGGATGTCACTGTGCAATCCGAACTTCTCGCCATGACGGCCACATTTCCTTACACGCTCATCGCGTGTCCTTGCACCTCATTCACGTCGCCTTCGACCATCAACCCATCATCCGTTGAGGACCCCGACGATGACACAACCTTCAATCCTCACCACATTCGCGCCAATTTCTCACTATACCCTTATGAGCAATTGCTCTATTGTGACGAATGCCACCAAATCAGATGTCCAAGATGCTGGACTGAGGAAATCCTGAACTGGTTCTGTCCGAGCTGTCTTTTTGAAGTTCCTAGTAGTGTGGTCAAAAGCGATGGTAACAGGTAAGGTGAGCTCCCGTGTCTCTTATCTGCTAGCATTTCACATGTACTGACATGGTATCAGGTGTACGCGTAACTGCTACAGTTGTCCAACTTGCACCTCTCCACTGTCAATCAACGGTCTAGATTCTTCAACAAAGGACCATCTGGCTCCTCCGGACGCTAATCAGCCGACTGGCCCCTTCTTCTTGTCGTGCCCCTATTGTGAATGGTCATCGTTAGATGTTGGTATTCAATTCAACAAGCCCACCAAAATCACCGATCAGCTGGTCAGGATGCGCTCAGGAAACCGTTCTCCCTCACCAGGCAGATCCAGATCTACTAGGACTAGTCTTGCACCTACAGATGAGCTATCTTCAACAGAGCCACATTCAACTCCTCCCTCCTCTCAACCATCGCAGGATAGGTTTGCAACCTTGAGCCGCTTCTACAAAGATCAAATGGCAGATGCCTCTAGTGCTGGTCCGACAGGATACTCGGACAATAGCAACTTCAACTCTCCCAACAGTCTAGCGCGTATCATGAGTATCTATGGTGGTCTGTCTCACGCCGCCCTGAAGAAAGCACGCGAAAGACCCCAGCCCATGCGTGAGGCTCTGGATGCGGCGGAGGGCCTTGAATTGCTATCTCACTCGGATGATGCTGAAGCAACAGTGATTGACAAGCTCCGCACTGAGGGCTACGAGGGAACAACAACCTTGACGCAGAGAGTCAGTCATCCTTACAACCACCGTGTACGCTTCACCGACCATCTTTGGCCCACTGCCACACTTCTACGGACACGTCGCAGTAAGCGTTGCCGCACTTGTCGACATATCATCGCTCGTCCAGAACCCAAGATGGGAAACACGCGCTACAAGATTCGTTTACTGGCACAAAACAACATTCCACGCTTGGCTTTACGTCTTCTCTCACCCACAGCTTCGTCAGCTCCTGCATCCTCATTCGCACTTACACCCGCAGCGCTGCAAGCCCAGCACAACACAGAGTATGAGAAGTTGAGACCAGGATTGCCTGTGCAGTTCCTACTCACACTAACAAACCCGCTATTCGAGCCTGTAAGAATTACATTGGCGACACCTGCTACGACACCTGGCAACGTAGCATCTCGCGTCACGGTCCTCTGCCCGACGTTTCCCATAGGTGCTGCGAGCGACATGTGGGATCCAGATGCCATTTCCAGTGGCACGGCAAAGGATCAATCTACAGAAGACAGACAGCCAGAGGCAGGAAAAGTGTGGGAAAGGGGTCGCAATTGGACCACGGTGGTTGTAGAGGTGGTGCCTGGTAGACTTGACAAAAAAGCAGGAAGCACGACAGAGAGCACGACTGGGGACGAGAGCAAGGGCGCAGATGATGATATGCTCGAGATTCCTGTTTTCATACGTGTGGAGTGGGAAGCAGAAGTCACGGCTGAAGACGCTGCAGCAACAGGAGCAGCCAAAGGCACCAAGGAGAGCAGAGAGATTGCCTTTTGGAGTGTTTTGGGTGCGGGCAGGATCACTGAGCTCTAGGAGGCAAGTAAGAGATGCAGGCCGTCTTATATCTGCCTTGTAACGTAGCCGTTCAAAGGAGCACTTCTCTATTATCACAGATATCAGAGGTGACTTGTCCCACTCCACGAATCACTACAACTTGCGTGAGATGTGAACATTCAGGCACTTGTGAAAAAAACGTGGAAAACGAGCCAGCTCCTCTTTGAACAAGGCAGGCAAGGGCGAATTAGCGATAAAATGCTGCTGCTGCTGCGAAAGGTATTCGTAAAGTAAGTTGAAGCCGAACGCCAGTCCCTGTGCTTTTCGCTCTTTTTCCCCAAAAGAAAAGTCCCAATCAAAAAAAGGAAAAGATGTGACAGTAAACGCCATGAAAGGGTGATGAGAAAACAACAAAAGGCCACAATCAGATCGTTTATGCGTCGACATCCATGTCTTCGGGTCCGGAGCCTCTGACCAGTCTTTGCTTCTTCTTGGCCTTGAGCTTCTGCTGGGCCAACTGTTGCTTCTCGAGTTCCTCCTCTTCTTCCTCGTCCAGCTCGTCGACAACATCCAGCATCTCGCTCTCGTCCTCGAGCAGCTTCTGGGCGGCCTCGCGCTCGGCGGGGGGCAGCAGGTGCTGGTTCTCTGCGACGAGCTTGCGGTCGGCCTCGAGGTCGCGCTCCTTGTTGCCGCGCATGCGGTTCTTGTAAAACTGGCGCTCGCGCTTGGAGCGGATTTCGGACACGCGCTGCATGGCCTTGAGGGTGGTGGCGACCAGATCGCGGTTGTAGCGGACGGGGACGTTGCGGCGGGCGGCGAAGGAGAGGGTGCTGTCGACGGTCATCTCCTTGCCGTGGGCGGCGCGGAAAGATTTTGTCCAGGCCAGCTTGCGAGGGTTACGCTTCATCTTGAACTGTTCAGGGTCATGTTAGAGACGGTCTTCTGTTTAACGGTAGTGACAAGCAGAACATACGTTCTTGTGGCATTTTGATCTGCAGAAGCGGAAGACACGAGCATCGTTGCGTACAAAGGTGATGCCCTTTGACGGGTAGCAGGGCTGCGAGCAGAAATAGCACGACTCGATTCTGGAGCGCGGGCATATCAGTATGCGTTTCACAGCATCAGAGTTGGCAGGAAAATCGAACGTACCTCATCTTGAATGTGTGTTGGGCAAAATGTCAAGCAAGATGGAAAGAGCAACCACGACCCTCGAATTCTTCTTTCTTTCTTGGGCGAAACTTCTTTGGATGGAATTATGCGGGGGGGGGTGCCAAGATCTGCGGCGAACTTGAGGCAGGCGCGGCCGGGAGACGGAGCTCGACGACGCAAACCTCCGAACTTTTCCACGGCTCATCGCCCGCAGCCAACTCTCAAGCACATAACACAGTCACACATTCGACAATGGCCACTGCTCTCGCCCTCGGTTTTGGAATCGCCGCTACTGCCTTCTTCGTACGCCATATCTGGATCCTATCTGCGACGACTCACGACTGACAGTTGACTTGACAGGGTCGCGCCGGCCTGGTAGCCTTCAAGCGCTACCGTGGTGGCACCAGCGCTGTAGGCAAGGCCTTCTACAAGGGTGGCTTTGAGCAAAAGATGACCAGAAAGGAAGCCGCTTTGATCCTCGAAACCACGTTCGTGTTTACCCATCGCACCTGGATACCTTTCGGGAAGCACTCGCAAGAACTAACTGGCCTGCCTGTTACAGAGAACGCGGCCTCACTCGCGACATTATCCGCAAGAAACACCGTTCGATGATGCTTTTGAACCACCCCGATCGCGGCGGCAGCCCTTACCTCGCCACAAAGATCAACGAAGCAAAAGAACTCTTGGAGAAGACGACATAATCCGACCTCCTACCACATTCGCATCACCATCCTGTTACTACTATCGTCCTTGGAAATCGCAGCGCGGCGTTGGTTGGGCTTTGTCATTTTCGCCATCCTGTACAACATCCCCTCTCTCTCTTTTTACGAACAGAAAGAATTCATTGCATTTGCACATCAGAAGAACTATACCATTTATGACAAAACTATCTTTGTATACCGCAACGACGAACGCCTCGCTTTCTATCCATATTGCAGAGCAAATCAACGACTTTTTCATACTCATGCCTTGACGTTCAGGGCGTTGCCCTTCTCCACCATTTCCTCAATGATCTTGTTGAACTCCTGTCTGAGCTCGATAGGCACCACATGTCCCTGTCCCTCGAAGAAGGCTTTGCGAACACCACTCTCCTCACCACCTAGCCCGTTCAACAACATGTTTGCATGAGGGAAAGTGATCATGCGGTCCTTGGTGCCGTGCAACACCAAGATACGCTCTCGGCCCACCTTGTCACCAATCTCCTTGAGCTGAGCATCAGTCTTGTGGTGCCAGCCTGCAGCAATCGCCTGTGCCATGAAGCCCGTGCGATTAAAGTACTGCGGCATCTTACGCTTTGCGACTTCCTGTGCGGCGAAGCGATCACCGTTGGTCGGGAAGGGTTTGGTTTTGTATTCGAGGTTGTCTGGGGCGTCGAGGAAGGCTTCAGTGTAGATGTTGTGCTTGACGTTTGCGATTTGATCGTCCAGGCTGCGAGGGATGAACAGGTTGATGCGGTTGCGCAGATTCTCGATGAAGCCGACCGTGTTGAACAGACGCGGTGCTGTGGAGATGAGGTTCAGTGTCGCGATGCGGTCGGGAATCATGTATGCCTGTGTATCGAGATCATGTCAATATCCCGTGCAGAATTACTAGTCAGTGATCCATTGCTTACAAGTTCTTGGGCAATCATGCCACCCATTGAGATACCAACGACATTCAACTGTCTGTCTGCCGTCCAGCCGACGTGATCAATGACTTCGAGGAGATCCTTGGCCATTTCCGAAGTCGAGTAGCGTTGCATGGGCTTGCTGCTCTCACCCATGCCACGATTGTCAACGATCAGAGACGAGTATTGTGATGCCTTGGTGTGCGAAAAGTCCTTGGTTTGTCTTTGCCATGAGGTCTTGAGTCCACCAAGTCCCATTATCCACTAGATTCACAAGGTCAGGTCAGAACCATATTCTTCTCCTCGAAACATAGAACAGAGCTGAATGTCCAAGTTTCACGGTCCACCTTGTCTAGAGAGCAGAAACATATTTGAAGATGAGGCAATAGAATGTTGACAGAGTAGAGCAAGAGAAAGTACTTACCACCATCTTGTTCTCGCCCTCTCCATGAACCTCCCATGCGATATCAAGAGGTCCTCCTCTGGCCTTTGCAACGGACAATTTGCCCTGCGACTGAGGCTTGAGATCCCATGTAATGTACGGAAACTCGGGATGAGCCTGTACTTCGGCAGCGGTGAGAGGCCTGTTATAGTAATACCACAAGTAAGTCCTCTTGTCCTCTCATATGCAGACTTAGACGTTTCTCTCGAGTACCCGTATCTTACATAGCAACAGCATGAAGGGGATTCCCATGGCTATCGCCGTTGCGTCTGGAGTTTCAAAGAATGAGGATGTCGATGTCGTCAAAGCACGTACATTATGTTCTTATCTATGCACAGCACGGCACAAATTCCAAGTTTATGAGAAACAAGAGATACGAGGCGTTCGCGGATCAAGTGGGTGTACGATTTGTTGCAAAGAGGAAGAAGACAAGCAGATCAAAGGGAGAATGCGAAGGGCGCTTGGTAAACGTACCTACCCTGATTGTATGCGTACGTATAGAGTGATCCGTGCACGGTATTCTCGTGCATCAAATAGTAGGTACGATCCGCGTCTGATTGTCCGTGCACACGATGATGACCTTTTTTCTGTTTCTTCCACTTCAACCCTCAGTCTTTCATCTCTTTTGAAGGTGCGTCTCCTCGTTCCTGGAATATGAGGCTCGGTGCAGATAGAGTCGCAAGCAAGGCTTCTCTGTCGCTGTTTCGCGCTGTTCTGCCCATCACATGTTCCAGACAATGGTGAAGACCCACAACAGCATGAGCAAGTAGGTAAGTACACTTTCAAAAGACCATGCTGACGACAGAGTCATGTGCTACGGCAGTCATAGGTCCTGTTAAAACAGGTGCTTTATGCATTGATTGTTCATATCAATGGCTATCTTCCAAGCCTTGATAGAAGCTCGCCAGCGGCAGATAAGCTGAGGTTGATCAAGCTAATGAGACCCCTGGCATCTGGCCTCAAGCCTGTACAGAATACTATGTAGGTTTGCAACGTCTTAAGGTGAGTGGCCGAGCTCCAGTGCCTGTAATAATATCGACAGTAGGCACGAGCTCAAGGTCTTCTCCTTTTCCTCGACATGTCATCGTCGTCCTCTTTCTTTCTTCTCTTCATGATAGCCCCCTCTCATTATCTGCATATTCTCTCTTTCCTTCATTCATCATCAATGCCATCGTCTCAAACAGAAAAAGAAAATGCTCGCCTTGGTAACAACAAAGACAAGAATGGAAATGCCGCATCAAACACAAACGCCACCCATGTCAATCCAGGACCTCGCAAACAGTCAGCACTTGACATTGTGTTAGCCGAGACTGGTGCCCAGTGTCGTTTATCGATCATCCAAAGGCCGACAAAGAATTCTCGTACCCACGCAGGGGTCTTATGAGCCAAGATCGACCCCGAGCCGAAAACAAATATACCTCTATGCCGAGCCCATACGCAAGAGAGCTTCGATTGCCTCTCTTTCCTGGATGGTCTGGTCGATTTCCATTGGTGTAGTGCCCTGGCCAGGTGGTCTCTGGCTGAAGCTGCTTCTATGCTGGGTGTAGCTCATCGCCGATGGCCTTCTGACAAACTGGGGTGTCGACTTTGCGACGAAGGACGACCTAGCACCGCCAACGCTTCCGTACACAGATGGCGTGCGTGCCTCGTGCAGGGAGCCAGGAATGCTGATGAGGTTGTAGTTTCTTCTGGCTCCTGGAGAGGCTGTTGTCGACATAGAAGCCTTGCGCAAAGCATCTGCTCCCATGGCAGCCCAATCCTCCTCCTCGGTTTCGTCACCTTCACTGTCCGACATTCCGGAGTCGTCCTCCGACATGGCGGAAGAGGAGCCGTCAAGCGACATCTTGTCAGCCTCATTCTCTTCCATGCTCATGTTGTCCAAATGGTCATCATAGTGGGATGCCATCGAAGACTCTGCCCAGCTGTTGAGCTGCTGGCTGGCGTGGGGCTTGTACGAGCTGGGGAAGCCGGATTCGGTGTACGAGGCAGCACAACTCTCAGGCTCGCTGGGTGGTGGAGACAACTTTCCGTCCCGATAACTTGAACTCAGGTCGGGGCGTTGACCCTTGGTGTGTGCATCCCATCTTCCCCATCCCACCTTTTCAAATACAACACTGCCATCGGCACCACCGCCTGCTCGGTTCTCCAAGGCTGCGACGACCAACCTGCGAGCTTTGGCTGGTGGAATACGCGAGAAACCAGGAACGGACTGTGTCAAGCAAGCCATGACGTGTCTGATTGCAATAGGACCGTGTCCAAGCATGATGCCTGGCAGGTGATGCTTTGCGAGCATGGACGCGGTGATGGACTGCGAGGCGTCCAGTCCCGAAAGGGCACCCTTGCTAAGAGGAAGAGGCTGACGAGAGTCACTCTCGCCATCGATATGGATCGGAGGCGGCGAACGCAGACCAGTGGCTGCATGGGCAGGCAAGCCCGGAGATACGGAGTTAGGGGGTGTGAGTGGCATTCCGATACCGTGTTTGGCAACAGCGGCGGAGAGAGCGCTGACAGTCGAGTGTTTGGCCATGCCGCCGGAGTAGGATGGAGAAGCAAAAGCCATGGTGATGGCAGAAGTTGCTGGGTGAGCCATATTCGCGAGGTGATGCTGGATGCTTCTCTACGCCACGAGACACGAGTCAGAGAGACTAATACGTTGATGACGTATAGATCAAGGCGAGGATGAGTTGAAGCGCGAAAGAAAGGTTTCTTTGAGTGTCTGCTGCCTGGTATGACTTACACCGACGGTAGTTTGGAGACCTGGGGAGTCCTATGGGGGGTCAGGGTGGGTAAATTGCTGAGTGGTTGTGTGCGCGACTTGGTTCACGTAATCTAGGGTACGCGAGATACACAGCGGGGTACGCGATTACGGACTCGATCGATGAAACAGCAGGGTTGTTCGGTTGGTATTGTTGCAGAGAGCAGGAGAGAGAAGATGGAAATCGTTCAGTGCGATAGCAGCAGAGTATTAGCGAAAGGCAGAACTTTGGTTGTCACGTAGAAGGAGTTAGGGTCGTCAGCAGCTACGCCTGCCTCATGATATGACCGTGGTCTGTTGATTGGTTATCACATCGAGGAAAGCCACATGGGGTACCGCTAACCGCACTCGGGCCCATCGAAGTCTAACTTTGCCTATTTGTTGCATGCGCGCTGTGACTCTTGTGAGAGGCTGCAACTCGTCATCAACGTTTGAGCCACAGTTTGTCTCTCAGTTGCTCAACTACCGTTCAGAGACCACACGTTTTTTCGAGGGAACCCATAGCAGTTCGAGACAGAGAGCATGGATCCTTCAACTAGTACAACTCCGATGCCCGATGTCGCTACTCAACAGCAGCGATAGTCCGAGGGGTTAGAGTGATATCGTCTTCGATGGCCCGGAAGTGTGCTCCTACGATTTCGCCCGACTCCCGAGAGAAGCCCCAGTGCGCCTCAACTCAACGAGCTCTGGCCTCTTGATCCTTTGCCAACCTGCTTGCCTGGACCCCGCAGCTGCTCGCGCTCCGCGACAACTTCCTGCTGCTGCACTCTGCCGAAAGGTTATCACTTGTGCCCCTTGCGAGAGCTGAACCCAAACTGCATGAACGCTGAGATGTCGGTAGTGCCGATGTGTCTGGCCTGAGCCGGCCGTGCGTCGAGACAACAGTAACACAGTGGAAGGAGGAATTTAATGCGCGTCCACCATCATCGATTGCCAGAGACTAGCGAACCTGTTCCTGGGCATCCCAAGACCTGATCACAAGGCACAATTGGCAGGCCGTTTTTGCAAATACGTGTATCGGTTTGGCTTGCGACGACGTCCCGTGACGCTGGCACAGTGTAACCAAGTACTGATAGGGAAAACACCTTATCACATCTTGGAAGTTGGAGCCTATTACCGCCTACGTCAAATATCCCTCGACAATATCGAGTGAAACAGGTTGGATCAAACTTTCTCGTGCAATGCAGCCGTGTCTCCTTTCCAGCCGGACAAACTAGAACAGAAAGGACATTACCGTCCAGTCACAGGCACACAATGCTGATGAGGTGGTCCTGGATGTCGAACTGGATTGGACCGTGACATGTCACGCTCGCAAGGCGCTTGCACCTATCGGTGAGATTGTAGTTATATGGAAGATATTGACGCCAAGACAAGTTCCTGTCTGGGCCACCCTGCTCATGAATACTCGGACGTGATCACTGGAGTTGAATACGGTACACAACACGGTAACAAGGCACGAATGTCTTTGACAAGTCTTGTGGCTTATAGCTTAATGTATATACTGATCGATAATGCAATGGTTGAATGAGTGTCCACTGAAATGTGTCAGCGTTCGGAACTGCTGGATGATGAATATCAGGAGAGCTTACCAACGATCCGAAATTCCACCAACGACATCAAACTATATTCGACATGAAGAGGCACACTTAGTGCTGTTACACGTCAGTGATACAGTCAGTGTCGTCACCGTTTGGTATCAAACTCACGCCGCAAGAGGAACAACCACAGTTGCTGCAGCCGGATGAGCTACAGCAGTTGGCACAAGAGCAGGCAGGCATGTTGATGATCGTAGAAGAAGTGCAAGTGTTGATGATAATAATAGTCTTGTCTGTGTATGCGAGGGATGACTGCGACCGGAAAGACAGAGGACCAGGTCCATCCATTTATATACCAATTACCTCGAAAAGTCAGACACGTGAATGGCTGTTCCTCTGATATCACCCATCTGCAGCACTTGCTCGTTGTCTTACCCCTCACGATAATGCAACATCGATACGAGAACCACGCCGAGCGAGATGTATAACGTACATCGTGCTAGATGGGATGGCAGACGAATCATTAAACACCGCAGCGTCACATGCAGAAGATGTGAGCGCCAAGCGGGACGATGTGTGAAGGGACGATGGACGTGCCAGCGCATGAACGGATCAGAGGGCGACGATTCGGCAAGTTTCAACCAATATACCGCAAGCCTCGAGTTTCTGCTCTCATGCATGAGTAAGGCGCTCATGATACAACCACATGAGACCTCACTGCCTCAGCTCATCCAAAGACTGCCGATCTCTCGGGTGACTATCTTCTGACTGGGTCGAGAACTAACATGTAATCATTGCCATGACCCGAGGCATCTGATACGACGCAAAACAGGACGAGAGGTTGTGTCCGGGGGTTCTGAATAATTAGTATTAGAAAAAGCAAGAGCTGCTACTGGGTATCGAGAAGTCGTAATCGCGTAAAGCACACCCCCCCTGAGTCGTAGGCAAATGGATCCATAGTCTCCTTCTCCAATCATGTTCCGAAATTAACCGACGATGCCATTCTTGTCCAGTCCTTTCTTCAGCTTCTCGCGACAGACCGGGCAATACCACTTGGCTCGTCTTCCAGGGAGCTCTGTCAGACCAACACATTCGAGATGGAACCACTCGATCTCGCACTAAAACAGTCAAAGTCAGCATAAAAGACGAGAAGCGATTGAGGCTAGGACTTACAGCCTCATTATCACAAGCAATCATGGTGCCGTGACTGACATCTCCACAGATACAATAGCGTGGTTCGTCGGGATCGATCATCTCATCCTCGATGACAGGTGTAGCAGCTTCGCCCTTGACCTCGGTCTTCTTCTTCTTCTTTGACGCAGCTCTAGGTTTGCCTACTATGACCTTCATACCGTACTCCTCGGCTTGAAGAATTCCCATAGGTAGCTTTTTGCGAAGAGGTCGCCTTCCAGTGTTGGTGTCTGCAGTAGTATCAACATTGCCAGGCGCAGGAGAGCGAAGCTTGTTGTTCGCAGAGCCAGGCAGCGAAGCAATCGAACTACGACGTAAACTTTGACGTGTGTTGGCTGGCTCTGCCGAGGCGGCCTTGGTAGCGGAATGCTTGAGAGTAATGGTGGTCGGTCTTGTTGCCCTTGTGTTGGCAGCGGGAGTTTGAGCAGCTGCTTCACTCGATCCGTTTTGAGTCTCCGGCTGCGCAGAATTGCGCTGGCTACGCTGTGACTTCTGTCTCACAGAGATGCGGGGGCTAGAAACTGCAGGGGTGTTGGCGTTGCTAGGAGAAGGGACATCTTTTACAGCGGCGATCGCACGAGTAGAAACAGTGATCGTAGGTGTTTCCGCTGGCGGTGGAGCAGTGACATTCAGCTTGAGTTTCTTCGGTTGTGGGCCGTTACGAGGAAGTGATAGGACGTCAGGTGATTCCACGATAGGATCGGCTGAAGGCTGTTCCACTGCAGGAGTAGCAGCATCGCGTTTGCGCTTCCTGGTCGTAACAGTTTCAGTAGTTGCCTCGGGCTGGACACTTTGTGTCGTTTCCGGCGGAGTGAGCGACTCGGCGGCAGGTTCGGGCTGCGCTGGAACTGTGACAACAGGCAACTCCTCAGTCTGGATGGTCTCTGGCGCAGACGCAGTCTTTGGCTTGGTCTGCTTCTTCTGCTTGAGTCCAGACTTAGCCGTTGGTTCAAGTACAGGCGCGGACTCCTCGATGATAGGTGCCTGGACAGCTTCTTGTTGTTCGGCGGGTGGATCTGGCCGAGTTGGAAGTGACTCAGCTAGTTTAGAGGGCTGAGGTTGTGATTGAACGGCCTGTGCTTCTGTCTGTGATTTCAACTTTGGCTGTGCCTTTTGAGGTGTCTTTTTCTCCTTGTTCTGCTCCGTCGTAGGCTGTAAGCCAGCAGCCTCCTCTTGCAACCTCACGGCCTCTTCAGCCTTGAGCTTTTCACGCTTGAGCTTCTTGGCCTCGTTGAGGCGCATGCCGCGATTGATAAGTGCGGCATCCTGGTTGTCGTCAGGCATTTCCGGTCCAAGCATTTTAGCAGTCTCGGCCTGTTGAGCGTCGGTAATGTGAATGCATGTGGGATCTGTCCATGTGTGAGGGTCGAATTCGTCGACAAATCCCTGGCCTGAAGCCTCGGCAGCAGCTGCAGATGGTCAGTGTCAAGTAAGAGCGAGTGAGATGCATCGAACATACCTTTGGCCTCCTCCATGGCCGTCACGCCTCTGCCGAGATTCTTCAGCTCACGGTTTCTCATGGCAGGCGAGGGGATCCAGATAGCATTCTTCTTCATTCTCTTGCGCAGTGTGGCCATCTCGTACTCGGTCAGTCTCTTCCACGGCAGCCACTTACTGCCAGGAAGAGCATCTGGTGGCGGAGCGGTCAGAGCCATCAGTGCGTTTGAAGTACTGATGCCAGCGACGGCCGAGTGTGCGTTTGTGCCAGAAGAACCTGGCAGGCGCACGCGAGGAGGTTTCTGTGACGCTTCCTTGGGCTCTGTAGAAGGCTTGGGTACCTTTGGAGTTTTCTGAAGCCTTCCAGCCTTCATTTGGTTGTGGGCTCTGTCATGGTTGGGAGAGCGAGGTGGGGGAGAAGGAGAGGGCGAGAAGTCGGATGGCGGAGGAGAGTCTGGGTTTGGAGGAGGCAGAACCTCACCAGGAACCATTATTTTCTGAGCTCTGACGCGCGGAGCGGTGCCGGTGCGGTGCTGAGCAGTGCGCTTGTCGGCTTGCTGTTGTGCTTGGGCATTCCTTCTCAGTTGAGGTGAACCAAGACCAGGATCAGGAGTGGCATCGCGTTCGGGTGGGAGAGGCATAGCCTTCAGTTTCTTCTGAACAAGCTGCAGCTTTGTCGCATCCTTGACGACGGTTTCCTCGAGGCGGATGGCTTCAGCAGCCGACATGCGCTTGCATTTCTCCAGGGAGTCGTAGGCGAGACTGATGTCTTTGCGCAACTGGACAGGATCAGGGGCGTCGGTCGCGTCCGCTGTGGTCTTGGGAAGGTTGCTGTAGGTGGAAAGGAGATTGTGGATGTCGAGGGTCAGGTGGTTGGCTTTGCGATTCAGGCTGTGGATGAGGAACAGGCTGCGCGCGATGGTCGACGGCAGGTGCTCGCTGTAGGTGAGGAAGTCGCTGAGAGTGGCCTGGACGTCGGGGTCGATCTGACGGCCAGAGTCCAGATCCATGGCCATGTCAAGGTGGAGCATCTCGGTGCTCATGGATGCGGCGGCGCATTTGAAGTCTCAAGAAACTTGGTCGTGGTGCTGCTGCTGCTGCTGCTCCTGAAGGGAGACGCGTTGCGGGTCGCGACAAGCATCCAGCTCCTTCCCCAGATTCCACCGTCTTGGCCTTCACATGCGCCTTCCCCAAATGCTCTACTCAGCTGGTCCAAGTAGGTACTCGACTTGACAACAAAACGTTTCGCCAGCTGCAACCAATTGTCCCGGCCGCTTGTATGTAGATGCGCAAAAGGCGACTTCGTCTACCCCAATGGAAGCCGCCATACGCTGGTCTCCCCTCTCGACCCCTGATGAATCTCGCTTTCTACTCGCCGATGTCGCCGGCAATGCCCTCACCCTCTATGAATCGCAATCCTTGAATAGACATGACTTCCAGTACAAGCCCATAGCTCGTCGTGAGAAAGTCAACAACTTCACCGCTTTTGACTGGTCGCGGACGGATGATTCGCTCGTAGCTTTGGGTCTATCATCTGGCAATGCCGAGCTGCATAGATTTGACCATTCTGCTTCGTCCGACCCTGTCGCCCTCTTCAACATAAAGACCCAACGAAGATGCAACACCATTGCTTTCAACACCCAGAATCTCCTTGCTGTTGGCCTGGATCGAGTCAGACATGACAATTGTTTGACTGTCTACGACATTGAATCCAACGAAGCATATTCAAGATTATGTGTTTCCGAAGCTGTCACCAGTCTCCGCTTCTTTCCCAATCATCCGCAACAGATGCTGGCTGCCGTTTCGCGTCAGACCATCCGTCTGTATGATTTGAGAGGTAAGCTTTGGAATCAGTCGGACGAGCACAGGACCATTTCCCATTTCATTGCTAATCTCTTCGGCAGATTCATCAACAACCACTGCAGGCTTGGGCAACTGCGGTATCACGAAGTTGGTCAACAACATCGCGATCGATCCTTTGGACGAAAATTATTTTGCTTCGGGTGGCTCTACAGGCGACCCATCCGTGACTGTTTGGGACAAACGATATCTATCTCGCTCAAACAACGCAACAGCTGCCGATGCTACTAATAATGGCGCAGTCCTCGATCTTCGTCCAGCGACTGACAACAGCCAAACTACTAGCGTCTGGAGTATCAGATACTCTGGCCAGAAAAGAGGACGCTTCTGTGTTCTATCCAGTGCCGGAGAAGTCAAGCTATACGACACAGCGCAGCACAAAGTGCATTCGAAGTTGCGATCAGCGTCGGTAAACTACTACGGAGGCAATCCCTGGACACATCCCCACTATGTCTCACGTACACACAGTCTACGAGAACCAGAGACTGGCACCCGCAAGGATAGAACATCAAACAGAGTCGTTGCTTTTGACTGGATCTCCATGGATGACCAGGGCCGTCAAGCCATTCTGGCGTTGCATCCAAATCGTTATGTCGATCTCATCTACACACCGAGTCCGAGCCATGTCGATATCAATGGGCGAGGTGACCTGTCTGTCTGCAACAAAGCTTTATCAATATACGAACCGAAGGATCACCATGCTTCCGTAGCTCTGGAGGTCAGAGCACTGCGAAAGGCTTCTGAAAGCGCGAGCCCTCGGCAAGATGAGAGATATGCATCCAAAGCCCCAAGCCCAGCCACTGGACCAGCCCAACTGGATCATCGCAACCTGAAGTCACTGAATGGATCAAGCAAAGCCGTTGCCGTTAGGACGGAAGAATGGTTGGATGGCAATATGAGCAAGGCACCTTCGATGTTACGCAATGAGAGAGTCGTCGATTTGTTGGCTCTTTCCAACGTATCACGGAGACGCTGTCAAGAAGGCTACCTCTTCGATCCAAGAAGAAACACTGAGATCGTTGCTGAAGACTCAGCGTTGATCAAGCTATGGGGCACCATCAAGAGATTTGAAGACTTGGCTCACGACGGCGGCATGGCATCGGATACCCTCGACATGAGCTATCTCGGTGTAAGCAATGTATGGGAAGGGAAGTTAGGCAATGGTCCTAACAGAGTAACGACTGCTCACAATGAGTTGCCGGAGCGATTCGAAGACGTAGTGCGCGATATACTTGAACGTCACGGTCTTCCCGAATTTGTAGGAGCACGAACCGAGAAACCAGACCAACGACAGCTGTGCCTAGCTTTGTGCGGATGGCAGTTTTCGCACGAGCACACTAAGGAACGATGCGATTATCTCGTCAAAAAGCAGCGGTACTACGAAGCCGTGGCGACTGCGATGTTCAGGGGACGTAGATCGATCGCTTTGGAGATTCTACGTGATCTCATTCGCGAGCGGACCATCGAAAACATCGGATTAGGAGCCCTGATAGCATCAGACTCGTTGAACGAAGAGCAGCGTGAGATGTGCGGTTGGATGGAAGAAGACGCAACAGACCCGTACCTCCGCTGTCTGCTCATCTACCTGGCCAGTGACGATTGGCTGAACGTAGTCAATAAACTCGACGCAGACATCAAACTCTCAGACCGTCTGGGTATTGCCATCAAACACCTTGGCGACAGTCAGATCTCAACATTCATATCCCAAACCAGCACCTCGTTGATCAGCGCGGGGAACGTAGAAGGCGTACTGCTCACAGGACTGGCAGAGAAATCAATGGAACTCTTCCAAAGCTACATACGCCGCAGCTCCGATCTCCAGACTGCCGTCCTGGCTACCTCGTTTACAAACCCTCTGTACGTCGATGACCCTCGCTGGGAAATGTGGAAGGAAACGTATTTTCTACAAATGCAGTCCTGGCGAGCCTTTATCGAACGCACCAAATTCAGCATGCAGCACACCCGTCGAGCCATGACTCGCAAAGGCAAGAAACTCATCGAGCCGCCACCAAGACAACTAGCACTGCGCTGTGCACACTGCCAGCACTCGCTAGCCAAGGAAGAACATACAACTCACACGCACGGAAGCAGTACACCAGCCAACAAGGGAGCAGCTCAACCATCGCGTATTGCAGGACCAGCTGCGAGTGCGGGTACAGTGTGTCCGCGCTGCGGTCGCCATCTGCCTCGCTGTTGTCTGTGTATGCAATGGCTGGGTACCCCTGAGCCCATGCGTGCAAAGGAAGTCCAGAGCGGAGAAAAGGAAACGGATGTGCTGAGCAAATTCATCACTTTCTGTGCTAGCTGTACGCATGGATTCCATGCTCATCACGCCAGGACTTGGTTCGCCAGACACGCCATGTGTCCTGTTCCTGACTGTCGATGTCTGTGTGGGTTGAAGTGAGTAGACGTGAGAAGCAGAGATGGACCTCAGTAACTCGACATTCCTATGTATCACGTAGAATAGCACTTTTTTTTTTCTTCGAAAAGACATGACACTGAATATAGGAGAAAAAGAAATCAATGTTTTCTTCTCGGTCGATCTACTACATGTGAGCCCTCCTCTTGCTATGCTAGAACCTGACGGCGAGGGATCCATCTTTATAGGGCAAGAGTGATGGAAAATCGGCAGAGTGTAACTTTTCGTCGACTGCGTTTTCCTCCAGCGAATCATAGAGCCTTTTGTCTGTATCCACAGACCTGCTGTATTCCGTCGTTGTGAACCCAAAGATGAGAATTTGAGAAGAGGTGACGAGAAATGCGATTGGGCGTTATTGCGTGCGTGACTGAGAGCGTAGAAGATCTGGAGAAGAAGATGATCATGCAATCGTCGGGTTATTTGGTTTGATGCTCAAAACATTCGAGAGATGTTGACTTAAAAAGTCTCCTCCTCGACCAACTCGCCCTCCTCATCGTCAGCCTCGGCAGGGATCTCAAAGCCCTCCTGCAGAAGAATATCAGTCAGTTGCCATCCATCACTCCTCAGAGTCGGCGTCAGAAAGAGAACCTACCTCTGTCGAGTAGAGAATAGTCTGTATTTGCTTGAGAAGACCGCCCTCGTCCTTTTCGAGCTCGGGCTCGGCCTCCATGGCTCCCTGGACGAGCAATTCGATATCCCGCAGCTTGCTGAAGTAGAAGTCGCGCTCGCGCTCCAGGCCCTGAACAGTCTCCTTAAGTGCGTTGTTCTCCTGTGTCAGAGCAGCGGTCTGGGCACCACCTCCCGAGCTTCCCAGGGGAGTGCGTGTTCTTGCGGCAGCGGAGGTTGCAGCGACAGCGGGGGCGCGCCTTGTGGTGGATGCTCGGGAAGTGGGGGCAGGAGCTGAAGCGCCGGGTTGACCTTTTCTACGGGCCAGAGCGTCGTAGTCACCACCTGTCATGGCAGAAGGTTAGGATACACAAGTGGCATGTGAGGGTAGAGGGAAGGCGTACCAGGGTAATGTTGGTCCCAGAAGCGCTTTGTCCACTGCAAGAATTCGAGGTTGTCCTGCATCTTGCATTTGACTAGTTGCTCGACGGGAATAGGGCGGTCGACGTGGTGCTTGCGGAAGGCATTGCTGAGGATCTTGAAGTTGTCGAGGTATGCATAGTCGGCGGTTGCGTTGAACTTGACACGAGCCATGGGCATGTCAACTGAAGGGCGTTAGCTGGAGTAGAGGGTGGTGAAGATGTAGCGGGGCTGCGTACGGAAGATGCTGTCGTAGATGGCGCAGAAAGGCGCACTGGATGGGCAGTTAGCATGCATGTGATGGGTGAAGAAGACGGCAATGAAGATACCCGGTGCCGCATTGCTCGACACGAGTGAGGTTGAGAGAGCAAAGGCTGTTGAGCCATTGCAAGAGTTCTTGTCTGCAGGAGCAAGAGCAGTCAGCCATGGGTTGTGCCTCCCCTGATATGCGCTGGTTGGCGCAGATGCACATGCCTGGATTCACCCATCTTGGATCTTGTGTGCTTTCTTTTCTTGCAGGGGGCTGTTTGGTGGTTTGAAAGATCGGGGCGGCGGAGCGAGAGTGGGTGTGAGATTTGTGAGGTCGTATGCGGATAGCGACAGGAAATGTCAAAGTTGGTGGTGAGCGACTAGCACAGGCACAGGCCGGGCGTGTTTGGTTTCGGGAAAACATGGCCACCCAAAACAATCCGCCCCGCCCTGAGCATCTGCCAAGCAAAAGGTCATTTCACGATATATCGACTTGCCATCCTTCCATCCCACCTCTTCCAATCACGCTTGAGAAGGCCCCGCAGACACAAGTCTAGCTCGTTGTCGTCTTTTGAGCGGCCGAGCACACACGTTCTATACAACATGTTCGAACAAAGGCTTTGGCAACCTGGAAATACAAGGCTTTTGATATTTTGTAGTAGTTCATATCCGCCTATGTGATGACGACGGCGTCCAGCTTCTTTGCCAGACCCCAAAAGTTCATTTTCCTCGTGCGCCTCTAACGCCTGAGCTACTGTATGATAGCAGCATTCCATCTTAGCCTTCCCATGGGATCTTGGTCGTTGATATTGCAAAGGCAGCATGCGCCTGTGTCGACACAATTCGGCAAAGGTAGCCAGCCAGCCAGACGTCTCGCCTGCTCAGCGCAGCCGATGTCGTTGTCGGAAGCCCTGCCCTGCCCAGTCCAACGGTCGTTCTGTCCTTGTGCGTCTGGTTTCTTGTTCGTGCCTCTCTCTCAGCTCATCTCCACGTCCTCCTTCTTCGTCTTGTTGTTCGCCGAGATCCAGAGGACGTTGTTGCACCTGATAAGGACCTGACCCAGACTACCGCCCGACTTTCCATCGATCCATTCCTCGGCGTTGGAAAGTTGAATGTTCATGTATGAATCCACCGACACCAGCAGACCGGTGTATTCCTGGCCCCACTTCAGACGAATGCGGACTTCATCACTAACTCTGTGAGAGTATCGTATTAGTATGCGGCGGTCCAGAGGAAAGTAGCGCTTGCGAAGGGGGTTCAAGGCGGATGTGGGTGGACGAACAGTGATTGCAGCATAGGCCGCGGGTTCAAGGGAACGAACTGCATCTGAATCAGCACACATTCTCGGACAACTTGCGCGACACGAGATAACTCACGCTCATAGTTATTGTGAGATGTGGTGGGGTTGTGAGACGATTTACGCAATATTCAATGTCGCGCTTTCTGATGGTCGAGCTATCTGTCCGTCGCAGTCGCGAGCTTGGACCTCCTTCAAGTCACGGCTAATCCCGCTCCATCAAACATCACTTCACCTGCTGCATTGCGATTCAGTCAGAGGAGCGCCTTCAGACTCTAGGTATATAGTGATACTTGGTGTACTGGTTGGACTGCGTTGCTAAGGTCGTCTGACACCCTGATACTCTATAAATTCACAAGCTGAAAGCAATGTCTGGCCACTGCAAGAATGTAAAGATCACCAACACTAAAAAGTCAAGCTACAAGAACAGCACGTAGAAATAGTAATATGTTAGCAGTTGGTCAGGCCTGACTTTAGCCAGATAGCCTGATTTCAAGATATAAGGTTGGGTAAACTTTCAAAAATTGCAATTTTGCTTTCGCACGATAGACGACTTAAGTTGTTGTTGACAATGGTACATGAGTGGCGGTCAGCACGCTCCGAGCAAGGGCTGTTGAATCCACCATAGGGATTCATCGACGGTTTTCCTTTCCACTTTCTTGCCGTGTCTGCTTTTTTGTGTCATGGGCCGATATGCAGGAACGACCTGGCTCTCTTTTTGGGAGTGAGCTGATTTAAGCACCGAGGCTGGGGAAGTCCGAGGAGCTGCCGACGTTGACGGGGGCGGCAGAGGAACGGGGAGCGCGAGGAGCGCTGTCACGAGGGGCACCACCTCTAGCGGCACCGCCACGGGGGCCACCGCGTCCGCCGCGAGGTCCACCGCGAGGACGGTCGCTACCGCCGCGAGGGCCACCACGGCCACCACGGAATCCAGAGTCCTGGGACTGGGACTGCTCCTCCTTCCAGGCTTGATCGATGTCGAGGAGGTTCTTGTCCTTGCGCTCCTTCTGCTTCTTGGCCTTGGCGGCAGAGGGGGAGACGTAGTTCTCGTTGGAGTCACGCTCGAAGGCCTTGCCCTCGGGGAACTTCTTGGAGGCACCCTCGTTGGGCTTGCGGGTCTCGAAGTTGCCGGCAAGAGCGGCCTTCTTCTCGAGCTGCTCGGCAAGGTACTGCTCGTAGGACTTGGTGTTGTCCTCCTCGGCGGGGGTCTCCTGGGCAGCGACGCCCTCGGCATCGACAGCGGTGACATCGGAAACGATACCCTCCTTGGCCTCCTCGGCCTTAGCATCGGCAAGAGCGGCCTTCTCGTCGTTCAACTCGGCGTTACCGGTCTCGTGACCCCAGGCGGCACCGGCCTGCTTGGCGTGGTCCTACGATGGGTTGTCAGAGCTCGGGTTCAAGATATATGCGACCAGTCCAGACTCACGTTGCTGCCGGCGTGTCCAGTGCGGTCGTGCTTGTCGTCACGGCCAGTGCGGGGTCCTCTAGCACCACCACGGCCACCACGGGGTCCACGGCCTCTGTTACCACCTTCGCCAGCGTTTCTGGGGTGGCGGTCCTGGCGGACACCATCGTCGGTGGGCTTGGCTCTGTTGTTCTGGGCACCGGCGCCTCTATCGCGGAAAGCTACGGCGGGAGGGTGTCAGTGGGTGGAGTGGTAGGCGAGGGTTTGGCGGTCATGTTTTACCCTGCTCAGAGCCAGTAAAGGCAGCGTTACGGCCACCACGGCCAGCGGGTCTGGGAGCGTCGGCGGCAGCGGGGGCCTCGGCACCAGCGTTGCGCTTGCCGGCGCGCTGGACGGGCTTGTCCATGACCTTGGTAGGAGGCTCAGGCTCTCTGTTGGGGTCGAGCTCCGGGTCGTTGCCTGGATGAAATCGTGGTTAGAAGGCTCGTCAGGTGACCATGTTGCGATTTTGCGATACCCAGAAGCTCGTAAAGGTTCTGCACGCAAGAATTGGGTCAGCGGGAGTGCATCGCGATGAATGTTGCAAAAAAGGCGAGTGTCGAGCTCTGGCGAGCTGCAATTGACGATTGGCAGAATTGCTAACAAGGGCGCAAACCGGCGGCGGTGAGCTGTGGTGGCAGACGTACCTTGCTTGCCACAGAAGTCATGTTTTCTGGCTTGATCTGTCTCTGTGTGATGAGCGGATATCAGACTCTCCCCGTCGCTGAAAGGTGAGCTGCTTGCAGAATCCACTCCTCGCAAAGTCGTGTGGTCTGTGCGCCAGCTTTTCTGCGTTGTGCGGTTTCGAGGTGGCAGCTCGGTTAAACCTCTCTCTCATCATGACTGCACAAGTTTGTGACGACGTGGATCGGCCAACATCGCGTCTGCTTGCCCGTCTCGCAATATCGTCTATTCTGCAGTGTACATGTGAATTCTACATTCAGACTTGTCCAAGCAGTTTCCCATTGGGACTCTGCCCCTACGGATTCTGAGGTTGGGTCGCTAAGACTCAAATAGGCTGTCGGTTTATCTGATCCTCAACCCCGCGCTGCTGCCAATCTCGCTGCTGCTGAGCCCCTCCATGGTCTGGACAGAAAATAGCCACTTCTTCGACAATCACTCGTGCATGACATATCTTGAGATAGGTTGCATAAGGTCAAGGCCTTCTTCGGAGCTTGATATTGCGATCACTCGATTATTGGTTACAGTAGTCATGATCATATGTACCAGAGCATTTCCCACAATCACCCAATCGCTAGCAGCGCGATAACAGCGAATGAATGCTAAAGTCGTGATTCCACCTATTTGCAGTTCTTCTGCGCCCAAACGCCTTTGCTATGCCGTGGTAATCTAGAAAATAGACATGACCACCCAAAACAACAACTTTTTTGTTTGAACATGTCTGCTCATCCTTTCCTAACTTCATACACCATGACTTTTTTTCCATTATCTTCCACGGCGCATAACGTCGTGGAGAGCACGCCTGCAGAATCCTACCTGCCAAAACAGAAGCGCCTTCGACTCCCAATGCAAACTTTTCTTTCAGATCCTCCATAATCTCGAGAGCTCAAGTCTCTACCTCTGTGGCGGGTGTTGGAAGCCATAGTCGGTCGAGAAATGCATGCTTGCTGACAAGCCGAACGGATCCGCATCGAGCATAGGATCGTAGGGATCGAAGATTTGGTTCATTCCAGGAATCTGTCCCTCTCCTGAGTGACCTCGGTCGTGTTCTTGGGTATTGCTCTTAGCAGGCCCGTGGTGTTCGGCGTGTTGCGCGGCGTGTGGTCCTTGGTAGGGATGCGACGGGGGGAATTGCGTTGGCTCAGGGCCTTGGGCGGGTGTATGTTCGTTCGCTTCGGATTCGGTTTCGAGCATCGACGATGATGTTGGTTGCGCGTCGTACTCCTGATCTGTACTCACGAGATTAACCTAGGACGACAAAGTTCTATCGAGCATGCCCGAAAGAGGGATCGAGACCACTTGCCCAGTTGCTCAATATGTTTTTGGAACGGCGATGGATAGAACGCCGATGCGCTGCCTGGAACTCCGTTGGTCGGTTCGGTTATGCTAGATACTCCATTGGGGCCGGGGAAGGTAGGGCCGCGATGTTGAGGAGGGTGCTGCATGACATATCGCGAACGAGGTGGTTGGCCCACACCATACTGTTGCTGTTGACCTCCAGTGATTACCGACGCTGGTGGAGTCATTGCTCCGGGTTGCAGAGCGGCAGGCGACTGAGTGGACAGGGCTGTGGGTGAGGAAGCATGAGACGACGGGGTGGGATGACCCTGAGGAGAACGGGCAGAGAAGGAAAGATCTGATTGCGCTGCCGCGCCAGGTCCGATCCGAGGAGGATAGACCTGACCGGAACGTCTTGCATGCTGTCGGTTCAATGCTGTGCGTTGCAGAGGAGCAGCAGACATTGGCGGCGGTGCATGGTGGGGGATATACGAGTGTCCGAGAGCAGGGCTGCCGGTCTTCATCTGCAACTCGGCCTGCACATCAATGCCTGGACAAAGGTCAGCGGGAACAAGGACATAAGGGAGAGGCCCGAGGTGGTCCGGGCAGTCGACAACGAACCCTTCTCCAACAAGATTCTCTCAAGAAGCGAATTCTTGTAGCGGAGCATGAGACATTCGTCAGCGGCACTACGGTGACTCTGCTGCAAGGTCTGCAGCGTCTCTTCATGGTGCTTGATGGTGGTTTCGAGTTGCTTGATGTACTCGGTGCGCCTCTCTCGGAACGCAGCCTGGGCTTGCCTGTTCCTTTGCTTGCGCTCCTCGGAGGTGGCATATATCTTTGGCTGGGTTAGCAGGGCCATGACGTGCGACATTTACAATAGGCTACGAGTCTATCTCAAACATGTAAGATGGGAATGTGTCACGACGTACGGGTTTGCGGCCTCCCTTGCGCTTTTGCGGCTGAGCCTGGTCTTGTACTATGTCGTTGGTGGAAGGCTCGGGAGTCGACTCGAGCGAGCTCGGCGTGGCCTCTTGCCCGGCATCGCCATGGTCTCTGATAGCGCTGGCTACGTCGGAAGCAGCCATTTGTGTGGTGCTGTTGTTGTTATCTCCCATCTGCAGGTACCCCTCTGGCCGAGCTTGAGATACCCCTCAGATAGCGCAGGCGGGATGCGGAGATAGCAGTCGCAATAGGTCCAAAGGCGGGGAGACGTAATGATACGTGTCAAAGATTGCTAATCGCAAGAGATAAGCTTGCAAGGCGTGCGAGAGAGTGAGCGACAATTGGTGAGGTAAGTAGTTGGGTAATGGAAACGGCAGGTGGTAAGAAGGAGTTAAGCAAGCCCATAGAATAAGAAAATTCTCTCTGCCCTCTCGTCTCCGCACTTGCCCTTGTCTCGCACGCGTCATGCGCTGAGATGCGAACGGTCGCCCGGCTCCGAGTCCTCTCTGCGCCCTGGCACCACTGCGACAGGTGATGAGGATGAGGGGCCCGGTCTCTTGTCGGCGCTGGCCGGACCCCAAGGCACCTCTGGGGCAACGAGCAAGCCACTTGAGCGGCCATGTGGGCACGCAAAAAGCATGCGATTGGGAGCTGCTTCAAAAGCCGCCGGTTTCCCCTCCCTCGCGCGCGCCTTTTCCAGCGAAGAAGCGATCTGAGGTTGCATCGAACGTGCAGGACATCGGAAAAAGCTACTCGTTCGAGTTTAGTCGATCCGACACATCCTTCTAAGGCAGCTTGGCAACAACTTTAAATCTCCGCGGACGTGAAACAACATCTTACACACCATCGTCTCCGGTCTCAAAACATTGAGCAGAGGCCGAGTGGCTACTGTCGCGGACAACACAGGGCATGCAATAACAATGCAGGACCTCTGGCTTCAAGGGCGAGAGTGTGCCTGAAGTCAAGGATCGAATGAACTCACTGCCTTGTATCCGAATGACTTTGGGGAATTGGCAATCTGACGAAACAAGATGTTAATCTCCATCACTTTCATAGTGAGCAAACGCCATGAGGGATCGCGAGAGTACCTGAGGTTGGTGAGAAATCTGAAGAAAGTGTGAAAACGAAAATCACCTGGTTGTTTGTTCGCAGACAGGATTGAGACAACCACGACTATGTGCCAATATGTTGAATTAGAACAGGCTGTCAAACATGTAGTGGAAGCAATTACGATAGACTCGTTCCTGCCGCGATGTCAGTACGAAAACAATGTAGGTGTGTGATGGAGCCAAGGCTGCACTCTTGCCATTGGCGACGAACGACTACCACCTTCTCCGATCCCATATCACTGGCAGCAACCTCTTCCAGCAACGAGCTGCAGGCCTTTTCATTTGAGCATCTTCAGAATACTGCAGCCTCTTTTCTGTACTCTCGTTTTGGTTTCGACATCATCCAAGCAACAGCACAGTCTTGCATATCTTCCTCGAGCATACTTGAACGCATAAATGGATGGAGGACAACGTGAAAAGGGAAAGAAGCCGGTCTTCACAGTTGAGCGAGGAAACGCGCCTGGTCATCAGGGATGGCCGCCAGGCATGCGCCCTCTCTCAGACATTCGAGAACTTACTGAACCTAGTCTGGTCGATCCTCTGGAGAAGAGACCAACAATTAGCATCCATCGTCAACCTAGCACTAGTCGGCAAAGCTCGCTCAGAAGAGGCCCTTCACTGAAACATGCTGGTTCGGTCAGGATTATTGAGCCAGTCGAAAGCTCCGGCTCGAGCTATCGAGAAGATTTGGTCGCATCCGTGTCGACTATCGACACACCGGAAAGCTTTCGAGACGAGTCGAGTCTATACAGCATACCCATCTCGAGCATACCCGCTCGACAATCTTCAATCACTCGCGATCGTCCCAGACATCACCGAAGCATCACGTCCAGATCGTCTCCTTCTCCTCTCCAACGAAATGTCAGCCGAACCATTCCATATCGCGGACAGACTCGTTCTCCAGTCAAGCAAATTAGAGCTCGCTTGGATGCTGTCGGGTCCGATACTGCAAGACGAACACCCTCTGGTACCTTCATTCGGAATCCTGTCCCACGCGATATCCTCGAGTTCCCCACTCATCGCCATCCTCGTATTGGAGTTGATCTACAGATCGCAGCCCCTTTGTTCGTTGGCGGAGGCACCGTCGAGGGTCTCGTCAGAGTCATTGTTGATGAGGCAGACAAGTCACGCAGTAAGAAGAGCCTAACACTTGGAAGGATCGCGGTCGATCTTGTTGGGACAGAGGAGACATCGAGTAATCGCAAGGCAATCTTTCTGTCACTGGGAACGGAGCTGATCGACTCAACCCATCCACCACCTCACAACATGGTGGAACCACAAGACTTTCCAGATGCAGATTGTTTCTGGTCTCTGATACCTTCCTTCACCAGTCTACCATTTGTTATCAGCCTGCCACTGGATACTGGGCCACCACCTTTTCACTCAAAACATGCTCGCATTCGGTTTGTACTTTGTGCCACCATCCTGATCAAGGATGGAGACCGACAATACTTGGTCCGATGCTCCGAAGACGTATCCGTGCTGCCCACTTATGACCGTACGTTTGTTCTTGTAAGCGAAACTGTTAGGACAGTCACTGATGGCCTAGTTATAGCAGAGAAGGCTTTGAGATCACTACCGAGCCCGCTGACCGCATCCGATGAACAATCCTTCTCGCGCACCGGACTCCTCGAAACAGCAAAGTTGACTGCGGGTCTTCACCGACAAGTTTGGGTTAGTGGCAGCAGCATCTTCGTTGACGTACATATCGCCAATGGCAGTCGCAAGACTATTAAGAAGCTTGATTTGAGTTTGGAAAGAGACATATTGTGCTACAGACATGTAAGCTAAAACGTCGTGGCTGATATTCTGCTCGTGCTGACCACTATCAAGGCAGCAGCGGCTACATTGGAGCAGTCTGCCAGCCAAGCAAGGATATTCGAGAGCAATGAGCGATCGATATTAAGCAAGCATAGCATGAAGCAAGGTGCCCACGGGTGGAGTGGTGTGGAAGCATATGGATCTGTCACAAGAACATGCGATCTCGAAATCCCAAGAGGGCACGTTACTGTCAAATGCGGTATGTTGATCGGCTCCGCCACGATCAAAAGTTTCTGATGTTTAGACAGGCAACTACTTCGAGGTACGCTACTTTCTCAACATCACTGTTGGAGGCTCTCGCACGTAAGTCACACGAAACCGGATCCAGCAATCTGCTCTGAAACTAAACAGAAGCTTCCACAGAAAGATGTTATCTGTTCAACTGCCCATAATCGTCATCCACATGGTACGTAAGCCAGAATACTTTGCCGAACAAAATCTGACTCAAGCAGAATTCACTGGACGTCTTACCAAACTCCGTAGCTCAGGTGGCTGCAGCCATTGAAGAGAAGCGTTCACATCCTCGCAATCACAAGCGCACCACATCTCAAGGCTCTGTCCAGGTTGCTCAGACTTCGGCTTCGCCAGGACGAGCGCCTGTTACTGCTTTGACAAGACCATCTCGATTGCCAGGTCGAGCCTTTGCAGCACCAAGACAACAATCTCTCGAGCGTATGCGCGCTTCAGCGGCAGACCTTCGACAACTTGGAGAGACTCTAGAGTCTTCACCACGGAAGCATCAGGTACCTAAACGATCTGCCGAAGCCAAAGCTCCTCAACGCAGCAAATCTAGCGGGAAAGAAAATGCCAGGACAGGTAACACAAGGATTGTGTCTAGGCCAGCACGCGAGGTTCACAAACAGCCAAGCAACCTGGCCACCGGAGGCATCAGCGTTGGGAGCTACACCATCTTCAGTCATAACAACTTTGACAGCAACAGTGCTAGTTCTTCCACCGGCAACGGCATGATGGAGTACGTCACGCCTCCGTCAAAGCGCAGGGAAAAGTTCTTCTCATCACCGGTCAAGATCGATGGCAAGGGTGTCGGCTCTGCTCTCAAACATGTCCGCAGCATCGACAGTTTCCGAAGTCACAAGTCGGCAACGTTTCAATGGCGAGATCATTTCGGCAAAGAGAAGGAGGGACCGCCAACTCGAGTCCCTCCTCCTCCTCCTCCTCCTCCACCACCGTCGAAGCCACCTACAAATATCAGACCCAGGACACAGCAACAACACTCGTCGATGCCGTTTATGCTGGGTTCGGGAAACCAACCGCCACCTAGGCCAATCAGAGAGTCGTTCGAAGACCAACTCCGAGAACAGCGTGACGAGCATATGAGACTGCCAGACAAGAGCAGGTTCGAGTTCAAAGCTGTGAGCAAGAAGAGCAGTGCAATGGGATTGAAGAATTGGCTGGGTGAAAGACTCGGTCGGTCAAGTCGTTGACGAGGGTCGTATTACTGAATAGAAATAGCAAGGGAGGACTGTTGTTGGCTTTAGCAGAGAGCAGGCTTGGTATGATTGTAGGAGCATAAAACAGACCTGATGAATAACATGACCATGATCATCTTACAGACAACATCGAACAGCACAGCATCACGAGAGAACAAGAGTGAAAACAAGAACCCGCGAGTCGTATGAAAAACACAATCAATTTGCATTGATCGAAGCGTACAACAACACTCCGCTCTTCAATGCTGCCAATAAATGGATGCTCTGCAGGATAATATCCACCCAATAAGCCCTTGTCCCTCCCAATGCTCGCTCTAAACAAACGCCTTGTGTCTTCATCAAGCCTGTACTCCTGTTGAATAAACAGCGAAAAAACAAAATCAAATCGAGAACGCCTCTGGGATGCCAGTTTGAATTGCACGATTGTCCACAAACAACGCCTTCCTGGAAAGTAGTATCATCGTGTCATGTTCTGGGGAATAAAGTATACAACCGAAAAAAGAATAAAAAGAGAAATACGAAAATTTGCAAGACTGCTTTTGAGTCCCGGGTGAGAAGGACGAAGAAACATTCTCCTCAACGTCTCTTGGGTGTTGCAAGAGCAGCCAAGCGAGCTGCACTCAACATGCCCGGACGCTTCTCCTTGGGCTTCTGAGTGAACGACTTTGGTCTCACGCCCACTGTAGGAATCTTCTTGACTGGAGTTTTCAAGGAAGCTGGAGTCACTGATGGACGAGTGGGTCCGGGCTTGTCGGATCTGGCTTTCTTTGCTGGACGATGCTCGATGTCGTCGTCGTTTTCCTTGTCGCTCGCTGGGGTGGTGGTGGTGTGGGCTTCTTTTCTCAAATCCTCGTTGTCGGCTTTGCGTTTGGTACCGGTTACTTTGGGGAGCTCGGGGGAGTGTTGGACGGAGCGGATGGAAGGTGCGATTTCTTGGGAAGTGGTGCGACGGGGCGAGGGTGCAAAGGTGATAGCTTGTGCACCTGCGCGGAAGGTGAAGTCGTTGGGGGTGCCAGCCATAGTCATGCGACGATAAGCCTTCTTAGGTCGGTCGGCGGTGTCAGATGTAGCGGGTAGAGCAGGATAGGTAATGGAAGATTGCTCGCCAGTCTTGGAGGGAGGAGAGGAGGCCTTGGTGGGAGTGTCAGGGGTCTCTTCGGCTTGGTCGAGAGCCTTGGTCGAGGCAGAAAAGTCGACATGCTTGATGACAGGGCAAGTCTTGGGAGGTGGAGGGGGTCCAGCCTTTTCGGCATCCGGGATGGCGTTAGGTGGAGTTGACAAGTGTGTGCCGTTGGCGACCTTGAAGGGATCGTCCGAGTACAAGCGCTGTGGAGTGCGCAGGATAGACTTGACCGGAGACTGGCGCAACAGGTTGAAACGGGCGAACAGACTAGGCTTTCCCGGAGTTTGTTGAGCAGTGTCGACGGAGCTCTGAGACATGGAGATTTTGGCAGGCGAACGGGCGAGTAGAGGCTGTTTGTTGTGCTTCTCTTTGGATGCATCCTTATCCTCGTGACCTTGAAAGACATTGGCAGTCTTCTTGGCGGGTGATCTAGCAAGGAAAGGAAGCTGGGAAGCAGCATCGGGAGACGTAGGAGCAGCAGTAGTCTTAGTTGAAATTGGGTGTTTGGCCGGACTACGACTGAGCAGTGGGCTCTCGGGCGCCTCGGGCTCAAACTGAGCGATACGATCAGCCATAGTCGACTTGACTGGCGACTTCATAGGGGACTTGGATAACAGTTGTGGGCGTTGGTCCTGTTGTTTGTCTCGAGCCTGGTCTGCCTGGACACTTGCACTCGTCATGTTCAACCTGACGGGGCTGCGTTGGAAGGCAGGGATCATGGTTGTGCGACGGGCGGATTTGGCCGACTTGAGTATAGACTGGGGAGGCTTGACAGAGCGGGGTGTCATGTTTGATTTGAGAGCACTCTTGAGGATGGGCTTGGGGGTAGCGTCAGGGCGCGAAGTGGCAGCATCGTCGTCTGCCGCACGCTTGACGCGCTTGGCCGGACCTGCCTCAAGATTGCTGTGCGATGAAGGGCGAGGCAGAGACGTGGACGAGGACGACGAGGATGGACGCTCGAGCTCGGCTTTGGAGGGCGACCGCTTGAGAGTTGAAGGCTTGTCGGTGCCCAGCGGGCGGTTGTCTTTGGCTCGGAAGGCTGAGGGGTGGTCGGCAATCGAGTCCATCTTCTTGAAAGCCTTCATGTGCACGTCGCTGAAGCGGCTGACCTTTCCTGCGGGTGTAGCTATCTTACGGCCCAAGACGTCGCTGGCTGACGGCTGACCCTTCTGTGTAGCCTGCATCTCGATTCGGATCTTCGCCGCCTCTCCTCTTGTCTCGTCCATCAAGGCGCGGGCCTGGGGGCTCAGGTTCAAGGTAGGCCGCTGGAAGGTGAAGCTGAAGTCGGGAGCGCTGTCCATGATGTTCTGTGTAGCTTTGGGTGTCTTGGTGGGTGTTTGCTGGCTGGTCTTGTTGCTGCTAAACCCGAGCCACCTAGCTTCGTCAAGGGGCTTGGCTGTGCTCATCTGGTATTTCTGAGGATGCATCTCTTGCACACTGGGTTGGATAGGGGTGCCGTCACGGGGAGTTTGAGTGCTTCTGGTCGGCGTGGGTTGTGGCTCATCATCTTCGTCGAGGGCCGACAGCTTGGGAGCAGTGCGTGGTGTCTTGATAGCATTTCTGTCGACGTCCATGTCAGACACTCGCTCAGGCTGCTTGAATGTCAGCGCGTCGCACGTATGATCGATGTCGAGGTCAAGGTTACCTGTGGCGTGGCCGACTGCTTTGCGCGGATTCTGGCTGACGCGCGGCGTGCCATTGTTGCTGTGTGAGTCGAGGATTTGGAAACAGAAAGTACAAACAAGATGGTCCTTCTGGCTCGCCAGGGTGGGTTGACTGGTACAATCTACAGCGTTGGATGGATGGATAGCACGAACAAACAAGCGCTCTCGAAGCTCCCCCAATTTTCAACGGCCCGCGCGCAAAAATCAAAACAATGACGTCCATCCCAATTCTACAGCAACCAATTGCACAGACCTCTCCTCTCGACACACAGAGCCGCCGTGAACACTTTGTTCATCCGCTGCGCATCAACAAGGCTCTTGGGCTCTCCATGCTACGACCTCTCCCGAGTCTCCGTACCCACTCAGACATCCCTCTCAATGTGGTCCAAAAGACATGCCTCGAGTCGAGCACATCAAAACGAATTTCCTGAAACTGATATGACATCGGCCCTACGTGACGATTCGAGTACTTAGTCAAGATCATCTTTAGATCGCTTGTCCAGACGCCCAGCTTTCCAGAACCATCCAACTTGAGTCCATGCTTCATAATCAATCCTTATACACCAAGACAATTTCCCCTGTATCCCGTGATTCTCTTCTTGACATATACACACCATCGATATGGCTCATCCTACTCAGAACAAGCAATGGCTCACCAACCAGGATGGTTTGGATAAGCTCCACAGAGGCGAGGCTTCCGTTCCTCAGCCTGGAGAAAAGGAGGTCCTGGTCAGAATCCAGGCCGTATCATTGAATTATCGCGATACCGAGGTCGCAAATGGCCTCTACAACCACCACAAAAGTCTGGACGAGAACAACAAATCACTCGTCCTGGCGTCCGATATGTGCGGCACCATTGTGAAAGCTGGGCCTGGCGCATCTCTGAAAGAAGGTCAGAGAGTCTTGTCCATCTTCCTCCAGACCCACCAGACCGGCCAGGTTCAGGAAAGCGATATGGCTTCTGGAATGGGCCTGCCTCTGGAGGGCGTTCTCCAAGAGTACCGTGTCTTCCCCGACACTGCTCTTGTCACCGTGCCCGACTACATGACCAACGAGGAGGCTGCAACTCTGCCAATTGCCGGCACCACTGCCTTCATGGCTATGAACTGGATGCAGCCAATGGGAAAGCCCATCACCAACCCCGAGACAACTGTCTTGTTCCAGGTACGTGCATGAGGACCACAAGTCGACATCCCCGGTTCTGCCCTTTGATTCGCGTAGAAGTCTTTGCGTCGCAGAAGTGCTTCTAGGAGGTGTTTCCAGCTGTCGAGGACCGCTTGTTGCTATACTTTAGCTTCAACAGGAACATCATGCTAACGATTCTACCAGGGTACTGGAGGTGTGTCTATTTGTGGTTTGCAAATCGCCAAGGCGTGCGGATTGAAGGGTGAGTGCATGTATCGTCTTGTGTCTTGAACATCGAACTAAACCATGAAAAGCCATCGTGACTTCGTCCTCGGATGAGAAGCTCGAGAGGGCCCGCCAGCTTGGAGCCGATTACACCATCAACTACAAGAAGTTCCCCAACTGGTCTGAGAAGGCCATGGAGTTCACCAAGGGTAAGGGTGTCGACATTATTCTTGAATGTGGTGGTGCCCAGACCGTACGCCAGAGCTTCGACTCTATCGCATTCGGAGGCCTGATCTCGAGCATCGGCTACCTCTCCGGTAAGCAAGATACAGAGAGCGATGCCCTCAACATCAACGTCCTAGCCTTGAGGCGCAATGTCACTCTCAAGGGTCATATCAACGGCCCAAAGGACAGATTCGAAGAGATGCTGCAACTATACGCACAGAAGCAGATTCACCCTGTCGTGGACAAGGTATTCAGCTTCGACGAGGCAAAGGACGCTATGCAGTACCTCGCCAAGGGCGGTCATTTCGGCAAGGTCGTCATCAAGGTCGCATAAAAATAGCCACGAAATGAAAATCAAGTCATGCATTATCGCTCACCGTTATTATCGTGAAAATGTGAAGGCTGGCTTGGTCAGGAATGTAACAGCTTATGCCTGCCTGCACAGTACGTATATTCACCGCCTCGAACCTGCCCGAAACTGTTCACCGTCTAGCGAAGCGATGCTGGATTCCTGCGTCTGGTCCGAGAGTTTCGTGGGCAGGTTTGAAGCCAGCGATTGTGATGGCCCTAATTGATTTCTTCTTGGTGTTTGTTTGTTTGTTTTCGCATGACGTCTGCATTTCGGTGAAAAAATCAAGCTGTGGGGAGAGCAGCCTCCTAAGTACTCCTGTTGTACAACCGTATCAACGGTCAATAAGCCGTGGCGCTGCACATGCGGTATGAACGATTACCAACAGGAGGGGCTGGCAACGTGCGTTCAATGCAAGATTATCGCCCGCTCCGGCTGAGGGCCAATGGCCCATGTGCTTGGTCGCTGAGCCTGCTGTGCTCGTCCGACACGGTGGCTCTCAGGCTCGTTGCATTGACGGCGGACGGTTGCCTGCCATGGATCGAGGAGAGTGTGTCGGAGAGAGGTGGCATCCCAATGACACGTTGTTTGGTCCGGCAGGTGATGAGCAGGGGCAAGGCCAACCGCCGCGGGTGTCGGAGTCGACCAGTTCGATCTGACAGATTTGACAGTGGCCGTGACTGCCTTCTGAAGCTGTCAGTCTAGTTCGGAACGAGCCCTCAGGCAAGTCATTTGGCCGCATTTCTCGCCTTAGAAAGAGCATGTGGATAGAGGTTTGACCATGTTGTATTACTGGAAACCCACGTGCCAGTGTACCAGGGCTCGCTTTCGGTCGTGTTACACGACAGCAAACAGCAACGATCCTTCACACATTTAGAGCTTAATTACTCCTTGCAGAAATCCTCACTTGACTTCAAGATAGTGCGCCTGTTTCTTGAAGTGAGCTTTACAACGGCCTCTTCTCCACCCACGCCGCCGTTGGATGTTACGAACACTCCGACTCTCGATCCTCTCTCTTCATCTTCTTCCATGTCGATACATATATCGCCATCGAAGCCCACTCTCAGCAGCGACATTCTCGAACATTACACAATGTTGAGCACAGCACCTGCAGCAGATGCCCCGCGCTTCGGCTTTGAGTAAGTCCAATCTATCTCTTACTTGGATGCACAAGTTGCATCCAGCCATTGTGCACCGATTTGGTGACGTACCTTGGAGGCTTGAACTAGTTGCTGACAATAGCTGCACAGAAGAAAGTTGAGCACTTCAATCCAGCGTTTGCGAGCCAATAGCATTCATCATGAACGCTCCTTCGGAATCAACGAGCCCTCCAAGTACGATCTACGCGCCCTGGTTGAGAGATCGTCACACTTATGCATTTCCAGGTCCCAGCTCTATCTCCAAAGACTAAAGGCAATTAACCGCCGTGGTGGCCATGATCTGAACAACGAAGAGGCTCTCTTCTTTCTCTCATTGCCTGACAAGATTCGCCGTCTTCACTTCACCCCCGAGGAAAACATCCTGATGCGTGCCGCATGCGAGTTGCAGCTCTCCAAGCAGCCTCGCCACGAGAGCGCCCGTCCACTTCCACTTAGATCTTGGACCGACGGCGGCGCTTCCAGCAGCCACAGCTACGCCAGTTCGTCCTTCAGCCGCAACACCATGGCTGGAACCGCTTCTGTTCCTTCGACGCCAAACACTTCTGATGGTGGTTACCCTTCAGTGTTTAGCAGCCGCACCTCATCCCGCCCACGCACAGAGTCAATCGTATCGTCTAATTCCTCCGTTCGTCCTTTCAACCCACTGGGCTGCCACCCTCTCGGAAGTTCTCGTACCACCATCATGTCACAGAGTCCCTTCGATTACACCAAAGCCGTTACAAAGGCTCCCGATACCCCAAGCTCCACCACTAGACAGTACTTGGACCCTAAGACCAGGATGATGATTCGTCAGTGTACCGCCTCTCCCGAAGCCTTCGATGAAGTTCTCAACTTTGGATACCAAACCGAAGAGGATCCCTCTGCTTCAAGCTCCCCCACAACTTCGGACTATCAACTCAACGAAGGCTTGAGCTCATCGGATGGCACGTCTGATGATGAGGACGACTACACGCTCGACACAGATGACGATGATGATGAGCCCTGGACTCCCGGCTACGATGACTCCTTTGTCACTAACTGGGAAATGCCTTCGCCCTATTCTCCGGTTCAGCGTTTCGACAGCAGCTGCTTCCGCACCAAGCAACGCCCGATGACTCTGCGTGTCACTCTGACCAAGCCCGAGAACAAAGTCCTGGACGACTCGCCTGTCTGTGCATCTAAGCCAGGTCAGGACTACTACTCGAACCTCAGAGTTGAAGACCCTCTGGCACTCGAGCGACTCACCTTCTCTGACGATGTCACTGGAAGATACGGAGCTTTTGCCGTCACACCCACCAAGGACGCCAGCAAGATGAAGAAGTTGTTGAAAAGATTGACCTCACCTGCTTTCTGAGAGAACGATGTAAAGGATTTCAGTTGCACGGGAGCTGTTTCACATTCAACGAGCTGTAATGGCTAGCAAAATACGAGGACGGTCCAGAGGACAACAGCAAGAACAACAACTATACCCAATCCCAACACCATCGGGGATACATTTCTATCACATCATGTTTTAACGACCAACACTCCCGAGAAAAGGGACATAACAACAACAACCCAAGAATAATCGGCTTTTTCTATTCTCCAGCTTTCCAGCTCCGTTTTTTTATTTGCTTTTTTTTTTTTTTCTATGTCAAAGATACCACATTCAGCGCAAAGGCGGAAAGAAAGAGAGGGAGAAGTCAAGAGAAGAGAGCAAGAAATTTATGGCTATGGATAAACCAGAAATGTCACCAATCGCTTTCTTTTGCTCGTAATCATTTTGCATCGCTCCTTCTCTGTGCCAGCCAAAATGGAAATGCAAGGTTGAAAAAGCACTCGCGGTGCAATGCACTTTCAAATGTGCTATACACGTTTTGTGAATCTATTCCTATACAGCTAGGTACAACAGTACAATTGGATAACAGTACAAACAGTACAACCGCTAACCGACTACTTAAAGCAAGAATGTACATGTGTATACCTTCCAGAATAAGCTTACTATACATCCTGCATAGTTCTACGTTTTATCTCTTTGACCCTGAAAATATGTATGACCGTTGGCCGAAGAGAAGATACACCAAATAGCAAACTCTATTGGTGTTGGAAGATAATCACCGCTATCATGATAACATCTGCATGGTGTGCAGATGGGGAGGGGGTGAAAACGCATGGTTTAAGCTGAGTTTAACGGTGGCTTTTCTGTGGCTATAACAGCTCAAACCGTTTGGCCTTTTCGCTTCCTCCGAACCACTCCATGCAGATACTAAGGGGATACGGGGTCTCTCGTCTTTTCGCGTTTACTCAGACGCCTAGGCATGTCCGCATTGATGGGAAACGTCCAAAACGATACGGGAGGGGAAACGACCTTCGGCCTGGAATTGGCCCCCCAAAACCACACCGTTGCGTGTGTGGGTGTGTGGATGTGGTGGATGCCTGGTCGTTCAACAAGGGTCCGTTACAAGTGGCTGAACACATGTTCTCCTGGATAATATAGATATAATATACCGAGGGCGCGTAAGGTTCTCGTTCGACTGGGCAACCATATAACGACAGTCTCGATGGGCACCATACAGAGGCTTACTCTCCTGGCATTCACCACACAGACATTCCCCCCCCCCGTAGCACTACAGATAACCCCACATCATGGTACCATGGCTTAATCGTCTTCTTCTTATTGCCATCGACAGCAAACATACAAACGCAGGAGGGACACGGGGTCTACACACCGGAAATTGACACAAGCGACGGCAAAGTGAAGATCAGCATGGAGTGCAGTGTAAACGAGTTTCAATCTCAATGTTTTTTGTTTGCATTCTCGGCATTAAACAACAACCGGTGATTGGAGAGATATTGGATGATTTGAGAAGAAGTCCCCGGAACCGACTGTGTCACTCCCACCTACAAACCTTCCACATACCAGACGTGAAAGAGGGTGAGTGGACCACAGGGTTCTGGAAGACTCCAAAAGACCTTTCCTCCTACACATCGGCAGGACGTCCTTCTCCGTTCTTGCCAGCCGCCAGGGTTGGAGAGAAAGACATTTGGTGCACAGAGTCCAGCCCATATCGCGAGTCCGAACTAGCGGCGCTCAAGACATGGCAAGACGTACCGAATGATCAACCGACTTACTCAGACCGAACTAGCAGTTCTGAGTTGGGGGATGGACCCATACAGCACTTGTGTATGCCATGTGCAGCCAGCAACCTGGGAGATGGTGAGCATACCAGACACTCGTCATAGCCCGGGATTGGCTGGCTCGGTTCCCTAACTCGAAGAACATACTCGCACCACCAGGGCATGAGGCAGTTCCTCGAGCCTTGCTGACCCTGACGATCCCTGGTCTCCGATTCTGGCTAGCAGACTTCAAAACACCAAGAATACTTGAGGGCATCAACAAACGAAACCGAGAAGGAAAGGTCGAACGCGTCCAGCGCGGTCCTGTGAGATGTGTAAAGAAAACCAAAGAGTCCTGCCCTTTTGAAGCCGCGAGGCTTGTGATGTCTCCTTTTTCGCTTTCCCATGCAATCGTAACCTGCGTTTGCATAACATTCATGACACGAAAAGAAACCAAGGAAGAAAGCACTGCTGTCCAGCAACAGGGAAAATGTCAAAAACACAAGTACGAAAACAAAAACCAGCAACGCTTGCTCAACAAGGCCCAATAAAAGCAAAATGCAAAATCGCTCGCTCAAATGACGGAAGAGATGAGTAGGAAAAAGATAAGACGCCGCCATATGCGCTGAAAGAAAGAGCCGTGTCGAGGCTCAGGCTTGTACCAGTGTAGGAGATCGCATCGCATCGCATCTAGGTCGGGTGTTGTTGTCGATAGTCCATATGATCGGGTGCATTGGCTCTTGGGCACAGCTGCGTCCAAGCTCATGACGTGGCGGTTGGGATGGGCCAGATCACCAACCCGAGATTCATGTCATCAGTGTCGCCAATCGAATCTTGGTGTCGAGCGACACGTGTTTAAGATGCAATGCTAGATAGTAGCATACTGTGGAGCGAAGGCATTGAAACTCCAGCCTAGACCATCGAAGCCAGTACTTGCCATGCTTGTGCCACACGATGGCAGGGTGCTCGGCAGCATCATGGGCATAGAAATGGCAGATATGCCACTATCGATTTGAGCCGAGGAATAGAAGGGCGGCTCGGAGATGCTGACAGGGGACTGGCTGTATGATGGTGTCGGAGAAGGAAGCTGAACAGGATCCATGTCGAGGGACGACCAATACTGTGGCGGAGCGCTGGCAGCACTTGTCCCAGGATTCGAGGGCAAGATCTGCCACGGGTCTACCGGATTGGGCACCAGAGCGTAAGCTTGAGCAGGCTGCCACCACTGACCAGGCATGAAACAGGCGTTTGGCATGATAGGAGCCGGGGCAATCAAGTCGACGATTTGCGGAGGAGGAGGAAGAAGAGGCAGGAACAGGTTCATGATAGCGGCCTTGACGTCGTTGCTGCGGCCTTCTAGCAGCTCACCAGCACCTCCCTCTTCGAGGCCCTCTAGAGCGCGGACAGCTGTACGGTAGACAAAGCGGTTGACGGCTTGGACGAATGCTTCTTGCATCTTCTTGATCTGGTCGTCCTTCTCTGGCCAGGCATATGTACTGGCTGCGATGTCGACCGAGTATATGTCATTGTGGTAGTCTATCAGAGTGTCGATGGTATCCTGGGTCAGCTTGAAAGCGACCTCATGCTGGGAAACCATGTCGACATGGACGACGTATGCTTGGACAGGAGTCAGGGTGTAGTTTGCGATGGCTTCTCGAAGCGGGTCCGAATCTTTGCGCAGTTTCGAGTGTGGAGCATTGGGTAGCATGAGCGACGATAGAAGCCAGATGGCAGATGGAGCACCCAAGGTCTCTGTCAGGAAGCGATCGTGCTGGGGCACGTTATTGAGGGGACGCTTGACAAGACTGATGCGTTTGAGTGTTTGCGTGAGCCATACTTCGACACGGGAGCCTAGCACAATGGTGGGATTCGACCGAGGAGCAAAAGCTGCTGCCGACGCGGGGAGCAGCTGTAGAGGCATTGCTGCCAGCAGCAGGGGTTCTGCACAAGGCTGTGTATGGGCGTGGTATGGACTGTTGGTAGATGCGATGCGATGCGATGGTACAGATTCTGGCGGGTATTATCTTTTCCGGAGCGGTATTGGGCCTGTCGGCCAGCGTTTGGAGTGGCGCGTTTTGCTTGCTGTGTAGGTTAGTAATTAGTAGCGAGGACAAATTAAGAAAATAGGAAAGTGGTTGCGTGAGGCAGGTGCTCTGTGGCAAGAGAGTGGTTGAAGAAAGCCTTCTCTGATAGCGGGGCTATTCTGTATTTGAACAGCCAAAAGTCCAACCTGTACATGTACACGGCTGACGGTGGCTATGCCGCGGCACATCCATCATGCACGAACAAGCCCGCCCTCGATGAGGTGCCTGCGAGCGTGCATGCTGAGACTTTGATCATATCGCGACTCGCTTCTTCTATTTTCGTTCCCGGCTGCTTCCTGCTTGTGCGAGCAAGTCGAGCAGTAGTGACTAGGGATACCTGCTGCCCGCCCACGCGCCCTCCGTCCCGACAACACGACTTACTCGTCAGCACTGCCATGCTGTGCTCGAGCACTAGTTCTACCCTGAGCATATTCTGCGCTTGTGTCTTGCTTTTCCCCCTCGCTAGTCTTCATGCTCCTCGAAAGCGTCTGCTCGCGCAGGGTTCATGCATACGCCGAACTTCCACGCTGATGCAGGTGCGCATTATGCTTGCTTGCGGCTTTCCTCGAGGAGCCCGCCTATTCTGCGACTACAGCTCCATGGTGTGAACTAAGACGGTTTCCCCGACCAATGACACGCCAAAGGAGCCTTTTCATCTCTGTCAGCCCTGACCTCCATCAGCTTTGTGCTCGCCGGAACAGGTACTTCGACTGGCGCTTCCTGAAACTTGATATAATTTGCTGAATGTCACTTTGTCTGAACTTCTTGTTCTATCTTTCTCCTTGCTTGATGAGCTTCAAGGCACGCTCAGCCCTCAGTCAACTACTCAGTCTTCCATCCTGACCTCAAGTTACACCCGGACGTCGGTGTCCATGAGAAGCGTGGATTTTATTGCGGCTGTGCACAGCTGTGTGGCGTCGGTCAAGGCCGACCACGGAATATCTAACTCTGTCTTCAGCTATCAAGTCTCACACATAAGTTTCGCCTCTAGGTGTTGCCTGCCAACACACGAATCGAGGCATCATCCAACTTTAGCAGTCGACCTGTTTCCTATTCGAGCCTACAACATGCTTGGTCTTAGTGAGCAGCATCACACAGCTGTCCATCACAACTTTATGGAACGAGATGAGAGGCAAGTCTATACTGACTACTATCTAGAGCATACACTGAGTGCTGTCTGCTACCAACCCATTACACCAAGTCTTCGAGTGACTTCGTCTGAGCATAAGAACAACTATGGAGCACAATGTCTAGTCTCGCTTGAAAGCCCGAACACACCACAACGGATCACTTCCGCTCATGCCCATCCTTTGCATGAAGCCTTGCAATCCTCCTTGATCTTCTGCCGGGACATTTGCAGCGTCTCCTTCCTTGATGTCAATGATCTCAATGTCCTTCCAACCAGCAAAGTGAAGGTAATCTCCGACCATCTGCAAACGCTGTTCTGGTGTCCTGTTCATCCATGCGCTTGTCGCTTTGGTTGGAAACATTCTGGAGGATACGATGATCTGACAGCTACCTCCTGATCTCGTCAATTGCCTGACACTCTCCAAGACTTCTGTCGGGCGAGTCAGGTAATCCAGGCTCACAACGCAAGTTGTACAATCTAGTAACCCGTTCTCACTGTCGACACTATCTGCGCTTTGTAGTCCACTGACAGCGTGCTCGTCGCAGACAGTGAGGGGAATATTGGGGTCCTCATTCAAGTCTTGCAGGATTCGTTTGTGCAGGACTTGATTTTTCTTGAGCTCGGCTTGATTCATCCCTAGGCCAACGACCTTCAGTTCACCCTGTGCTGCTGCATTCTCGACAGCTTGCGGGTAGTGACTGATCCATGAGCTACAAAGATCCAGGATTCGACCTTTTCGTGGCAAGACGGTGTCATAGTATCTTCTGAGGCTCGCTATGGCAGCATCGTCGATGTGAGTAACGAATCTACTGTCGCTATAGAACGAGTTGTCTGGAGTCTCGTCCATGCGTTTGAAGTCGGCTGAAGAATAAGGCCATGTTTGGTATTCGGGTCGATATGGTACAGCAGAGCCGTTCCACGCCTTCTCAGGATCGCTGATCTGGCTGACGCTCGACATCTTTGCAGCGAGATATGATGTCGTTGTGACTGCGATTGCTGACAAGCCTGCGATTTGGAGTCGGCGACTGGCTGAGATGATAGGGATCATGTGTGATCTTGCTCAAGTTCAGAGCTCTGTCGGTTCGATCAAATGGCCATGTTTCGTGGGACTTTGTATGACCTTCCATGACGCAGTCGATGCAGGCACGGCTGCAGTTGCACCGCTCGGGTAGACTTGCCATATCCCAGGTTTACCGCTGAGGGAACCACCCTGACATAACAAAAGCTGTAGCTCTCAGAGCTTCATTTATCACGAGTACTCGTCCTGGCGATCTTTTGAGAAGGTAGCAGACTATTACTTCGATGGTGCTCAGATGATTTCTGGTTGTTGTCTTTGGAGCACAGTTTTCGGCAATCGCGATCTGCTTCACGCGGACAAACAAAACATGCTCAGGTTGCTACAGTACACAATATGAGTTCCAAACAACTCGGATCCTGCAACACTCGCAACACACAGATGACACCCTCAAATGCCCGACATGAGTAATGATGCTGTTCTTCATATCTGCCATGGCTTTCTTTTCTAACCAAAATCCTTGACTCAAACCCAAAGATTATGTGAACCAGTCGAGGATGAGCTTTCCAACATGTGTCTCTTGGCTGGAACATATCAACTGCAGTCCGTCGCTCCGATTTGTTGAAATTCTAGAGAATACCACGAGATTAGAGCCTCATAGTCGTCTCCAAGATCAAATTGACATCACATCGATGGCACGGCCAAGAATACACGCCTACATGGCTAACAAAAAGCCAATGTTCTCACACTTCATGCCCCGATAGATCGATCAACAGCTCTTTGTTTCTGCTTTGCTATCTCCAAACCGGTCTCTCACAGTTTATTCGTGAAATGCCGACATGTATGGTGGATGGAAGCAAAGAGCATCGAAACAGAATCGATGCTCTGTCGGTTCAGCTTTCGAGAGCTTCTACTCTGGTAGAACAGCAACCAGACACTACAGCACTACACGCACAGTTTGAAGGTAGAGAGTTGTACGATTACCGTGCAACCTGGACATTCGAGGAAGAATCAAAGGTCAAACTGAAAACCGACATACGGCTTCTCGGTTGGCTCTCGATCATGTTCTTCGGTAAGACATCGCATCTTGAAGCCTGATCAGTCGCTGACATGTTTGAGCGGCGCAATTGGATAGCACGAATATATCAAATGCCCTTGCGGACAATTTCCTCCATGACCTTGGGTTCACTATGACGGAATATGGTAATGTGTGTCTGTGACTTGCAGCCGGCATTCTCGTCACTCAGCTAAACTAAGCAGGGCACGATGATACACCGTATTTGCTTCTTGATTGGAGGGCTCCCGTCTCAAATGATTGCCATGCGTTATGGATATCGGTATCTTCTTTCTGGACTGTTGTGTGCATCAGGAGCCGTAGGTGAGTAATAATCCGTTCCGAATATGACTCAAAGTACTGACCCAAGACTTTCTAGCCTGGACTCAAGCTTGGATGCAAAGTGCAGCTGGGTTCTATTTTACCAGAGGTCTGATAGGATTACTTGAAGGTGGATTCGGACCATTGACGGTGATGTGCTTATCCAATTTCTACACCAACAAGGAGTTGGGCTTTCGAATAGCCATACTGAGTTCTGGGATCAACGTAAGTCTCTCTTGTACCGTCGAGATCGAACAATATCTTACATCTAATAATCACCAGATTGCAAGAGCACTGTCCACTTTACTGGCTGCTGGCTTGCTTACTATGCGAGGAACGGCTGGTAGACCAGGTACTATGTGATCCCTGCCACACTAGTTATCCTATTACTGACATAGGATGGCTAGGTTGGTTTTGGTTGATCCTGATCAACGGCTTACTGATCTTCGTGATCGGACTTGCGGTAAGGTTACAGACTTACAAACGCATACACATATCTGATCGAATGTAGAGTATATTCTACCTGCCCTCTGGACCGACAAGGACTCAGACAGTCCTCTGGAGGAAGCCGTGGTTCACAAAGAGGGAGCAAAGTGAGCCACTTCTAAGTAATATCAGCGTTAGAGGTGTGCTGATGTCAAAAGTGATCGCGATCAACAGGCTGCTCAGAGACGACGCTTCGAAAGGCAGGACAGGCTCCAAAACTCGCGCAAGCATGCGCGATATCTGGAACACATTCAAAGATCCAGGTAAGTTCTCAAACAAGCGTGATGATTCGGACGCTCATCTATGTACAGGGTTGATCGGTTTCTGGTTTTGCGCCATGATCATCTACATTCCCAAAAGCCCCGTCTCGCAATACCTCGTGCTCAGCCTCAGACAACTCGATTTCTCGCGATTCGAAAGCAACGTCCTGACCATGCCCTCCGACTTCATTCGCGTCATCACAATACTCACCCTCACACGAAGCAGTGGCCACTTCAAGGAAAAGGCATTCCACTGCACCATACCAAACTTTATAGAGATACCACTATTCGCGACACTGTTGCTCCTACCCTCGTATGGCTATGCGTGGGTGAGATTCGCAATCCTCACGCTGATCATTGGGACGCCTAGTTCCCATCCTATCATAGTTTCGTGGATCAGCTGTAATAGCTTTGATCCCAAGAAGCGAGGTATAGCTATTGCTTTGTTTGGCACGATTCATGAGATTGGCAGTTTTGCAGCTGCATGTAAGCCGACCTTTGACATTGACTGGGGATATCGAGCTGACTTGAGCAATAAGAAATCTACAGAGACAATGACAAACCGTACTACTATACTGGTAACAAGGTTCTGATATCGATATGTGCGGCATCTGTGGTGGTCATCTTGACACACAGAGAGGTCCTCAAGCACATTGACCGGAACAAGAAAAAGGCATGGGAGAATCTGAGTGAGATTGAGCAGAGAGACTATGATCGAGTCCAGGGATCCAGGAGTGGGAACAAGAGTCTTACTTTTTCTTTTGGCTACTGAAGGCCCTCGGAATGGCACACTCGCATCAGAACTCGAAGGAGCTTTCGAGACCAGACATCACAAACATTGCTTGATCAGATCCGCAAGAGTTTCGTCAACGGAAAGATTATCACGGAAGCATGTGAGATGCTTTGGTCCAACATCCTTGCAATTGTCGCCGCAATATTCCCGAACAAAACAACATAGCTCAAACACGACAGAGTGTAGAGAGTCACAGTTTTCAAATAAAAGTTTGTTTCTTGTGAGTATACATCTATTGAAAACCCTCTTTGTCAGCCATACGTAAAACTCCCAACACAGTACATGGCCAACTCAGCTTCAGTTGACCCCTAGCTTTCAGACAACTTTCAAAGCCTTCGATAATCATGTACGTCTAGACGGGATGACTGTGATCCGACCACAGTCCTCCGTGGAAGCTAGAAATTATTGGTCAGATGTTTTGATAGACAAGGACTTACTGCTGACTCATGCACGGCCTACAAGCACTTCAAGGTCAGTTCTGGATGGCAAGCATTGGTTTGTGTTCCGTCAGACCGTATCTAGTGGTGTGATCACATCTGTGAAGCCAGAGGTATCAAAGGGGTGCGGCGGCAACGTCGGCTGCGATATCCGCAACACCTGATCGATACATTCGACGCAGATTGGCGATTCCAATGTTTGCTTGATGAAAGGGTAGTCGTTGGACATGATACTCACTCGATGGCGGAGACAATTTCGATCTACCCCTCGAGATCGAAGCTTCCGGGCAGCAGCTATTCAGGACCTACTTTGTGGTGTTTCTTCTTCTTCCGGGAGAGGACGGAGTGAGGCGGCACAGTTACGCACCTTGAAGGATGATGACGGCAATCCGCTCAGAAGACTGCTGAAAGCGCTGTCGGGCTCGGACGATCTGACAGCTCAGACAGCAAGAGCTCCTTGGAAACACGGCAGACGTCACCAATCGGGTTGATCTAGTCTTGCCATCAGAACCTACTCGTTTGAGGGCCAGTCATTGAAATCAGGCCGCTCTACATGGTGGACTCGGTAGATAGAAGACGTTGATCGTATACACAGGTATTGACAGAAGGCCAAAGATGATTGCAAATCGTGGTAGATATCGAGACACCTGTCAGGCATGAATTCGCGAAGACGGACGGTGTCAGACGTCTGTGGTATCTCGGCATGATGACGAGAAGGTCCATAGAATGCTTCCGCCTGTTTCCAGATTGTAAACTGTCGTTATTAGCATGCGAATACTCACTATCGATCCGTGTACCTTTGAATATGGGAAACCTGCAGACATGCATAGCCGATGATACGTGTATCCTCTGAACGACTGCCAGAGGACGTCAAGAATAGTGATCTCGTCGTTGGGCAGCAAAGCAGTTGTGTACATTAACCAAGAAGGCTTCTTGCATGCATCGACGCCACCTAGGTAAGGAGACGGCGAGTTTCACGCTTGGGAGTCCAGTGCAAAGATGGCATCACCGGTCTGGTCTGGTGGTGAAGCCAGAGGTCTGGTGATGTTCTGCCGGGCGGACGAAAGGTGATTGGACGTGTGTGAGTACGAGTAGTCTGTGCTAGATATGTGTCGAAGCGCCCTTGGGCCGCCGCATCTTCGAAAAGCACGGATGGATCGTGATTGTGACTTGTGGGGTGCGGAGTCGCATGAACGCTGTCCACATTTTGCCGTGACGAGTTGCGGTGGAGTGATGCACAGAGATAGGGGTGAGTTGTTTCATGGAAGAGCACCGCGTAGAAGAGTGTTTGTCGTCAGTCATGCGGAAGAGTCGATCTTCTATTCCGGGTCGAGGCATAAAGGGCACTTGAGGTTGTACGAACGGAAGATGGATGCGAGACTATGCAGATTCACGACTCTCAGTTGCCGGGCCAAAGCTGAAGCGAGGTTATGATTGACATGCAGGCGGACGGACGGAGATAGCAATGACTAGATACTTGTCTTCACAGACGAGCGCTGATGTGAAGGATAATTACAGCTGTCTATGCTCACCGCTACGATAGAGGTCCAGCAGTGGTTTGGAGGCAGGTTTGGCAGGGTCCAGAGGGCGTGACTCGCGCTCTCGAGCACGGGAACAAACGGCTCGCAGCTCAAGCACGTGCGGACCTGGAGTCAAAACGGGCCGCTGGGGAATGAAGACAAGGTGCCAAACGATGTAGAAGAGGCAGGAACAGGAAAAGTTGACCGACAATCGTGACCAGTCTGTTTGACATGGAGTCTTTGCAAGTGCTACAAGGTACGCAGCGATAGCTGGCTGCTGGAGCAAGGAGTAGTCGAGGATCGGCGGAGGGTCTGGCAAGGAAATTGGCCAATTATTGGACGTCATCGGCACGAGTTTCTGGCAGCGCGAACGCTAAAGTAGAGCGGCATGCAACAGGAAAGGGCTGGAGCAAGTCGGGAGAGGTTGCGAAAACCGATGCACCCGCGAGGGCGACGATGCGCAGCAGGCGCGACCGACACAGAGAGCCCATCACACCTTCCTTAAGCACGCATTTCATCTACCGGCCCGGCCCTCTCTCGTTGGCTCTCGTTGGCTCTCTGCTTTCCTTTTTCCATTCGGATCGAATCCTGCTTTGCAGACCAACGCCCTGCCTGCCTCTATCCAACCTCGCTCTCTCTGTCTGCGTTCTGTTTCTGTTGTTTTGCTTCTTCTGTTGCACCCATCGCTCTTGGTGCGACCCACGATCACACTCAGCTGCTGCATCTAACAACACCTGCACCACCTTGCCACGCTTACCAACAACGCCCATCGCTGTCACCAAACTTTATATAACGCCATTTTCTGCTTCCTTCCTACGAATGCCAGGCCGCCCTTGACACTTTTCGACTCATCATGTCCACGCCTTTGCCTCCGGATCCATATGTCGCTCTAGGTCTCGCCAAAGATGCTACTCCCGCGCAGATCAAAACCACCTACCGGAAACTTGTGCTGAAATGGCATCCGGACAAGGTCACTGACGAATCAAAAAAGGCCGAGGCGTCTGACCAGTTCCATCGCATCCAACAGGCATACGAGATTCTCAGCGATGAAGGCCGAAGATCACGCTATGATGCCCATGTCAAGATGGCAGAACTCCGAAAGCAGAACATGAGCAATCGACCTCCTGTCGAAGTCAGGACCGCCGCGTACGAAGTGCCGACATCTGGCCCTGGTCGAGCCGCCTTCACCGCCAGAGGACCCGAAAGAGTATACGAAGAACGACGACCCGAGAGATCCGACTCGGATGACTACTTCGGTAGTGCAACACGAACGACGTCACGAAAGCACGATGATTATGAAAGACAAGCCAGCAAGAAGCCAACAGCACCCCTCAGAGACGAAAAGGAGCGTGCTCGAGTGGCGGAGCGTGAGAGGCGTGATAGCGAACGTGTATCACGAACAGACAAGAGGAGGACGCGTGACCAAGACGTGAAGCGCGAAAGAGACAGAAAGTACGTTTACGATGACGACAGCGAGACCGACTTGAGACAGGAAGCAGAAAGACGTAGGAGAGCTACAGAGGACGCCATCAGAGAGAAGGAAATGCGTGAAAGAGAGAGGGTCAGAGTGGATCGGGATCGGGAACGAGAAAGAGAAAGAGAGGCGAGGGAGACTGGTGGTCGCGACAGGGACGACTACGACCGGGAACGACCGTCACGTCGAGGCTACGATGCGCAGCACTACTCCCGCTTGGAAGATGACACTCTGGCATACCTCGGCAGGGACAAACGGCCGTCTCTTTCACGCAGCACCTCGACAGCCACCAAGCCCGAGACATATATCGACCGCTCGGGTCGACCAACACCAGCCTTTGTGCGCCGCCACTCAGCCAAGCCTGCTGCCTCTCCTCAGTCACGTCGTGACCGCGACAGAAGACCGAGCGTGCCTGACATTGTCGAGGCCGACGAACGCCGTCCTCAATTGAGACCCACGACTCTCTATCCCTCGGTCTCTTCGCCTTCTACCATCAAGCTCCCTCGAGACCCGCCCCCACGAAGTGCGAGCATGAAGATGGAAGATCGTAACGTGCCCCCTTTGCCTATCCGCCCCCTTGGCCGCTCAGAGACCATGCCCAACATTTCTCCCAAGCGTGCCAAAGACTCGAAACCCTCGAATCTGAGAGATACAGACTTCTCCGGTGGCTATCCTACACCGGCACCAAGTCCAGACTATCCCTCGCCCACCACTCACAAGTACCACTACCCGCGAAACGACACCTCGAGCTCCCGTGAAGATGTCGATTACCGTCGCAATGTCGACCGTGACTACGAACGTGAACGCGATCGCAACCGCGAACGCCGCATCCATCACTCTCCTGAACCCGTGCGCGAGCCCATACGCTCTTCGAAGTCTTCCGCCACACCTCGCTACGCTACCGCTCCACAGCCTCCACCTATCGTGACAAATCAAAGCTATAGCAGAGGCTACACGACCGAGTCGCCAACATCATATACTACCAGTACACGACCCTCGCCTGTCCGCCGGGAAACCCAGCGTAGTGACTACGATCTGCTGCCCAAAGCCGGAGTACCAAAGGCAAACTCGAGTGCCAAGTATGAGCATTCATTCGACAGTTTTCGTGACTACGAAAAGGATCGCCGAAGAGGCAGTCTAATCGACGAGTACGGTGATTACCCAAGCTACCGAACTCCCACTTCTGCTACACGTCCGCATCTGCGTCGTCAGCATACAAGTGACTATACCTCTCATACTCCTCGCGCAACAGCCGTCTAGCGCTGCTCATTCTACCCTTCTCATCGCACAGTCTTGCATTTCTGCTTTCGGATTCACGGGTACGCCATGTTCAGGGTTTCTCCGTTTCCAAAGGGCGCATCGGTGGCATATTACTTTCCCATCTCGCTCCATTGCGTCTTCTCTTCTCATTGACATGATACGTCGTTTGCCCTGAAAGTAAGGGCAACAGATATCTGTTGTGTCATGTCTTCTTTCTTATGATCAACACCAGATATTCTGCAAAGTCATGGCTCAAATGTCCCCAACTGCATTCTGTTTTTCTTCTTTTTCTCCTCGTTACATTCAGATATAGCTTCCCTTGACGATTTTCCGATTACAAACCACAACACACACACAGAACAACGAAACGAATTAATGACAAACCTTTACAAACTGTGCTCTCTTCTCGAACCATTGATTGCTGTGATTGTATTGTGACATGCATTGGTTTACATTCCGTTTTATCGTACGTACATTGCAAGAACAAGACTAAAAACAAGAAAAAGCAAGAGGACTATGAAACATTATCGTCAACATCAACGGCGTGCATGCATGCATCATGATTCCAGCTTTCGCCATCATCATTTCAACTGTCAGACTCAGAGAGTAAAGTGCTTGTAGCCCTCGACAAGACCATCACTGTTCTTGGTGATGGCACTCCACACAGGCATAAAGTGCTTGACCTCATCGAACGCAGGCACAGTGCTCACCTGGTTGACATCACTCCACACACACATGACTCTGCCTTCGACACCGTCATGTCGCTTCTCCGCCTCGTGGTCAAAAGTGACATTGACACTCCACTTGGCATCCCAATCTCTGCTGTACAGATACACACGCTGTGCTTCGTCACTGCGACCAGGTTTCATGACTGCAGCTTTGTCACCTGCATTGCTGATGCTGAGGTTTGCAAAGGGATGCGAAAAGTATAGACGACAGGCGCGAGTGTTGGAACCACGGATGTCAAACACATAGTCGCGTTTAGTGGCGTTCTTGGAGGCAGGGCGAGTGATGTTGAAGTCGAGCCAAGTGGCGTATTTGGCGGTTTGGGCCTGTCTGCGGGCGAGTGCGAGAGAGACTGTGCTGTTGGGGTACGGCATGCCGGGTTGGTGAGGCTTGTATGCTGTGGGCACGACGTTAGGGGCGGGTCCTGTCCAGGAGCAGCTGTCGAGGCCGGCTCTGAAGGCCCAGAACTTGTAGTCGGGGCCTGCGCAGTGGTAGCCGTTGTCCGCTGCTGATGGCAGTTGGGATACGATGGCTTCGAGGTAGGGGGATAGACCGGTGAGGGCGACGGTGTTGTTGCCGTGATCGAGGTCGATTTGCTGGAGGAAGAAGACCTTGAGTCTGGAGGTGCGAGAGAAGGGGAAGGCTACGAGGTTGTATACAAGAGTGCCAATGAACACGAACATGAGGAAGGTCGGGATGTGGTATGTTATGCGATGGATGAAAGGCGTCAAAGGGGCCAACAGGAGTACGGATGTCGCAGCAATCAAAAGGTAGACGAGGAGGACTGGGCTGCCATCGGCAGGTGTCTGATGCAAGGCCGAGGTCATCAGCAGACCCAATTGGCCGATCAAGATTAGATTGACAGGCGCCAGAATCAGGAACTGAAGCAGCCACAACGAGCTTGGAAGGCTACCAGACCAACCTTGCTCGCCTTCATAAGCCTGACTTGCAACGGGCGGGTGGATGGAGGCTGCAGCATCGTCGTTATCATCAGGTCGACGAGTCTCACGACCATAGCGTGTGAAAGTCTGTCTCGAGCCGAGAAGAGAGGTGCGTTCGTCAGCATCCTCGTTGTCATTGGCGAGCGGTGCTCTGCCACGAGAAGCATCATCATGGTCCACAGCGTTGTGGGAGACGAGACTATTGCTGCGTGTAGGGCTGGGCAATGCACTTTGCGATGCGTACGTGACCTGCTCAACATAAACACTCTTCTTGGGAAGGGCGAAAAACTCGAGGTATGAGATGAGCAAAGCCAAGAAGACAGCAGCGTTGTAGATGATCAGGAAGTAACCAGACCCAAGGTGCCAGCGCTGCTCCCCGATCGTTGCGGCCACAAGGCCCAACCAGGAAAGAGTGTACAGCCAGATCAGCACATAAGCGCGGGAAAGAGCAGATGGGCGAACGGCGTCTCCAAGACGGAAGAAGAACCACGCGGTGGAAAGCCACGCAGTGAGCATCATGCTCCAAACAGCGTACTCGGAGCTGTACACGATATGCGGGTTGACTTTTGTAATCAAGTACGCGAGGGCGAAGACAATGCCACTTGCAAGCACAAAGATCAGAGGGAATCTAAAGAAACCTCTCCAACCATAAAACTTGACGGGCTCGTCATCGTCTGATGAATGGAGATACCTCTTTCTAGAGAACAAGTACCACTTGTCGGTCTTGTGAAGAGTAACATCGAAGATGATCAGGAAGATGGGTCCTGCAACGAGCAGAGTCACAGATAGCGCGAACAGAGTGTGAAGCTGGAAGACTGCAAAAGCACGTCCAAACAAGTCAAACCAGACACCAGTACTACCCGATGCTTTGTCAGAGCTGCCATGTTCATGCTCTGAGGGTCGTTCGAACTGATCACTGGTGTCGCTAGAAAGACCTTGCACGGTAGTCAGAGCAGCAGAGAGCATATGCCAAAGACTCTCGACGCTGGTCTCTCTTGCGTTGTCCTGATTAGTATGGTATCTTGCGCGAGGTTCCATGAAAGCTACGTCCAAGCCACGCATGCCCAAGTCGTCAACAAAAACGCTGTAGTCTGTTCCACTCTTGACCAGGCCTCGTTTGAAACCATCGCCACTGATGACACTGCCAAAGGGACGGGGGCTCTTGGCGTAAAATCTGGTGACCTCGGTATCAGTGCTTCGGAACAAAGTGGCTCTGCCTCCAGCACCGGCACCTTCGAGGTTGAGGAAACTACGAGGAAACTGGGCAAGAGGGTGACGCGTGAAGGTCTTTGCGCCGTAAAGGCCATCTTCCTCGCCATTGTTCAAGAGGAACAGGATACCGCGATGAGGCTGGTTTTCCAGCTTGGTGAAGTGCGAGAGTAGCTGCAGTACTGAGATGACACCGACGCCATCGTCTGTAGCGCCAAAACCAGTGCTGACAGAGTCGAAGTGTGCATTGACGAGGACGCCACCAGGACCGTCGTAGGTGGTCTTGTCGAGCCACCATTCCCCTTCCTTGTCCTCTGCGCCTCTCACATAGACCATGATATTGTCGCTCTCATAGTATACAGTGTATCCCCTTGGGTCAGTGTAGGTCACGTTGCTGACATCTTTGTCAAAGACAGTGACAGGCAAAGCAGTCTTGGTATGTTCGGCGGCCTCTTTCCACTCGACCTTGTTGGCGTCGAGGATGCTTCCAACGCGAGCGAGTAACCAGCTACGTACAGCGACATTGTCCTTGCTGTTGAAGGGGTGGTAAGCACTGCTCAAGTGGTCCAGATCGTGCCAGGCCTGGGTTATGTTGACCCCTGGCCATGCATGCGGAGTGGGGGTACTTGGGGTCGGCGGCAGAACATGGTGGGTGACGATGAGGGCAGCGAACAAGCCAGCGTAGATGACAGTGGTAAAGAAGGTGACGACGTAGGGACCGAAGCCAAAGGGATTGCGCGAACTCCGAGCCATGAGTGCAGCCTTGTCGAGATACAAGCTGCTCCTGCTTGACCAGGTTGAGGACTTTAAGCTCGATGCATGCACGCCATCTTCACCGACACGAACCAAAGCTTGGACCACGCCCATTGCATCATCAATAGTTCACCCAGAGTCTGGACATATAGCATATCTCTTCTCATTACTGTTTACACACCTGCCTCTTGAGCTGTCTGCCTACTGCTCGTCTTACAACAACGCCGGGGTATCTAGCTGACCATCACTCTCTCCTCCTTCCTCAAATCCCTGTGCCTCGGAACCCTTGGTCCATGAGCATCCCACCACTGAATATATCGTTCTCACCTCCAAACATGTCGCTCAGGTTGATGTTGGGGAATCCTGTCCCCTGATCCAGTCCCTGTTGCTGCCCTGGCCAGCCGCCGGATACCTGACGCATGTTGGCCAGCTGCGCTTGTTGCTGTTGCTGTTGCATCATATTCATGTCCCACCTGCCTTGTTGCTGTTGCCGTTGCTGCTGTTGCTGCATCATATAAGGGGGCAAAGGGTAGAATTGTGCTTCGAGGTTGTCCGTTTCCGATCCAGTGCTCTGCCCTGACAACATGACTGGCGCTTTCGAATCGCTAAAGTTGTTGAAGACGTTGGGGTCCTTCGCGAACTGGTTGTTCTCGAATGTCGTCAGGGGCTGATTAGGATAGTTGAAGGGTTCTGCGGATGGGAACATCATTGCCGACAGATCTGGTAAGTTGGGGTTCGTCATTTCCAACGGGAGATACCCGAGTAGGCCGTTCGAAGGACTACTATTCTCCATTGGCCCAGCGACCAGTGCTTGTTGACTGAAGCCTGGACTAGCAGGTGTATAAGGCGCACTGCCTGAACTCATCGAGGGCGTAGGGAACGACATTCGTTGATCGTAAGCTGATGCAGTCGGTACATTAGTTGGATGGTTAGGGAAAGTGCTCGCTCGCTGTATGGATCCAGGTTGAGGCGGGGGCGGTTCTTTAGCAGTGACCGAGATGTCTGGATGGCTTCTTGCACCCTTTGGCGGTCCGTTAGTCGAGCTTTGCCGACGCTTTCGCGATGGAGCGGGGTTCGGGTGACCTTCACGAGCCCAGGCTGGTAGTGCTTTGAAGATACCGTCTAACGTTATAGCGCATCGATCTGCTGCCATGCTGCGCTTGGCCAGTGACGCCAGTACTTCTTTGCCCTGGATAGCGTCCTTCAGGACAGCTTCAGTCGTAATGTTTTGGGGATTCTCGGCCGCAAAGTAGATCAATGACACGACAGCGAAAAACGTCGTGTACATGACAAACCAGTGCGCGCCGTTCAACAATCCCTTTTGCTTCATCTGCACACATAGATGTATGTGGTTGCGTGAAAGGTTGACGTATGAAGCCGCGCATGTGTATGCGCGCTGGTCAATGTCACGCGATCTCTTGTCGGTCGCAACAAAATGCAAAAATGGCCTGTAAAGCATTGCTTGAGCATGCGCATATGCGATGCGAAGGAGCTGCTGGCCTCTGCAGCGTTGTCAGTACGAAGGAGCGGCTGAATGACTTGAGACTTGATTACCTTGTGAGTTTGGGGTTCGAGTTATTGCATGGGTCCAGCCCTGCAGGCAAGTTACTTTTCCATGTTTCCAGATCCTTCTCAATGTCTCGAATGACAGAGAAGGGCACCGTGTAAGAGCGGTCCATGTTGCTTTGAACGTTCTTCGCCCTGATCGGATACACGTTTCTCACTATTTTGATGAGTAGCTCCACCAGTCGACTATGTGCATTGAAGACTGTTGTCAGTGGCGTGGTTCCCTCGGGCATAGGGAAGATGCCCTCTTCGGTGATGTATTCGTCGTCAACCTCGAGAGGATACTCTTGATCGATGTCCTCCTCGCTGAGCGTTTGTGGCAGACCCAGCATTGCGCCAACATAGATGTCCATCTTGCGGATCGTCCAGAAAACACGTTTTCTAGTCTCGGCCTCGATCGGATTGAACGTGCGGTTGAAGGCAGAATTGTTTCTATGCAAGCCCATACGTAGTGCGGAGCGCAACGCTACACCGACATAAGCATAGCATTGCGACAACTTGGCCGAGCATTGGAGGAACGAGATCATGTAGAGAACCGCTTGGATGGAAGTCAGGTCGCGACAGTCTGCGATGTCTAGCAATTGACGTGCTGTTCTAAAGTACTTGAAACTGTGCTGCGTCAGTACTCGGACAATCGCACACCTGCTAGCTCACTTACCCTTGGTCGATGGCAGTTTCATAGCCAGCTTGGTTTAAAGGACTCTGTTCGTCGCTGCCAAACAAACAGCCTACCGACATGGTACTGTACAATAGCGGAAGGAATTTGTGGTCCTGATTCGTGTAGTTTTCGTATGGTGTGTTGTACATGCGATCAAATGATGCCCAAAAGGATGGAACATGGATGGCTCTCATCAGGACGGAAGCATCGGTGATGGCAGTTTCACACAAATCTCGAGCAACGGTTCTAGAAGGGAGATCAGTGCCAGGAACTGCGCCCTCCATACCTAGACCAGGTGAGTCTGGGTTCAAGGATCTTGGCGAGTCAAAGACTTGTGACATTGGTCTCGACTTGACGAAGGGAGTAGTCTTGGCCTCGGGTCCGAGGAGATCGCCCAGCTGTTCTCGCATGCGCCTTACAAAACTGAGGCCAGAAGAATGACCGTGATAGTCCCAGTTTCCTTGTTCGTCCAGTTCGAGTTGGCCAATAGCACGGACCATGGATTCTAGATTGGTATCTTTTTGGTCCGCATTAGGCGCAGAGGCGAGAGATGCACGGGGTAGAGCAGTTGGCTGTGTGGCCGGACTGTGGTTGGAGACGGGCTTGTTCGAGAAGCCGGGAATATATCCTTGGGCTACAGCGACATCGATGCTTGGGTCATTCAAGTTGAGATCAGGCATGAGCATTCGTAACAGAGTCTCGGCGCGGTGTACCCGATGCTCCAGACCCTCGATGTATTGGGGCGCGGGGTTGCGACGACGATTAGAGGGTTGGTCGTATGTGCATTCTATACGAGGTCAGAGAGGGCATGGCTTCTGCGACAGACCATCTCGCTGCTTACCATAGCTATAGACTGTACAGTGTGTGCAAGGCTGCTTGCCGTCGCATTTGATCTTCTTCCTTCGACATTCGTCGCATGCTCGAGTCACCCTCCGGCGCTTCTGCATAGGCAGTTGTGATTTGGACTGGTTCTGGACCGACGAGCCGGATGGTCCTGCGGGAGACGTCTGTGACTCATGCTTGATGTCCGACTCCCAATGCTCTCCCTCACTGTTGTCGTCGTACATGTCAGGCGAGGTCGCTTCCATGACGATGGAGAAGCGGGGTTGGAGTGTAGAAGACGCCGTCTGGGATGGACAGCGGGTGGTGGAAAGCGGGAAGTGCACTCAGTTAGGGAACCGGGGGCTCGCGATACAGTGCGGGACGATGCACTTTTGTCAAACGACAAAGGACGATGACCTAGCGAGTCGGACTGAATCCCATATGCCGCTAAGTGTTAAGTCCGAATCTCTCGGCCGCCGACGGGTAAAACCAGTGGTAGAGATGCAGCTGGCGGCTCTTGGATTATTACGTAGTTGGCCTGTTTCGATCAGCTGCCAAGCGCAATCTTCTTTTCTGCTCTCTTGGCCCTCGAGATTGTCTGCGCGAGACAGAGTGTATGTGAGGGAGGACAACGGTGAGTCTTTCGGGACTTGGGACGGTGGAGGGTTTTGCGCGTCTAATATACTGGTTAGAGGGCAGAAAACTCTCGCAAGGATGGGTTGGTCCCAGCTCCTATCTTTGGGCCCTTATTCCCTGTTCCCGCTGGCTATTTATGACTCGTCCATCACGACCGGTGTCGACTTTGGAGCTACCAAAGTTGGGGGTAATGTGGAGCATGCATGGTTGTCTCATCGTCTCGAGGCGCATCCTTTACTCAGTTGTCGAGACAGACCCAATCTCTATGCCATAGCAGGTCGCGATTGATTCCCAATCGCCTCATCTGATTTGATCTGCGCCGCCTGAACATGTGGCGTAAAGCTTAGCATTGCTGTCGCTGTTTGATATCGACCGACCCCGAGAACCGACTCTCCGACGTCTGCCTGAATTGCTCTACCTTCGACCACATTCTGCCAGGGTCAAAACCCGCCAGGCGTTTGTTCTACAAAAGAGTGGAAATATGCCTCACTCATTGATGCAAATGCCTTATTATTGGAGAGGATGACGAGTTCAATCTGGACTCGACTATGAAGAGCCACCGTGTCATTAAGATTGTGTCCAAAAGAGCAAGGCCGCGTGGCCATGTCTGAACAAGGCAAGGCTTTTGAGGGTGACATTGTGCAACTGTGTAGCGCTTACATACAGACTGAGATCACAAACTCTCCCTGAACATGCTATCTCTGCAGGGGGGCGGCGTTTCTAGTCTGCAAGGCATGAGGGATATCCAGCACGAACTGAGTTTTTCGAGAAGAATGTCGCAGGAGATGCAGGAAATAACGTGTGTTTCTCAAGAACACAATCTGTACAGACAAAGCGTATCCAGTATCCCGTAACCCCGTATAACAGCGGACAGGCGATGGATGCCTTGGCAGCAAGTGGCCCCATCAAGTCGAGTTAGCCACAGTTGCGAGTCGCCTGGTATGTGCGGCAACCCCTCGTGCTCCCGACTTTTGGTGCGTCACAGAAAGTTCTGACGACGATCGCCCATTAACAACAGACCACAAATATCTGGTGTTTGGCAGGTCGCAACCATCACCGTCAAGCTGGCTGCATCTTCTTTCGTCGGCGCCGTACAGGATAACATCCGCCAGGCCATCTCGACCGCCTCTGAAAAGCTGCAGCTCACCACCCAGTCCGCCAACACCGCCAGTCCTCCCGCTGACCTCTGGCAACGCGCTCACCTCTGGTTCAGTGAACAAGACTCCTCTGTTCTTGCTGTAATCGGTCTTACTGCCATTGCCGTCATCATGTCATCGTGGTCCTCGCGCTTCGGCTCCTGGTCTGGACGCTTCTCACCCTTTGGACGTTCTGGAGGTTCGGCGCAGGTCAAAGACTCGGACTACAGTTACATCACCCAAGACGATCTCAACAACGCCGAACAAGCAGACAACTCGCCCGTCTCTCCTGGCCCGCCTAGAGACACCGATGTCCTGGTTCTCAAGAGCAAGCGCATCAGTTACCCCGTCCACTTCCCCGCCTACACTATCGAAAAGGGGGAGTTGAGAGTCAAATCTGTCAGAGAGCAGGCCGCCAAGAAGACTGGTGCGGATGCGCGGCACATCAAGCTCTTCTTCAGAGGCAAGAACATGAAGGACGATAGCAACTCGTGTCGTGCCGAGGGTCTCAGACACAATAGCGAGATCATGTGTGTTGTGGGAGACGCTGTTCCCGAGTCCATGAGCTCGAGCGATTCGGAAGGCGAGGAGGCATCTGCCGACGGCGGAGACGCACCCAAGAGGAAACGCAACCGCAACAAGAACAAGAAGAAGAAGTCCAAGAAGCCCGCAGCATCGCAGAATGACTCGTCGAGGACCGAGTCACCACGTCCCGCACCAACCCCAGCCACACCCATGGACAAGCTGAATGCCGTCAACTCGACTCTCCAAGCCTTGCTACCTCAGTGTGTGCAATTCTTGGCCAACCCACCCGCCGAGCAAGCAAAGAAGGATTTCGAGCACAAGCGCCTTAGTGAGACCGTGCTTGCACAGGTCCTTCTCAAGCTGGATGCTGTCGACACCGAAGGCGACCCAGATGCAAGAGCAAGAAGAAAGGAGCTGGTCAGAGAGGCTCAGAATGTACTCAATAGCTTGGACGAAAAGATCAAGTCATGATGCAAGAATAGAAAATATACAAAAGTGCATTGTACCCATCCAGTCGATTTCATTGCAGACCCTCCCCTGATTTGCTCGAGTCAGAGCGGCGTCGCCTCTTGCGAAGATGTGTGATACCCACAACCATAGAATTCTGCCACAACCTCTATTCCACAGGACATGTTTCAGAGAATTGGCAGTACATACTATCAGGCTCTGGGAGCGGTTTATTGACAGAGCAATAAAATACGACGGAAAGACCAAAGGAAAGCTCGATAATGCTCGAGATAAGGCCAACCGTAGCCGTCTCCCAGAGCAGCATGTTATCAAAGCAACATGCTTTGTATCCCCGCCTACAGACACATCTGCCTACAGATACGTTGCCGATCTCCTTTCTCAGACGATGACTGCGACGGCACAATGATGACATCCATCTCGCAGCACCCCTTGCTGGCTTGTCCTAGCATAGTACGATCAGAATGTCTCGAAAGATTCTATCACCACAACAAAATTTTGCGTCGTTCAACCTTTCAATGAACAAGATATGGATGTCAGAACTCGCAAGTGCCATCGATTTCCAACACACCTTGTCCGTGACCTGCTCGCCGAAATCCACTTATGCTAGCGGTGTCCGAGGAGGCTCCAACGATAGACAAGCCCAAGCTGCGCATCCTCTTTCGCGGCTTCAGACCAATGCTGCTTGCATCTCGTCTGCACTGGACCTTGCTGTTCTATCGCGGTCGTCTAGCTCTGTAGATTTTTGACGACTTCGAGACATGGCAGATGCATGGGACCGGTCCCGAGTGGAACAACCAGTTGTCAATGGTTGGAAGAATAGCTATTTGTCGAATTGATCCCTAATTATTCCCTCATGCCGCCACGCGACCATCAAGTAGACCTTCTTGCTCTCGTCATGTCCTCCAAAGATTTCTCCGTAACCTCCACACGTCTAGCTAGCTCCTCGATTCCAGCGTTCGGCCGATTGCCAGAGTTGTGGTTAATGACCTCGGTGCTGTCATAGCACCCGACTGCGTATTTGCCCAACGTGCTGGGGCACATCACGCTTGTCGACTCGCCGCGGTTGTTGTTCTTCAACTCTGTAGCAGGGGTGCACACTGTAACCTCGAGGCGACCATGCATGACGGTGTACATCCTCATGAACCTCGATTCTCTTGCCCAATTGTGACAAAACGCGTTCTGACCCATCGTTATCACAAGCGCGCGGAGTTCGTTGAGTTTGGCGTATAGCATTTGATTTGTGATGTAGTTTGTCGCGATCTTGTCGAAGGAAGGTCTCTGAAGCAACCTGGTTGCTTTGTCTGAATATGAAGATGACGTGGTCGCGTTGCCCTACGATGGCAAGGTGGTGGATCGCCATCAGTAACTGCACCGATGGCAACACGGGGTAAAACTTCACCACATGCAACCACTCCCTCTCACAATTCCAAAGAAGCCCGCGGCTGAGCAGGCGCTGGCCGTGCGTTGAAGGCTTCGTGCTCGATCTCGAGTCTGATGATGCGTTATGGAAGTGAGCAACCAGCATGTCCTCTATTGCAAACGTGGCTTCGCAAACAAAGCAGCTGTTCTCGGTGACGCCATCGCGATACAGCTGGTTTGTGTGGTATCTCATCCAGTGTGACAGCGCAAGGTCAAGCTTGTCCCATGCTTGTGACAAACATTCGACGGCGAAACCTCCCACGGGAGGATTGGGGCAGACAATGGCATCCCCTTTCTTGTCTCCTGTAGCCATGCATCGCCTTTCGGAGATGTGCCTGGAAAGGCATGTCGCGTTTGCAAACCCTCTGCCGCAACCAAAGCCACATTGTATGCCATGGTCGTCGTAATAGACCCAGTGAACTGGGTCCTCCAGGTGGTTGTAAAACTCTGATACCAGAGTTGAAGGACCGAAACCTCTCTTGCATCCTGGTACAGGACACTTGAACAATACCGTAGCTCCTGGTGGAACATCGCCTTTTGCAGCAGCAGCAACGTCTGCAGCCGTGCGGTCTAGAAGGTAGTTGTCAAACTTCTCTCGAGTTTTCGTGTTTACGAACGTCGGCTTCATCCCATGATCGTTAAATGCTTGCATGTGGTGACACTTGACTGTCATTTGAGAGGCACCTGGAAAGACGAACCGCTCGTCATGCTCGTCTATGTCTCTGATGACTGCTGCAAAGGCGTGTGGTGTTTCCGAGTACACACTACTGTCGTATACAGTCGGCACGCTAGATAACCTAGCCCTCTTTGATACCAGCGTTGCGAACTCCTTAGCTGTAGCTGTCGGAGGTAGCTGCATACCACGCGTGTCCTCTGCAGGATCAGGGGTGTGCATTAACACGTCATACGGATTGTCTTTCCCTGCTCTGATAAAGAGATCAAACGCAGGGGTTCGCGGCGAATCGTTCCACTATTTGTCGAATCCTCGAGTATTCCAGGCGTCTCTCCAGTGAGCCTCGCCCCAGTGATCATACCTGGTCGATGGCTCTGAGTCGGGAAATACATGGCAGCAACCTGCATATCCGCATATTGTCGTCTTTCCGTTAATGCTCTCTGGGCATTCGAACCGGATGAAATGCTGTGGATGCTGTGCTATCGTGGTAAATGTAGCAGGACATCCCATCAAACAGCGGTAAGCCGGCGTGGTGTTCAATGTAGTCGCAGAGGAAGTTGCAGACTTAAGAGAAGCATCGAACGATGCAGGATGAGAGATAGCCCTTCGTGAAGGCAATGAAGAGACTTTCACATGTGGACCAGTCGGCTTGCCGAAAGAACCCATACGAGGAGCAGGAGTCGCCGTCTTCGCATTGCTCGACACGTCTAAGCTAAGAGCCGATGTCGAGTCCTTGATAGGAGCAGTGGGATCTCCCAAAGAATGTGCAGCAGCACCGGCGGTAGGCGGAAGATCACCGAAAGAACGCGTAGCAACATCCGCGGTAGTCTTAGTCTTTCCATTGCGTATGACTCGAGGAGATGGCGCATCTGCATCAACCAATGCTGAGGCTTTGGCAGGCGGAGGAGGATCACCGAAAGAACGCGTAGCAGGATCAGCGGCAGTCTTGATCTTCAGACTGCAGGTGCAGCGAGGAGCGAGAGTCTTCACCTTCTCATTGCGAGAAGGTTCAGATACGTTAACACTGGTGACGGCGATGGCTTGGAGAAACTATAGTTGGGATCAACGTTTGTAAAACTATTTCGATCCAGCGTCCTTCAATATTCCAAAGAAGTCCACTGTCTAGTAGGCACGTGCCGTGCTGCGATGCATTCCTGAGCTAGGAGTTGGTTGACTGTGGCCATGGAAACACATCAAGTCAATCTACCGCTCTCTGTAAATGTTACTTTTTCCTGGCGAGTATTATGCGTTTTCATAGCCATTCGCTCCAGTCGTTAACATCATACAGAGACCCACCTCTTCGAGTGTGTCTTGATGCTCAGAGTGCGATTATAACTTCTGCTTCATACATGCCAGAATGACTCGAAATGCTGTACATTCTTCACATTCGAGCAATGTTTTCTGAAGGTCTCTATCGAGTAGATTGATGGTCAATGTGAATACCAAAGGATTAGGGAGAGCAAGTGCAGAGCCCGAGGAGAGTCGAGACGAAGCTAGCCATGGCGACGGACTAGCTTCGGCAATCGCGAAGCGTGCCACACTGCCAAGACGACGCACCTTCCATTTCGAAGCCCACACGAGAATCCGTGAATTTCTCGCACTGCGCGACTTCTCTCGACAATCACTAACATTACAGACCAGCAACGATGTCGGAATTCTCGCCTGTCGTACGTGACATCCATCCATCCACCGAGTGAGCAGAGAAAGAGGAGGACCTGGGACCAAACTTGCGACGGCGACAAAAGAGGCGCATGCACATCTGCACACACCGAACACCAGTCATGAGGGCAACGGCTGACATGATGGGTGTATACAGATCGTCATTGACGGAAAGGGTCACTTGCTTGGTCGCCTGGCCAGCACTGTCGCCAAGCAGCTCCTGAACGGCCAGAAGATCGTTGTTGTCCGCTGCGAGGCCCTCAACATCTCTGGAGAGTTCTTCCGCGCTAAGCGTACGTCCATCCACCGCACGAATCCCATCGCCGCCAGACTCCTCGCACACCGAACGCTCTCGTACCGAACACCAATCTGGCGGCGGCCGTGCAATCGAATCAAGAAAGAGCAAGGCTAACACAATACACAACAGTGAAGTACCAGGCTTTCCTGCGCAAGCAGACGCGTTACAACGCTTCCCGTGGTGGTATGTAAACCATAAATCCACGAGGTCTCCTCTGCCTTTGGGCATGAGACTCTTTATATTTTGCCTGGTCACTGACTTGGACATAGGTCCCTGGCACTACCGCGCTCCCTCCAAGATGTTCTGGCGCACCGTCCGTGGTATGATCCCTCACAAGACTGCCCGTGGTGCCGCTGCTCTGGAGCGCCTGAAGACCTTCGATGGTGTTCCTCCTCCTTACGACCACAAGAAGCGCATGGTCGTTCCCCAGGCCCTCCGTGTCCTCCGCCTCAAGCCCGGCCGCAAGTACTGCACCGTCGGCAGACTCGGCCACGAGTTCGGCTGGAAGTACCAGGATGTTGTTGCCAGGTACGGATCTCGCTGTCACAACAAGCAGTGTCTGGATGCTAACGCTTACAACACAGACTCGAGGAGCGCAGAAAGGTCAAGGGTGCCGCCTACTACGAGCGCAAGAAGGCCGCTCGCCGTTCGCTCGCCGAGGCCCAGAAGAGCGCCAAGGTCGACGAGAAGGTCAAGACCGAGCTCGCTTCTTACGGATACTAAATGTGGCCGGAGAGTCGCAGTTCGTTGTCGCGTCCGTCAATTGCCCCCTTCGAGCACTCATAACGTCGATGTAGTGCTCAGGGGTGCGTCAAGCCCACACCCATAATGGCTTACTTTGTTTCTGTACTCGGCGATTTGGGGCTAGGGAAAACAAAAACGAAACGCTTTTTCAGAAATGGCACAAGCCTAAAAAGTCATGGCACTCCTCAACAATACCCAATTTCACGCGCATACGTCTTTCAAATGTATTGTGATCCCGTCCAGACAGTGTGAGAGAACATGCTTGATTGTGAGAACCATGATGACGACGGCAGAGATCACCCGAGGTTAATCATAAAGGTTGTACTTACCATACAAAGCATCCAAAGTTCAAGATGGCAGTGAGATAAGGATGCCGAATATAACATCATCTTCTGGGATTCCTCTTCTGGGCACGGAACATGATCTGTCGTGGTCTTCCTGGTACGGCAGTAACGAACCGACACCTGTAAGTCTGCTGAGTGTATGCATCTCCAACCATATCTGAGCCTCCCCGTGTGCTGAAGTCCGGACCTCCTCTATTCCTCTGAGAGCCCACAATGTAATACTTGCTATCTCAAGGCACAATCGTGTCTGGATCAGAAATGTTTCCGAAGAGAGCTGGTATGATTCCATGCGTCACCTGCGTGTAAAGTCGCAGCTTCTCTCATTTGACGTCTACTCTGCTTCGTCTTTGCATGTCGATCACACAACATTCCTCATACACTTGCACACACAACTGCACCTCAGGCGAGTACCTTTACAACGCACCTTGACTCCAGAGTATACACAAATCGTTCATTCTTCTCACACCTATTGCCGAGCAGTCTTGTCTCCTAGGCGAGGCTTCCACCTCCGATATCAAACGAACAAAGTGTATATAACCTTGGCGAGCTTGGTGTACATTTGTTCGACCACCTCGGTCCCCCCCACACCAAGTCGGTCGACTGATCGACCCCGCATTAGTCTTCCTTTCCTCCACCCGCAATAACCGCCATTAAGGTATCATTATTGATCTGTATCTTTAACCTCATCTATTGTCGAATACTTCTCTGTCTGTACTGTACGCCTATTCCTGCTCCTGCCAGGCTATCGTGATCAATTGACCAGGTACACGATAGCAAGTGTCTGTTGCCATTGTTGCGTCAACCACTATGCCATCTGCCGCTGGAAGACTGTCTGCTCTGGCAGCTCAATTTTTGCCATCTCCATTCTCTTCACGAAAGGTCGAAGTTCACAACAATCACGAACTTTCACCCACCTTCTTTCTACCACGTGCAGCAACCATCGAACCCGATGTATGGGATTGGCCCAATTCCCTTCTTCCTTGCGTGTATTGACCATATCTCAGGCTCCAGCAATCTATCATGTAACCGCAAACAAGAAGATCCTGAGAAGAAACTATCAGGAATTCGCAGATCGTGCCAGAGGTCTTGCATACTACCTCAGACGCCACAAGTACAAGCGAGTAGGCATCCTTTGCCCCAATACACCAGCATTCCTGGAAGCCATCTTTGGTATCGCAGCTGCGGGAGCAGTCAACGTTGGCGTCAATTATCGGTTGCAATCGGTGGATATCACTTACATCTTCGAACATGCTGAAGTAGACAGCATCATCGTTGACGCTGAATTTGCTCCTCTCCTGGCCGATTTTAGAGCAGCGCATCCTGAGGTCAAGATTATTGTCGACACCGATACAGATGCAACAGAAGGACAACTATCTGGTCCCTTTGATGAGGCAGTCCTCGAAGGTTTGAAATACGACATCGAGACTGGTTCCAAAGGTTGGGCAGATCTCGAGCATACCACTGCCGATGAGAACTCTCTGATTGCTTTGGCCTACACCTCGGGAACTACTGCACGGCCGAAGGGAGTAATGTTCACACACAAAGGCGCCTATTTAGCAGCTCTCGCGAATGTTATCGAATCCGGTCTCAACTACCATGGATCGCAACGCGCGCACTATCTCTGGACGTTGCCGTAAGAAGCACACGAGATTCCTGACTGACATAGCTGATACTCGGCAGGTTGTTCCATGCCATGGGTTGGACTTTTCCTTGGTCCGTCACGGCTGTTCGTGGCACTCACTACTGCCTGAGAAAGATTGACTATCCGGAAATCTGGCGTCTCCTGAAGGAGGAGGGCATCACTCACATGAATTCAGCTCCAACCGTGAACACACTTCTGTGCAACGAACCGGGGGCTGAGCGACTAGAAAATCCCGTCAGAGTGACAGTTGCGGCGAGTCCACCATCGGCTCATCTCTTCAAGACGATGGAGAATCTCAATCTGCAACCAGTCCACGTAAGTCAACCAGATCTCGCATGTATTGTGCTGTGTACTCTAAAGTCTCCAAACGGAGCTAAAACAAAAAAAAAAACATTAATAAAAACACGACTCACAATGTGCCTGCTTCCTGAGCACGTCGCTAACTGCTGCCATCTTGTAGGTCTACGGCTTAACAGAGACCTACGGCCCCATAACAAAGGGCTATCACATGCAGGCCTGGAGCTCGCTCCCAGGAGACGAAAAATACGCCAAGATGGCTCGTCAAGGTCATGGTTTCGTTACTTCTATGCCTGCCCGCGTGATCAAGACAGACGTTCCAGACGACCACATTGAAGACGTCGAGAAGAATGGCAAAGACATTGGTGAAATTGTCTTCTATGGAAACATCTGCGCGAAAGGGTATTACAAGGACGAAGAGGCCACCAGGAAATTGTTTGCTGGAGGAGTTTTGCACACTGGTGATCTCGCTGTCATGCACGAAGACGGTGCTATACAGATTCTTGACCGAGCCAAGGACATCATCATCTCAGGTATGCATGATCTCATGGCATCCAACTTGCGTTTTGCTTACATGTGACAACAGGAGGAGAAAACATCTCCAGTGTTGCTCTAGAGTCCATGTTGGTCACTCATCCAGAGATCCTCGAAGCAGCCTGCGTAGCAGTCCCTGATAGTCATTGGGGTGAGCGTCCTCATGCTTTTATTACCTGCAAGAAAGAAGGTCTCAGAGGCGAGGAAGTGATCGAGTGGGCCAGGAACCAGAGCAGCATCAGTCGTTTCATGGTTCCCAGAGAAGTCACTATAGTTGCCGAGCTGCCAAAGACGAGCACTGGCAAATTAAAGAAGAACGAACTGCGAGAATGGGCCAAGAAGGGCGAGAAGGGGTTGTAAACGGAAGTGTGGGATTTCCGCAGCCGGACGGGCCGCGGGTGTGATGCTCGACGTTTGGCTGCAGATTTGACACAACGCATCTTCGTATGGATTTGATCGGACGAAGATATCACTGCGTTGAAGCATGGCTTATATGAACGTGGTTGTACTATGTAGAAAGTAGGAGATGGGTGGCCATGTACAAGCGTTACTCGCCCTCTATAGATAACGCGAATTGCGTGACAGCCATGCCTGGAGAAAAAAAAGAAGCCAGGTGGTTGGTAGATGTGCATATAGAACAGGCTTCAGCCTCACTAGAGAACGGTTCCTTGCGCACCGCATGCATGCCAATAACAACCAAACAAATGTACTTTGGCGCGTGTTCTTGCTTTGATACCATGACAAGTACAACTCAGAAGTGAAGCGTAGTTCCATCAGTCATCTCCAGCGTGTTTCTCACTATTCAAGCTCAGATTGTCGACCAACACAAGGGTCGAGGAGCGTCACCGGTGGGAAGAAAAACAGAATGTGGCTCGTGCGAGCCATATTCTGTTTGACCTAAGCTCAAGGCGGGATAGCGTGCCTTCCCATCTGAGGGCGTCGTTCTTTCCTTCGACGAGTTAAAGGCATAAAAAGCGCCGCCCATCGAACAGCCGGAGACCTCCCTCATAGCGGCCTCGGCTGACGCGTGACGCAGCAACCAAATACCTCTTCATTTACTCTCCTTTTTTCTTCGACGCGATAATTCACTACAGCGATGAACTGCTAATTCGACTGTTTTTGTCAAAAAGTTCACACTTTGCGTTTGGAGACAGAGGGCGTTGATGGAAATCTGATTAGTTTTTGATACAATTTGGCTACAACATGAGTGCCACAAGGTGAGTGCATATCCCAGCTGCGGCGATCTCCGAAGGATTCACTTTGCTGACTATACACGTGATGCTTACAGACTTGACCGTATGTTACATTTGTTGCTCAATCTGAGCGACTGTGGGGCTGTTTGCGATGGGTCACTGACGCTTGTGTGCAGGATTGGTCATTCTTCTGGACACTGGTAGCACTCAACTTATCCGTAACACAGCTGCTCAGCAGCTTGCCGATGTGCAAAAGAATCATCCGGACGAACTGTTCAACCTACTGACCAGAATTGTTCCCTTTCTTCGCTCATCTTCCTGGGATACGAGAACAGCAGCCGCAAAGGCGTTGGGCGGTATTGTCGAGCATGCACAAAAGTTCGATCCTAACGAAGATGTCAAGAACGAGAATGGCGACGTCAAGGAAGAGCATGGTTCTTTGACACCTTTGACCTCCGAAGATCAATTACAGCTCGCAACTCTGGACGTCGAGGCCATCCTTACCAACGGAAAGGAGCTGCTCGGTAGCGCTGGACGTCAATATGACTTCAAACTGGCTGGCATGGATCCCGCTCAGAGGCTCGCCCATCAGAAGAAAACTCTTACCAACCGCCTTGGACTTGGCGGAGAATACATGGAGGACGAACTCGTCACAGAAACAGACATTGCTGTGCGTACCAACTTTCCGCCACCAGCTATGCCAAATGCGGACTCCTCCCTTTCCAGGGCCAACAGCGTAACAGAATCTGCCGTGGTCTCTCCCAGCGATCAGCAGACTCCGTCCGAGGCCATGAGCAAGAGACAGCTAAACATGCTGAAACGCAGAAGAAAGGAAGAGCTCAAACGCGACAATAAGAAGTTTAAATACGATCTTACCAGCATGAGACGAGAGAGCACTACAGTGCCTACTCCAGCCGAGTCAGAAACCATCATTAAGGACGAAACTGCAGAGACTAATTCCAGCGTTCCCGACTACTTCTCGCTTGAACGAAAGGGTGGCGACGACGACGCAAAAGTCGTATCAGAGTTCAAGGGTGCCCCCATCGCTGAAAAGTCTGCTTTCCAAACCGAGGTCGAAGAGACTGGCAACGGATGGCCGTTTGAACGACTCTGCGAGTTCCTGACCGTGGACCTGTTCGATCCTGCCTGGGAGATTCGCCATGGTGCTGCAATGGGTCTTCGAGAAATCGTTCGTGTGCACGGTGCTGGAGCTGGTCGTTTACTGAACAGAAACAAATCCGACAACGATCGCCTCAACCAGGCATGGCTCGATGATCTCGCTTGCCGCATTTGCTGTGTCTTCATGCTCGACAGATTTGCAGACTACGTCTCGGACAATGCCATCGCACCAATCAGAGAGACTGCTGGCCAAACACTAGGTGCACTCTTGCAATATCTCCCAGCATCTTCCGTGCATGCTGTCAATCGTATCCTATATCGATTGGTAATGCAAAAGGATCTCAAGGTCAACAGACGCATCTGGCATGCTTGCCACGGTGGTATGATCGGTATGAGATATCTCGTGGCAGTAAGAAATGATCTGCTGCTTCAAGACAATCTGTTGATGGATGGCGTCCTGGAGTGTGTCATCAAAGGACTTGGAGACAGCGACGATGATGTTAGAGCAGTCAGCGCAGCCACTCTGATTCCTGTTGCCAAAGAGTTTGTCAACATGCGTCATGCTGCACTCAATCATCTCATCAGCGTCGTCTGGGAATGTCTGTCAAACTTGAGCGACGATCTCAGCGCTAGTACGGGATCTGTGATGGACCTGCTTGCAAAGCTTTGTGGCTTCCCCGAGGTTCTCGATGCCATGAAGAAGAATGCTGCAGAGAACCCTGAGCAATCATTTGCAGAGTTGGTGCCTCGCTTGTATCCCTTCTTGCGTCACACTATCAGCACAGTCCGTTCCGCCGTCCTTCGCGCTCTCCTCACATTTGTCAACATTGATGGCGAAGATGCCAAAAGCTGGGTGGACGGTCGTGCTCTGCGTCTTGTCTACCAAAATCTGCTCGTCGAACGCAACGAGACGGTTCTCAAGCTCTCTCTCCAGGTCTGGTACGCTCTCGTCGATGTCCTGGCGACCCATCCAGAGAAGTTCGCCGCAGAATTCGAGCCGCACGTCGCACCCTTGGTGACACTCACATTCCATCCTATCGGTGTATCTCGTCACCCCATTCCAATGGATGCAACACTATTCATACGTCCTTCGGGTTACAGCTACACCCCACTCAGTACTGCTACACGCAAATCCTCTCCAGTCAATGGATCTTCCGAACCTGCCAGGAAGAGAAGGCGTTCCGACAAGAAGGACAAGGACATGCCACCTCCAACTTCTTCTTCGGCTCACAACGTTGATGGGCACATGATGCAAGGCGATGTCGATCTTGTTGGAGCAGACATTATGATTCGTTCAAGAACTCATGCAGCTCAGGCTCTTGCGAAGGCCTGTCAGGTCTGGCCAGCAGCAACAAGACGCGACACTTTCTCCTCAAAGATTCTTCCCAGTCTCAAGTCCGGTTTCTCGACCACACAACTCTTCGCCGCGATCTTCATCGAGGAATACGCCAAGCTATTGCCTACCAAGGATGACCTTACCTCATTATTTGCAGAGAACCTTCGTCCTCTTGTGGAAGAAGACAGACCCAGCTGGTATAGCGACCTCACCAGCTATCTACAAATCGTGCGTGCACAGTGCCAAAGTCTTCTCAACACTTTCCGCGAAAAGGCCCATGTTCCACCCAGCAAACTTCCCATAATCGCTGTCGTGGTTCAAGGGGAGCCAGAGGCCGGCAAGAACGCCTTCTCGCTCGCCGATGGAGAGCGCATCGCCGTCCAAGATTACGAGAGACTACGCAAGACTCTCTCACCTGCTCAAAGAGTCACCGCAACCGAAATGTTATCAAGCGCAAAGGCAGATGTCGACTCCGTTATTGCCGAAGCAACTCTAGTCAAGAAGCAACGCGACGTTCGCATCAAGTCTGCTGCGGCCGCCGCTATTGTGGCACTCAAAGAAATTCCCAAGAAGCCTCAGGCTACTATCAAGGGTCTCATGGACAGTGTCAAGGACGAAGAGAACTTCGAGCTCCAAAAACGCTCTGCAGCTGCAATTGCTAGACTGGTCGATCAGTTGGTAGCCAGTGGCCGTATGAAGGTTGTCGACAAAATCGTTGGCAACTTGGTCAAGTTCTGTTGCATGGAAACTGGCGAGACTCCTGAATTCCACCCCAACGCAGACAGAGAATCTGGAATCCTCTCGCTGCAAAAGGACGAAGATATCCAGGACCGTCCGGATGCTGCCAAGTACGAGAGGGAGGTTCGCCAAGCTCGCATCACAAGACGCGGTACAAAGGATGCTCTGGAGCAACTCTGTCACCGATTTGGCAGCGACCTCTTTGAGAAGGTCCCTATGCTTCGCACCCTTATCGAGAACCCCATTCGGCACTGCTTCTCTGGAGATTTGCCTGACAACATCACCGATCCTGAACAAAATCTCGGTCAAGAAGTCGTGGATGCCATGTCAACCCTTCGCGCGTTGGTGGCATCATTCCACTCGGACCTGCATTCCTTCGTTCTCGATCTCATGAACTTCGTTGCTAGAGCTCTTCAGACGAGACTTGCCGTCCTTCGATACACCGCTGCCAAGTGTTTTGCAAGCATATGCAGTGTGATCACTGTCAAGGGTTTCACTATGCTGGTCGAACGAGTTCTGCCACCAATCAGCAATCCGACTGACGTTCATTGCAGGCAGGGCGCGATTGAATGCATCTACCATCTCATTCAAGTCATGGAGGATCGTATTCTACCCTATGTCATATTCCTCCTGGTCCCTGTACTCGGACGTATGAGTGATTCAGACAATGGCGTACGCTTGATCGCAACTACTGCTTTCGCCACGCTGGTCAAGCTGGTACCCCTTGAGGCTGGCATCCCAGACCCACCAGGCCTCTCTGAAGAGCTACTCAAGGGACGTGAAAAGGAGCGCAAGTTCATTGCGCAGATGCTTGACCCCAAGAAGGTCGAGTCCTTCGATATTCCCGTCGCAATCAAGGCCGACCTCCGCTCATACCAACAGGATGGTGTCAATTGGTTGGCTTTCCTCAACCGTTACCATCTCCATGGTGTTCTCTGCGATGACATGGGTCTCGGCAAGACATTGCAAACAATCTGCATTGTCGCCAGTGATCATCACATGCGTGCAGAAGAATACGCCAAAACCCAAGCACCTGATCAACGTAAGATGCCCTCATTGATTGTCTGTCCTCCAACTCTGTCCGGACATTGGCAGCAGGAGATTCGCACATACGCGCCCTTCTTGAACGCCGTGGCTTATGTCGGCCCACCTTCTGAGAGAAACAAGCATCGTGCGAAGCTCACCGAGGCTGACATCGTCATCACCTCGTATGATATTTGCAGAAACGACGTTGAAGTCTTTGCGCCTCACACGTGGAACTACTGTGTGTTGGATGAGGGCCACTTGATCAAGAACCCTAAAGCCAAGGTCACACAGGCTGTCAAGCGTATTGCGAGCAACCACCGTCTCATCCTCTCGGGTACACCCATCCAGAACAACGTACTCGAGCTTTGGTCGTTGTTCGATTTCCTGATGCCCGGCTTCCTTGGTACAGAAAAGATGTTCCAAGATCGATTCGCAAAGCCAATTGCTGCTTCGCGTTTCAGCAAATCGTCCTCAAAGGAGCAAGAAGCTGGTGCACTAGCCATCGAAGCTTTGCACAAACAAGTCCTACCGTTCTTGTTGCGTCGTCTTAAGGAAGAAGTACTAGACGACTTGCCACCCAAGATCCTGCAAAACTACTACTGTGATCTGAGCGACTTGCAGAAGAAGCTCTTTGAGGATTTCACTCGCAAAGAGTCAAAAACAATTGCCGAAAAGGCTGGTTCTGCTGACAAGGAGGCCAAGCAACACATTTTCCAAGCTCTGCAGTACATGCGTAAGCTCTGCAATTCACCGGCCTTGGTCATGAAGGAGAGCCACAAGCAGTATGCCACAATTCAAGCGCAATTGGCACGCCAAAACTCGAGCTTGACTGATCCAGTTCATGCTCCTAAGCTCACAGCCCTCAGAGATCTTCTTGTCGACTGTGGTATTGGTGTTGATGCTGCACCAGCGGGTGAGGTGCCTTCTGCTGATCAAGCCGTCTCCCAGCACAGAGCTCTCATCTTCTGTCAAATGAAGGAGATGCTCGACATGGTTGAATCGACCGTCTTCAAGCGCATGCTACCATCAATCACGTTCTCTCGACTTGATGGAAGTGTCGAGGCATCCAAGCGTCAAGATATCGTTAACCGCTTCAACTCCGATCCATCTATTGATTGTCTGCTCCTTACCACCAGTGTTGGTGGACTCGGTCTCAACTTGACTGGAGCAGACACTGTCATCTTTGTCGAACACGACTGGAATCCCCAAAAGGATCTTCAGGCTATGGATCGCGCGCATCGTATTGGTCAAAAGAAGGTCGTGAACGTGTATCGCCTGATTACTCGTGGTACTCTAGAAGAGAAGATTCTCAGCCTGCAGAGGTTCAAGATTGATGTCGCTAGCACTGTCGTGAATCAGCAAAACGCTGGACTCGGAAGCATGCAGACAGATCAGATTCTGGATCTCTTCAATATGGGTGACACTGAAGGTGCGCCATCGCTCGAAGATAAGCCCAAGGATCCCAACTCAATTGATGAGGCGGACGCTGTGGACGCCGAGGGTAATGTCCGTGAGAAGGGCAAGAAGGGCATCCTTGATGAGCTCTCTGAGCTCTGGGATGAAAAGCAGTACGAAGAAGAGTTCAACTTGGATGGATTCCTGTCGACCATGAAGGCATGATCCCTATCTTGAAGCTTTTTGTATTCTTCTGCATCTCTCTTTTAATGAGGTATGACTTTGGATGGACGGGAAAGGGAAGGAAGAGCAAGAAGGGGCGTTTTATCGATCATGGGACGGAAAGAAGGTCACATCCACATCATTTCTTCAGCTGGAGCGTCTAGCAACGCTGCTTCCTCAATAGCATCAAATTAAAAGTTTACATATTTACCACAAGCACCTTCCCACTGGGCTTCGGCCATCTCTCCCCCGAACCCCGAACCGAACAACCAAGCCGAGCGGGACCACGTTTGGTGGGGGGTTCCGGGAAGCAACATCCCGCCGGTGTTCTTACCGCCGAAACTGTCGACATATATATCTACCTCAGACTCAGTCGTGTTGACCTTTGTGTAACACAATTGCTTCGTGTGATTGTTTCTACTACCTCTGCTTCAGCCTCTCAATCTACTATGGCTCCGATCAAGACCATTGAGTACTTCCGCGTCAAACCCCGCTGGCTGTTCGTCAAGATAGTCGACGCAGAGGGTCATGTTGGATGGGGAGAAGCGACACTGGAAGGACACAGTCAAGCTGTAGAAGGCACACTAAATGGCTACATCACTCGTTTTGTGGGACTTGAGGCCGAAGATATTGAGCATATATGGCAGCTTGCTTGGCGACACAGTATGTTGCAACGCGGGTCTTGAGTGGATCATTCAATGATCATCTAACAAGGTTTGACAGGCTTCTACCGTGGTGGCCCTGTATTCATGAGTGCGCTTGCCGGTATCGACATCGCGCTCTGGGATCTCAAGGCTCGCAAACTTGGTGTACCCATCCATCAGCTACTCGGAGGCAAAGTCAGGCAGAAGCTTCAGGTGTATGCCTGGATCGGAGGTGATCGTCCTTCTGATGTTGCAGAAGCTGGCAAAGAACGACTTGCCCAAGGATTTCGTGCTGTCAAGTAACTAGCATTGCGTTCTTCAAAGCATATCGACATCGCTGACAAACTGGTTCTAGGATGAACGCGACAGAAGATGTGGGATGGCTAGATTCACCTTCCAAACTGGATTCTGCTGTAGACAGAGTCAAGACTGTCAAGAGCTTGGGATTAGACGTCGCTCTGGATTTCCATGGAAGACTTCATAAAGCCATGGCGAAGCAACTGGCGTAAGTCTTGTGTTGTCATGGATCACTAGCCGTCATCTCATGGTTGAATAGTATGCTAACACGATACCCCTGACAGGCACAAACTAGAAGGCTGCGATGTTCTGTTCCTCGAAGAGCCGCTGTTGAGTGAGCATCCCGAGGGTATCAAACAACTCTCGAACTTGACCAGCTCGCCCATTGCACTCGGCGAGAGATTATACAGTCGCTGGGACTTCAAGAGATATCTGGAAGGCAAGTTACGACGAATTCTATGTCTTTAAGAGAATTAGCAATATTGACTATCCACAGATGCTTCGGTAGATGTCCTCCAACCTGACATTTCACATTGTGGAGGCATCTCTGAGTTGAGAAGAATTGCGGCCATGGCTGAAACTTATGATGGTGAATTTCCACAAACATTTGACTCTGGATCTACCATACTGATGTACTTCATAGTTGCCATTGCACCACATTGCCCCCTTGGAGTGAGTGCTTGTTCCTATCCTCACATATTCTGATACTGACAAAGTCTTCCAGCCCATCGCTCTCGCAGCTTGTTTGCAAATCGGCCTTTGCACACCCAATCACATGATCCAAGAGATGTCCATGGGTGCGACTCACCTCAACTCCCCATCGTTCCATTCGCATATGCTAACAAAACTCAAGGCATGCATTACAACACCGAGGCTGGCGAACATGATCTCCACAGCTATATACTCAATCCAGAGATTCTCAAGGTCAAAGATGGATACTTGGATGCCCTCACTGGACCAGGTTTGGGCATTGAGGTTGATGAGGAGGCTGTGAGAAGAGTAGCTGCGAACACACAGCCTTGGGAGTTGCACGGATTCGTCGGTGTGGATGGCGGTTTGAGAGAATGGTAATCGTCAAACCATAGAAAGAGCGATGGAAGCGATTGCAGGCCGAGTATGAAGGGAATCTGGTTGTGCAGAATTATATAAGATATATGCCAATGTATCCATACTCCGGGTTGGTTGTTCGTAATCACTTCATCACATCTCATACCAGAAGTCGTCGTCTAGCCCAGCCCTGCTTGGAACAGGCAATTGCTTATTATCCTGAGCCCTTTCCCAATCCACGTCTTCCCAACGCAAGTTCAACATGCGAATCGTCAAACTCCACTGCTCGAGCAAGCCGACATACTTGTTTGTATCCGCGGTGATGGGTTGTTGATTCAGCAGCATGAGAAGACCATCCAGCCACTCGGAAGCAAGTGATGTGCTGCCTGTATTCAACTCGAGCAATACTGACTCCCCAGGCATCTGGGTTCTAGCAAATGTGTTTGGGTTGCCAAAGATTGTCAGTCGTGTGATTGTGCCTGTAGAAGATGTATGCTTGTCTTTGGATCTGTTCGCGTTGTCATCGATGAGAACATCTGATCTTGCGACACTAGAGTCAACGGAACTGATGGTTTCCAAATCAAGCTTCTCGTTCAATTCGTGGAGTTGTGGTGGTTTGTCGAGTTTGGTGTTGTGAGATGCGTGATGCAAGAATCTTCTGTCGCTGGAGAGACGGACGAAGCGCCATGCTGTCACGCGTAAATTTTGCGACTCTGCTGAAGTGATGGATATGTTGGAGGGAGACGTGGAAGATGAGATGATGGGGAACCAGGTGCCTTTGAGTAAACACTTGATACGCTGCTCACGCATGAACAAAAGTGCATCTGTGTGAGTTTGCTCACGAAGATTTCTGAAAAGGTCAAAAGTTAGTAACGGGGAAGGTGGGGTGGATAGTCAGTAGCTCTTACCTTAGATCTTGACCCCAAGCATATTCGTAAATTTGCGAGACGTCCTGTAACTGCCATTCTCTGACTTTTGCTAGAGTGGTACTCCCGAGTTGCTCCTCGACTTGATCCATAGTGGCTCGTCTGTCGGATTGACCTAGGATCGTGCGGATGAGAAGCCTTGAAAGGTCATCGATCTTACGATAGTCGTCGATAGTTGCACGTGCTTCTTTCCACAGACGGATAAAGGCATTGAGTGAGGCAGCGTGCACGTCTTCCCAGCGCAACAAAAGCGGTTTGGCAAGTATCTCGGCATCTTTGATATCCTCGGCGGTAGTGGTGTTTCCTGTGGGATCTTGGCCGTCCATCTTAGATATCTCAAAATGCTCGTAGAGGACCATGGTGATGCTCAAACTTGCTTTCGCAATGGGACAGCGTTGTTCCAGAGGGATAACACTCTGCTCCAGCAATTCCTTTTGGAAAGCGTCTCTGTTCCGGCGGACATACTCTGTAAGATTCATCATGCCTAGGAACCTGGTCTCGTCAAGGTCCGCTGCTGGGTTGTCGGACGAGAAACCTAGACGTTGCCACTTGTCAAGATCAAGATCTGTGATGTCAGTTCCTGTCTTGGGGTCCGGGCTACTTGCAACTGACCTTGCTGGCTAGCTCGATAGTTTGAGGGAAAGCTAGAAACCTGAAGTTCTTTGAGAGATCTTCGATGCTCGGTCTTCTCGGAGTCAACCAATATGTGTCTCCAGCGAGCATAGAGTATCTTCATCAGATTTTGGAACTCAAGGACGGGAGCAGCAATCTCGTGAAGTGAATCACCGTGCATCAGATCTTCGACACCGCTGATGACACCCAGTTCCTGCAGCCTGCTGATGAATTTGGGCCATTCGGTCTCCCCTCCATTGGCAACAGAATCTCGCATCAATGCATTTATCAGATGCAGAGCATTCGCGCACAAGGCATGATCAGCAGAAGCCAACTTATCTACCAAGCAGTCGAGAAAGTTGGTGTGGACTTGCAAGAGGGGCACCAGAGACTTGAATCCAAATTCGTCTTCGGAGGTTTGCTGTAGCCTGTGAGGATCGAAGGGTCGTGATACCACCAGAACCAGGAGAAGCAACGCGTTGCGAAGGACATTGATAACAGGGCGATTGACGACAACTTGGACAGCCTATTTGGAGCACACCAAAAAACCTAAGAACTTGTTTCTCTGTCTGAATTTCGATTTGTCTTACACGTTCTATCACATCTGAGCTCAGGCGGTCCCAACCTAGGTCCATCTCCAGCAGACGCGTCAAGCTACCTAGCGCATAGGCAAGAGCATTTCCATTGTCTTCAAGGACGACCTGCTTCAGCGCAGGCACTCCCTGAGCCTGCACAAAGGCATGCGCAAACGCAGGATCGCTGACGAGTGATTGTAGATGATACGCGCTGAGCTTGCGAGCCGATTCGGACTCGCTCGCTATGCCAGCGATAATGGACCGGACGTCGTGAGAACCAGCCATGGATCGATTTCCGACTTTGCATGCGGCCTAGAGTGCCGAGTTGTGTTTATCGCCGTCGGCGTAGAGGAAAGGAAGTGTGGCATGACCCTAGAAGTCCAACTCTAGAACATGGGCTGGACAGAAGCAGCCCCTTGGCGCTAGTCATGGCGCTAATGAGATCCGCGGTCCATGCCGATCCGGCTCGTGCGCTGTGTATCACTTCTCTCTCTTCTTGTGTCACGAGACGAGAATGAAATGACTATCGCCGAGGCAAATGGTATCACTCGTTCAAGTGGCAGATGCGATGACAACAGTATTGCAAAATCTGGGACGACCCCTGCAGAGCTTTCTCGACCACTTCCTGGCCGTCAGCGACTCGATAAGCATCGGATGAGAGATAAAGCAGCGATACCAGTCTCTTGGCTCGTCGAAACCTCATGCTTGCCCGCCCAGCTCTGATTGATGGGATAGATGTCGTATCTGTAGGTGATGCGCATAAAGTCAAGTGGGTTGTGATACGCGTGCCACACATAGCCGTCTGAGGGGTACAGTGTATGCATCAAGAGGTCTCAATCAGGGATCGGGCAAGATTGATCGAATTGGTAAGGATACCTTCTTCTGACTGCTACATTGGATGAGCCTGTTGACAAACTCAGTATAGGTACATGGAGAGAATCATCTGAGATTTGAAGGAAAGGAAAAAAAAAATCGCTGAATGCTAGAAAGGAAAATCGTCGTCGCCTCAGAACCCAAAAAGAAAGACCACTGTATAGCCACCTGTTGAATGCGCCTTTACTCAAAAACCAATGCAATAGTCCAGTCCCAACCTTTTCCCTTTCTGTTGTTTGTTTCTTGCGCCTTCCGTAACTAGAAAAGAAGCCCAATGCAATATATGAAGCCTCTCACTTTCTCCACCCAACGTTCCATATTACATGGGCAATGTCTTTTGCGGTATTTAAAGTGTCACTCACCTTACCGAAGAGGCCGGCGGCAACGATGTCATCTTCGTCTTCCTCGTAGGGCATAAACATTCCCGAAGCACTCCGGCGCATTCCAGAGCCCTCTGCTTCATCCTCATCTTCGGATGGTGTAGTGGCTGGCGAGCCTGTCGTCCGTGATCTATGCACGGCCACGCTGTCCCTTCGATTCGCGAATGCACTCAATCTAAGTGATTCCGTGTCGTCCGAATCTAGCTCTTCGCTTTCCTCGTCGTCGGCAGGTAGAATATGGTTTTTTGAGGGATTTGAAGGCTTCAGAGTTTCCTGAGAAGCTGACTGTGGAAGCTTACTTGAGCTCCACGAACGGGCCAAAGATGGAGCTGGTGCTGGAGCAGGCTCTAGTTTTTCGGTTTTGTTCTTCAAGGTGGTGGAGGGAAGCTTCTCGATCGTCCGACTAGAGGAAGTGCTTCTTACTAGTGGTTTACGAACTGCTCGTTTTCTCTTGGGACGTCTCATCATGACAATACCGTCGTCTGATGAATCTGAGTCGGTATCGTTGGGTGGTCGCTCGTCTTCAGAACTTTCATCGCCGAACTCGCCGTCTTTGCCCTCAACGGCGATGCATTGTTCGACCTTCTCATCGAAGCGAATGTGGCGTTTGGGGTACTCGAAAGGTGAACGGTCCCCAGACGAAGGACGTGGAGAGAAACAACCTAGATCTAAGAAGTCAAGATTATCTCTGCTGCTAGGTACCATCAGACTAGCAGTGGGAAGGTAGGCAGACGATCGGCCTAGCGAGGGTCGTTTGGATGGAGGCAAAGTCTGCTGAGCCTGTATGGCAGCGGCAGCCTGCTTGACAAGAGACGAGGTTGATAGCGAGCGTTGAAGCATGACTTCAGACATGCTTCGCTTCTTAAGGATGGGTTTTTTCTGGACGGAGGAATTGGCGCCGGCGAATTGTGGACTGGGATCCGGCGAGTACTGAGTTACAGGATGGGTGGAAGCAGGCTGCAAGGGTCCATAGAGCCAGGTCACGTCGCTTTCTTTCAGCCTGTGTCTGATTAGTCTAAATTGCAGCACTGAGCTGAAATTGTGCAGGCGTACCAATTAAGCGCTTCGGGGGAGACGGTTGGCAGGTGGTATTTGGATTTGGCCCAGGTTCTCCATGACGCATTTTCAAGGCGCGACCGCTGGCCGTAGACCTTACGTTGTGACACAATGTGCCTCCACGAGGACCAGATGTCTTCCTCACGCCAATCGTGCGAGAGGTAGTCGACATGTCTCGATGGCTCGTGCTTGATGGCCGTGTCGTCGGCCACGGTAGGAGTTGGTAAAGGCGAGTCGGAACGGGTAGTGTCGGTGGTGCTGCCAGCATCGTCATCGTCGTCTCGATCGCATCTACCATCGTTAGAATCGGCATCAGACGTTTCGTCTTCGGGTCGAGGGCTCGGAGGAAGATCTAGCGGTTCATCTTCGTGGAAGAATTGGACCTCGTCGTAGGCGGGGAAGGCCAGTCCAGTATCTTGGTGATGGCCGAGCTCGAATGAGAGTTTGGGTTGGTGATTGGAGAAGACAGCCGAGGAGTTGGACTGGGAAAAGTCCGAGTAGGACTGGCGAGAGGCAGCGAGGGAGCCGGAAGAGGCCAAGGAGCGTTTGAGAGAGCCGATGTTTTCGAATGAAGGCTCGGAAGCGGTGCGGTGCGAGGGCTTCGGCGGCGAGCCGACCAGCAGCGAGGATCTCGACGAGTGCGAGCGCTTGAGCGACGAAGAGTTTGAGGCGGGCTGGATGTAATAGGACTGGGATTGGTCGTCTCGCGACCTGGACAAAACCTCGGCCATGTTGTTGGAGCAAGGCGTGGCGCGGGACAAACAGGGCGGGGAAACGAAGCGAAAGGGTGAGTGGATGGGGCAGCGTGGATGCGGACGGCGACTAGAATTGACCAGGCAGCGGCATTCTGAAAGAGAGGCGAGGCGATGGACGTCAGTAGAGGTGGTGCTGGAGAGCTGCGAGAGCAGGAAAGAGGTTGGACGACCGTTGGAGAGGGTTTGTCGACCTTGAAAGCATCAATTCCTGATCAATGCGCCCTCGGTCTCCGTGCTGGCTCTAGCCCCCAGCTTTTGCGCTTTTGCGGCAGCTCTGCGGCCTGACTCCAAGAAACTCTGTTCAATTGCTACCTTCGTTCGGCCCGGGATCAAGACAGTCCACGACAAATGCAACAAGACAGTGTCGCCAGTGTACGCCCTCGTAGGCACCCAAGTACTGATAGACGCAATTGATGATGAATTGTGCTCGACCTGGTGCGACGACCGACGGCGCAATATGTACAAGGGCCAACGGCTACACATCGGCCCAAGGACAAGATGCACACGGCTTGCATAAGGGGCCCGCGCCTGCAATGGGGAACCAAGGTCCATGTCGAGATCGAGCGGGTCTGCGTGCCTCCGTGCCTGCTGCCAGAGGCAACCTTCAACTGCAGTGCAGCAACATCTTGTCCTCCCTCCCTGCTCACGAACCCTGCCATCGGCCACGGCGGCCCCTGGGGAACATTTGTGGGACTCGTCCAAGACGAACTCTGGGGTTGAACTTTGATGATCCCGTCAGAACCGATGTCCACACTCGCAGCTTCGTCATTCGTCGCGCGTGACACGCAATTCTTTCCTCCTCTTTCCGGGTCTGCCATCTATCTCCCTCACGCCTCCTCCTGGCTGCTTGTCAGCGAGCGACATCTTCCCAGTGCCTTGCGACCGCACCACCGAGCATGGGAAAACCATGTTTCGACCCCAAAGCTACCCCCGCGCTTGCGTCATCCGACATCTTCGCGCGCCTTCGATCTTCTGGTTTCCACCTTTGCGCCGTCGCGTCGATCATGCCTAGGCACTCGATTCAGCTCGTTCCGGCAGCTGCCCATTAGGGTGCTCTTCTCATCGCTGGACCCTTATCATATTGGACTTCGCTCTCATCCGTTTCGTAAATCCCCCCACGATGCGGCCCTTTGGGTGAGAACACTGCATGCGCCATACTGCATTAGCCACCTTGACCATGACAGAGGTGACAGCAGCCACGCTCTTGACCTGACAGGCCATCTTTAGCCTCGTAATTGCGTGCCCCAGGCAGCTGGCTCCTTCGTCTCCACCCCTCAACGTGCATATAAGCAACCCAGGTTCAAGGATCCACACCTGCTGCATCCTCTGCTGCAGGTAACCGATATCCTGATAGCTGCCAATCCAGCCACTTGATGCAACCCTCATCCTGGCAGCGCTGTACAGCAGTCAAGTTTGATTAATTGCCTATCGCCGCAAATAGCCAGATAAGCAAAGCATCACAGCACTTGACTGATTTGATACCTCAGGCGGTGTTTTGCCCGATGCTTTTGTGTTCACTCGGCTGTCGAATCAAGGTCACTACCAACGTCGGCCAGACAGCCTGCAAGCCCCCAGCCAACCAACGGCGGGTGCTTGGACGGCCCTCGTTGCCTGTGGAAGCATCGGAAGATGCGATGCGGCAACCCAAGAGTACAAAGATGACATTGCCTTCCCGTGCTCCACTCCTTCTTACGCATTATCACCATATCACATTCACGTCCATGTCTACATCCAATCCTTGACGATATCGCATCTGTACCAAGACTGGTTTCGATTGGCTAAGAGTTGAGTTGGTTTTGTCGATTTTCATGTGCAAGCACATTGCCTTTTACTGCCTAATCTAGCAGTTGCAGTTCTCTTCGTTCTCGCATCGAAGATAGTACTTGACCAGTTTTTCCTACTTACTATTACAGTACGCTCTCTTGTCTAGAACGACCGACCCAACGGTGCAATTCAGCATCAAGTTAGCCCCTCGGTAGCTCTCGAGTTTGGAATGGAGCGAATGTCTACAACAGGCGATTCGTCAAGTCTCGAAACCTAAAGAGCTCGAGGGTTTCCATATGACTGGTGGCCGGTACTCGTCATCGTTGGAATCGATACTCTCCGTATGCGGACGTCTGCTCCCGTGCTGGGCCGACGAAGGTCTAGTAATACGGCCCATGGAAACATGAGTGATTCGAGTCCATGGTGGCACAGACAGGATTATCCGGTTCAACAGCATTCAAGGCTGTGCAACACGCCATGTGGATACTACTACCATATCGATGTAACCTGGTCACTCGGGTTGAATGCATTTGATCGTTTACTGACCAGTCTCAAGATATGATGGAAGATTTCGACCGACGGCTTCGTTGCTGCTTCTCCGTCTCACCTATATACGTGCAGCGGTTCAGCGCATAGCGACGTGCTACAATGAAAGAAGGTAAAGAGTGTCGATAGAACCAGGAGTCGTACACGAGTCGGACCTGTGCTTGACTGCTGCTTGTGCTCCCATCAGATACATATAATCCTTCGGCTATTCAGACATTAGCCGGCTGTACGGTCTCTAATAACCTCTTCAGCAAAGCTGGAATGTCTCGGTAGAATAGAAACTACATTTCAAATGTATTAGGCCTCGAGCTCTTTTCCCGCTGATGGCCAGCCAGGAGACAGTCGAGCTCAGTGCTTGGATGACAATCAACTATTTATTTCCTTTTTTTGCTTTTTTTCTCATCTCGAATGCGGCCTGGGTCACCCTGGTCGAGATAATAACAACCTTCACCATCGCTCACCACGCAGCACGGTTGCTCCCAATAGCATATATGGAGGTGTTTGATATCCTTAAGTGGATGGCCAATCGATTGTAGCTCCTCAGTGCGGTGGTTGGGATTCTGGAGTTTGATGTTTCGTATTTGATGTTTGAACAGGAAGACGTGCTTGCTTCGCAAGGTCTTTACACACAATGTCAAGCAGCAAGTAATCAAGATCACATCGATAACATCGTACTTTGCGGTTTCTAACTACATGAGATCAACCTGATCATACGATTTGGGGAAAGCACGGCGAATGTAATAGTGCTTGTCTGATGAGTACAGCTCAAAATCTTGGGGTCATGTTGCGTCAAAATCCAAGGCTAAGCACATACGGCCACAGTCAGCTGAAAACTGGGCATCCCGTCCGCTCTGCCATACATAAGCAGTTGAACGGCAGATTAGTACTACGGTGGGTGACCACGTGGGAATCCCTGCTGCTGTATGTTTTGCGCCTTCTTCGCTTTTATCACGTCTGCTTTTTGTTTTTTTTCTCGCTCATGGTCTTCCTTTGCGACCATGACTGAGCCTTTGCGCAAAGTTTCGTGGTAGTCATTACGAAGAGTGGAAGTCATGGAAGCTACAATCTTGTCTTGGGGAGGCCCGCTTTGAAGTGGAAATTCACCTTGTCATCTTACGAACGCCTTTACACGATTATAATCCTGAGCATTTTTGAGACGCATTGATATTTCTTCCAAACACGTACGGTACCGAGTCTCGACAACAGAATGACACCGACAATTCTAATCTTGCAACGGAGTGACTCTCTGCAGCACCTCCATTACAGTACAGTGGCCATAATACTCTGCCCAGTCCAAAGCAGTCTCTCCTCTTGTGTCTCTAATGGCCGGATCGCATCCACTCTCCAGTAAGAACTTGACCACATCAACGTAGCCCTGTTGAGCAGCTCGATGAAGTGGAGTCCCTCGCGGAGTGTCGCACATCATGTTCATACTCTTCTGATCGTCGGCATATAGAAGAGTGTTAAGGCGGCTTCTGCTTCCCTTCTGGAGCAGGATTTCGTATACACGAAGGCGGTCCTCGCTTTCCCTCATAGCTGCATAGTGCAAAAGCTGGCCGCAATGGACTGATCCGCCGTGATCGAACAGTAACTGAATTGTCGACAGGGAGGCTGATACAAGGGCGTAAGACAAAGGAGTGATGTCCAGTATAGCACACCTGGCATTGGGATCTGCGCCGTTGCGAAGAAAATACATTATCAGATCTTCGTTCGAAAGTGCTCGCCTAGATAGGCTATAGTCAGCAGGTTGCATATGTAGTGGATTCTCTCTGACCACCTTAACAGAGGAGGCGTACTCCAGCTCTCAGGCTCGTTGATATCCCACCCATGGCGTAGAAACATATCGAGCATAGAAATAGACTTTTTCCGAATAGCTGGCTCGATTTGGCGGAGTGTGAAAGGCACTCCCTGCTGCAACAGGTAATCAAGGATATCTATATCCTCGTGTTCGATGCCTTCGGTGAGATGGCCAGTCAATCGGTTCCGAGAATATTCCGTGTCATGATGCATCCGCCACCATGAGAATGTGAGTTGGACTTCACCCAGATGGCGAGAGGCAAGGGCCGAGACTATCGCATCGAAGTCTTGAGCTTCGTCTGGAGACTCAACGTGAGGTGGGTCTACTGGTACGCCGTGAAGTATCACCACTGGACTTTCGTCTCTAGGCTCAACAGGTGGTGGAGGTACTGGTTCATCGTACAACCATATCTCTTCCAGCATTGGAGCTCCAAATGGAGGTGGAGGTGGTGGGGCTACTGATCCATCGGGAGGATGCCATTCCACCAACATAGGAGCTTCGTCCGGGTCGTCGTGCAACCATATATCTTCCAGCATTGGAGCTTCGTCTAGAGGTGGTGGAGGTGGTGGAGCTACTGAGCGATTGGGAGGATGCCTCTCCACTAACATGAGAGCTTCATTCGGATCATCGTAAATCCATATTTCTACCAGCGCTGGAGCTTCGCTTTGAGACTCAACAGGTAATGGTGGGGGTGGTGGAGGTGTGTCAGGTAGAACTACTGTTTCATCATCAAAGCTTGTCTTTATCAACATTGTTGGCTGTATAGATCTCGATGTCTTGAGGAAACAGATGATATGAAGGGATAGCGGTAAACAAGTGCTGTGGGCGGCTGATCTCTCAAGTATCATCGACCCCTGTTTCATCCCACGTTATTCTTGACGCAACCACTACCTATCACCCTCACATATCTTGATCACGTTCCGACCACACGGCGCATCGACAGCCAACCAAACAACCAACAACGGAACCAACAACAGAACCAACAATATAATCATCAACACAACCAACAACACAGCCAATGAAAGCCAGCGAACTACCCGGCGAGTATGAGGTAGACCATGTGAAACATTAACAACAGACGCCTCTGATGGTCTCAAGTGAGGGTTTTATCATGAGAGTAGTCCTCAAATGGGATCACAGGAACGCCACCAACACAAAATGCGGATTATGCTCATCTATCACATGTTCATATAGTGAACGTATATACCACAAAGATGATTGTGTGCTTTGTTCGACAACTTTACTATCAAGCTTCCTGTATTTATTCAATCCTTAATGGCCAGTGTACTTCTTGTAGTCGAGTCCGTTGATGTGGTGCTGAGGGTATCTTCACGAACTCGTATAAAATCTGGTTTTAGCCATTGATACAATGCTCGCTTCAGATAAAACGTAAGTATCGTACCTTTTGCATTGATCAAGCTATAAGATAACTATTAAGTCACGAAATAGAGCATTGGAAATACGATCGTGCGAAGAGTTGTGGGCCCCGACGGTATATTTGGCCGAAATCATGGTAACCATATTTCAACTCTGGCAACATAAGAATAAGTCTTTCATCTACCATCAACCACCTACCGTCAACTTACCAGGATGTACTTCACCCAAATCCAGGCGCTTATTTCCACCCAAAGCCTTACCGCCACTCGCACAGTCGCTTCGCCGGCTGATATGCTCACTGCTTCCACTTTGCCAGCACTATTGTCGAAACCTGATGTATCAGTCCAGGACCTTGCTTTGGGATCAATTTTCAGTTCCGTCGAGAAAAAGACAACAGTAGACGAGTTCGAAGGATTGCTTTCGGCTCGAGGAAAGAATGTCTGGAAGTGACACTATCGGTTGCGAACGCTTGGGCGACGATCCTGATGCGCAGCGAAGGGAAGCAGCACAAGCTTTTGCACGAGTACCAAGGGTTACCTCTGATTCTTGGGCTGACAACGAGGACATCCAGATAACAGACAAGACGATGGAAAGCCTACCAAAGGAAAGTCCCTAAGCGTTCTGTATTCGGAGATGGAGGCCATGGGCCAGAGAGTATACTTCATGGCAACAGTAAAACATATGGATGAAGAGGAAGAGAAAATGGATGCTTTGATTGAGTTCTGTTTCGATGCTTTGTGTATGCTTAATCACCACCCAGTCTTCTGCCAGGTCCGCGAGAGCCCCATGCACCCGAGGTGAATCCACTGGTCCAACCACCACCACGGGAGCTGCCTGGCTGAGGCTGAGCGCCGACAGAACCAGCGGGGCGGCTCTGGAAGGCAGTACCATACGAGCGAGTTGTACTTGCGCCACTGGGCCTGGCAAACCAACGCTGCACGACTTGCGGTGTACGGATAGGGTTGTAGCCGCCACCGTACGATGGCCAAATTCTAGTCAAGAAGTCGTACAGGTGGGCAGCGACAAGACCAAAGGCTTGCTTGAGGGCTTCTTGAGGACCTGCCATGAGAAAGGCAACCAACAACATACAACCAGGCAGATACTTGCGACGAATGCTGAAGAAGAAGAAAGTCATCATGCCATCGGGGGCATCTTGCACATGCAGATAGGCGAGGGCAAGAAGAAGCGGACCCAAGAGCAAGCCTCCGCCAAAGACGAAGCCTGTGAGGAGCTTTAAGTAGTCATCAGTACTGCAATACTCGCACGTTTGAACGGAACTGTACGAGAGGAGCATCAAGTGAAGAGATGTAGGGTGCCAAAACCACTGTTTCGACCAAGGAATCGCCGAACAGCTTTCTCAATGGGCAATCCCACCACGGCCATACTCCATCATGGCCCTTTTGGATTTTGCGAATGACGGACCATGACACAGTACAACGGTAATTTGCCCTCCTTCCAGGAACCGCTTCAGCTATGTATTTGGCTGGGCGGGCAGATATAGGAGGGGTAAGATATGTGTGGGTGTAGGGGAAGAATAAGAGAAGGGAATGAGAGCGAAGTAGACGCTTCTTACCATGATGACACTACAGATGAAGACCAGGGCGACAAACAGATCGCCTGGCTGGGAGAAGCGGCTTGAGTCAACCTCCAAAGCCTTGCAGTATGTGAACAAGAAGTATGGATCCATGATCAGGCCCAGTGAAGGGCCACTGATGAAGAAGCCCGTCACGAGTCGCCAAACTTGAGGGATCCATAACTTCAGTACCAGCTGGGGTACAAAGACGAAGTAGCCAGGGTTGATGATAGGCAAGATCCAAAAGTTGAGCGACAGGACAAGGGTGGCAGCAGTAAGAGTTCTGTAGGAACGGGTCAGAAGATTGAACGCGGTTGGATCGGACAGAGAGTGGGTGTTTACCTAGCGATTGGGGGTGCTGCCCAGAACGCGTCTGCAATAGAAGGCGACGACATTGCGGCGACGACGATGAGATGAAGACGGTCGCGACAGCACCAGCTTAACAAAGGAAGAGAAGAAGAGAGCTGGATTTTGGAAAGAAAGCTGTCAAGAAAGGAAAGCGCGATCGGGAGAAATCCGGCAACTGATCGTCGGCCCCCACCTGCCAACTTGCAGCGGCCGTCGTCATGGGCCGAGCATCGGAGAGTGACCACTTTTTGACCGTCCCTAACCGTCGCAGTCACTATTGCGCAGGCCGTGCCTTCTGAATCCTCTCATCCTTTTGTTCAATCTTCCATTGACATACTACAAATTACATATTCAACATGGATGCTATGCTGACGGTCCTCGGAAGCTCCAAGTAAGAAGCCCCAAGCTTCCAAACGTCAACCAAAGTGGCCACATGCTAACTGTTGATCAGGAAGGTTCTCCTTCTTGGAGCTGGTTTCGTCACCCGCCCTACTGCTGAGATCTTGAGCGACAATGACATTCAGGTCACTGTTGGTATCTAAACGCCCCTCATCCACTGCGTCGCTGGCAATCATCCTCTAACATGCCATCCCAGCCTGCCGTACTCTCGAGTCGGCCAAGAAGCTCTGCGAAGGCCTCAAGAACTGCAGCCCCATCTCTCTCGATGTCAACGACTCGGCCGCCCTCGAGCACGAGGTTGGCAAGAACAGCGTTGTCATCAGTTTGATCCCCTACACCTACCACGCTACCGTCATCAAGGCTGCCATCGCCCAGAAGAAGCACGTCGTCACCACCTCATATGTGAGTCATACGTCTGTCATTTTTCGAACCCTTCTGATCCGCCCAGGTCTCTCCCGCCATGCTCGAGCTCGATGCCGCTGCCAAGGAGGCTGGTATCACCGTCATGAACGAGATCGGTCTCGACCCCGGTATCGACCACCTGTACGCCGTCAAGACCATTGACGAGGTCCACAAGGCTGGCGGCAAGATCACCAGCTTCCTCAGCTACTGTGGTGGTCTGCCCGCCCCTGAGTGCAGTGACAACCCTCTTGGTTACAAGTTCTCGTGGAGCAGCCGTGGTGTCCTGCTCGCCCTCCGCAACCAGGCCAAGTACTTCCAGGATGACAAGATTGTCGATGTTGCTGGCCCTGAGCTCATGGCCACTGCTAAGCCCTACTTCATCTACCCTGGTTACGCCTTTGTTGCTTACCCCAACCGTGACTCGACCCCTTACAGAGAGCGCTACGCTATCCCCGAGGCCGAAACCATCATCCGTGGTACCCTGCGTTACCAGGGCTTCCCCGAGTTCATCAAGGCCCTGGTCGACATGGGCTTCCTGGAAGACGCCGAGAAGGAGTTCCTCAAGCCTCACCCCGAGGCCCCTGCTCTTATCTGGAAAGAGGCCACCGCTCAAATCTTGGGCAGCAGCAGCCACACCGAGGACGACCTCATCTGGGCCATCAGCTCCAAGACCAGCTTTGCTGATAATGACCAAAAGGAGCGCATCATCAACGGTCTTAAGTGGATCGGCCTCTTCTCGGACGAGAAGATTGAGCCCCGCAACAACCCTCTCGATACCCTCTGCGCCACTCTCGAGAAGAAGATGCAATACGAGGAGGGCGAGCGCGATCTTGTCATGCTCCAGCACCGCTTCGGCATTACTCACGCCAACGGCATGAAGGAGGTTCGCACTTCGACTCTGGTCGAGTACGGTGACCCCAAGGGTTACAGTGCCATGGCCAAGTTGGTCGGTGTCCCCTGTGCCGTTGCCGTTCAGCAGGTGCTTGATGGCAAGATCACACAGAAGGGTGTTCTTGCTCCCATGAGCCCCGAGATTGTCGAGCCCTTGAGACTCGAGCTCAAGGAGAAGTACGGCATTGAGATGAAGGAGAAGACTCTGTAATTGTCGGACAATTAATCATATAGATTCGACAGATTATGAAACGAAACAATGTGTCATGACAATATCAAGTCAACCAATGAGCTTCTGAATCTTGATCATCATTCATCGCTCTAAGCTTCTTCCCTCGTGATTGTAGCTGTTTGCCTCTATTGTCCATTCCTGCTAGGGTATCGCATCTACACGACTGTACTGGATGCCCCTTCTCCACGAAGCGAGATGCTTCTTCCTGCTCAGATGCTCGGAATATGTGTCAGAGCATCTCTAACTCTTCTCGGCCAGATTGCGCTTGCCTCTCAGAGGTCTACATTTTCGAGACTTCTGGTTGCCCCCTGTACGTGTGACCATCAAGCAAGGACGCTGTATGCGACCAACGCTGTCTCGATGTCGCAGCAGCAGTGTTGTTTGCGTTCCACCAGCGGAGCCGGCTTCCTTGAAACAGCAGGATTGCTTTCCTCGATCCTCAAGGCGTAGTGCGTACCTAGTCCGCGTCGCGAAGAGTATGGAGCACATCAGAAGAATGAGTTCAGTGATAGCTCAATCCCACTCGTCATCGTCGTAGTCTTCGGTGACCTTCGCTGAGCGTAAAGCACCAGATCTCATGGCATGTTCATCCTCATCCACCATCTTGCTTCTGAGTAGCACATTTGCGTACAGCAGACGAGCTTCGAGCTCCTGCAATGTGAACGAGTCGGGCTTGTAACCAATGCCTTCGAAGCCAACGATTCTGTCGCTGCTGACGCCGTTGATGAAGTTGAGAACGCAAGGCAAGACCTGGATTTTGAGCTTTACGACAAGGAAAGGGGCATTTTCGACGTTGATGCTGAGGAAGCGGGTATCGAAGTGTTTAGGTGCCAATGCCTGGAAACAGAGTCAGTTTGTGATGCGGAAGAGTGGAGAGTAGGGGAAAACGCACGGCAAGTTTCTGGTCCATGATTCTGCAGCGGTTGAAGTCGGGCTTCATAAAGTGGACGACGCACAACTTTGCAGAGGTGGTGATGTCCATGAGCTGCTTCTCTTCCTTGATCTCGGTGTATGTACCGTAGTCGGAGTTGCGCTGGGCCTTTGCGCGGGCCAGTTCGCCGTGCAGTTGCTGCAAGCGCTGTTCACGGAAGGCAGCCAGGGAGCCCTCGTCTTCTTCGAGTTCGGCGATGAGGGCATCTTCGTCGTCCGAGTCTTCGTGTTGTTTGGTGTGATCTAGCACAGCGGCCACGCGGGGGTCGACGGTAGACATGGTGGAGTGTGTTTGTTGTGTCGAGGTTGAAAGATGATTTGTTTAGGTGGGATGAATTTGGTCCATAGGTAGGGTTAGGGCCAGGCCTGCGGGCAGCGAGCGGCAGCGAGATCCGAAACACAGAGTTTACGGGATTGCCAAGCCACGAGCTTCCGCCCCGGCCATCTCTGATGGTTCTGTTTTGATGAAACATGTCACTTCGGATGGGGAACGGTTCTGTTCTCTCGAAAGACGACACGAACAGTGGCTGCTACCTACGATGCTTAGACAAAAGGGGCCATCAGCTCGCGGAGGTTGCGCCTGTGGCTTTGCAGCAGATGCAAGATTCGGACCAAGGAGTGGGCGATACGGAAATCTTATTTTTATAATAATAATAGCAGACAGGGGCTTGCAACAGCAAGGAGGAGCAAGGGTCACAAGCCAGCCAGTTGTGAGCGACGCGGCAGCCCCAGAACGTTGAAGACACGAATAATAGCCCATCCATCTTTTTCTTGTCCTTTCCTGTCTCCTTGTCCACACCACCCTCTCTACCTCTTGCGCTGCTCGTAACCATGTCCGACGACAAGAAGAACGAAGACTACACGATCGAGCTCGGCGAGCAAAAGGGCAATGGCGCCTTTGATGCCGCTCCCTCCCCGAGGATGCCTGCAGCTGCTCCCCAAGCCGCTCAACTGAACAGCCCTGTTGTTGCCATTCTGGCCTACTGTGGTAGTTCGATTCTCATGACAACGACCAACAAATACGTCCTCAGTGGTCTCGACTTCAACCTCAACTTTTTCCTCCTCGCCGTCCAGGTAAGCTCAACCACCGACGACACCATGCGCATATCTCTAATACGCCGAGCAGAGTGTCGTGTGTACCGTAGCCATCCAGTCATGCAAGTCCGCAGGCATCATCACCTACAGAGACTTCAACACTGCCGAAGCAAAGAAATGTACGTTTCGACTTCCTGCTGATGCGACAGTAGCAAGCGCTGACTCCGAGCCACCACAGGGTTCCCCATCTCGCTCCTCCTCATCGGCATGATCTACACCTCGACCAAGGCCCTGCAATACCTCTCCATCCCCGTCTACACCATTTTCAAGAACTTGACCATCATCCTCATCGCCTACGGTGAGGTCCTGTGGTTCGGCGGCAGCGTCACCGGAACCGCCCTCTTCTCCTTTGGCCTCATGGTTCTCTCGTCTCTCATTGCTGCATGGGCAGACATCCAGCACGCCCTTACCAGCCACTCGGGCTCGGCCGCCAACGACAAGATCTCCACTTTGAACTCTGGCTACATCTGGATGGCCCTGAACTGCTTCTGCAGCGCCAGTTACGTCCTCGGCATGCGCAAGCGCATCAAGTTGACAAACTTCAAGGACTTTGACAGTGCGTGTTTCGCTCTTTCCGCAACTCGCACAGAAAGCTGACTTTGATCTCTTCACAGCCATGTACTACAACAACCTCCTCTCCATCCCCATCCTCCTCATCTGCTCCCTCTTCCTCGAGAACTGGTCCAGCGCAAACCTCGCCCTCAACTTCCCCGCCCCTCAGCGCAACTCCATCATCCTCGCTATGGTCTTCTCCGGCTTGTCCTCCGTCTTCATCTCCTACACCTCCGCCTGGTGCGTCCGCGTCACCTCTTCAACCACTTACTCCATGGTCGGTGCCCTCAACAAGCTGCCCATTGCCGTTTCCGGACTCGTCTTCTTCGATGCTCCCGTTACTTTTGCCTCGGTCAGTGCCATTGGTGTCGGTTTCATTTCTGGTATCGTCTATGCTCTGGCAAAGGTTTGGCAGGGCAAGGCTGCCAAGAATGTGCTTCCCACCAGTGTCACTAGTGCTAGCAGCCAGAGCATGAAGGACAGCTTCAAGTCATAAGTCGGAGTACGAAAATTGGCTTCCCACGATCCACGGGACCTCTGTGCCTCCGCTTCGACAGCCTAGAGAGCAATGACTCCCGACAGAAAGAGACGGAACGCGAGATGATAAGACACGAGCCGGTTGATGCTCAACGACAGAGCTGCCATGTAGCGGCAGAATCAAAAGGGACCTATGCATGTCTGGCGTTTGGAAGAGGTCGTGGATTAGGATGTTGTGTACGAAAGAGCATTCTATCATTCTTCTAGAAGGGAAGGCAGACACCTTGACATTTGTCTCTTTTTCTTTTGATATCACCCCTTCAGCACTTGTAGAGCTGTTTTCTTCTTCAAGATATAAATATTCCGATACTTTCTACTTTTTTCCTACTTGAAACTGCAAGAGCGAATCGGCATTTGTTCACGCATTTGACACGTGCTGTAGTAGCGATCTGCGTAGGCTCATCTCAAAGGCAGAACCTGAGAAAGAATAGCAAGGTCACAGCATATGGATTGAACAAAGACAAGAGTGTATTTGGTGCACAAGCGTTGTTGAACACGGCAAAAGAAACAGAAGATTGCGACTAAAGTGTAGAATACTTGTTATGTTCGGCGAGCTAACTTCGTTCGGAGATATAGAGAGAAAAGAGGCCGTGGCAATGCACAGCACGATATCACCATGTTGTGTATGAGCAGAGAAGAAGAAACCCCCACTGCCGATTGCTCTTTTGCTCTTTCCTTTTCGTCAGGCATCGCGCGGAATCAGAAAAGTTGCTGCTAGAAAAACTCCAGAAAACGCCAGGCCGGGTGTCGACTCTCGATCGAAGAGCGACACTTTATGCAATCCATAAGTGTGTTGTTGAGCAAGGCAAAGGGCGTGGTGGGTATCGACGGCGAGCGAGCGGGTATGTGTGCTTTGTTGTCACAAGAGGGAAGCGACAAGGTGAAGAGAGGTGTTTAGCGGTCCTCGGCCCACTCGTTCTCACGGCGAATCTGCTCTTCCTCCTCAGGGGTGAAGTCGTTCTGGATGTTGAAGGTCTTGCGGATCTCCTCGGGGGACTTGCCCTTGATCATGTTGGCGACAGTCTTGCAGCCGACGTCAAGGAGAGCCTTGATGTCCATGTAATTGGCAGCGAGGATGATCTCGAAGAGCATCTCTTGATCAACCTGCATGAACTTCTGGTCCCACTCCTCAATGTCGGTGGTCTTCTTGCGAGTATCGGCATCGTCGTCCTTCTCGGGGGCAGGGTCCTTCTTGTGGTGGTCGCACCATTCGAGAACCTTGCGCAGGACAGCTTCGGAGACCTGGAGCGGCATGTGTCAGTGATTGCAAGATGTGATGCGATAGTCAGGAGTAGACTTACGTTCATGATGGGGATGGGTTCCTCGCCGGGAGTGCCGAGATCCTCGATCATGTTCTTGATCAGCATTGAGCGCTCGGCAACGACACGATCTGCGACATGTATTAGTGTGACGGGTAGAGTTAGAAGATGGGAGATTGCGCAGTACCAGTCTGGATGTTGACGCCATCAGAGCTGACAAGGGTGATCTTCTGGTCGTCGGTGGAAGCCATGTTGTGATGAATGTGGGTGGGATGGTTGGGTGGTGGTGTGGTGTGGCGTGTTGAGGCGAGGCAGGCCTTGGTCGTGGTGGGCTGAAGTTGAGAGAGAGCTGTCGTGAAGATCTGAAGACGACAAAGTGGAGGTTGGGTGATGAAGCAGTCGCAAGAGGCGGAGCGAAGAGTGAAAGACAGTTCGCGGGGTGTTGGACACCTGCAGGCAGTCAGTCGCGCTTGCCTGGAGGCACGGACGGTCCTTGTCGCAGTTTGTCGCCTGCTTCACCGTCTGAGGCCGATGATTCACTTTCTGCTTGCTCTTTGTTGCTCAAATTCACTGCCTAGCCGTCTGCCTAACCATTCGTCTGTCCGTGATCGCTAGATTGCGTGCCGCTATTGCTCAGGTGCTATTGCTACTATCCTTGTCTTTCCATCCAGCTCATTGCCAGCTTGATATACAGGTAGCCGCCCGGTGGGTGGCCAAACCCATAGCTTCACCGGCCACCCATGTGAAAGACACAACACAAACGCAGCAAAGTCAAATCAAAGGGCCCCAAAGACACTTCACCATGTATCCCAGTCACACTTCATGCACCTTTCCATCGCTCGCAATCATCACGTGACCGTGCACGACTCTGAAACCAGATTAGGGGCGGCGGTCAGAAATGAGCCCATGACACGTCTGGCTCCTCGATGGCAGGACATGTTCATCTCGTCCTGTAGCCATCTGCTTTTGGTGAGACTCTCGTAGGCTTCCAAAATTATGTGGAGACGAACATATCTCTTTCTGGTCGTCCTGCGCCTCTACCTGGCTTTGTCCCCCAGCTATATCCATCCCGACGAGCACTTTCAAGGCCCAGAGGTCATCGCAGGTGTGTTGTGCCCCTGCATACATGAGATGCTCAAACATTGCTTATCACAGTATCAGGTCGCGTTTTTGGATATGCTTCACACTTGACTTGGGAGTTTACTTCGGATAGCCCAATCCGCAGTGTCTTTCCCCTCCGCATCTTCTACGGACTGCCCTTGACTTTGCTAAAATGGATCTGCGATGGTATTGGATACCATACCATCTCGCCTGCCACCGTATACTACACTTTGCGTGCCTTGATGTTTGTCTTGAGTTTTGTGCTTGAAGACTGGGCTCTTGACGAACTCATCCATGTTCCAAAGGATCGCCGTGTGGCTCAGATGCTGGTTGCTTCATCATATGTTACTTGGACCTTCCAGAACCATACCTTCTCAAACTCGATCGAGACACTGATAGTGCTGTGGTGCTTGGTCTTGATCAACCGTATCAAGGAGGACAAGGTATGTTCGATGCCCAGTTCCTTGATCGAGACCTGTACTGACTTTGATCTAGTCGCATACGCGAGTCTTACCTTCTGCTCTACTCGCCTTCCTCTGTGTTTTGGGGACTTTCAACCGCATCACTTTCCCGCCATTTGTCTTGGTACCCTTGTTACAGTTGATCCCTCATATTCGTCATAGGTGAGTCCCTCCTGAGGGGCCATGTCTTCCATGCGTAGTTCTAACATGTCTTACAGACCTGTCTCGCTCTTGGTCATGATCCTCTCAGCAGCCGCGACACTACTGTTTGCTGTCGTCACGGACACTGAGTGGTTCCTTCAGAAGCCAGTACACCTGTCACAGTTGCGTGGGACCGCCATCATCACGCCTCTCAACAACTTCCTCTACAACATGGACAGCAGCAATCTCGCCAAGCACGGTCTTCACCCCTACTACCAACACGTAGTCGCAAACCTACCTCAATTACTCGGCCCAGCACTTCCCCTGATATTCTTCTCGTGCCGGATGGGAATGCCAATGTACTCTGCAGGCTTTGGCATCTTTGCCCTATCATGTCTCAAGCACCAAGAAGCGCGTTTCCTATTACCTGCAGTCCCTTTGATTCTCTCCAGCATCAGAGTACCACACCGCATCCGAAACATCTGGATCACCGTGTGGATAATCTTCAATGTTTGCTTGGGCCTTTTGATGGGTGTTTTCCATCAAGGTGGCGTGGTGCCAGCGCAACTCTGGGTCGGCAAACAAACTGGCATCCAACAGGCATTCTGGTGGAAAACGTATAGTCCACCGACTTACCTTTTGGGTAACAATCATCAAGGCTTGGTGACTAGAGATTTGATGGGTATGCGTGGTGACAAGCTTTTGGAAGAGTTGAAGGCAAAGGTGGATTGTGATGCTACATCAACGACTCTTTTGCTTGCGCCGCTCAGTGCGACGTTTCTGGATGCATACACGATGGACAACAGTACGGCTTCAGGGAGCTCTGACATCACGCTCGAGGAGGTTTGGCGTTACGGGAATCATTTGAATCTCGACGACATGGACTTTGGAGATGACGGCGTCTGGCCGACTCTGAAGCGCATGGTCGGAAGAAGAGGAATCGGTGCATGGAAGGTGACGAAGAAATGTTGATGGTCTGTGGTATATGTTCACGAGTTCAGCCTTTGTTCGTGAGGCAGAGATGTTCATGAGGCAGAGAGAGACAAGCTTCCACCGAAACGGAAAACAAATTCAACTGTCTATTCACCCATACTACTCTGCATCCTCGCTTTTGCTTTCTCCACCATCGTGTACATCGTGATATGAGGCCCGGGTTTCAACTTTCCGACTCAGACTATTCTTTGGGGTTTGTGTCAGAGTTTGGGAGGTGAGCATGTCTAGGAAGAGAGTATAGTACCCTCTTGACGGCTCTTCAGGTATTCCTTTCTGAAGTTGTTCTCGTCGGTCTCGGCACCACGCTGCAGCGGCGTCCACTTGGGCTCATCCTTGAACAGTCTCATGGCCTTTGTGTACTGTACACGTCGTTGTCAGCAAGCACTCTCCCCTCTTTCTTTCGCGGTCTTGCAAGACTCACATTCTTCTCATCAGTCGTGAAACGATGGTAGATTCCCGCAGGCATGATGGCCAAATCTCCCTTCTCCAATCTCAGTCTGATCCAATCGTCTCCCTCGCTCCTCACATCAAAGTAACCAGCGCCATCGAGAATGTATCTGATTTCTTCGTCTTCGTGGAGATGCTCGTGGAAGAAGATCTTGACCTTTTCCTCGTAGTTGGGCAGGGTGGTGGGCGAGATTGTGACTTCGTCGCGGTTCTTGTAGTCGCGGGATGAGGCGAGGTCGTTGACCGAGTCCAGGGAGGGATAGTGGTGGCAGATTATGCCGAGGTTGGTCAGGTCGATGGGTGTGACGGGGCGGCCGCTGTCGTGGGGCAGGCGTTGGTCGCCCTATGGTTGTGTCAGTGGTGTGTGGGAGGAGGAGAGGAAGATGGGCTGACCTCAATGTTGTCGTACCAGTATGCCTTCATGATTGCTGTTAGGTTGTGTTGTGGTGGAATGGCAGAAGAAAGTGGTGGGGTTATTGCTTGGAAATTCGGCGACTCGCAACGAACGCGATATGCACACAGTTGGTCAGCGAGAGCACGTCATCCTCTTCGGCGGAGAACTTCTTTTGTGCCAGGGTCGATCATTTGACAAACGTGGATGTCATCTGAACGCGGATCGTACTCTGTGATTCACGAGAGCACCAAGGGAGAAGAGAGTTTGAATATAATCGAAATTGAAAGCTTGATTGATAAACATAAATAAACGCCATCCATTGTCTTTATAAGAAAACACTAGAGATCCACGCCTGAACAAATGCCCGCTAGGAAGCCCCGACGGGATGTAGTAAAAACAATCTTCTAATGCTTTTTGCGGTGAGAAGAAAAGGTCAAACGCAGACTCTATTCGACCCGCCCGTCGTTGTCCCTTTCCAAACTTCATTCTCATCAGTCTCTTCCCACTCTCTCTTTAAGGCATCAAAACATTCGTGACGAGGTAACACCGGGTCGGGTATCTTTTTTATCGTAGAGAAACTGTCGTGCTCCTTAGACAGAGTTGCTGGCCAACATCTTCTTGCGCAAGTAGTTCTTGTACTCGCCGATGGTGCCCTCCCACTTTCTGGTGGTCTTGTGCTCGCAGACCATGATGTCCTTGGCAATCTTGTCGAGAAGTCTGTGAAAAAATGTTAGTCATGTGTGCTCACATGCAGAGTGTTAATGGATCAAACGTACCTGAAGTCGTGAGAAACAACGACGACACCACCGGAGAAGGCGTTGATGGCATCGGCAAGCGAGTCAATGGTGGGGATATCGAGACCGTTGGTAGGCTCGTCCAACAAGATCATGTTGGGCGATTCAATAGCCAACAGGGCAAAGACGATTCTGCTCTTTTGTCCCTCGGAAAGGGTACCCATGAGGGCGGTTTGGGCCTCACCGGTGAGACCGTACTTGCCGAGCTGCTGTCTCCAGTACTGGAGATCCTGGGAGACGTGGGGGAACTTGTCGCGGACAAAGTCGAGGGATGACTTGGTCAGGATGAGCTGCTCAGCAGAGTGCTGCGAGTAGACACCGAGCTTCAAGTGAGTGTGACGGGAGACAACACCGCTGGTAGGTCTGAGCTTGCCAGTGAAGATGTTGAGGAGAGTCGACTTGCCGACACCGTTGGGTCCGACAAGGGCGGTACGCGAGTCCATGTCGACACCGAAGTCGAGGTTCTCGTAAAGGTTGTCCTCGGCGTTGCCAGAGTAAGAGAAGGTGACGTCGTCGAGCGACAGAACCGGGGGAGGGAGCTTCTCGACATCGGCGAAGCGGAAGGAGAAGACTCTGTCCTGGTGGACGGGCTGGATGAAGCCGTCGGCCTCCATCTTGTCGAGAATCTTTTGACGCGACTTGGCTTGACGCACCAAGTTGGCGTAGGTACCGGCCGAAGCGATGAACTTCTTGATGTGCTTGATTTCGTCCTGCTGCTTCTCGTATGCCTTCTGCTGGTTGATCTCCTGCTCAGTTCTGGTCTTGGCGTATGAGTCGTAGTTACCACCGTAGTACATGAGCTGCTTTTGACGCATGTCGATCATGGTTGTGCAGACACCGTTGAGGAAATCCATAGAGTGAGAAACGAGAATGAGGGTGCGGTCCCACTTCTTCATGTACTCCTCGAGCCACACACAGGCCTCGAGATCCAAATGGGCAGTGGGGTCATCGAGCAACAACAGCGAAGGCTTGACGAAGAGGGCCTTGGCCAAGGCGACACGCATACGCCAACCACCGGACATGTCCTTGGTCTTCTTGTGGATGGTCTTCTTGTTGAAACCGAGACCAGTCAGGATCAGTGATGCACGGGTCTGGAAGGTAGAGGGGTCCATGCCGTCCATGCGCTGCGTTGTGTTAGTTCATTTGCTGTGTTTTGACATGGTGCATTTCTTACCTCGTAGATCTCCTCCAGTCTGGCATCCTCGGGACCGTGCTCTTCGAGAATAGTCTCGACGAGCTTCTCGAGACGGGCGAGCTCAGTCTCGGCCTGTCTGACGACCCACTCAAGGGCACCAAGGTCGGTGAGAGGAGCACCCTCGTTGAGAAGGTAGATGTCGATGTGGTCGGGGAAGGGGAATTCGCGGGCGTTGATGGCCTTGAGCAGGGTCGACTTTCCGCAACCGTTCTCTCCCAACAGACCGTAACGACGGCCGTAGTTGACTTCGAGGGTGGTGTCGTTGAACAGGACCTTTCCGTGGAAGACGAGCGAGGCCGAGGTGATCTTGACGTCTCTGCTGGCCTCCTGGGATGCAAGGACACCGGTTGTGACTCTGTCCGAAATGCCGTCGGCGTCCTCCTGCAACTCGAGCTTCTTGATTCTCTCCATGGTCTTGATGCCGTCGGCATCGAGCTCCTGGCCGTCGGCATCGATCAGAGGGGTGCTGGTGCCGGATGCCTCAGCAGACTTCTCGGCCTTCTTCTGGGCGAGAGTCTTCTTGGGGGCCTTGCCGGCTTCGGCGCGCTTTGCGTCACGGGCGGCTTTGGATGCAGAAACCATGTTGGATGCTGCTGAGTATGGGTTTCAAAGAGGGGTGGGTGGGTGGAGAGAGAGAGAGGAAAAAAGTCTGTCGTCTGTCTGGTTGAAGCTGGCGGCGGAATTTTGGTGCCAATTTGGTGGGGCGGACTCAGGATTCTACGTCAGCCAGTCCTTTGTTGATTGATGACTGCTGCGAACAACCACGGAACAATATCACACAGGGTATTGATGAAAGTGTCAGGACAAAAACAAATGATGAATTGCTCTCTATATTCTGATGCTTCTCTATTTGTATACAGCAAGCAGTGGCGGTTGCTGCTTCTCTTTGCAAAATCTTTTGCAGTTTCAGGCGTCATGATTGGCCGCTGAAAAGGGCTCAACAACAGACGTTCCCCCCGAGTCGCCGCTCGCTCCTGCCTTTTCTCCCTCCCCGACGACTTCCAAGACTTTTGGCACCGTTTGCCCGGAGCCTCATCGCTTGCTGCTCTGCCTCACTGCCCGACATGACGCTTGACAGTCACTTCGCTGCGTTTACTTTTTGCAATACTAAAATCAAGTTATACTTTAAGGCCTCCATGCCTCATTGGTCCGAGCATCTTGCATCTCTGAAATGTGCACGTTGGAATTGTCCCATGCTTGCGCAGCCACTTCCCAGCCACGCCAAAAACGTCAGGTCCTGTGCAAGCATCACTTAAAATAGTCTGCCACTCCACCCGAGTACTACAGTAGGCGAATAGTGTAGGTTTCGTATATCTTGTCTTTCATTATTCTATTCATCCATCCTTCACATTGTTTGAAATCGGCAATGTCTTTCCAGGACCGCACGCCCGAGTCTCTGATTCAGAGATCAGACTCGAAGAACCCAGCAACGACGTGTCGAGGCATAACATCAGGCGGAAAGCCATGTAGAAGATCACTAGCTTCATCAGCTAAATCTTCACCTAAATCATCGCCGACTACTGCTCGTCACACTGCCTCGAGAGGCGTAGTTGCCGTTCTCGAAGACGATGATGGAAATCTGGATGCCGCGGCCTTTTACTGCTGGCAACACAAGGATCAAGCCCAATCTTTCGCACAGATATACTCGAACACGCCGCATGCTGCGAATACGAAGTTACTGTCTGTCCAGGAAAGGACGAGCATCGATAGTCTCGTCGCGAGATTGGGAGTGACATCTATCCAGGATCAAGCAAGGCCACCGAAGAACACTCGTGAGGACCGCAGACGACCAACACAGAACACTCAACAATACTCGAGACCGATCGAACGACCGTCGGCAAAACCTCAAGCCCATAGGAAACCCAAGCCAAGGCCAGGATTTTGGGCATCATTATGCTGTATGGGCTCAACGGACGACGACGAAGATACCGGACGGCCCAGCTACCAGGCACCGCAGCCGGAGACGACACAGATTTCGAGTTCTTCGACACCAGCATATCCCCTGCCAACTCACTCTCGCCCTACACCCCACAAGCCAACGAGTAGCCGTCCCCAACAACCAAATTTTCTCCCACATGCAGCGTCAACAACGGGGCTACCACCACGCAAACCCCTACTAGACGTCCCCACCACAGCTCTCAACAAACGACGAGCAAACTCAGCACCAACCAGCACCACAGAACTCCTCCCTTTCATCCCAGGCCACCTCCCACCCCAAACCGCCTCTCTTCTCCTCACCGAGCTCTCCAAACCAATCTCCCCTCACGACGAAGCCGGCTACATTTACATCTTCTGGCTGACAGAAACCTCAACTCCCTCGACACTTTCAAACGACACCGCAGCCTCTTTACTCGCAGCCTCAAAGCCATCTGCACGAGGAGGCCAAAGACGTCCCAGCGATGTGATGAGTGCATATACAGCAAGCAAAGGCGCCACAAAAACGATCAAACTGAAAATCGGCAGGGCGAACAACGTACATCGTCGTATGAACGAGTGGAACAGACAATGCGGTTACAATCTCAGTCTCGTTCGCTTCTACCCTTACGTGTCTTCTTCTTCTTCTTCTTCTTCTCCGTCACCTTCGCCTTCACGAGCCACACAGGCAAATACCTCGAGTCAACAGGTCTACAAAGTCCCGCATGCTCATCGCGTGGAAAGACTGGTGCACTTGGAGCTGGGAGACAAGAGAGTGAAGCGAGATTGTCAGGCTTGTGGTCGTGAACACAAGGAGTGGTTCGAGATCGAGGCTACAGCAGAAGGCGTGGCTGCTGTGGATGAGGTTGTGAGGAGATGGGTAAAATGGGCAGAAACCAATCCTTAGCCAAGTACAAATCAATCACATTCCTATCATTCCTCGATTGATATTGAACGTTCACGCTGCATCACGATCTGGAGCTCGACGAGATAAATGAGAAGAGGGCATCGTATTTGCAGATAAATGAGTCTCTTGAACAGTAGTTAAATAAATGTATGAATCCATATGCCTCATTGGGCATTCATTAAGAGTGTTAACGGTGCTCCGAAAGTGTGTATCCCTGATGATGCAAACGCCGTCGCTAAATCCAGAATGGGCGTCTTCTACATCAATTGATAGTGACGATGAAAAAATAAAGGATGAACAAAGATGCAATTATGCTGGAAGTGTGAGAAGCATCGCTTCTACATGGCGTCTTCCTCGTCGCGTCGGACGAGCTCGTAAGATTGTCGTCGCTTCGATGTCACGTTTCCGCTGCTGAGGCGTCTGAACAAGCCCATGGGGAAGCGGTTGCGTACTGCCATAGCCCAGGGTCTGTGAGAGACGAAGAAGCGGTTGTAGAGGTAGTAGGAAATGGCGAAGACGACACCGGCGGTCAGGAAGCCGATAACGGTGAGCATGACCCAGTGCTTCAGCATCTGTTCGTACATGTTAGCCATTGATTCAAGATAGGAAGATTGGAGAACAAGACATACCCAGAAGATGAGCTTGACGTCGCTGCTATGCCACGAGTTGCCAAGGTGGTGAGTGAAGAAACTCCAGGGGTGGTAGTTGTACTCGTCAGGGAACAAAATACGAACTCTGCCACCATCAGGACCGTCGCCAACGTTGAGACCTTCGGAGGTCCAGTGACGCCAGATGATGCTCAGGAAGAGCGGACCGGTAGAGGCCATGACAGTGATGTAGGGAAGAACCCACTTGCGGTTGTAGCGGGGCAGGTCGTCAATGACACGCAAGAAGAATGGGTGACGAGGAACAGAGCCCATCGCGTCGTTGGAGATACCGGTAGGCAGAGTGCGGCGCACCCAGGCAGGGTAGGAGAGCAAAGGATCCAGACGACGGTTGCAACCATCATCCAGGTCGAGATAAATACCACCGTAGTGGGCGAGGACAAAGTAACGGATGGAGTCGGCGCGTTGAATGGGGTATTCGTAGTTGTCAAAGGTCTCGAGGAACCAGGGGTACTCGGCAGCGATGAACTCGCGTGAAAGAGCATCGGTCCATAGTTTGTATTCCCAATCCTTGTGCAATTCGATACAGCTCTTTTGTGGTTCCTGCCAGACCTCAGGGATGCTCTCGTTGATGTATGTTTGGTGGATGATTTTGGGGATCAATTGGGTGCGGCCGTCGATCAAATCAGAGCCGGGAGCAGGCAGCTCGGCACGAGAGATTGCATCTTCGGAGCCGTCGACGACGAGGAGCGATAATAGCGTCCAGACCGAGTGTATGAGGAAGCCAACAATGGCCAGGTTCAGGATGAGGAACAGAAGCACAGGTCTGCGCATGGCGGCGGTAGGTGTTCAGGTGTCAACTGCAACCAAGCAGTGAGAGGGAGGGTCGAGTCAAGCAAGGGTCTGGTGTAGATGTTTTGTCCTGTGTCCAGAGATTGAGTAGGGCTGAAGGTTGTTGTGACCGGAGTGGAAAGAGCAGCGAACAGGAAGGAGCGTAGGAGTAAGGAAGGATGAGGCTGAAGTATCTGAAGGAACGACAAGAAATTACCAAGATTGAGAGCAGCACGCTAGCACACAAGGCAGACGGACGTTAAGGAGAGTTGCGCTTCTTGTTGCCTGCAATTATTGTCACCAGGCAGAGGGCACAGTCCACAGCCCTGTCAGCGCCTCGCAGGCCCCATGATCCCATGCTGCTCCAATCCACCCTATTGCTCTGCTTATGGCAACTGCTGCACGCAAGCCTTGCCTTCTACGGTGTTCCATACCTCGCTAGAACTAGACAGACGTCCGTGCGAGATTGGGGCGTGGAAGTCGGACTCGGAGACAAGGTCGCCGACAGCGAATCGCCATCTCGTATAGCTTTACGGGACGCCCATACGCTGACACTGATCTCACTTCGAGTGACATCTCATGCCTCCGTCGCTTTGGCTTTCCAACCACAAGCCTCTGCTGTCATCTTGAGACTAACTCACTGTACCGTCTGCATGAACGGGCCATCACTGTTACTGTTCACATGCCTCTTCCCTCGCCCAAATCATGAATCCGTACGAGTACATGATTGACACAAAAGAACAAGCAGAATCTCCACTGTGCGAATTTTGTTGCCATCAGACAGTGGAGACTATGGTTGTTGTTCTGGGTCCTCTCTCCACTTCTTTTTCTCTTCGACGCCGAACAACCGTTTTCCGGTGAACATTCGTTCTCAATCGTTGAGCAACAACCTGAAAGTTGAGAAACAGGTGGATTCGAAGTTTAGAAGTGCAAGCAATCACGTGGTCCTCTCCCAGACTCCATCCATCTCTCACTTCGCACAGCTCTATATCACTATCCATAGCATCTAGGACCAAGACTATCAACCGAGACGTAGCTGCCATGCTACTTGGAGCTGCTCGTCCAATATCCTGGGTCGTTACAGCATAGCGCTTAGCACGCTTCGCAACATGCTGTGTATTGGGTTCCTCTTCCGATGGCAGCACATGCAACATGACTGTCTTCAGCATCCCTACGCAGGATGTCGACCGCGTTGATGAACACCCAGTGGCGCCGCCGTCAACACGTGTGCACAAGACGTGGTATTGGTCCCGTACACAATGATTGCCGGGTATGTGCAGACCGAGGCGGGTCCTCGCAGCGTTGGTGTCCAGTAAAATCTTGGCTGTATTCGCAGAGTGTATGTTGTTTGAGGTGCTGCATCTTCACTTGACGCGCTAGCTTTCGTGTTGTCTTTGTTTCGAGCTGTAAGCTCTTTCATTTTGGTTTTAACAACCTCCCGTTCCTCGCTCTGCATCTACCCCCAAGTACTGCAACTCTGACCGGCGGAACACATCCATCTAGCAGCCATGCCTCGCCGACAGCAGGTCGTCAAGATCAAGAAAAAGTCATCGAACGGGCTAAGGTCGCGTGATTTCCAGCGCAGTGATGCGTCCATCGAACGCACAATGGAGCAGAGCAAAAGCGTCGTTGAGGTTCCCTTCTCATATCCTTCCTACACACTCACCTCCAAAGCAGCGCTCCCGACCTGTCCAGAGACATGCGAAACTTGTGTCCAGCACTATCTGCCAGAGTCCAAGGATTGGAACCCAGAAAAACCACGTGCCATGGTCCCTCACAGCGACACCGAAGCCGCACAGATCACGGCTGACTATGTCAAGAGTATCAACGCCGACCGTGATGCTATTCGCGCCAGGCTGCAGATGGACGCCGACCTTGTTTTGAAACGCTGGCAGCGGAAGAGCGTTGAGAAGCGTGCTACAGCTGTGCGTACTGCCATGCCTGAAGTCCACGCTCGCCGCTTCCAGAATGCATGGCTACTGTACGAACATAAACGGGCCTTTGAAGAGTACTGGTCCACTCTTGATAAGAAGAAGATTAATGCACGCAGCGATGACCAGGGCATGGCAGACATCATGCAAGCCTTGCAGGTCCACAACGACTCGCGCCGCAAACAGCACCTCCTCCCTTTCATCGACGTCGAAACGCTATCGCACGATCCCATGAATCTGCTGGCTCTGCTCCACTACCGCTCTGATTCCGACATTGCTGACTGGGTCATGCACGACTTCGAACAGCTAAAAGTCGGCTTCAACTGGACTATGGGACCGCCCTCTTTCAACCCACACTGCGTCATCATGTACGGTGCACATCTCGGCCGTCTGATTCCTTGGAACAAGCAGTCTGCGCATCGCCACGACATCATCGGCTACCCAAGAGCAGTGCTCATCCTCGAGGCACAAGCAGCCCTGTTCGCCTTCCTGCGCAAGACGGTTGAGATGCTGCTTGAGCCGAGTCTTCACGAGGCAACAGCAGGCCATCAGCAGTGGGACGTACTTGTGCAATCTGACTTTGGCAAGATTGGTCCGACGCCACTCGTCTGTCGGCGTACAGAAGTGTTTCGCAGTCCACCACGCCTCGACATGGCCGCCATCGTCGAGTACCTGCACGAGCAAAGAGATGCCATGTTTGACGAGCTGTGGCTGTTGCAGACTGACCCAGAGTACTTCCGCGACCATCTGATACGAGCCAAGGACAATGAGATGCATGACCGCCTGGCGACGAAGTGGCGTGAGCAATGGGTTTTGGATTACGCTCTGTGCTATAGTGTATGGGCCGACAACCTCCGAACCGCACTCAAGCAAGCCTGTTGTGTGCTCGAGATGCAGAAAGAGATGGGGAGCGAAGTGAGGCCGGGCAAATCACTGCCGACTGAATACGAAGCGATCCTCGTGCTCTTCCAGAGACACCTTGAGCAACTATTCCAAGGTCAGCTTCGCGATCTACAATGCTTGGTGCCCCAAGAGAAATCATTCCGGGAACACTACAGGATCCTGGAAGGCGGTCAGCCGAAATTCATTACACGAGCTGAGAAGGTGTTTTGGCCAATCCAATGCTATGGAATCTGACCAATCTCTACAACGACAATCTGTCACAGTCACCCACCTTCTACCTGGCTTTCATCGACCACCTCATGCGCGAAGACGCAAAGAACGAGAAAAGTCGTATCTCGCCGTTACTTGCTACACACATATCAAACATGATCGTCATAGACGACATCATATCAAGCCTTCGATATCATCGACCTCGCCATGGTGTCTCCGTTGACGCCAGTAAGCTTGTCAAATTCGCCGAATCGCAGCCACGCACGCTGCCATTACATGAGCAATCAGCCTTTGTGGGCGGTTATGGGACGAAGGAGATAATGTGGCCAAAGCTGCAAGCTTTCATCAGACTGCGCCTTCCACAATCAGATGAGCCAGCCGTGGTACTCAGACAGTTGAAATTGCTTGATCAGACATCGCATGACTTCTGGGACATGGCGTGTGTCAACTTCATGCTCTTGATTAGGCAAAGCGGCCATCCGGAGAAGCTGTACTCAGACCCAATATATCTGACTCAGATTGGATGGACTCAGGCTGAGCAGAAACAAAGAGCGCTACGTTATGTCCAGTTGCAGCAGGCTGCTGATGAGAAAAGTAAGATATCCTTGACTGGTGGGGAGGGTGATCATACTGACTCGAGTGTAGAAGGATGCAAACGACCGCGAGACCCCCCACCACCACCCCCGCCGCCGGGCACATCATCTGTCATTACATTGCTGCAGACTGCTTGGGGAGAGCCAGCAGCTCCAGCGGCTGCACAAGTTCCTCAGACGAAGCCGAAGGTGAAGACAAGACCCACCGCACCACCCATTTCTCCTGCAGACGACACTACATGGGATCCCAAGCCCATCGTCTTACCGCCAAGCTCAGCCACTTCGATCCAGGTATCCTCGGACAGCCTGACTTTACTCACCCGCATGTTTACAGCAGACTCAACCACCCCAGGCGAGATCTACTGGACCGACTTCGTCTCGGCGATGGCCGACGCCGGCTGCTCGGTCATGCCTGGTGGTGGCTCATGCTTCACCTTCACGCATGTAGATGAGAAGGAACAGAAGCACTCGATGGTCTTCCATCGTCCACACCCCGAGCCGAGTATGAGTAAGGACAGGTTGAGGTCGTTTGGCAGTCGGTTGAGCAGACGCTGGGGCTGGAGCGAGAAGACTTTCGCTGTCAAGGCATAAAGAGGTGGACACAAGATCTGTTACAATGGAAAGGATCGCTATTGACATGCGACCGTCGGTACGGGAAGATTCAGATGCACTCACACGGTTGTGGGATGCTGACAACACCCAAGAGAAGGATGCAAGACGGGTTGGATGTCAGCCATGAGGAAGTGGAAAGTCTCTGAAGAACGTGTAGTATACTACGGGGTCGATATGGTATTTCGGGATCCGTTTATAGTCTAATACAATGCCATCCACAGTACTAAGCAGAAAATCTGTGTGTTGCAGAGACGCATAGCCATTTTCCAGACAATAATGTGATCAATAAAAATACCTTGACACGAGATGCCTCCGATGGACATTACTCCCTTTAGTTGTGCTTCGTGCGATATAAAACTCCTTGCCCTCTTCTTTTTTGTGATCCGTGGTTTCTTCTACTTGCAAAAGTCTGGTGTATGCATCTTTTTGAAGGAACGCAAGATAAAACAGGCACTGTAACGTTGTTGAAAAACACTTGATAATCCTTGGATCGAGTATGGACAAAAAAAATATATCACCGTGAGCAAGATTCGAACTTGCGACCTCCCGACCCTCGAGAGAGAGTATTAGGATCTTAGGTAAAGCGAGCGTAGGAAGCGAACGTAGGATACCAGGTCGGGTGTGCTGACCGCTGCACCACCACGGCTGTTTTTTGGGGTGGATGGGATAGAACATTTCTTGAATATAAGGGTTGGTGTAGAAAGCGGGCCATTGCGGGAAGTCTGAGGTCGCGTGAGATGGTTCGAGTGGTTGGTAGGCTTCTGAGGTGACCGTCAAGCCGATTATTGTCGGAGACATGTGGACGCATGTGATCGTCAAATGATTCTTGATATAGAAAACGGAGCACCGGTAAGGTAGGCTCAGATGTTGAGAAGTTGTGAAGAACGCGGTTGACAGAGAGTTGGAGCGGTAAGGCTGGCATGAAGTTGAATGCGTGCGAAAGCTGAGAATCGAGAAACATGGCACACCAAGAAAAGACAGGCAAGCTCCATGGTGGACTGCTTTCCCAAACGAATGGACCGCAAGTTTCTTCTGCTGCTATGCGTGTTTCTTTGCACCTGCCTGGTGAAGGAAAGAAGTTGCTTCTGCACTTAGCTCATGAACTGCAATGAAAACGCCAGCGTCCCTCGCAGGTGATTCTTACTCAGGACATGTGGTCAACGGTGACAGTCTGCCTGCGTTGATAACACCTACATGGATCAGATGTGTAGCGGACGATATGTCGAACTCGACATAAAAGTTTCTGGTTTCATCTTGTGTCGGAGCCATAGTCCGGTGGGCGACATCGGCAAAGTGATCGGATAAACCTGTTACAAGTGACGAAGTGCGCTTGGTGGGACCAGGTGGATCGTGTCTGTCGAAGCTGAGCAAGCACAGTGAGCTCTTCCTCCGTCACACGAGCAGACAAGAGACCATGTCAGTACCGCTGTCTTCTAAGGAGCAATCCCTGTTCAAGCAGGTTGTTCAGCTCTACGAGTCCAAGCAATACAAGAGGGGTGCGCATTCATCCTCCACATTCACCACACCGAGACTGGCGCCGACTAACTCGACTCATAGGTATCAAGACTGCCGACCAAGTATTGAAGAAGGTTCCCAACCATGGCGACACGCAGGCCATGAAGGCCTTGATCCTCAACTCCCAAGGCAAGACCGAAGAAGCCTTTGATCTGGCCAAACTCGCCCTCAAGAATGCCATGAAGTCGAATGTCTGTTGGCACGTCTACGGCCTGTTGTATCGCTCGGTCAAGAACTACGACGAAGCAATCAAGGCCTACAAGTTTGCCCTGCGCCTCGACCCCGACTCGCGCCAGATCCAGCGCGACCTCTCGCTCCTCCAGGCCCAGACCCGCGATTGGAAGGGCCTTGTCGACAGTCGCAGAACCATGTTGACCGCTTCTTCCGGTGTTCGCGCCAACTGGACCGCCATGGCTATTGCCCACCACATGGCTGGCGACTACCAGGCTGCCGAGAAGGTCTTGACCATGTACGAGGACACTCTCAAGGTTCCTCCGCCCGCAACCGACCTCGAGCACCACGAAGCCGTCCTGTACAAGAACACCATCATTGCCGAGTCTGGCGACTACGAACGAGCTCTTCAAGGCCTCAAGGCTCTTTACAAGTCCAACCCCGATAGAACCGCCGTCATGGAACTCAGGGCCGAGTACTTGTTGAAGCTGGATCGCAAAGAGGAGGCTGAAAAGGCATACCGCAATCTGCTCGAGAGAAATGCCGAGAGACGCGCCTACTACGACGGCTTGGAGAAGACGCTGGGCTTGGACAGAAATGACCCGGCCGCACACACCCAGCTGCTGGACCTGTACAAGTCGTTTGCCGAGAAGAGCGAGAGAATCGACGCACCCAGACGTGTGCCGCTCGACTTCCTCCAAGGCGACGCTTTCCGCGAGGCCGCTGATGCCTACCTCACACGAGTCTTCCGCAAGGGTGTCCCCTCGACTTTCGCCAATGTCAAGGCCCTGTACAACGACGAGTCCAAGAAGCAAACCATTGAACAGCTGGTCCTCGGTTACGCTTCTCAGGACAACCAAGAGAACGGCAAGAACTGGCATCTCGCCGTAAACTACTTCCTCGCACAACACTACGATTACCACCTCTGCCGCAACCTCGAAAAGGCCTCTGAATACATCGAAAAGACCATCGCCCTCAACACAAATCCCCAAGACTACACCTTCCACCTCACAAAAGCAAGAATCACAAAACACTCTGGCGACCTCGAAGCGGCAGCAAAGCAAATGAACGAAGCTCGCGAAATGGACCGCGCCGACCGCTACATCAACACAAAGTGCGCAAAATACCAATTACGAAACAACCAAAACGATACCGCCATCGAGACCATGGGTCTTTTCACCCGCAAGGAAGCTAACGGCGGTCCGCTGGGTGATTTGCTCGACATGCAATGCATGTGGTACCTGTTCGAAGACGGCGAAGCCTACAAACGCCAGAGCAAGCTGGGTCTAGCTCTCAAGCGCTTCAAGTCAATCCACGACATCTTTGACGTCTGGTACGAGGACCAATTCGATTTCCACAGTTTCTCTCTGCGCAAGGGCATGATTCGCGCATACGTCGACATGATCCGCTGGGAGGATCATTTGCGCCAACATCCCTTTTACTCGAGGGCTGCATACTCGGCCATCGACATCTACGTCAAACTCTTCGACGACCCCAACTACGGCTCAGCAAACGGCGACCTCAGCGACGCAGATAAGAAAAAGGCAGAAAAGAAAGCACGCAAGGAAAAGGAAAAGGCAGAGGCAGACAAGAAGGCCGCCGCTGCCGCAAAGGCAACAGCTACTTCGGAAGAGGTGGTCAAGAAGGAAGACACAGACCCGCAAGGCGAAGAGTTGCTCAAGACCAAGGACCCGCTTGCTGAGGCTATGAAGTACCTTTCTCCTCTGCTCGAGCAAAGCCCTCTGAACATCAAGTCTCAACAAGCCGGCTTTGAAGTCTTTGTGCGTAGGGAAAAGTACCTTCCTGCATTGAAGTGCTTGGTCGCTGCTTCCAAGATTGATGCCAATGACGCAACGGTGAAGGAACAGACCGCCCGTCTGCGCAAAACTCGTAAGTTCACCATCATCGCACCTGCTCCAGCTTGCACTTTGTACATCTTGCTGACGATCTTCAAACAACAGTGTCTGAGCTCAAGGAGCCTCTACCGGAAAAAATCAAGGAGGTCATTGATGCCGAGCTGGCCACACTACCATAGTCTTACCATTTCTCCCTCTCCTCCCTTCGCCATCAGCCTCTCATACAAATTCACAAATCAAAAGTACATTACCGTCCCCTCTCTCTTTTCCCTCAAAGCCCAACTGTAGACATGCCTGCATCGTTCATGCCCTGCCTCATGTGCTTAGTTCTCGTACCTCCTGCGCTGCCCCTCGCTCCTCCCACCAAGATTCGGACTGATAACCTCACTATAAAAAGGCACAAAAGTTTCCAGACCAGAGCCGTGTCCAAAGAAAGCCCAAAGTCCATCGACATCTCAATGGATACTACACTGTTTCTCGAAAGTATCATGCATTTCTATAGCTGCACATGGATCTTTTTGCGTACGCGGAGATTGTGACAATACTCAACCTTGATCAAAAGGCCCCTTCACTTCTCATCATCTACCTACCCCCTTCATATACTAAGCAGAATATCACAATACCCTACAACTCGGGGGCAACGGCTGAGGTGGCGGTGCATGCACTTGTGTATTCACCGCCGCCGCTCGCTATGCACCCATTCATCTCGCTGTGGCGTCCATTTTTTTTTTTGGTGGCTCTTGAATCTTTTCGCACTTTTTCCATCCAGACTGATGACCCTGATCCCACGGCTGCATACAGGTGTAGTTGAAGTTATAGAAATGCACAGTGGATTTGAGGATGTTTGGTGAGTTCAGAGAGAGCATGCAAAGATGGATGAGAAGGGATATGTTGCTCTTGCATATCTTTGTTCACATCGATACATACAAGTGATCCCAATCGTCGTGATTGGAAAAGGAGAAAGAAAGAAAAGTCTAGTATCCTATATCAATCTCTAGAAATATACATCAAATCCCCAACCACCGTCTATTGACTCTCCTTCGATTAGGAACAGTAGCTCTAAATGAAAACAATATGAAATGCAGATGGCAAGAAGCGAAAAAAGAAAACTCCTCGCTTTGTTGAGCAGCAAAAACAAGGTCGTGTTTCTCGTTTAGGCAAAAGAATAGATCGTAAACATCATAGAAACACAAAGGTTCTTGGAGGTGAGAAAGCAGAAATACAGATAAAGAGAGACGGCAAAAAGAGATCAAAGGTACGTTCCAACCTTCAATCTCAGATTTGTCCGCCCTCTTTACTCCTCTTACCGAATTCAAGGTAAGACTGATATTTCAAGTCTCTCTGCGAATTCATTCCAGGGAGTGTTTGCTCTAAGAGCCTCCATTCTCCACTTCTCCTTTCTCCATTGCTGTCTCAAGATTGCGAGCTTGAGTGTGTTGACGGAACATTTGCAAAAAGTCGAGTTTGCCTTCATTGGCCTTACCCTGCCACTTCTTGGGTGTGTAGTTGACAGGGCTTTCACCGCCCTTGAAGATGCAGGTGTCGTAGAGAACACCGCCAGTGATACCGCCGGATATGGTAGCGCCCCAGGCACCCCAGATCCACCAGTTGTGGTAGGCAGTAAATACTTCGGTGCCGTAACCCATAGCCATGGCTGCAAGGCGAGGGCCAAAGTCCCTGACGGGGTTGAAGCAGCCGCCTGTGTTGGAGCCGAGAGACATAATGAGGGCGATGACGAGAAGACCGATAATGAAAGCGTGCATACCGGCACCAGGAGGTGAGTTTGAGTCGTCACCCAGTGCCAGAATGGAGCAGGTGAGGATTGCAGTGCCGAGGAATTCTGTGAAGAAGGCTGTGGCAGGTTGCACATACTCTTTAGGTTGTGTGTAGATTTGGATGCCAGTCGATGAGCCGATGAGACCGCCGTCGCTGTAGAGGATGGCGTCACGGTAGATGGCTATGGCTATGAGGCCACCAGTAAAGGCGCCCAAGATTTGGAAGATGATGAAAACTGGAAGCTTACGAGCAGGGAATCCTCGCTGTTGATTCTGTTAGCCTTTTGATGGTAAGATGTGGATGAGGTGCGACTTACGTAGATCCAGAGAGGGATAGAAACGGCCGGGTTGAGATGTGCACCTGAGCTTCCACCCGAGATGTAGATACCCAACATGACAGCCAATCCCCAACCCCAATACATGTTTTGGTAGATGCCTGGGTGTTGTGATTCTCCAGTTGCTACAGCGAGGTTGCTGCTGACACCAATCGCAACGAAAATGGTAGTCTGCAATTGAGGTTAGCATGAAATTACGAGTACATCATGGACGAAACTTACTCCCAACCATTCACCAAGCGCGTCTTGGAACTTGGCACGGACAAGCGCCCATGAATTAAAAGGTGCAGGCTCGTCTACCACTTCCTCATCCTCAGGCGTAATAGCCGTGTCATCACTTTCATCGCCAGGAGAGTATACAGCTTCGTCACTGATGACACCTGTGTTTTCACCGTCACCAGCCTGAGCACTAGTTTCGTGCATCTTCATGCCTCCTGACTGGTTACTCTGGGTGGATCCATGGTATTGGTGTTTCTGCTCATCAGAAGGTTCCGGGTCCTGCTTTTCACCACCACGGTGTTTCTTGCGTTCATCGGTGTCTTGAAGTTGAGGAGCGGCTTCTCCCTCTCCCTTCTCGCCAGGTTTTACACCAGGCGCTGTTCCGGAAGATTTCGGGCCTTCGTTCTTCTTCTTGCCTTGCCAGCCGCGTACTGTACGCGGCAGGTTGGAACCCAAACTAAATGTGGGTTCATTCTGTTTCTTTTCGTATTGAGGGTTGAGATTGCGGTATCCTTCAGCGACGTATGTGTCTCTGCTAGGTCCGCCGCGGTTTGCATTCGTTTGCGAGCCAGCCAGTGAGTAGCCACCTTGCTCTGCGGTTCCTCCTGTAGCGTTGGTAGCCACTTTACTCATCTGAGTAGCCATGCGGCTCATCCTAGGTCTCAATGTGCTCATAGTGTGGTGATTTCGCATGTCCGGCCGATGTTGTCTGTTCGTCCTGGATCTCATAGTACTTGCGGTTCGTTGATTTTGCATGTTCGGACGCTCTGATTGCTGTCCATTTCCAGAGTTGGTCTCTTGAGAAGAGACATTGCGATTCATTTTTTGTTGTAGATTGCACAAAGAGAAAATTCGGCGGATTCGTTGAGTATCGTCAAAGAGTCAAAGGACTCGGCAATCCTGGAAGGAGAAAAACAATTGAAGCAAGAATTCAGAGTGCAGGAACAATCGGCAGGTGCTTGCCTTTAATATATCAGAATCTTTGTGCTGACGACTCTTGAGATTGCGTTCCTTCCTATCAAGCGATGACCAGTGTGTGATGTTCGCCGCTTGCCAGCGGACCCTCCTTGTCAAAACATTTCGCAAAATCGCGAACACAACAGTGGGACCGAGAAAGTTCTTAGACAAGGTGACGATAAAGCGGGTCTTTGTTGAGCCTCATACTCATGCCCTTGCTCTTTCCGGTAACGACACCTGCAGATCTTGCGAAAGCAGGGACGGACCCACGACGTCAGATCTTCGATGGCTACCAAATTCCCTATCGCAATCACTGTTGGCAAAACACGATGAAGAATTAGATAGAGTGGAAAGGGCAACTGCATTCGAATACGGATCCCCAACATTCTCTTATGCTGCAACCATGACTTGCTGTGGAGCTCTTTGACACTCAAGGGATAGGGATTCTCCAGAGTTACTTGAATCAGGAGGCTCTGAGAGCCTCCTCAACTCAAACTTTTATGAATCGAAGAGCCTCAACACGATACAATACACACCGTGAGGCGACATCCATCGCGGATCCACCTCCACATCGCTGTGAAGCTACACCCCACTCCATGCTGTATGTGAGTATCACACTAGGAAGACCATGCCTCTTTTCCACCTTCCCGCATGCTATAATTCGTCACAACGAAACACGGATTATCATAATGATGCCATGGTATCTTCGGCATCTTTTGGTCGCCTGATGCGACCCAAACCCAGAAGAGATTTTTCTCAATGCAACAACTTCACGGTTTGCCCCATATTTACTTCGGCCATTCCTCGCTCAATTGCTCCCAAGGATGAACTACTCGACAAAAGACAGGGTATCTTCAGAGCTAGCACAGGTGATGGTGGGAGGAAGCTTGTTCCACCATGCATGAACACGGGATTGAAGGAAAAGATTGCTGTTCTACTGCTCTAACAGAAAAAATAAAATGTGGATATAATGACCCGAAACAGACGCCCGCCCCAATCTATAGTGTCGCAGAGAAAGAAGAAATCGAAATTGTTAACGCCATTCACCCTACTTTTGCAGTTCGTAACTGAAGATATTTGGGGGTATCGGTGGTCATTACCAGCAATCACAACACGTCACACCTCTCTACTCGTCGTCACTGTCAGGAGGGTGAGGAGTTCCCTGTAAAGAAAAAGAATGGTTAGCAAACTGTGATGAAGGATGAACGGGTATGGGATAACGAACCTTGGGGCTGTTGAGCCACTCAATGTGACGCAGTCTTCTGCGGACCTCTCTCTCCTTCTGTTCCTTCTTGGTCATCTTCTTCTTCTTTCTGGCTCTGAAAGCCATATCACCACCACCTTCGGCGTCACTCTGGGTAGGAGTGCCAACAGTGGAAGGAACAGCGGAGCTAACGACCGAGCTGGCGACAGATGAGCCAGGCTTGGAGGAGTCCTCGAAGCGGTCGAGCGAGACGGCAACAGTACCCTTCTGGGTAAGGCGGCCGTCAGCGACGTGCCACTGCTCAGGGCAGAGAGCACCAACGAACTCCTCGTTGTGAGAAATCATAACGACACCACCCTTGTAGTCACGGATGGCAACGGCAAGACCACCGAGGGAGTCTCTGTCCAAGAAGTTGGTAGGCTCGTCGAGAACGAGCAAATGGGGGTTGTTCCACATGGCACCAGCAAGGACGACCTTGACCTTCTGACCACCAGACAGACCACTGATTTCGTTGTGGTTGGCAATCTCGGGGTCAAGACCGACGTCCTCGAAGTGCTTGGAGATGACCTTGGGCTCCAACGAACGGAAACCAAGACCTTCTCTGCTGGCCTCGTGGTCATCGAACTCCTGGACAAGCTTCTGGAAGCCGAGCTCCATAAGAGTCTCGCGAGAGATCATGGTGTTGTTCTTGGGCAGCATACCGACCCACTTGATCTCATACTGGAAGGACTTCTTCCACTTTTGTCTACCAATGATGGACTCGATCTTGCGCTGACCCATGCCAGGGCCAAGGTCGACGAACTTCTCCATCTGGGCCTTGTCCTCGTCGGTCAATTGACGAGTTCCCTTCATCAGAACCTCACGATCGTCGCCATTAGCGTAACGCCATTGCAGGTACTGGTTGGGGGTCTTCTCCAAGTGCATCTCAACGTGCTCGAGAGCGTGCTGCTTGATGTAACCAATACGCAAGTTGGGGTGCTTCTCGACCTTACCGGTCTGAGGGATGGTTTCACCAGTAAGGAGCTTGATAAGGGTAGATTTACCAGCACCGTTGGCACCAATAATGGCAACTCTGGAGGAAAGCGACAGCTGACAGCTGACACCCTGGAGCGAAGGCTTGGATGATCCCGGGTAGGTAAAGTTGCAGTCAGTCATACGGAGAATGCTTCTGGTGTTGGACTTGACACCGGTCAAGATACCGGGAGGAGGGAACTTGAATTGAACCTGGGAAGCGGAGAGAGTGTAGTAAGCACCAGCTTCGGGCTTTTGCTTGACGAAAGCAGCAAGGTTACCCTTGTAGTTGACAAGCTTCTTGGTCTCGTAGTGGATGATGTCGGTGCAAACCTCGTCAAGGAAACCAGAGTCGTGAGAAACAATCAGGGAAGTGATGTCGGTGTGAGTCTTGAGGTACTCCTGGAGCCATTTGACGTTGGCAACATCGAGATGGTTGGTAGGTTCGTCGAGAAGGAAGACATCGGCGCGCATCAACATGGCTCTGGCCAGGGCGAGCTTCATCTTCCAACCACCAGACAGAGAGCCGACCTTCTCAGATTGGCGACCTTCGGGACCGGAAGAGAAACCAACCTCCTCGAGAACGGCCACGATTCTGTCCTGGCCTTCGGCCTGGAGCTCGGGGTCCTTCAAGCAGTAGTTGAGAATGGTAAGATCAGCGTCTTCACCCTGGTTGTGCTCGACGAAGCAGGTGCGGACCTCATCCTGAGGAGGGAATCCCTCGAGCTTGCCGTTGGCAATGGCACGCATAAGAGTGGACTTTCCGGCACCGTTTCTGCCACAGAGGCCGTAGCGGTGACCCTTGAGAAGACGAAGGTTGGTGTGAGAAAGCAAAAGCATACCACCGTAACCAAGAGAGAAGGTGGCGTTGACAATCTCAACCTCGCCATCCTCAAGAGGTGGTGGAGCGCCAAACTTGCGCTCATCCTCGGCGATGTAGTACTTGTGGACAGCCTCGGCGACAGCATCGGCCTTACCGTCCTCCATAAGGGGAGCCATGTAGGGGGCAATGTTGCCAGTGATGCGCATGAGCTTGCGATCAGTGGCATCCTCGGCGACCATGGTGGAAATGTAAGGCTTGGCCAAAGCCCAGATGTCGGCATCGCCAGCCATCTGGAGAAGACCGCCATTTGCTTGTGTCTCCTTCTCCAAGACCTTGATAACCTCTTCAGGAACAGTGCGATCAGACTCGGAGTGATCACCGCTAGCCTGTTGGCCCATGGCCTTCTCGATAACGTCGAGGGCTCTCTGTGCAATCTCACGAACCTCGGGAAGAGAGGCTCTGTCGCGGACAGCCTTGGTACCGGGGAGAAGCTTGGGGAGGAAAGCTCTGGCCTCGACAGGATCGTGGACAAGCTTGGTCAAGTTCTCGACGACAACGACGGTTTGACGGGTAACTTCTTGCGAAGTGCTGGGGCTGTTGAGAGAGCGCTCGAGGAGAGGGGTGAGGACGGCGAGAACGGGGGAGGTGACAATGGCCACGAAAGTGGTTTGCGAAAGGGCGTGGATAGCCTTCTGCAGACTTGAAGTCGAAGGGTCCTCCATCGACTTGATCAGAAGAGGAAGACGAGGCTGTACGTCGTCGTTCTGGAGGAGGGTGGTGAGGGAGTTCATGGACTTGATGGCAGCCTTGGCGACCTCGGACTTGAGATCGTGCATACCACCTTCGACGATGGGGATCAGATCCTCGAGCTTGCGTCCCATGGCTTCACGGAGAACGTCCTTGGCTTGTTCGGCCTCGAGGCTCTCCATACCCATCTTGGCGTCGTCGGCCATGCGGCCAATCAACTCGTATGCGACAACAGCGCTCTGCCACTTGCAGGAGCCCTTGCGGAGATATCTGATCAGGATGGGCAGAAGACCGTAAACCTTGGCCTCGGCACCGAGCTCCTTGTAGAGAGCATCGATGGCGTACTTGGCCCCATCGCGAACGCTGGGGGTCTTGTCGGCGATGGCGTCCAGGGCCATGGGCAAAAGGTAGTCGTGCTGGAGGAGGAAGACAACCTCGCTCAGGCGCTGCTTGCTGGGGAATCTTTCGAAGATGGCACCGAGGGCGAACATGGCACCCTCGCGGCGGCCAATGTTCTTCTTGTCTGTGGCAGCCTTCTTGACTTCTTGCAGAACGTTGTAGTCGTTGAGGCCGCGGAAGCCGACCGAGTTGAGGAGAACATCACAGAGACTGTAGGCAGCGTCGAGCGACTCTTGCGACGTCTTTGACTCGTAGATGCTCTTTGTGATGGCCGAGACGTCCTCGGCAGCGGGCGGTGCCGACTTTGAGGTGACGGCTGTGTTGTTCATGCTGGGCTCTTCGAAATGGGGCATATCCAAGATAAAGGGCGATTGATTGATTGATTGATTGATTGAGAGAGGCGCAGGCGCAGGGAAATGCGCTGTACTGCAAGCGAAAATAACAGGATCTCGATACCAGGAAACCGAGACAAGAAACAACTAACAAGAGTGGAGAGGGGAGACAGAAGGTGTTTGCAATCAAGCACTCCTTCAAGGTGGTTGAATAGAGAGAAGAGTCGGTTGAGACTGTTATGAAATTTTTCTACTCCGTACTTTGCGGCCTATCTATGCCCCTCGCTCGCTCGGTCATTCGGTCAGCATCTTGGCACTCTCTGCTGCTCCAACCTGGCCCGGCCGCTGCATGTCCTCCCTCCGGCCTGCCTTCAACCGTAAATTACCTCACCCAAGTCATACGGCAAGAACCAAACCACGACTGTCGTTAATACGAAGCCCCTGCGAATACATCGCTCAGGCAGAGTACTAGCTAACTGCACACCGACCGCAACTGATCTATCGCATTCAGCATCTTCACAGTCCGAGTCTATGCGAGCAGATGAATCTTGGCCTACGCATCCTCCTACGTTCACTATGCATACCCCAACTTCACGTGTTGGTCTCCTTCTCCCTGTTGGACTCGCGCTACATCGTCATCAACGTTTGAGTGGTCGACGATTTTTTTCAAACAGGACTGGAATTTCAATAGCCGTCTAACATGTTTATGTGTTTTTCGCTTACAGAATGCTGTCCTTGACATAGAGATCCACGTACTGGTCAATCTCCATGGCGTACAACTTGTCGGGCGAGTTGCCGAGGTCTACCAACTCCTTTACCCGGGACTCGTCAAAGTGAGGGCCCAAATGCCTCTTGTACTTGGCCATGATTTCTGGCTTGGCCTCCTCACGGCGCAGTCTGTGACCAAGAGGTGCCTCGACAATCTCCTCTTCCAGTGTTGTGCCGTCCTCCAAAGTGACGGTAAGAGCGTTCGAGATGGTTCTCTTCTCGGGGTCATGGTAGTCCGTGGTGTATTGAGGATCCTCGACACACTTGATCTTCTGGCGAAGCGACTCGACGAGAGGGCTCTCTGCTGCTTCGGAGCCATCTGTGTAGTCTGATGCCTCGAGGCGGTTGAAGACGAACATGGTTGCGACCATGTACTGGACACAGTGATCGCGGTCGGCAAAGTTGCTCATGGGCTTGAACTGTTTGTCGATGATACGGATGCATGCCTCGTGTGTTCGGTTGACGACTTCCTTGATGTCCTTGGCGCTCTTGCCCATGGCCTTCAGCTTCTTGTTGATACGGCTGGCCGCTTCGACGGCAGTTTGAGAGTGGAATTCGGCTATTGATACGATTAGTAAAAGGGCATCTTCAAAATCGCAAATTCGTCGCTTACCAGGGTATGACACCTTGAAGAGGACGTTCTCCATGACATAGCTGCCATATCCTCTCTGGAAGTCGAACTTCTTGCCGTGGAAGTTGACATCGTAGAAGCCCCAAGTGGGTGCACTAAGAACGGTAGCCATACCACCCTCACCCTTCATGACCTTGAGACAGAGGTTGACGGCCTTCTCGCAAGCATCACCAGCAGCCCAACTCTTTCTGCTCATGGTGTTGGGGCTGTGTCTGTATGTTCGCATACTCTGACCATCAACCCATGCTTGCGAGATAGCATCACGAGTCTGACCTTCGGTCAGGCCAAGCATTTGACTGACAACGGCAGTCGAAGCAACCTTGACCAGAACAACGTGATCGAGACCGACCTTGTTGAACGAGTTTTCGAGAGCCATGCAACCTTGAATCTCGTGTGCCTTGACCATGGCCTCAAGGACGTCTCTCACAGTGAAAATCTTTCCATTGCCCAAGTTTCCGCCATTGCGGTTGGTTCTGCTGATCCAGTCTGCGACGGACAAGATTGCGCCCAGGTTATCACTGGGGTGACCCCACTCGGCAGCCAGCCAGCAGTCGTTGAAGTCGAGCCATCGGATCATGGCACCAATGTTGAAGGCACCAAGTACGGGGTCGAGCTGGTAAGGTGTGCCAGGAATTCTTGTACCGTTAGGAACTGTGGTTCCAGGGACGACGGGGCCGAGCAGCTTGGTGCAGTGGGGGAACTCGAGAGCCTTGAGGCCACATCCCAGGGTGTCTAGGAAAACATATCTGGCGGTGTCGATCTGTATAACCATGGTCAGCTAGTGTTCTCGGCGTCTATCCCATAACGAGGACATACAGCAAGCTCCGAGTCGACCTTGTAGTTGTGGATGTAGGAGGCCATGTCTGAGATCTCACGGTCGAACTCGGCAGCAGGAGCCGGGCTGGCGAAGGCGTCCGAGTTGGGCTTCATAGTGGTCGAGAAGGCAGCTGCGGAGCGGATGGAAAGACTTGTGCGAGCAATTGAAGCTCTGCTGGCGATTCTGGCAGTGTTGCGAAGGAGAGAGCGCTGGCCGACAATGTTTCTAGAGCAAGTGCGGAGAAAGGTACGGCTCAGTGGGGAAGACATCACTGTCCGGAGTCCACGAAGATGCTTGTGTCGGTACAAGGTAGATGGACCGAAGAGATGAGGGATTGTAACAAGAAGACAACCAGAGGTACAGACAGATGAAGTTTTTAGTTCTGTAGACGATGTGATAGCTCGACAGCTCCCACAGCTACGTCGCCGGTCGACACAACCCCGCCTTGAGGTGTTGCACGACCTTGCCGGCTTACCGAGGTACCTGGGGACCAAAGGGAGGCAGGGCGCTGCATCAAAGCCGATGTCAATGGTATGGCAAGGACGGATGGCATTCACGTGTTGTTATCTCGGTCTTGAATCTCATGCTTGAGCCTCGGTCGAGGTTGAGATGCGTGATTGAGACATGATTTTGTTGTGAGAGATCTTTCCAAGTCACCATGCTGAGAGTATGACCCTGGTATGAATTATGGTACATATCCATGACTCCGATTATCACTAGATACCGACGAGGATCAGCCAGCCATGTTGGTCTCGATAACCAGTCGAAGATGTCATTGTTTCTGAGGAGATGATAGCATATACGGTGATGCGGCGTGGAAGGTACAATCACCACCATCCTGTTTTGCAAGCACGTCAACGATTGCAGGCTGAACTCGACATCAGACACACCCCAAACTATAGTCCCCATCACTATGCATGCTTTATTGACACAATGGTATATGCGGATTTGACGAAGTGAGATATGTGTGAATATCGCCGACAAGTTGTCACTCGGTACAGATAAGACATTGAAGTATTGGGAACCCGGGATCGTGATGGATGTGTTGTTCTCGATAACAATATATTGCGAAAAGCAGTCGAGTGGGTATGATCCTACTCTAAAATTAGGCCGGCAGGGTGGTTGAAAATTTAGAATGGCATGCAGCAGACATGCTTGCATTCTACGGAGACCTGCTATTACTGTACACGTCGCTGGGTTGCATGAAAACCCGTCCGACCACGGTCTCGCCGAAGTTGGTGAACAACCACTTGACAGCTGAACAGAAACCGTACGAAGTCTACTCGGCAGAGGCGCCGCTCGCTATCCAGCTTGCAATTTGCAGTTCGAGATTGCTGGCTGAACATTTGCGTGAACGCCATGCGGTAATGACGCCTCCGACGTCTGGCTCCGAGTTCCTGACTCTTGCTTGTCACCGTGTTCCTTTCAGGTTTCAACCCATCAAACCTTGGAGGCGGTCTAAAAGCGCGACAAGCTCAAGTCTCGATGCAGGTCCGCGCCGACCGAGGTACCCAATGGGCGCTGCAGCGGCAACTGGTCAGAGCTTAAAAAGAGACATGGTTTTGACGGCCGGTGCCTGGCGCGGGACCGTATCATCTAGTCCAGATTCAGACTCGCATCCTCACCCGAAAAAAACATCGCGCTATTGGATTTTGTGCCCGATTCGATTGCTCAACTCATCTGCACACGGCCCTCTGTTGCTGCCAGGATTGCTAGGTGTGCTCCGGATGTGGAGTCAGTAGGTGGCAGATCATGCTTACCACGCGAGCGGCGTGGACGGCTCACTCGTTGCCACGCCCTTGAGCGGAAATGGCGCGAGTAGGTAGGTTGGTTTCTGTGAGACCGACCGTAGGGGCTCGGCTACTGGTTCACTTTGCGCCGTTGCGCCTGACCCGGAGTCTCAACGTTATGGTGTTTCTTCTTCAGCTTCCATTGTAGCGTAACGCTCCGTGGAAGGACTAGACTGCATGCACTTCTATATCGGTTGGTGCTTGGCTTACTTGAACCCAAACGGTCCTGCTCGGTGATCATTTGCTCAAAACCCCCAGGTCGGCCGTCTTGTAGGAACGTTCTCTCGTCTCTACTAATTTTCTTGCCTTGTCCATTCTCAATCCTCCTTCCACTCTTTCATATCCGGTGGTAGCAGCGTCAGGCACAAGCCAAATTACATACCCATATCCTACACTCTAGTCCTTCGCCATGGACGACCGCAACAATGGCACTGCCGCCTCTTCGGCCAATGCAACACCCTACCTCAGACCTGGCACTCCCGAAAGCGAGGCCATCACTCCTGCTGCTAGAGCAAACCCTTTCGCAACCCCTTACGGCTCAATGCCCGTTTCGGCAGCAGGTTCATCCACAGCTCTCCAGCAGCCTCAGCAGAGATACTTCCACTCTAGACGTGTGAAGAAGGGCGAAGTTGAGAAGCCTTGGCTCGAGAAGAAGGATCCCAAGGAGAAGTGGGTTACCATTATTCCTTGCATCGGTATTGCCATTGGTATCGCTCTTACTGGTTTCCTCATCTACGATGGTCTGGCCAGTGTCACCAACCACAGCTACTGCCCCGTCTTCGAGGATGACTTCTCGAACGGTTTCAACAACAAGATCTGGCAGAAGGAGGTCGAGGTCGGCGGTTTCGGGTATGTTCATTCGCGATTGACTTTGCAAATACACTCGCTGACTTACTACCAATAGCAACGGCCAATTCGAGATGACCACCAACACCGACGAGAACTCGTACATTCAGGATGGCATGCTCTACCTCAAGCCCACTCTCCAAGATGCAAAGCTCATTGAGCAGAACAACGTCATCAACCTCCTCGCCGACGGCTCTTGCTCGTCTGACGTCTGGTCCAACTGTATCACCGGTACCAACGTCACCAACGGTACCATTGTCAACCCTGTCAAGTCTGCTCGTATCAGCACCAAGAACGGTGCTTCTATCAAGTTCGGTCGTATCGAGGTTGAGGCCAAGCTCCCTGCTGGTGACTGGCTGTGGCCCGCTATTTGGATGCTTCCCAAGGACGACGTCTACGGCGCATGGCCCCGCTCTGGTGAAATCGATATCATGGAGTCTCGCGGAAACAACCACACCTACTCCCAGGGTGGTAACAACGTCATGAGCAGCACTCTTCACTGGGGTCCTAACTCTGCCAACGACGGTTGGTGGCTCAACAACAACAAACACACTGCTCTCCACACCACCTACTCTGCCGGTTTCCACACTTTCGGTCTTGAATGGTCCGAGAAGTACATTTTCACCTACGTCGACTCTCGTCTCCTCCAAGTCATGTACGTCAACTTCGACAAGCCTTTCTGGCAGAAGGGTAGATTCCCCGTCAGTGACAGCAACGGCACCGCTCTCATGAACCCCTGGGCTGCTACCGGCAAGGACAACACTCCTTTCGACCAAGACTTCTACCTTATTCTCAACGTCGCTGTCGGTGGTACCAACGGTTGGTTCGAGGATGGTGCCTCTGGCAAGCCCTGGACCGATGGCAGCACTCTCGCCAGAAAGGAGTTCTGGGATGCTCGTGACCAGTGGTACCCCACCTGGGAGAAGAACGGCCAGATGGTCGTCAAGAGTGTCAAGATGTTCCAGCAGAAGGGCTACAACGGTTGCAACTAGACTGTATCTTTTTCGTCTTGATAGCGATTTGTTTTCATTTGGTTTGCGATACCTCGGAGTTATGGTCCGCTTTGGTTCACCACAAAGGGTGACGACACGACACTTTTTTCAGAATATAGACAAGAATTCATTATTATAATTTCTACAAGCATTTGTTCCACTTTACAGTTGCAACAAGTCTACAATCTTTGCATGCGCTTTTCAATGACCAGCCACTCACTGTACTTGATCGTATGACCTCGTTTTCTCAATACCTACCTTGATAGATGCGTTGGATAGAATCGTCTAGCTACGATCGTTCGACGTTTGTTGCCACCGTCGACTGCCGAGTCTGGTCGGCAAGGCTGGGACAAAAACGTCGAAGGGCGGGAACAGTTTGACAAACGCCAAACGGGGCAGTGAGATCTCGGAGGCGTGCACGATATCATGGGCCGCGATACTGCTGGTGATAGCAACGTCTTCTCTAAAACATCCTCTTGCTACACGAAACGTGACAAGAGGGCTGGGTAAACCGTTTTTTTCGTGAAGAAGAAGGCAGGATCTCGGTCAAAAACGGGGGGCCCGTCAAAACCGTCCGGCAGTCTACAAAGTCCAAGGGCATCAGGGTGAGAGGTGAGACCCGTGACGTTGGGATGATGGGATAACTGCTAGTCTCACAGCAATGTCTCAACTCATTACAGTTCAGGTGTGGTCTCAATTTTCCACTGCGAGCTGCGAAGAGCTTCTCGCGTTCAGACTTCACGCCACACGCGCAGGCAAGCTAACTTTGTCTATGATGGTGAACTGCAAAGCTTCGTCCGGCAAGCCACCCATCCTCGCACGACGAATGTCAGGGTTCAGGGCAGATTAGAGCTGAACGAATCCTACCCCTAGAACGCACATTCAGCTACAGGTGCTCTGTTGATTACGCTAAGGCGCATTTTGAGCAGAGGGCTGTGCTCACGGCCAGCCATCAGCCTCGTACGAAGATAACGGCGTGATAGTCGTTGCGTTGTGGGATGATCTGCGCTGCGTGCGTTCAGCTCATGGCCCAGAGTCTGGAGACGTGATGCGACATCTGTAATCATTGCAAAGTCCTTGGGGGATCTGCTGCGGATACTTGCACTATGGAAGCATTGACCCGAGGTGGCATTCTGTTCCGCGTTCATCGAATTGATATTGAAAGTGTATGCAAGGTGGAGTACTGGGGTGTCAAAGTACCTCAACCATGCTATATCTATCCATGCACGATTTTCATTGAGAAGAAGATATTTTCTCAGCGAGAGCAGAAATCAAGGATGGACTGCAGGATGGAAGCACTTGGCACATGTAAAAAAGCTAACCGAGCGGATCCGCCGCGGGTGAGCCGCGAGACCAAACTTACAGAGGCGGCAAGTGGTATGGGCCTTGCAACCTTTTCCACTATCTCGGATCGAAGTATATTGGATAGGTGCGATAGCAGTCAACAGCTGTGGAGCAGCCGAAGGGACAGATCTGGGAGTCCTT